GAGGGGGGGTGGGATAAAGAGAGGCTTGGAGGGGTGGAAAGTTGAGAGGGAGGTTGTGTAGTTGTTTTGTGGAGGAGAGAGGTATAAAGGGGAGATGGAGGAGTTAAGAGGGAAGGTTGTGTGGTTGTTTTGTGGTGGGGTATGGAAGTTCGGTACTCGTAGTTGTTTGTTGGATTAGAGTATTACTACAGGATAACAGGGTGATGGATTGATAAAATTAGATAATTCGAGACCGGGTTTGAAGTTCATTAATTTGTGTCTATGGGCAACTAGAAAATATACTCACGAAAGATAATGGAAACTTCAGGTTCGTTATACGGACCCTGGGATAGATAAGAGTGTTCCTTTATACCCTACCTCTCGTCCATATATAGCATTAAAGTGATTTCATGTTAGTATCACCCGGATCGACATTTGATTAACATGTTTTAGGTTTTGAACAATTTAAAAATTCCTAGGTATTCCATGGATCGAACGAAGTAGCCGTCAGAATAGCCAGCCCCTCAAAAGAAATCCATCCAAATGGCACATCACACCATCACTATTATCTTCTCCCAATCCTTATGGTATCATATCGCCCCGTGTACATATCCTGCAAGTTCCAACCCAATTTGAAGCATGCCAGCATTGATCTTCAAACTTTATACCGTTACACCCCTATCATCTAACTTTCCCTACTTCAGTTATGGCGAGCCTCCTAGTCCTAAAATCAATCTCGTTAGAATTCATTTTATCCTCTCCTAATGAAAGTCGAAAAACAGCCGAATGGAAAGAGGAAAAAAACATACCAGCAGCCATAGCCAAATACCACGTACGACTTGCTCCTCCATCCAACCAACTTGCATCAAAACCTGCCTGAGCAAAGAAATTCCAAGAAGTGCGAGGATTGATAATGGCCAAATTAGCATACAAAACACCCCTCCAACCACCAACAACCTGATCAGCTCTTCCATTCGAAAAATACGTATTCCATTCCTCCGTAACGAATTCTTCTGTCCTAGTAAGTGTCGAATGTGGAAGCAGAGGAAGCATATGAATTCCTTGGACAAGCTCTGGGGCGCCTCCAAAATATGTGGTATGGTCGATTTTATTCTCGAAAAGAATTCCTGATACTTTGTTGTTGATGAAATTGGCTGGTTGGACTGTGTTTGAGGATTCGTATAGGAAGTAGTTTTGCAACGATCGGGCCGTAATTGCTAGTTGTAGATTTCCTCTTGCTTCCATGTTTGAGTCTCCTATTGTGCGTCCCCACATTTTAATGGCATATGCTGACAAAGAGTCCTCAGATGAGGATTCCTCGTCCTTTCCATCGAAAGTTTCGTAAAGCCCATGAGCCCAAGAGTGTCCGTGGTACCAATCGAAATTGCGGGAAACGGGGAAGTAATTATCCGCAGTTGAAGGATTGGCGTAATCTCGAACCATTGCATTTATATAAGCTTTGTTACCTGCTAGCCAGCTCGGGTCAAGGTATCCAATAATGGCAGCTGCATAGACAAAGTAAGAGTAGTGGAAATGGTGGTCATTGTAGTATGTGTTTCCGAAATCAACACCTGAATCTCCGGTTACGTATGATGCGGTAGAGACAATACCTCCCCACGCGGCTGATGTCATTAGTTTCCTGCATTGAATCTGAGAGCGCAAATAACTCACTTTCGTATACGAGGGGAAATTGTTGCTTATTATTGACAAATAACGCGAAGTTTTGCTTCAGGGTATTAAGACCTGCCTGTGCCAAAGCTGTATTTCCAACGAAATCATGAAGTGTATATACAATCCCAGCAAATTTGGCAAGCGCCTGTACAATGTTAATAAAATGATCGATAGATATCGTTGAGCCATACATACCTTTCCACTATAATACATAGAATTCAAGTCCGTTTGCGCCGTCATATTTTGCGATATCTCGCTAGCAGCAATACCTGCGATGGTAGAAATAGCAGCTGCTGAAATTGAATTCGAACTTCCTCTTGCCGGACTCCAGGGCGCAAAATTCAAACTAAGCGGTAAGTCCTCCTCCAATGTCCAGGAGTCAGCCACGATAGCTGTCGCCATACCCTTAGTTGTTGTGGCTAGCTGTACTCCGTTGATCACACCGCAAATAGTGTTATTGTCAAAAGATTCCAAATGATGTGGCAAAGCAAACATTGCCAAGGTTGTACTACTCAATCCACCCTTGTTGAAAGCAATGGTGTAGGAACCAACAGCACCGTTTACATGACCCGAGAGGCTTGCAGAAATTGGATAAGCACCACATGCTTCATCGAACATAGCTTCATGCGCAGAACTCTCACTCTTTGCAATCTGGATAATTCCGTTGAAGCCGCTAGTAGCCTGAACTAGTCCATTGTTCACAACTGTAAGTGCAAGATTTTGTCCAGAAGGTGAATAGGCATATAACAGCCATGTCTTTCCATCCTCAAGTAGTATTGAGTATTTCGTGATTCCTGACTTTGGAGGTGTTGGATCTAAGGCTAATGTTCGGAACAGGATTCCGCTTTGTAAAGTTGGTGTAGCACCAGCAAAGATAGCTGTCACAAAACCCATTCCTTGAACCAAAGGAAAAACAATAGTAGGGTCAGCTCCTGGAGACGGACTTAGATTAACATTTACTGACAGAGCGGTCAGAGTGTCGGTTGTCAGAGTTGTCGTTGCACCCAGTTGGGTCGCAGAAAGTACCAAAGATTGTATGCCAATGGGATTTATGAAGTATGAAGCAGGATTCGCTGCAGCATTAGGCCCAAACACTCTTTGGTCGGCATCTATATGAACAATAGTCATTCCCCAACTTTTGGTCGCGCCTCCTCCTTTCGACCACGCCAGTGAATATGGATGCGTCCAGGCTGGCGCTGTCTGACTCCCGAGAAAGAAATTAGCGTAAAATTTGTTGGTATCCCGAGGCGCACGCTGCGATTTTATTCCTAGGCGAGGTACTGGATGATCCGAACGGGTGCCTAAATTAGATGGTGGAGGTGAAGTGTCAATTGGTTGGAAGATATTGGAGTCTGCTGCGACTGTATTCATCATATGATTGACAGGTGTTGGTGCAGTGGGAGCGAGCTGAGTGGTAGGTGAGGGGATGGAAGATGTGAGAATAGGAGGAACCGTAGCATGGCCAGAAGTTTCAAGACTAGAAATAACAGATCCTGTTGTGGCGGGAGTTTGAGTGCTAGGGGAGGGAAGAACTTGTACTGTAACTTGCACGGTACCCGAAATTGAGGAGGTGGTCAATACAGATACCGAAGGGATGACCGCGGTGGTTGTTATCGAGGAACTCAGGATTGCACCCGGCGGAGAAAGGAATATAAATCCATCCGAAGAAATTACGTCCGGGAAAATAGACTTGGGTTGAAATTCTTGCTTCGTCGTAAGCCACTGGGGAACTTTGACGAGGGATTGTGGAAACAATGGGGCACCTGGTCCAAATGTTGGTGCTTCCCTGGGAGGATGGTGATTCTTTTGCTCCTCGGGATGAGGATGAGGTGCACCGCTTGCAATCGCGGCGAGGATGTGAATAAGAAGAAAGTTAGTGATTTGCTTCATATTTGATAGAATTGCCGACTACCAAGGCATTCGTGGTGTAGAGAAAGTAGGTAAAGTAAAAGAAGATGATAAGAACAAGGAGTCTTGAAGGACTTGAGGGCTTCCCTCGAATGCATATAACTCAAGTATAATTTTAGGTATAATTTGAATCTATCATTCACCCTTCACAGTAATATCACCGGCAAATTTAACGTGATCTTACAATGAGGAGAAACTTCCCGTCCAGAGTATGCTTGTTATTATTATTAGATAAGAACAATTAAAGATGCCATTAGGTGATAGGGTAATAATTCGAACGTGAGTAGTTTAATAGGATTGAGTCAGAATAACAATCACAAAACACGCTGGACAAGATTTGGCAAAACAAATTATAGTTTGAGGAATGATGAGAATGTTCGGCAGGAAGGTACATTCGGGCCGTTGTGCATCATCAGATTCATACTACCGATGAACAGAACCCTATTGTGGCAGGTAAACAACAACTTGAATTATGTATGATCAGTGTCGGAATGAGGTTTTACCTACCAAAAGGGAGATGTTGTGGTGATCTGAAGGCGCGTGGATGCGTGTATGGAAAATAGGAGGAATGTCTTGGGACCGGAATTCAAATCTCACGGAGAAAAATCGAGGAATGCTCATCTCGACCCGCCATAAACATCAAAACTTAGATATAAACCGGGATAAAAACCAAAGAGAGTACAAGATCTTGTTACACATCTCAAGTAATTTCCGATAAGTATCAGATGAGCGCGACGTTGTGACCCTTCTCTATGAGCTAAGTACGCACTACGTACTTCACAGGAGGCTCTAAGAAATTGTCTTACCTTCATGCTCAGGTGCACCAATTGCAGTATATACGTATGATTGATTGATGAACGTCTCTCGAAACTTTTCAGAGAAATATTGAATACAAAAAGACTTCCAAGATTGGGTATAGACCAATACTCGAAACAAAGATGATGAATAGACATTACCACTCATCATTATGTCAGGAAGTTGTTTAATTTCTGCAAGTTGGAAATAGATTAAAATATCTTTTTGCGCCTCGGCTCAGTCACTTGTGAAATAATTACCTAACCGATTCCCATGACCTTGCGATGAGAAGTGTTGTGATCCGTACTTATCAGCGCCCTTTAAAAAAATTGGTATTATTAGAAAATGAATGAGATACTGGATTGATGACTCACAAGAATATGGTTGCAGATACTTGGAGATCTCTGTAGTAACGTCAGAATCTCATCTCATGTCTACAAGTGCACGTGACTTTTCCACGGCGTATAGAAGGCAGAATATGTTAACCTTCACTCACTCAAGCACCAGAATCAAGCTATTTGTTTTGATAGCTTGTAAGGTATCGTGATTTGGAGATTGATTTGATTTATCGAAGGAAATACTAGTAAGCTGCAGTAACTATTCGACTAAAATCATCCTTCGCGGATTTGGATTCGGATCTTCACAACAAACTTTGTGGCACTAACCATGGCCGGCCTTAAAAGTGCCAAAAACCTTTTGAGTTGCAGTTGCACCAGTGCTGCCTTCAACAAGTCGAATTTTCGGAGATTCCACGACAGCTCCCTCTTGTATGACTGTTTGGAGCCATTCGTTGAACAACCACGCTCCTAACTCCGTCTGGTCTTGACGTGATCTCATGGTAACCGTTAACGATGTCAATACATCGACTCCATTAGGCTTTGGCTCATCCTTGGGCCAGTGCAAAACTATTGCTAGCTATCCGCCTGTTTCACTCTTGACCAAAATGCCACTAGAAAGCTTGAAGCTACCATTCTCGCTGATAGTATCGAAAGCTTTAGTTCTGATCACACTGTGTTGATTGACTGCTTTCAATATTTTGGATTGACTTCCGGGTCATGATATTTAACTGGACATGGCTTGTTTGGCTAGTGGTAGCAAAAACCTTCAGTCTAAATGTTTTGTAATCTGTACAGCTGCAGGCCCATCGAAGATGAACCACCTCATACCAAGATTGCCGATTTATCTGCACTTTTCATGACTGTCGATGGCTTATGGATGCCTGAAATAACAAAAAGAACAATGGCAGCTGCGGCGAAGGTGATAGGGAAAAACTGAGCCTTCTTCAAATAGCAATGTATCCGGGATATATATGACAGTTGCAAAGTCACTGATACGATCGCCGGCTTTGAAGAGTGTAAGGCCGTCCCCACCGGCAACCCCAACGCCGCAAATATCACTCCCCAACATTTGGTAGTTTCCATCAAAGAATTCATAATCCTGGATCTTCCAGCCCACCTGATTAGCAGCGATAGCGTGGTCCGAGCTAGAAGTTCGTTAGGACCTGGTGTCGGGATTCGACGCTCCTTCACAGAAGCCCTAGCTTTAGCGGTCTGAAGGATAGCCGCAGGATTGGCTTCGAACCCAGATAGGATGCTTTATGGCTGATTTTGACGTGGAAACTAGCGCAAAGGCTGTCATCGAGGTGATTGGCACTCATGGGAGGGAATCAAATGGCACATTCTTGAACATCCGACTAGCAGGTTGGGTAGAGAGTGGGCCCAACCAGTAAGATGGAGAGGCTTTGCCTTGGTAAAGCCTAGCAAGATAAGTTCTGCCGTCTAATTAGATGTTTCTGGCAAGAGTAGAATGTGAAATAGATTCTAATACAATACAATAGTCATATTTCCCCTTACTCGCTACAGGGCCAACGGTTTCTAGACCGGTATCTGATATGTATATTGTCTTTTTATTGCGAGACAATAGGAGTCCGTTTTGAGCTTGAGCGTGGCATCCATTACGGTAATCTCACCTGTAGAAGGTCGAAAGGGATATGTAGGCAATTGAATTTAGTTGGACACAAGTTTGATGGTATTAATTAACACTTGCACATTCGCTTGTATGTCGCTTTATTCTTGCGCCTATCATTATATTAGACTTCCTCTTTCGAGCTTAGCTACAGGTCCAGTGAAATAAAGTGAGGTGTTTTGAATAAAGCTCTTCAGAGCCTTGCGATCTACGGACAAGACTAAGGGTGTACTTCTTTTTATGAAGAATTAAAAGAGACAGTTGATCAAATACGCAAATGATTCGGAAGAGAAGTAAGATTTGAGATTTCTCAAAAGAATCTCACTATTTACCAAGGTCAAGGAGATGATGCGACTAAGCCATAAACACTAACCTGCTACATTGTGCAAATCCAGTAGCCAAGCTCTTCCAAGTAATAGTAGTCATTGACTGTGCCTCATGCAAAAGTTGAACTTGGTATGAGATGTGATTAGGGTTTTGAAGTCACAAATCAAATCAGTCCAATACCTGATTGATTCACAATTTACCATCCAGGAGAACATAACGATACTTGAAGAATTCGAAAACCCATTGGGTAAGAACAGCACATGCCTCGTGCTAAGATATTATTTCCATTGAGCTCGAGCAAAACTTTTCATGATACATGTTTCAATGAGTTACCTAGGTTAGTGAACACGGTATTTTCACGTGCGGTGTTTCTTAACTCTGAATCTTGGACTGATAGCCAGGCACAGCACGTATTACTAAATTATGATAATTTTGGATTCCACATCTAACAGTCTAAAACAAAGGCCTTGACATAGGAGCAATAATGCCTTGCTTGACCATGACTCTCGGCTTGGTCGAGTCCTGGAAAGTCTCCTTAGTGGCCCATTCCGGACCAACTGGCAATCGTAATGAACGCTCATATTGCTGGCGGTTCTCGAAAGGATGAGGTAGTTGTGAAGCATAGTATTTGCCATTCTAAGTTCTTCATTAGTAAATGTAACCATAGTTAACAGCAGTGAGATACGTACCTTCTTGACACGTTTCTCATTTATGATAACGCGGTCAAGCTTTGCATCTTTCCTGTTTTGCTCCTTGATACCCTCGGACTTGGTGAGGAATCTTCCTTTGTTCTTTGCCTTCTCCCTTTTGCTCACGCCGTCTCCTACCCAACTTCCCCAGCCAGGTATGGTATTATCGATGACTTTTTCATCCTCATCCTCAATCGTCTGTTTTTTCTCGGCTTCAAAATCACCGACAACATCAGCTCCAGCGAAAGCACGCCTGATAAGCTCTTGATCTTTGATAGCGAATGGGAGGTGAATAACACCATCATCCTCACTGTCTTCATCAGAAGCCTCGAGTATCTGGGCTGTTTTGGACGTCGCCTTTTTTGATTTGGGCTGCTTGGCCATTATAGCAGCTTGTGAGAGATCAAGCTCTTCGACATCCATAGCGTTGTTGCTCTTATGTCTGCGTTTGTTTGCCTCTTTCTTGCTGACCATACCAGATTTGAGGGGTACCTTCGACCACGCTCCACCTTCAGTAGCTACCTCTGATTCCGCGGCAGATGGACTTCCAAAACTTGTGCTCGCGCCATTAGTCTTCTTTGCTTTTGGTGCGCTCGCAGCTATTTTCGGGCCATTATCAACCCCTGTGAACTCTACATCCATATTTCCATCCTCATCCTCTGAGTCTGCAGCTTCTTCGAATTCATTAAGTTTTTGTAGTTTCGGCGTAGCATCTTTGGCTTTGGACCCAGGTCCAAATATTCTACGGCCAATATCACCGTCTTCTTCCTCTTCACTAGCGCTCTCCTCTCCTGCGAGCTCCTTCCGCATTTCCTCCACCATAGCGTCATTTGCCTTTCTGCGCGATTCCTCTGCATTACGCATGAATTTCATATTTGCCAGTTTTGCACCCGGTGCGCAGTCATCGATAACATTGTCTTTCCCGACCTTTTCCAGGCGTCGAAGTAGTCGCTTCTGCTCCGTTTCTTCATCGTCGCTCAAACCATCATCAGAATCAACCATTGATTCGTCCGAGTCATCTTCAAACTCTTTTCTCACCGCCCGCCCTTCCACCCTCTTTCGTAACTCTTCCTCTCTTCGTGCCATTTCCGTGATTCCATCTCGAGCATCTTCATCCCATGCTGCCCGACCCATAACTTTTGTGGCCTTGGCCCATTTGCTATTTCGGTGCTTTGCCCCCATTCTCTCAGTTGCACGCCGTCTGTCCTGGGCCTCTAGCTCATCCTCAGAGGGAACGAAACCTCCCTCCTCGAGAGCTGCTCTATTTTTCGCCTCTTCTTTTTCACGCTGTTTTCGATGGACTTTGCGATACGACTTGCTCTTAATTTTCTTTACTCGCTTCGCCTTGAGCTCTTCTCGGTAAAGCAGCTCTCGCGCCATTCTTAACTGATCTCTACGAGCTTTCACTTCCTCCATCGACAGTTTGTTCATTTCTAATTCCTCAAATTCTCGAATCTTATCCTCGTCATCTCTACCACCTGCAGTTGCGAGTCCACTCTCCTCGAGAATACTCTGGATCGTGGCTTCAAGCTCATTAAATGGTTTAGACTGTATTGTTGATTGAAGTCGAGTGTTTGCGCGTGCAGAATCTGCATCTGGATCCGCCAGAGGGAAAACCAAATGATCTGCTCGTCGATTATGCTTCACGGTATCCGTCCATCTATCCAAGGTTTCTTTGCTTTTGTCGTAGGCTACGCTGCGATCGAGGCGGTCTTGTTGACGTCTTGCAAGTGGCACTTCTAGCTTGCCGGCAACCTTTTTCTTTCCATCGCCTGTTTCCAAAAACTTCAGAGACTTTTTGATTTGATGATCACTGATCTTAGGTAGACCAAGGTCTTCTAATGTAAGTTTGTTCTTCGATGTGAGTCCGAAGTCCGAAGGAGTAGCATATTCGCTTGCCCCATCACTCCGCTGTTTTGCAAGGGCTTTACTTTCATTCTGCGGAAGGTTTGCAATCAGATTTTGCAGTGCCGCAAGTTTCGATGGATCTGTAGAATCGTCTTCGTCTTCATCGTCGGCAGAGGATGCAGAAGACTCTTCGTCGCTTTCTTCATCCTCATCGCCGAAACCATATTCGTTCGAGCCTTCAGCCTCACCTTCGTCATCATCGTCTGATGAAGCATCTAGCATATCTGCAAGATCAACAGCACCCTCTCCTAGGTCACCTTCCTCCAATTCTGACCCTGAGTCTTCACCATCATCGTCCTCATCCAGATTTAGGTCTTTATTCCGTGAAATATGTTTCTTCGCACTCTTATTACTCGAACTCCCTGAAAACGCATATCCTTCAAATTTTTCCTCATCACTCTCTCCAAAGGCTTCATCGCTGTCAATATCGCTATCGTCATCACTGTCCACCACTCCCATTTTCCATGCGTTTCCTTCACTGTCGCTTCCCTCGTCGATATCTAGCTCATCGAATCGACCTTTCGTTGGTCCCTTTTTTTGTTTCTTCGCACTAGACTCTTCATCCTCATCGTCTTCTTCGTCATCCTCGTCCCTGTTTCGTTTTCCAGATCTGTTCCCGCCTTCAGCATGGCCCAATCGACTTTGTCTGACTTTGTGACGCTCCCCAATTTGTTGCTGCGCAGCAGAAAATGCATCGACCGACTTCTTCTTAGACTTTGTCCTAATCTTGGGCTGCTTCAATAGCGACCTGCCATGCGATTGTCTTCCAGGCATATTTGCAGTTTCAATATTCGTGTCGCAATTGTGTGCTAGAATCGGCGATTATCTTTTATCAATTTTATCGGGAAACTTTTTTTTTAATCACCACCGGATAAACGCGGCCGCCGGGCCAACACTAGCGCTCCAAAGACAATTTTGGAGAAGCATCACGAGTCTGCAAAATCCAATATCAAACGCCTATAACATCGATTGCAACCATGCAGCCCACACAATGTCTGATGAAACGGATAACCCGACATGCTCTGAGTACGAAGAAAGCAAATAAGGGGTTCTACAAGGGTACTGGAACTGGTTCAACGGGTCGACACACACAGCATGGAGGGTATATAATCGAATGGGATAAAGTCAGAACATACGTTGTGCCGCCAAATCTCAAGGAGTGTAAAGTACGAATTTGCAGATGCCAATTTTTAAATATTTCAGAGAGTACTGACGACGGTTTAGCTCACCCCATTTGTCACAAAAAAGATATTGCCGCCGAGAGGAAGATTTGAAAATGACCCTAAAGGTGCTTTCAGTGGAGAAGCATATCTGCGGAAGTGGAAGGATATTTCTGACGGAATGACATAAATGGTTGGTGTGGAATGTTATGAGTGCTGGTATCTTCTTTTACTAAAAGTTCTCAGGCTTGCATGGGAAAACGGCGTTGGAAACTGTATTAAAAAATGTATCAAAACGATAACGATGAATATCATTTCTCTCGAATCCAAAAGCTGGAGTGCAGAATGAAGGAGTGGGAATGTTTACTATCTTTAGAAACTGGGTTCATACTGTGAATTGGACGGACTCGACAACACCTGCCAACTAAAAAAGAGGGCAGAAATCTATCCATTGAATGTGAGAACTTTTAGCCCAGAGCGACAGAAGTGATGAAGTTTCATGCACATCTCTCTAGTTATGAGCTTCACCTGGCTTGGTCTAGGAAAGCCAAGCTGAGCAGAAATTACTGTCTACTTGAGCTGATCAAGTTATAATAATGTATGCTAGAGTTTTACAATAATTTCAATGGTGCTTTGTACCTGTTGATGATAGTGGATGGCCGAGGAGCGGCTCAGGTACTTAATGTTTCAATAGCTACTTTCTACTGGAGAATTTTTCTTGCTTGGTTAAGGTACAAGCATGTCATCAAATCCATGTCTACCTCATAATGTGTCTGCGCTTGGATTCCTATGTTTATTCGTTATTTTGTCCAAGCCAACTCTTCTATTATCACACATTTTATAACTTCAATCCATCCTCATTGTTTGACTTCATCATACAATCTTGTCCCAAAGTTACCTAAAATCATGTGAATGGCATTATTCGTTCTCGCCAATCAAGTCTAGCCCACCACTCTCGCACCCTTTATTATTAAGACCAAGCTTAAAGTCCATCTAAAATCAGACTGCTGCTGCTTTGGGCCTTGTAGCCTCTACCCCTCCACCGCAATGCATTCCGCGTTGAATATACTTGTTAATGTTGGAATAGAGATTTACCATCGCTTTACTGCTTTATGAAGAGCGATTGATTCGATCTCTTGTTGCCATCTCAGGGTGTCCAATAATGTTGCATTCTTCCGTCCGGACGGCGAGCCGAACAGCTAATCTGTGAATTGACTGGACTACTTGAGCTGCTGTAGAAAAAGTCGAGATAAAAAAATTGGAATGAACAATCTAGCTTAACTAATCTAACATGTAAAGTTCAGATTAGTACTCCATCATCTACTTTCTCTTGGCGCGAGCATTCCTATTGACTTGAGCTGTTCGACAAGCAGCAAGTCTTATCAAGATTTCAATCACCAAAGTAGCCTCTAACTGTTCTAGCCATGGTATGCAGAGCTCTACAGACTCTGATAATGAAGATGAGGCCGTGGCTGTCCCAAGATTAAAGGTATAGCCTTTCCGCTCATGTGCATCTTATTTCCCTTCTCCTGTTCGTATAATTTATTCTTTCAATTGTGCATCCGAAAGATTATTGGAGCTAGTTCCTAATATATGAGGTTCGCTTTGCGTTCGGATTTAGTAACTATTTTTGATTTCGGAAGGATATATTTGACTTTTTAATCGGGGAAGTAGATTTAGAGAATGAAGTTGTCATTGTTAAGTTTTTAATTTGTAATTTAACTCGGTCTTGAAAATGTTTGTTTGTATATCCTAACGAGAAAGAAGAGCGGTATGGATGTTTGTTTATACCCAAGTGTATTTGACCTTAATATACGTAAGCATTCTTGTGCATTCTATAGTTTATTTGCCAAACTGGTGTCGGGAAATGAGGGTGCTCATTTCTGAATCCATTTGGTATATTGAAGTCATTTCGAAAATTCAAGTCATTTGAGAGAGAGAGTGTGTGTGTGTGTTGACCTCCTGGGATCTTGGCAGCATATGAATATATATTGCATGATGCATATAAGGAGCAAACAAAACTCAACTTTTAATTCATTCTTTCCTTTTTGGTATACTGTTTGTTTTCTTTCAATATTTTGATTTCAAAGCACTTTAATTCCGAAGGCTGAATACCTAACCTTATTCCTTCATTTTTTGAATATATACTCGCAGCTTAACTGCTTAGCTAGAGAATCAATCAATTCAATCTGATGCTCTTTCTAGTCTCAAGAAACCCAATAGAGAGATATTCAAGCTAAGTCATAAAAAAATATTCAATTTACTTTTAAGAGATATTCTAGTCTTTTTGAATAATGAAATCGTGTCAAATCGTGAATCGTTATAAGCATTGCATTTAAGCCGCTCTTTCCAAGTCTCTCGCTTGCTTGGCCTCCTTCTTTTTTTGCAGCTTCTCAGCTCTTTCCCTCTTCCATCTTCCTCCGTGGTACCACTCTATCATTAATAATGGACTCAATGCAAAGGTTGCTCCAGCAAAGATCAAGAAAGTTACTCCAGATCCCAACACATCAATAATCAACTGCACAACGGCAACACCAGCTGCTCCCAATAAGCATCTAATGAGATTGTTCACTGCTGTAGCGCTTGCGGATTTGCCTGGATAGAGATCAATTATCAAAGCGCTATTGAGAGAGAATACAGCAGTAGCTGTGTATGCAATGAAGAATTGTAAAATCAGTGGCAGAGCCATGATTTCGAGCTTCAAGGAATATCCGTAGAGACCTGTGGCAACGATGAAAACGAGGACTATCCACCAGATATTCCTCATTCTTGCAACTTCAATAGGGAAGTCCAGAAGCTCATTAGCCTTGATAGTGACATCTGCAGGAACATTGTGTTCTTTGCGATAACGGGATTCAACAACTTTGTAGTCGTAATCCATCAGCATGCCTGTGAGATAGGAACCGGTGATGCAACCGAAACCATTTGGCAAGAAGATCAAGCCGAGCTCCAGATTGGAGAGATTGAAGTGCTCTGAGAATAAGGCAGTGGTGCTGGAGGTCACCATAGACCAGACAGTGTAGACAACTGCACCGAAAAAGAGGGTAATGAAAACATCCTTTTCGAGGAGAAATTTGAATGGGGCGAAAACTGAGGAAAATGTAATATTTTTCTTTGGGGGAAGCTCCTCGTCGGATTGTGCCGTAGATGGTGGTGTGTAGAATAGTGGCCGGTGAACACCTTTGAGAACAACGGAACCGTTGCCAGCCACACTTCGAAGGGTTTCGGGAAGAAATGCAATGATTAAGAGAAGAGCTAGCGAGCCCAAGCCAAGAAGAAACCAGAAAATTGCGCGGAAGCCGAGATATTGAGTTATGATACCCCCCAGGACAGGACCAACAGACTGTCCAAGCATACGGATACCTCCAAATACACCAATCAAACCTCCTCTCTCTTTGGGTGTGGTGCAATCTGCAATTGCGCCGGCGCCTAATCAGATGAGGTTAGTCAAATACATCAAGAAGTCATATGGATTACTAACCAACAGCAATAGTGGCAGCACTACCGGCAGCTTGGATTGCGCGCAAGACCATGAGGGTCGTGAAGTTTTTACTTAAAGCAAGTCCAATATTCGAAGCAAGATATACAATAAATGTACCCATGAACGTGATTCTTCTTCCTGTTGCGGGAGGAGGTTAGCTTATGTGCCACGAAATATTAAAAGTCCGGACTAGTACACCAGATCGAACCCTCAATGCTCGAATAACTTTCAAATTTTTCCAGAGCATTCAGAATATCAAAAACTTTCATTGTTGGACTCCAGTTTGAACTATTGGCCTATTCAAAAACCTGATAGGGAAGAGCACGAAGAGTAGTATTATGAGAGAGAACTAACCTTTAGTATCACTAATTGGTCCCCAGAATGATGGAGCAAGTCCCTGAACAATCATATAGACTGTTACAGTAAGACTGACAAGGGAAAGAGAAACGTGAAGGTCCTAGAAAAGCATTAGACTGAGATGGCTTTAGGTTACGGGATCAGGTAATGTACATACTGTAGAAATCTCCTTTAGAGATGGAAAATAGATGTTGCTTGATAGTGGCGAGAACAGACCTGCAAAAGATACTATATATACAAGCTGTCTTTTCTGTGCCATAGAGAAGATGTGGTAAGGAGGCTCTTCTGACTCTTTCTTCACAACGTATAAACTGTTTGCAGAAGATGTAACAGCACTATCTTGCTGTTCCTTGTTGTCGAAGAACTCGGTAGATCTCTCTACGTCGTCTTCAGAGGGCTCTAGATATCTTGGGTGGTTGGGCTCTATGATAAAAATTCCATTGGGTCGGCTGCCGAGGGGTGCTTCCATGGCTTCGGCTTCTTGTTGAACCGAAGTATTTGAAGCTTGTTCTTGTGAGCTCAAAGGTTGTGGCTGCTCTGTAGCTCCGTGTGCTTGATTGAAAGGCGATGTTGGCTTGTCATTCGCAACTGGGCTAGAGCTAACTGATTCCATTTTCGAGATCTGGGCTGTGATGGAAGAAGTAAATGAATTGATGGAAACACAGTGAGTTGAGTTAATCTGGGGAGAGGTTCTGTCTCCATGTTTATAGTCACCTCCAGAAGAGCTGTGGATCACCTAAATGATTGATGGCAACGGCGCAAAGTCATCTATCACTTCAAGCATACCAAAATACAGACCCGCAGCCCACTTGACGGAGCAGACTTGATGATCCGAATACTATGATGAAGCACCGATGAGCCATGCTCGAGGCTTGGCTGGAGCAGACGAAAATACAAAAAAAGACGAGGGTAACCAAAAACCTTGCACCAACTGTAGATCCATCTCCTCTTGTGGCCTTGTTTGATAGTTAAGATTGTAGCATCTGATAATCCAGATAAGATAAATGTTTAATATAGTGCGTTCAGGGTTGAAAGAGTGGTTCGCCAAACACGCTAAACGGGGTTCGAGAAAATCACATAGAAAGAAATCCCCTGCAAGGCATAACCATTCTTCCTTATCTGGCAAGTATGGACACTGCATAGCAGGCTGAGATCTTGGCAGAAAAACACGGCCCTCGAGCAAGACAAATCGTGAAATTATTAAATATAACTCGGAGCAAGACAATATACGACGGCCTTCAGCGCTTGCCCGTGGAGCCCATAGCAGTAATAAGTCACACAAGGAAAGAACAGCGGAGAATTAGTTAGCTAGAGCCTGAAGGACTTCTTCTTGCTTCATAGAGCCAAATGAGTGCTGAGCTAGACGGCCATAAAAGAGACTTCAACATTCGTGCGTCGGGTACAATATGATGCAATGAAGCGCGGAAGACACAGCGAAAATAACTGAAGCAGTGAAAATGCGCAGCTACTCTTGGCACTGAAAGTATGTACATGATTCGTCAATGGGACCTTTTCCTAGAGGAGAAGAATCGTATAGGGGGAGATCGACAAACACGGACAAGGTGATCGAAATATCCCCGACATCCGAATAGCCTCAAACTACACATGTTGGGCGTTCAGTTCCAAGAGTTTGCCAAGTAGAAAGCATGGACCCGGAAAGATCCGGTAAATGGCTGAGAAAGCTAAAGGGACTACCGGTGGATCATGGATAGCACAATAACACAGACTGGTTGGTTGGGCAATGTTGATTGTCGTAGGTACGCAACTGTAGCATTCCGGCATATAGAAATAAGTGGGTCTCCCCTGAACGCTTGAGTCGAGCAGGCTAACCATAAACGGCTAGTACATCCTCAGGACATATCCACATCTCACTTCATCTGAAGCTTGAGATTTTTTAAGATATTCACTACGATTGGAAAAGGCCTTATCAAAAATATGCAGCGTAATCAACATCGCTGCACTCATGTGAATATTGCAGATAATATGTAGCCAAGCTCTTTAGTGAGAGAGAGTATATATATTTTGGTTGTCTAACATGGGTTGCCGACATGTATATCACAGTATCACCATGCAGTCTTCAAGAGCCAAGAAACTCAAGTTTATAAATGAGCGAAGTGGCGCCGACACTCTTACTTCAATCTTTGTGAAGAAAATGAGCTGGGCATCACTAGATACCTCTGGAAGGGAGGCCCCATTCCTCTGGGAACTTTCAAAAATTCGTTGCTTAGCCTTCGCGCCGTCAATGGCTGTGGGATTAAAAAGACTGTGTTCGTCAATTGATACAATTGTGGTCTGCAGATGCTATCTATCCAGAACTTTCCTATCATGGGATTTTCTCTGAAAGTTTTATTTTTAGGTCTCTCAGAAGCTATTGGGCTGGGGACAGTACAAACTACTCATCTACGATAAGCTATGTGGACCTTTGATATCTTCTGTTACTTTGGGATCAATCTCCGTAATCCACACACAACTAGACCGATCGGTGCACACAGGATATACTTCAGGCAAGACAGTAGGAATGGAACGCGACCTTGATAGATGACTATTACGATGTTGCCACATTGGTATTGATACCCGCAAGTTATTGGATGCATATGCTCATGAGAAAATTTTCATCATATCGCAAGCATTGCGCGTCATCTAATGAGCGGGTTATCACAGCCCAGCTTTATTTTCTTTTCTGATCCCCATTTTAAAGTCTTTTCCTTGCGAAAGTTGAATGACAGTATGAGATTCCTGCTTCAACTATTCTGTTGATTGAAAGATCTGGAAGATACAACGACACAGTCACATGCTTGCATGAAGGAGGTTGAATCTTGATGGAAAAATGCCAAACTAATGATAAAAACATATGATCCTTGAATAAGGATTCTGCTACGAATGTGTGCTACCCAAACATGGAGATTTGATTAGTGTCGTCGCTCTTCATACTGATGACAAACAGAATCCACCTCGTCGCCAAATTTATTTTCAAAACCCAGGGTGTCCAAAAGTCGGGACTGGCAGACTGGATTTAAGCTTTCAATGATAAGTAATTCCTTGGATGTTTAAACATAATTCAATATCTCATATACTTTGAATGTTTCATTTATATATAATATCAAAAAGTTGCAAAAATTTGAATGTAATTCATTACTTTAACTGATTAAATATCCTAAATAAATTCAGAAATCCAAAGTTTTCAACATTGGACAGCAGTCCGGGCTATTGGATACCCTGAAAAAACCTAGGAAATAAAGTTTAGGCTGAAATCCTTTCGTTGGCCGAAGACTTACAACGTAAAACGCCAGGAAGAGTCGATCACCCGTTATCATTCAGAGCGTTAGGGGTGTCCCACAAAAGTCATTTCCAGCACGTCAATAGATAGGGAATAACATGCTGGAAATTCTGACATGTTCACTGTCAGTCTCTATTTATAGTGATGCGAATCTAACTGTCGCTTGTTGAAGATAACAAGAAAGTGATGCCACTGTCCTTCCTCTGTTTCTATTGTACAAATGATAACCGAATAATGGGACGGGGCAGGGCTTAGAGGCGAACTATACTTTAGTGAACCTTCGACGCCCTGGGATTATCTAGCTTCTGTCGCCATCTATTAGCGAAATTTCAATATAATCATGCAGCCAGAAAGTATGTCACGCTTTATTGTATACATCGCTACTATTCTCTAAAAGTGGAGTGTGACATACTCTTCAACCGCACGAGTAGCATGCACATAGGGATAGAAGTCTGACTAGGAGAGGAAACAACCATACTTTTTCATGACTAGGTATCATATACATTTCATCAACCTTAAATGTTAGATCCATAGTGCCAAGGGTCCGTGAGTACGTCGTGGCGGAAACGGCGGAATTGAGGAGCCACAATGTGGTCGTTGTCTTGTGAAGTCATCAAGGGCCAAGATATCATCTCCATTCATATGTATCGAATGAAAGATCATGAAGCCGGGATTGCAGAGACTTGCAGTAAATAACATTGAAAAATGCAACCTCCGTGCTTAAAATAAAATATACCGTGTGATTTTTCGCAACCTCGCGCAATCTTAGATACTTGTGCGGCCAGTAACTCCGAAGCTAGAAGGGGGCACGTATCTTAAGATGGTAATCTACGAGAGGGATACCTGTGGCCTGGTTATGTAGTGTCGGAGATTCACCCTTTCGGGTGGCACGTGGGCCAAATTAGGAAAATCTGTCGACGCTAAGTAGGGATTAGAATAAGCTTATATATGCAAGGCTCGGAGCACTGTCGGAAAGTGATTCGATTCGTTCAAAAATCAAATTTGTAAGCAATATTTCTATTTTCAATCGCGGGGATCTACAAAATGTTGACAGAGATCTGGCCTAAATTAAGCATCTTTACTACTTATAACTAGCCTCACCGAATTTTCTAAATACATATGAGGTAGGTACAATCAACTGGCTTAAATTTGACGGTCGAATATGCCCAATTCTACTTTACTAATCCGGGATCGCATTGAGAAAAGAGAACAAAATCCTCGCCCATATTATACATCTACATAGTTTATACTCTAAGACATATCGCTGGCGGTCAGAATCAACGAAACCTACGAAGTATAATAGATTGCATTCCTTTGTCATAAGGTAGTAATCAGACGATTCGAAAGTACAGTGATGGGTACATGAAGTATAAATAGAAAGGTCATGAAATTCCACCCCAGATCTCGATCCAGTTTCAAAGGACGGTTGATTGTAATCTTAGAGCTTGGATTCCACACATATGATTTTTCTCTACAAGGAGCGGAGTACGGTTCTCATTCGCTACCTACGCCGAAACACATCAAATCATTTCAAATAAGGATCAACTGAAATAAATACTTTCGAGTCCGCTTTTGCTTCAGCTTGGATAAACTAAGGACCGAAATATGCCTGGTGTACACGGCGTAGATGGGATGATAAGGTATTCGGCAAAAACCTGAAACGTTGAAGTGGTAGATCTGCAGTGAGCGCAAATGAAGGAATTCATGATGTTGTAAGATTAGATTGGACGTTGTAAATTGCTGCTCCTTCAACGTTATATACAGATGGGATAGGATGGGTAGTTGTCCGGGAGTCGTATCTTATATAGTGATTGAAGAGGTAAGTAATATATAATAAACTTGATCTATATCAAGATGTTTTTTCTTATGTATTTTTAATATTTAAAGGAACTTGAGTAGACATTCGACTGTTTTTTATAAATTCTCAAATTTTCAAACTTTTAACAAATTCAAACTAAATCTTTATTGGATTCCCTATTAAAAAGAATCTTGATAGTTTAATAAGACTTTATTAAAAACTATAATGCTTTCCTCTTATATATATTTTATATTCCCAATCAACGTAATAATATCATGGATCCAAATCTGTATTCATGATATCATTTTATAGCATGGCTTGTAATACTCTTGTATTGATCTCCGTATACTGAATTGTTTGGTTAGCTAGCGTGCATTGATAATATCAAAAACCATGAGCTGCATTCATAGATTCCGGCTTGAATTTGATGGTAAACTATACTATTGTTTAAGAGAAATGAAGATCTGGAAAGTTGTTATCGATTAAGAAGCAATGCCTTCATTATCAGACCTGGAGCAAGCAAATGATTTGATCAAAAGATTCCATTCCTCAATCGCATCTCATCCCAAACTCCACATGAAAAAGAATATCGTTAATTTTATTGCTTTGCTTGATTTGTTTCGGTATGTACAGTGGTAGACCTAAAGTCTCTAGATAATTCTTTTCTCAAGCTATTGAGTTGATGTCAGTATTAATGTAATATTCATGGGGAACGGGATCCAAAGCCCGGGAAAGACTTACTCTCCATGGGTTGTTCAACTCGAATCCTAGAGGGGCACTTGGGTTATCGGTTTGCCCTCGAAGAAATCCGGTCAACCTCCTATCGCGGTCCATCACTACATCGCAGTCAGTGCCATACATGACAGTATAGAATTGTGTAAGGTAGAGCTTACTTTGCTACATGAAAGATTAGCTTCTACTCATTAATGTTAGGTAAAGATATAGGAATACTGACTCTGTCCCAGGCATCGACGGAATGTCTGGCTCTCTTTCCACCGTTCTGCAAAGCTCTCATTCCAGACAATCCAGCACCGGTGATACCGAACATCTGCGCATTTACTCAGTATTGTAATTCTTATAGTGGAATGATATGGTGGAAAGACGAACGGCAAGCATGATTCCATACGGAAGGAGAGCTTCGAAAGGGACACCCATCGTGAAAATTTCGCAATTATCTATCGAAATTTAATTAGCATGATAAAATCAATATGGTTTTGCGGATTATGTCGCACCTTGTATTTGTTGTTGGCTTCTCAATTGATTGATGAGGCTTTCAGAAAGCCTCAGAGTTGATTGACGACGTTGGTTTGCGCCAAACTGGAGTGGAATGATGACTAAGACCCGACAGGCGCCCCGAACGACGAACTTTGGGGTATTAAGAACTAGGAAACAATAACTACACCACCAGGAATGATTATCAATTCGAATTAAGCTTGATCTACGCGTCGGAAGCTGGTATGCACACACATTCGACTTTCCAATAATTGTTTTTCGATAGAATTGGTTCAAAATATCGCGTTCACTTCATTGAACTGCTGGACCAAATACCCACGAAACAACAATTCATCCATTAATTGTTTGCGCAAGCTGCGCATTACTTAACTTGATCTGGTTGGTATTATACGTTCTTTGGCATCTAATAAATTGAGTTGGGCATAGAAATCAAATATCATCTCGCTTTCTACTCGACCATTTAACAGGAGGCAGAGGCAACGGTTTCAAAATCCACCCAACCGCCTGGGCTTTATTCTCCTATAACCTCAAAATTCTTCTTTCACTCCGACAACCGACACATCTACATCGCGCATGACAATCAATACATGAAAGATGGCGGGAGCGGCAGCAGCGGTGTTCATGGATGGGGAGCCTTCACGGAGCTTGGCTACTTCAGAAGACGATGCTGATTTCGAGGAGGATGACATGATTCCCGACATAATTAATGAGGATGCGAATGCATATGCTGCCAATATTCAATTACAAAATGGTTTGATGGGAAATCACAGTGACATGGAGGATGATAGGGAGGGTCCAGAAGGTGAAGAAGATATGTTAACAGACGAAGATGCGGACGGAGAGGAGGACGATAGAATGCTCGACGAGCGAGAACATATGGAGCATACAGAGGAGGAAGAGATCGACGAGAATTTAGGGCCAGGTGAAGGAGATGAGGATGATGACGATGCTGAGGGAGTTGGTGCTGTCAAGATTCAGCCTGGCTTAGAGGATGACGATGATGAAGATGCAGAGAGTGGTTCAGACAGCGACAGCTCTGCAGAGATTGAAGAGGAAGATGATGAATCTAAGGACTCTAGCGACGTCGAGGAAGAAATTCGATGGCAATCTAATGGAGAGGAAGGAGAAGAGGAAGAGGAAGGACATGTAAATCCCAATCGCTGCATGTATGCATCTTTTTCCCCACTTAAAGTCTTCACTTTACTGATAATTTTCTAGATTCTGCGAGCAGGATGAAGATGACGATCCAAGTGAAGAATTCGAACTTTATTTGGCATGTGAGATGTGTGGAGACAATGGTAAGTTGACCCAGTATTTTATGATCGGTAAGGCTGACGAGGCTGTAGCGCATCGGCAATGCGCCAGAAATTCGGATGCACTCAAATCCGACGAAGGTATGTGCTGTTCCGCCGTACAGGAGTCAATAACCGAACTAACAATCTTCCAGAGGCGGAAAATTGGTATTGTCCAGGATGTCATAAAAATCGTCTTGTGCCTGGAAGTCCAAGTGCAGATGTCGATATGCTCGAAGCCCCAGATGAAGAGGAAGATGGAGAAGCAGAAATTAATGATGAAGATCTGCCCGTTGAAGCGGCTGAAAGGAGAATTTCAAGGGACAGGGTCCCGGGAGATTTATTACCGCCAAGACGTGGTACGATCAAATCAGATTCACACTCGGTCTTCGAGCAACTAATAACTCCAGAAGATCCCATGGATGGCTCACGTTTGTTGCGCAAGAGGAAAACTTCTTCAGTGGAGGCTGATGAGGGTCTGGTTCTGAGAAAGAGGACCAGGGATCGGGATACTCTTTCCGATTATTCCAAACCATCGTTTGACGAACCACATGATGAAGTTAAAGTCGACAATGATAGTAACTTGTCATTGACCAACGGTAAAAGAAACAAGAGAAGGGCGGACGGGCCTACAAGTCCACGTGTCTCAAGATCCCAGCGTCAGAAAACTTCTTCATCTTCAAATCCGCCTGTCAGTATCGTCGAGAAAGTAACCGGCACCCTCAAAATTTGCTTTCGCATTGACCCTTTGGAGTTGAGACATATCCTCTCACTACCCCCTAGACCAAAAAAGAAACGTGGCGGCCGGGGTGTATCAAAAGCTCGATCCACGGCTACTTCCAGCGCCCTTGTCCCCTCAAGTTATTCACGACCGTTCTACCCTTCCATTCATGATAAAGAATTGGAGGAACTAAAATCTAAACCCTACGGTGGCATTCTTTCCGAAGCTGACGCCGACACGTCTTTGACACTCCCTAGAGCAGAACATCGACGTCAGTTTGAAGAGGCTCGTCAAAAAGCAGAAGAGGATTGGAAAGCAAGGGCGGCGGCGGCGGCTGAAGCTGCTGCCAAAGCAGGATTGAGAAAAGCACGCAAGGTGTCTGGCCCAGCCAGCCAAATCGAATATATTGATTTCGGGGCATATCAGATCGATATCTGGTATGCCGCTCCATATCCGGAAGAATATAGTCGGAATAAAGCACTTTTCATATGCGAGTTCTGTTTGAAGTACATGGAGTCCGATATCGTCGCTTGGAGACACAAAACGAAATGTCCATGGAAACATCCTCCTGGTGACGAAATATATCGAGATGGAAAGATTATGATCTTTGAAGTGGATGGACGTAAGAACCCACTTTACTGCCAAAATCTTTGCCTCTTAGCAAAACTTTTTCTTGGATCAAAAACTTTGTACTACGATGTTGAACCTTTCCTCTTCTATGTCATGACAGAATATGACGAACTAGGCTGCCATTTTGTAGGTTACTTTTCGAAAGAGAAGCGACCTAGCAGTCTCAACAATGTCTCGTGTATCCTCGTGCTGCCGATTCATCAACGGAAGGGATATGGCCACTTGCTCATCGACTTCTCGTATCTTCTCACACGCGTTGAGAGGAAGACTGGCTCTCCTGAGAAACCGCTTTCCGACATGGGTCTGGTCTCTTACCGCAATTACTGGCGGCTCGTTTTATGTTATTACTTACAAAAGTTCGAGCCCTCTGGACGTATTCCAAGTATCAAGGCTATTTCCGATGAGATGGGTTTGACGCCGGATGATGTTATCTCAGGCCTTGATGCCATGGGCACGCTCGTCCGTGATCCCATGACTGGTACCTATGCCATGAAGTTGAAGCCTGAATACTACAAGGAGGTCATTCGTCAGCATGAAGCGAAAGGATATGCCAAATTAAATCCTAAAGGGCTGGTCTGGACGCCGTTTGTTATGGGTAGAGGGAATGCTTCTGCTTACGATCATGCACCGCCGCTGAACACCGTCGCACCACGTGAGGAAGACGAAGATGAAGTACCTAGCGTTGAAGGTATATCTAATGCGAGCGTTCAGGGCGCTGCATTGAATGGTCTTACGAATGGTGATACAGGAGAGATGACAGCATCGTTAGGCAAGATGACCACCGAGGCTGGTGATGGTGTTAGAGTTGCAAGTTCAGAAGGCAGTGTTGGGAAGTCAACGGTGTCGCAGAAGCTCAATGGCATTACCAAAAAGTCATACTACGATCTTGCCTCTTCAATTCCTCCTGTACGATTTGTGGTGTTTCCCCCGCTACCTGGTGCTCGAAGCCGAACTATCTCACGCCCCTCTTTGGCGCGACCTTCTCCACGCGCAAGGCCGTCGGTCTCTTCATCTGCTCGACCCAAACCTCGACGGGGAAGCGGAATACCCATTCGTCGTGCGTCCACTACATCTGCATCTGCACCAAAGCCACGGGCTGTAGCACGTAGGAAAAGCGGAGGTACGGGTCGCGGACCTGGTAGATGGCCAAAGGGAACTAAGAAGAGTGATTTCGGCAATGCCGACAGTGGTCCGGGCTTACCCCCTAGATTGTTAAAACAGCGAAGTAAGTTAGGGAATGAGGTACTACTCGGCGAGGAAGAAGAAAATGATGAGGCAAAAAGTGACCAGGATGAATCAGCAATCTACGATACTCCTGCGCCGAGATCGAGAAGAGATAGAGACTCGTCACGCAAGGGTGCCGGGCTAGGCAAGCCTATTCTCTTGGGCAAAGGCAAAGGCAAGGGGCCTGCTACAGGAAAAGGCAAAAGTCCTCTCGTTGATGCTGAAGGAAATCAAGAAATGGCTGACGCGCCAGTTGACGAAGTAGAAGCTTATCAGGATGGTAATGTGGATGCGGATGCAGATGCCGACGCAGATCCAGACTTCGAGGCGATTTCGTATCGGGGTGCTGGAGAGGATGTGGACGCCCACGGCGAAGATGAATAGGAGGTGGCCTGTATGCTGTTTACGTGGGGCATAAATTTGTGCAATTAAGATATTTGGACGGGTGAGCAATGATACCTGGCTATGAATGGCGTTTGGAAGGGGATATCCATGAATTCCGGAATTTCAGCATCGGCGAAAATATCCTTTTGCACTTCAGGGCAAACATGGCGTCAACGAGAGGGTTTTTGGTGAAAATTCCTTGATGTGTAATTATTTATGTATTATTACTATGGCTGCTTTACCAAGGTATCTAGGAAGATACTACAGAATGAAATATTTCCTGCACAGTTGACCATCGGTGAAGTAAATATAGTAAACATAGGACGAGAGCTCATTCGACATTGATAGATACCTGGAACAGGAGAGATAGTTGTCTGGACAAATTATTTAAGATGACACGAAATGATAATTGGAGAGAAAGAAATCTTTTTCATTTTTCTATTCCAGTTATGGAATATTAGATTTTACGTCTAATATGTACCACCATTTAGGCTATAATAGATGAGCGCCCCTTAAATATCCGAAGGCATCCCGTGTAGCAGAAAATGTGTAAGCGATAGATCTATATCTAACTAGCGAATATATCCGGTCGAGGTAGCAAACCTCAGGCCGTATGCTGCTTTTGGGGTTTCATGACACAACTTGTTCATAATTTAGCTGACCAATAATTTTCAGGGAGGAAAATTTGTTGATCTGATATGAATATTTAGTATTTATTCTGTACTGTGAAAGGTGATGGCCCAAAAATGTTGGATCTAGATGTGTCTATACCGTGTTAGACCATCATGGAATTACGATGTCAATTGTGCAGGACTTCATGCCCTATACTCCGTACCGCAAAGTGAATGAATGATCCATCGGTTTGTGATTGGAAAGTCAGGACACTCGAGTGACACGTTAAGCATAGCAGTGATCTGAACACAATACAGGCTTAAAATTACAACTAAAGAGGTATTCAACAGGTGTTACTCTCTTTTCTAACGAAACGATATCTTCTCAGAATAGAAAAAAGGGCCTGGAACAAAAGATTACAAAGTCTCAGGAACTAGTTTCTAGATAACAATTAAAGCATTAACCCTACCTGGGCTCCGTTCTTGCTCACCGTTATTACTATCCAATAACCCAAAAATTCCTCCACAGGATTATGATGGTCAAAATCCTGAATGTTCCGCAAAATCCCAAGGTAGTGACTGCGACCCGGGTAATGCCAAGATCACTAGCTGTACACATCCATAACCCTACTTCGAAAACCATCACAACATTAACCAACACCCAGCTTTATTTTACATAGCACATAATCCTAACCCTAAAAATGCACCAAATTATTTACCAAATGCAAAACCTATGACTACCTATCTAGTGCCCATATAACATAATCAGCGAACAGCTAGCTACCAGGGGCTTAGAGCAACCTCTAATTAACCAGCAAATATTTAGCGGACGGCGCAAGCGAGTATATTGTGATAATAACCGATTCTAGCTTTCTATATTTGTATTAATAAACCAGAATCATAATTGATAGGATATTTACTACTCTATACCAGAAAATCAAATAAATTTCTCGGTAAGCCAAAAAAAGATATCTAATTTCCATTAATGAGTTTTATGATATCACATGTCCTATACTAGATTAAGACCTGGTGACTAATTACTTTTGAACTTATAATGCGACTTATTTTCTGACAACATTTTTTCTTGACGTTTATACAATATCACGGCAAGAAACTGTGAAAAGCTCGACCAGAACGCTAGCAGGATTTCCAAGGAGCTTCCGATTCTCTAACGAAGCAGAGTCGGACACGAGAGGGAGATAGTTCCTGCCAAAGCCGTAGTTGAAAGAGAGCAAGTAACCGCAAAGAAAAGCCCTACTAGAAACATGAACTTATTTGCAGATTGAAGTAGATTCTAACATTGGAACGCATTCAGATGACTTGGACAAATAAAATGAATCTGAAAATTCATAGTATTTACAACCTTTCAAACAATAAAGTTCTAGCAATTGCTGCAATCAAAAAATAAAAATAAATTTTACTATCAATAAGGTAGCTAAAAAAGACAGCAATCATGGTATAAGCCAAGACCAAATTACTCCTAGATTCCCAAACCAGACTCCTCGCTAAAGTAAAATAATAATAACCCAAGACCAACATAAAGACAAATCATCCTATGGGCTAGGATTTCCAACAGGCAAGGCAGGTAAAGGTTTCTGCTCATTATCAGGTTCCTCTTGAGTAAGCGTTTGTGGGGCCTGAGATTCCCTGATGTCATTGACACTTTGTCTCTCCAATGTCTCATGCTGAACGCCTGTGGGTGCAGAGTTCACATCATCCATAGGATCGTGACTGTCGTTGTCACTTGGCGGGGGACTAGCCAAACCACTACTAATCCTTTCTTTACCACCTCTTTCCTTCGCATCTGCAACGGACAAGAAAGAAGCAGGTGATGAATTTTGCGATCTAAGGGAAGGCCCGAACGATGAGGTGCGAAGGAGTTCCTGTTCTTTCGATGCAGATAATAAAGGGTTGGAATTTTGGTACCTCATAGAGATGCTTCTACGAAGGCGAGAAAATGTACCGGTTGAAGCTCCAGTTACGGTATTCGCGGTGGCCTCGTCGAAGGAACGTGGAGGAGTGAGTTCATTATCAGAACGAGAATATGTTGATATGGGTGTTGGAGGGCCCCAACCTCTCGATCGTGAGCGCGAGTTGACAGATTCATCTGAGGGTTGACGGCGATGCTGATTTTTCCAGGCATTTACAGGAAAGCTAGCGCCGCCGACATAATCTTCGTGATCCCGAGATGTATAGCCCGGAGTGTCATTTGGACTTCCCATACTATTGGCGCTGCGGCGCAAGCGTCGATTATGGAGAGAAAAACTGAGAGGTTCCGCGCTAGAGACACGGGAGAAAATCACGAGGCCAAGACATAGAAGAAGTAGTATGGATTGGATGATAGACATGCGCTTTTGGAAGACAACTTCATCTGCGAGGATGTTAAGACGAGCACTAATAGCCAAGATTTCTCGACGAGATTCTTCTCGCTGACTTTCAAGCGATATGACAGTAGACTGCCAAATTTCGTCATATTGTTGACGAAACACGCGAAGTTCCGTAAGCACTGTACTATTCAGATTTTCGAGGAAACCAGTTGTCTTCTGGAGTTGCCTCTTTTCAACTTTCAAAAAAGCTTCTCGCAGCATCTTCGATTGCTCTTCGATATACTTCAACGATAAGGTTGAATTTGTTTCCAGCAGCTGCAAACGCCTCGACACAGCTTTGAAGAAACTCTCTTGGATGGTGGGAAGAGAGGCAGATGCAGAAGCAGTGTTTGTACTACGGGTTTTATTCGTACTTGTAGCATCTTGAGGCTTATGAATGTGAGTAGTTGTGAAACTTGTCGGAGTTGTTGAATGTAAGCTGCCATGGGAGATCCTAGAAGATTCATGGGTTTCCTGGGTAAGTGAAGTGCTAGCTAAAGATGCCTTATCTTCGGACAATGTCTGCTGTGCGGAGGGTCCGGTAAAAGCTGACGATGAAGACGTGATCCAGTTATCTGTGAAGGCGGTAGAAATCATTTCAGGTGATGGCGGAACTTGCATAGTCGTTTTAAAATCAGTTGATTCATTTTCAACAGCAGCTTGACTTGTGAGGATATGTTCTGGGGCATCTGAAGGGAAGCATAAGCCCCTAGCTTGTGCAATAAGTATTTCAGATTGCCCGACAACAGACTTCCTCCAAGGAGAGGTAGGCGTTGGCGGTGGTTTGGAATATGTCTCCAATGGCGCCTCATCTTTCTGAACGTCTCGAGGTGCATATGATCTTGTGGTCTCTTTTTGACCACTGGTTGTTACATGCACAGTTTGTACTTCAGTTGATGTTACCTGAATGGCTTCTGCCACAGCTTCTGGAACAAATCCGTCGTCGGGGTCCTCATCTGCCTCCTCATCGTCGTCATTGTTAGCTTCAGTATCCTTCCAGCTTTCAAGCATGCGAGTGCCATGAACTCTCACGAGTGAAAGTGGGCAATAGTATTCCTTCCCGTAGTGTGTCAAAAATTCGATGCGTATATACCTTGCCCAGATTTGTGGATTCTCTATCAGAAAAGCTTGTATTTCTCTTGAGTTTCGAGCTTCATAGATACCTAAATCTTTCCACTTGTCTGTCTTTACAGGCCAACGATCGCTGACACTAACACGGAAGGTCCTTAGCATGCTGGAGAAAAATTCGTAATTTGCTAGAACTAGAGTGTCAATCCAAATGTCCTCCTAATTACTTGTCAGCAATGTGAACTCCACTGCAGGTTTCTAAAAAGCGTACCGAAAGCTCAATTATCAGAAACTTATTCGGTGTCTTGCATTCCGAGAGCATGTAGGAGTCCTTGTTCTCTATTAACACAGCTTTCGAGTTTTTTGCACCTTGATGGGTTTTCAAAACAGTGGCACCGGCATCAAATGACGCATATGAAAAACGCTCCTTGCAGGTCTTGCCAGCATCCTTGCTTCTGTGTTGATCTCTCCGATGTCCAGAATCGCTTTTCTCCTTTTGCGAACCTTTAGAAGAATCCACATGGTTGTCTTCCGTCATCCTTGAAGTTTGTTCTGCCGCTCCGCTCCTGAAAGCACGAAAATCCAAATCGATTTCCCCATCGTCGCCCAGGGACTCAAGATTATTTTGGAAAGCTTCCGCCTCCCTTTTCCTAGCTGCTTCCGCGGACCTTCTCTTTCCAAGATTCAAATCTTGCTGTCCAGCCTGCTCTAATATTTGTTTCTTCCACTCCTCGAAAGACAAGAATGAGGCATGATTAAGCTCTCCTTCGTCGACGGTAATTGAAGATGCAGCGGGAGTCGGTATATTTGGAGACGGGCTTGATGATGTGGACTGTCGGGACTCGGAGGTACGGCTGGTTTCCCTTGCGATACCTCCATCATTTGTTTGGGCAACGTACTCGCTGAAAGGTGTGTTCGATACTGTGTCTGTTAGGCCATCATTTCCCTGGCTTTCGGAGGCTCCAACCGCATCGGTAGCTCTGGTCACTGTGGTAAGCGGAGATTCTGTGCCACTCCAAGAGGAGCGGAGGCATTGCTGAGGTAGAATATCTGTTATATAATTGATGGTCCTGAACTCGCATGTTCCAGTAGTATTTGGGACACTAATTATCGAATTTACGCTGGTGGCGGTTGTCACACTGCTCGCAATTATCCTGCTAGGTAGGTTGCAAAGAAATAAAAGCGCAGTTGCTGCCACCATACCTCGATGACCTGCGAAGACCATTCTGACTCGGCCTCATAGTGTTCTGAGGTGAAGGCGGGATGCTTGGGAGGAGTGAGCAAGTGAGTTATTTCGACAATGTGCCAAGGTGTACCGGATGTGATGCAACTGCAAATTTGGGACAATGCACAATCATGAAATTTTGTGGACTTAATTTTGCGGTGAGCAAAATCCAACAAAGACCATAATTTTCTTTGATTCCTTGTTTCTTCTTGCTGTTCGTTTCCTCCCCAAACCTGGGTAAAGTTACTGTTAAAGCTAGACCTTGAAGCGATCCATCTGCTGGCCTCAATTGGTTCCAGGGATATTATATGCACGTGATCCTTGCAACTCATCAAAATTTTCTCCATAATTGTGCATGAACTTTGGCCACGAATCGTGACCCACGGTAGTTTGGGAAGTGGGATGTTTTTAACGCTACTTTCACGATACAAAGCTTTCCACAAATTCAATATAGTGGAGTATCTTCATTTGATGCAAGTACAACAGTGAAACCTTCTGCACTATCAATATGCTGTAAAGTAAATATGTATGCTATGTTGTCAGGGGATGTCTCATGCCCCCTTTCGTTTTCCTCACTGGCAATATACCCCTCCATGCGCAATTACAACGGCTCAATCTCCCTTTCTAACCAACTCATGGTCAATTCATCTCCCTTGAAGAAATCTTTAGTTTTAGAATAGATATCGGCATGATACTCGTTCAACCAGTGCTTTTCTCTTCGAGTCAGAAGAGTCTCATCGATGAGTTTTCGGCAATATGGCACCATTGTGACATGCTCAAAGCCCAAATATGGCTTATCGCCAAATTGATGTTTCGTCTCGACCTCTTTCACCATGATGATGTTCTCAATTCGAATACCAAAAGAGCCATCCTCGTAGTATCCAGGTTCGTTCGATATGACGTTTCCAGGTGCTAATGGAACCTCTGAGTATTGAATCCTGGTCCCAATTCCTATTGGCCCTTCGTGGACGTTCAAATAGGAACCGACTCCGTGGCCTGTTCCATGCCTGTAGTCCAAACCTTCTTCCTATTCAATTGTTAGTACGATAGCAACAATGTTAAATATTTGGACGACTTACCCAGAGGAACTGCCTAGCGAGGGCATCCAGAGCAAATCCACTAGTTCCTTTAGGAAAAACTGCGACGTCTAGAGCAATATTTCCCTTTAAAACTAGCGTATAGGCCTTCTTTTCCATTTCTGTTGGCTCACCGAAATGAAGTGTGCGAGTAGTGTCAGTAGTTCCATCAAAGTACTGAGCCCCAGAATCGCATAGATAAACAGCCTTTGGATCAATTATTGAGCAGTTACCGGGTTCGGGTTTGTAATGAATGACTGCTGCATTGGCTCCTGTAGAGGATATTGTATCAAAGGATAATCCAACAAAATGCTTCTGTTTCGACCGCAATTGTTCAAGTTTGTCAGCCGCAATAACTTCATCCATCTCCACTTTTTCCACTACCAGCTGATGCTCAAGCCATGCGAAATACTCGATAAGTGCTGCTCCATCTCTAATATGGCAAGCTCTCATTCCTTCTAGTTCGGTCTCATTTTTGATAGATTTAGCATCGCCGATTGGACTTCGGACTTCATCGACTTTTGCATCACCTCCAAGAGCGCGTTTCAACGCCCATGATGCCCTGCTTGATACCAAGAACTTCTTAAGCTTGGCGTCTTCCGAGTCCAAAGATTGGCTCAAAACCTCGACGTCGCTAAATATCTTCGAGTATTCTCTGATGGACACACCGTTATCATTGAGATGTGTTATGCATTCTTCGCTTAATTTGCTTGAATCCACGTAAAGAGTGGCGGATGACGGTGTGACTGAAGCGTAGGAAAAGAAAACGGGGTTGTAAGGAATATCGCTTCCACGTAGATTAAATAGCCAGGCTATCTCATCTAGCATGGATACAATAAATCCCGAACTCTTTTTCTTCTGCAATTCCTTTCGGAGATCCTCTAGTTTCGTCTTGACATCTTTCCCTGAAAAACCTCGCGCCAGAACCTTAACAGGCTCCTTAGGGCGGGAAGGTCGATTGTCTCCCCAAACAAGGTCCACCAGATTTTCTTCCACGGCAACTAAGTCGCTTCTAGAACGATCAAGTCAGCATCGCTCATATAGGGTATACATCAGTGCTGCACTTCTGACATTGATGGAGGTAAATGAATTTCTCAAGCTTACCCGCCACGCTTTTTGACCTTTTCTAAGAGCTTTCGAGCGTCAGGTGCAGATATGATAGTGGAATCAACACCAACAACTTTCCCGCTCTCGGACTGTTCAGCTGCCCACTCTTGCCATGTAGGTACATCTTGTAGACCTTGTTTCAAAAGAAGCCAATTGTCTAGATATCACGATTAGTTTCCCGGCACTTCAGTAGCTAAAATAGGAGTTTTGATGGGGAGTTTTAACAAGGCGATGGAGCCAAGTCTACGCCGGGTTACAGTTGAGCAATGGTATCAAATTACTTACTGTCAAGCTGGCGCGAGGCTTGGTTGAAATATCGACCTATGGAATATTCAGTAGGGTCTTTACGCGGACTGATTATCATAGCCTACCATCCGTGGCCAAAGCAGCTTTGTCCAAGGTCACTACCGCGCATCCAGCGGATCCTGAAAACCCCGATATAAATTCCCTCCGCGCATCACACGCTGCAATATACTCCGAGCTATGGCTATCTTCTGAAGGAACGACTATATAACGGTTAGGCAAGGTTAATTCGTAGAAGAGTGGTCGCTATGGTCACTAGGTGACTTACATACTGTAAATATCGACCTTGTTCTTCTTCATAAGATCCCTCAACGCCGCCAAGCGCTCCGTAGTATTAATAGTTTCCATATCTGTTTCTAAGACGTCGTTAGCCCCAAGCGACAACATAGAAGGGTAGTGCTTGGATTTGCAATGCACGTACTTGCGAAAGTAGATGAATATCGAATGCGAATGTTGAGAGTTTGTGCGAAGGGTTGAAAAAAGGTACAAGAACGAATTCCACGTAAGCAAGTATTTAGAGGACGAGAGTATCGCATCGGTTTCCCAAGAAGGTAGGTAGTGAAACAGAAATGAGTGGTTGAGGAAGATGGGGCAGATAACAGCAAGGCTCGGTGTAACTTGAAAGAAGGTACCGGTACGAATATAAGAGATCGATCGGCATCAAGGAACAAGGTAAGATGAGGTAAAGAAAAGTAAAGTAAAGTAAGGCGAGGTTCTTTTATAATCTGATTATCGGATAGTCAGGCTAATTCACGACCTTCCTATGTTATCTTTGGGCTGTTCGAATTCCCTTATAGAGTTAGTGTTGATGTTTGGATAGAGGCATAGTGGAATAATTAATCGGCGAGGCTACTGCTACAATACCACTAGAAGTAGGTAAGATCTTACTACTATCACCGCATTGGCCAGCGGGGTTGATTTGACCCAAATTTCTAAAAGAATCATCTCATCCAGATAAAAAAGGTAAATGCTTGTTCAGAATTGCTTCAATATTCTAAGAATAAAAAAAAAAAAAACCAATAAAAACCAATCATTGAGTTGTATCTAGATAATTCACAAAATTTCCTTTTTCCACTTTTCCAATCAAGTAATGAGAAATCATAAACAACCAACATTGACTTGTTTCCATTTAAGAGGATTGATTGATTGATTGCTTGCTTGATTGTCCACTTTACGAGGCTTGTAAGGCTAGTAGGTGTGGTCGAGAAGGCTGACCAAAGATTCACCGGCCATCAACAAATCCATTTCCAACATTAATTTCTTTCCTTACCACATCATAGATTCTAAAAATTCTGCAGGAAGATCTCCAGAATCTATAAGTTCGATAATTTGGCTCTGGCCATGTATCAAAATCAATCTTCCTCCTAACCTGTGTTGCTTTAGATCCCGTGTTGCTCCCGTTTTGCTTGACTGCTACACAAAGGGTACCTTTGCAAAACGGATATGGAGACCGAGAGATTGCCTTCGTCACTTGATGAGGTAGAAGCTGTAAGTTTCACTCGTTCTATGAATTTATAATACTTTGGTTGGTTGGAAATGGTGAATTATTGGTTCAACAAATTTTCACTGCAAATCCAATCACGAGAGAAACGTGAGAAGTCGAGATATTCTCTACCCGGCAAACCCACTCTTGTTCTGTTTGGTCTCCGAATACAACATCTACTAATGTATTCATAGCTCATCCATCAATTGTACAAGCCTGGTCCTCCCGAGAGAGTGTTAAAGGTTAACGAAACTCTTCAAAAGCTACAGCGTTCTCCTGCTGGTTGGGATTTGGCCGATGGCTTATTAGGAAGAAGCTCGGAAAATGTTAAATTCATTGGAGCATTGACCTTCACCATCAAGCTTAACACAGACTCGTAGGCTGATTCCTATTTCTCTTTTACCATTTCTTCTAATGTCTGTACTTTAGGCAATCTCTAAAAGATGAAGATGCACAAGTTGTGCTACAAAAGATCATCGGATGGCTCATCAAGTGCCTAAATTCTGGCTGTGGGCCACTTGTAATCAGAAAACTGTGCACAACATTAGTCACTTACTTTCTTCATTTCTCTGGCTCTTGGGCTCGTTGTGTTTCTCATCTTACATATTGCCTATGCCTTGGTGAGGCTGTTCCTTACCATAAACTCGAAGATGCTCCTTCTATGGAGATCCTCGCCCAGAGTCTATCAGATGACAAAAATATGGCAATACTGTGGTTCTCCGCAACCTTAGTAGAAGAAGTGGGAAAGACGGATTCAAACTCAATGAAGCAGTATGCATACCACTTTTTGAATAGCCTGAATAGCCACTAACATTCTCTAGACATAAATTCCACGAGCACGTGGTCCAAAATGTTGATGATATTGTCATCATCATGACGAAGGGCATTGTCAATACGACAGGGGCTCCTCTCAACAATAAAATTCGCCAGGAATCAATGAAGTGTTTTCAGGTCAGTCTCAAATTCCTATGCATTGCCACCCATTACCATTAGACGGACATTATGACTGCACATTTCATATTGTAAAGCCAAGATATGCTGAAGCGTCCCAAGGCTGTATCATAACCATACCCGAAAGTCTTGAAAGATCAATGAATTATTGAAAATTACTTGTATAGCTTGATCTTAGACAGGACTAAAAGGCCTTAATCGTGCCAAAGCATGTTCCCTATCCAAGAAACCACTGTTGGACCAATTTCGGAATCATCACTAACATGAACAGTCATGGGTCCTTTACTCTCATCGTGCATTTCTCGATGCCGCCATTATTCTTAATCCTTTGAGAACTCTCACTCAGCCTGCATTGATGCTAATTATCGACGATGACCTTTACGCAATCACCGTAGAGCTGTTCACGGACATTCTAGCCAACTATTCGTCCTTCCTTTCTGAGAACGATTTTGCCATGTTATACGATCTCTTTAGTAGCTCTTGGGCACAGGAAAAATACACAAGATTGATCCAAGGTGATTTTGACTTTGACTCACTGCAATTTGGTCAATTTCTGTTAAGCTTTGGCGATGCTACAGTGCAAGATCTTGCCCAAAATATCACCACCGACCCTCGAAGTCAGCAGATACTCTCGGCTCTTGTAGGACTACTAGGTGCGGATGGTTACATTGTCAGCGAAGACAGGATATTTGTCCCAGCAGTAGAGTTTTGGGCTATTTATCTTGAAACTGTGCTTGACCTGTCATATAACGTTGATGCCTCGCCTGCCTGGCTGCCAGCAGCTCGATCAATGCTGATGCAAGCAATTGAGAAGTGCTGGCATAAAATGCAATTCCCGCCGCAACATATATTCAGCTCGTGGGATTCAAGCGAGCGTGCTGGCTTCAAAGATGCTCGAAGAGACGTTGGAGATCTTATACAGCAATCTTACATGCTACTTGGATTGCCACTTGTTTCATCCTTCGTCGACCTTATCCTAAAATCGGCTGAGAAGGAAAATGCTTGGGGCGAACTTGAAGCTTCGTTAACCTGCTTGGCTGAATTTCAAGACTACATCAAGGAGGAGTCAGACGATTACCTGGACAAAGTTTTTGGATCCCCATTATTCTCTATGCTCGCAAAGTCCGACTCGAATGTTCCTTCGCGTACAAGGCAGGCATTTCTCATGGTTATCAATGGTTACCCGGACTACTTCGAACGCCATGTACAACATCTTCCAAGCGCCCTTAATCTTATGTTTAGCATGCTACATTCACCAACGTTAGCTAGAGTAACATCAAAGTCCATTGCCATGCTCTGTTCATCTTGTCGTAAAGTACTTGTTCCTGAACTTGCTGCATTCCTACAGCAATACAGCGAGATAACTCGAAAAGATTCGATGGAAAGTTACGCAAAAGAAGGTGTCATTGGCGCCATAGCATCGATCATTGAAGCAATGCCAAATGATGAGTTGAAGCTAGATCCTCTCAGGCAATTATTGGATTTTGTCCGGAGGGACCACGAACGGAGCCTTCATTTATTGGGCTCACATTTCACAAACGTAGCCTCAAATATACCTGTACCCGATGGTCAAGTTGCCGCTGATGAGATTGCACTCACTGCGATACGATGTCTAACGAGTATTGGAAAAGGTCTTCAAGTACCTGCCGATACACCCGTTGATCTCAACAGTGATGAAAATAGTTATTCATATTGGAAGAATGGTAATGGCAGAGAAATTCAAGTACAGGTGCTGAGCATTCTCACGGCAACTAATGAAGCTTTCCCTATCCATGGCGAAATCATTGAAGAGATCTCGCATGTTTTCCGCACTGGCCTAGTTGAAGATGACGGCCCATTTGCTTTCCCTCCCGAAGACGTCGCGAAGTAAGCTACCGTTGCGTAGATTCCTATGGTTGCCCTGGTACTAATAGTGTTGCATAGATTTATTTTCAGATCCAATTATCAAACACCTCGTGTTATCACAGTCATCAATACGGCCTGCTCACTTGTCAACTCTTGTAGCACAGCATCAGGGAGGCGTGGTGGTGAAGTGCTGAGTGCTTTATTGACATGGATCTCGGGGCTGATGGAAGCTATCAATCACGGTAGGTCCTCATACTTGAATCCACAGATCGGCAACAGAATCTGGCGAAGTGGAAGAGAACCACTAACTTTGACAAATTACAGAGCCCAGCAATGATCCCGAAATCTCCCAACCAAGTATCGAATTTCTTCATCGTCTAATCGCTACCCCAAAGAATCTCAACATCCTCCTAAACCACGAACCCAAATCCTCCCTTGAACAAAGTTTCATGTTCACCCTCAAAGCCCTCACAGGCCGCGATCCACTACCCAAACAAAGTGCCGCCGAATTCTGGGTAAGTAAAAAGCACCATCCCTCCGCTTCCACAAAAACAACCTCCACAAACACAAACACAGGAATCCAAAAACTAACCAGCCGCAAGTCCTCATTCGTATCCCTCCCCATCAATAACCCAGACCCTCACATCCAACATGCCATCACCAACGCACTACAACATCTCGGTCCCCTCCTCTCCCAAGCACTCATCTACAACATCGGTGGCGCAGCCGCTCGCAGCGAACTCGATAAACTTTCCGACCCTCTGCGTAAACTTGTGGTTAGCCAGGTGAGAGCGAAAAGTTGGCTAGAGGCTGCACTGATGGATGGGAATTTTCCCAGTGACAAGGTAGATCAGAAGGAGAAAATGGTGTTTTTGTCAAAGGTTATTAAGTGAGTTGTCTCTATCTGGAGTTTGTGTGATAAAAGTTGTAATGTAAGCTAATTTTATGCAGTCTTCGTGGTGCCAAGGGAACGAATGCGGTGGTTAGGGAATTTTGGTTAGCATGCAGAGGGTCGAATTTCGCTTATGTTTCTTGAGGTAGATTGGTAGAAATATTCGGAATAAAAGATGAATGATTAAGTAGATAGGGGGAGAATTATTCCACAATCGAGATATACATTTTCCACATGGTATTGTATTGTACAAAATTGTACCCATCAATCAATTTTAAATAGAAACAATCTTCTTTCCGATGTAATGTTAAAATCTTACTCTTCCATACCTCTTTTCTATTTTCCATCCAGATTACAATGAAGACCTCGAATCTCACTCTAGAAGTAAAGATCTAGAGACCTCAAATCTAAAAACGCATAAAAGCCGCCATGGCGAAAGTCGTCCCGAAAGAAACTTTAAAAGCAACATTTTCTTGGATGGCAGAACGTAAATCAACGTGTTTGATGTAGCGTTGGATACGATCTGTGGGGATGAGGTTGAGGCCGTGGGTGGAGGCCCACTGGAGGGGGTTTGTTAATAGGGCTGGTTTGGTGTTGTTAGGATGGGGGGTAGGATGGGTGTGTGGGTTAGAGGAGGGGAGTGGAGGGGGTGAGGATGAGGAGAGATAGGAATAGAGGAAAAGTAAAAAATAGACGTACTTGTAAGCCGACAATCATTAATCCAATTATGAGTGCTAATGACCGTGAAAATGTACTAACTGCCAGTCCGGCTCCTAATCCTGTAGTTTGATTGTGTGTTAGTATCATTTCTTTATATCTATCTTTTCCATTTCCATTTCCATTTCCACTTCAATTCCCTCCTTTCCTCTCCACCTAGACACATTTCCCATGTCATCTCATCTCACCCCCTACCAATCCTCAACAATTTCCCTCTATCTCCTCCTTCCAAACCCCCTAGATCCCCAAAAATACAAAAACAAATAAAACATACCAATAATACTCCCACTACTAATCTGCCTCACAGCCTTAGGATCCAAACCCCCGCCTCTCTTCACAATCGGTGTAGAGGAAGAATCTAATCGAGCAGGAAAACGATGCGATTGGAGCAGTGTGTAGGAACTATATGTTGTGAGGCCTAGGGCGGATGCTGTGAGGCGGGGTCGGAGGAGGAGACGGGACATTTTGGGGGTTTTTGGTTTTGGTTTTTGATGGGGGAGGGGGGGTTGAGGGTGTGTGGATGGATGGACGGGATATGCGATTGATGGATAGTGATTTTTTGGTGATGTTTGATGTTTGATTGTTGATTTGTATTTCATTGATCTGTGAAGTTTATGTTCTATGAGTAGTGAGTTCAGTGACGTACGTCATGATATCGATAACGATAAGGAATGAGGGGCAGAAGAATTATTTTCGAATTTTTATTTTTCCTCGAGTCTTGTCATTTTTGACTTCTACTTATCAGGTACTTATTATTTCTACACATGAAAACAGAAGCTTTATTCATAATACTACCATAATAAAGAGACGAGACGAGATAGTTGGGATCCTCATTATCAGCAAAACTCCTCTAGTTAAATAGTTGAAACTTGATGTATATAAATCATGACTCCGAGTCCCAACATCTAGAAACTCCATACCAAGAATCCGATCACCGGACAATATCCATATGATTTATTTATTTGTCGTATTCGTATTTGATATTGTTAGCTAAGCCAAATACCCAACTCCTAAAACCGGGGCTCTTTTTTATATTTATTACATCAATATCAGCAGCTATCCCCTTGAGACATCAGAGGATACATTCTTACCCTCTTACATATTACATCAAATCTCGCAAACTCCTGCACACGCCCTTTGGAAGACTTTCTATGATTATATAACCTACATGAATGCATACACCGTATACAACCTCGCAAACTCCTTCCCCGATCCCAACCGTATCTACCCACAATGGCACCTACCCCTCGATCGCGCAAAAGAAAGACGCATAAAGAGGGTCCGGGTAATGCTAGCAGCAAACTCCAACCCCAACATTATACTAGACCACATATATATGTAACTCTACCAATCAATCATTCACATCATAATATACCTATGCAAATCCTATAATACATATAATATAACCAAAGAAAAAGTTGCCGCAAGTCAAGTCAATTGTCAAATCAGTTAATTTAATAAGTGCCTACCTAGTAAAATGAGGCTAAATAAACTTTTTCTTTTCCCTTTGTCTCGTCTCGGCAGCACTACCGATCGGAGACACCTAGTAGATGTGGTGGGTGAATTTTACGACTAATAAGCTTTAAGCATACATTAAGACTTTTGAGATTTTGACCTACCACATACAGATTGGAAGATAAAATGGAAGAGTCATATGCTAGATAGAAATCTTGGTTGTTTAATTAGTCAAAAAAAGTATTTTCGAATTAGAATTCGGAATTCTTAGTTTTCTTTTCTTTCTCCGTCGACCTAGTTAGTTACTTACTCATCTTCATTGGACTTTATTTGAATACATATATACCTTGGGATTGTATCCATTCGATTCTGTTCAATTGACTTTGCTCTTGTACTTCATCTTTTCATCTCTCTTTTTCTCTCTCTCTCTATTACTTTACTTCTACTTGCATACAATTGCTTACTTTAGAACTTACCTCACCTCACTTCACTTCACTTCACTTCACTTCATAACAATACTAAACCATACCAACAAAATGTCCAACGAACTCCCCACCACCGCCACCAACGGAAATGGACACGGCCACGGCAACAATGTCTCCTCTACCTTCACCGTCAAGGCCGGTCTTGCGCGTATGTTAAAGGGAGGTGTAATTATGGATGTCGTCAACGCCGAACAAGTACGTATACACCACACCCAACAATAGTATCCCACAAACCCAAAACCACCACTAACAACCCCACCATAGGCAAGAATCGCAGAAGAAGCAGGCGCAGTAGCAGTCATGGCACTCGAACGTGTGCCAGCTGATATTCGAGCTCAAGGAGGTGTAGCCCGCATGTCTGACCCAAAGATGATTAGAGAAATCATGGAGACAGTTACTATACCCGTGATGGCCAAGGCAAGAATCGGTCACTTTGTAGAATGTCAAGTTAGTTACCCTTCCCTTCCCTTGCCCCACCCCAATCCCCCCTCCAATCCAAATCTAAAAACTAACACTTCTCCCTCCTCCCCACCAGATCCTCCAATCAATCGGCGTAGACTACATCGACGAATCCGAAGTGCTCACCCCAGCCGACGCCCTCCACCACGTGGAAAAACACCCCTTCACCATCCCCTTCGTATGCGGCTGCCGCAATCTCGGCGAAGCCCTCCGCCGCATCTCCGAAGGCGCAGCCATGATCCGCACCAAAGGTGAAGCCGGCACCGGAGACGTCATCGAAGCCGTCCGCCACCAACGCCAAGTAACCTCCGAAATCCGCGCCGCATCGCTCATGTCCGACGAGGAGCTCCGCATCCTAGCAAAGGACATCCAAGCACCCTTCGAACTACTCAAAGAAACCGCGCGACTGGGACGACTTCCCGTGGTAAACTTTGCCGCGGGTGGAATCGCCACTCCTGCCGATGCGGCACTCATGATGCAGTTGGGATGCGATGGTGTGTTTGTCGGGAGTGGGATATTCAAGAGTGGGGATGCGGCGAAGAGGGCACGGGCTATTGTGCAGGCTACGACGCATTTTAATGATGCGAAGGTTTTGGCGGAGGTGAGTGAGGATTTGGGTGAGGCGATGGTGGGGTTGAATTGTGGGACTATGGATCCTAAGGAGAAGATGCAGGGGAGAGGATGGTAGGTGAGTGAGAGAGTGAGTGATGTTTTGGAAGGAGTGAGTCAGGGAGGAATAAGGAGTGAAGGGGAAATGATGGGAAGAATGAAATGAATTAAAGAAGATACAATGATTTGAATGAATGAATGGAGGGAGGTGCGGTTGGTTATTTGTTTGTGCGATTGGTTCTATGGATAAAATAGGGAAAGAGAAAAAGGTCTATTCGGCATAGCATCACGTCAATTGGCACGGTATGCATAGAGGCATGGAAGAATAGGTTGTGTGCATACCTAGAGATTCTCAACTCATCTACAAAATGTAATATTTAAAAAGCTCTACAGTAGAAAGTAGCCAGCACATAACTTTTCGTGTCCCTCAAGTGTTTATTTTCTAACTTCGTGGTATTCCTCAATCCTTTAACGCCATTTATATTCATGGTTCCTCCCACCGTATCGCCAATCCTTCACATATTCTAGTTTTGATCCCAAGAGTTCAAGTTCTTCAACTCACAACCTTCACCTGATCTCTTGACCAGTCTTCCAATGGTAAAAACCTTCTCGCCAGACCCTTCCAATTCGCTAATCACCTGTTCCACGTTCTCCTTGCTAACAACTGCCACCATTCCAATACCCGTGTTGAATGTTCTAGCCATCTCGCTAGCTGTGACGTTACCTGCACTCTTCAACCATTTGAATACTGCAGGTAATTGCCAAGTAGCAACGTCGATCTCGGCAGCTAGGTGAGAAGGTAACATTCTAGGGACATTCTCGGTTAAGCCACCACCAGTAATGTGAGCCAAGCCCTTGAGTAAGTGCTTTTTGGTAACTTTAAGTAAAGAGCGCACGTAGATGCGAGTAGGTGTTAGGAGACTTAGTCCAGCTGTTGTTGAAGGATCCCATGGAGCAGTGGCTGTGTAAGCGAGCTTCTCTCTCTCAAGGATTCTTCGCACGAGAGAGAATCCATTGGAGTGGACTCCTGCAGATGCTAAACCAATAAGGATATCACCTTCTGCCATGTTCTCTGTTTTCGGTAATCTGTATTCCTTCTCCATGACTCCGATAGCAGTACCTGCGGCATCGTAATCGTCTTTTTGGTACATACCGGGCATCTCAGCGGTTTCACCACCGACAAGTGCACAGTTGGCGTCTTTGCATCCGGCAGCAACACCTTCGACGAAAGCTGCTGCGTTCTCAAGCTTCAACTGGCTGCAGCCATAGTAATCGAGGAACATGAGTGGTTCAGCACCTTGAACAACTAAATCGTTCACATTCATGCCAACCAAGTCAATGCCAACTGTGTCATGTTTGTTCATGGATTGTGCAATCATGAGTTTAGTACCCACTCCATCAATGGCACCAACCATGATTGGAGCACCTGAATAACCAGCAATATGTTGATCAACCTCTCCACCAAAACCACCAATCTCGGCATCAGCTCCTGGTCTTCGGGTGGAAGCAACTGCTTTCTTGATACGCTCAACAAACTCGTTACCAGCATCAATGCTGACACCTGCGGATGCGTATGTAAGTGCTTCCTTAGTAGCAGGAGTAGATCTAAATGCGCGATGAGCAATATCTTTGCGGTAGAACATTTTGTCAAACTTGATGAAATCGACAGTGGTGTAAGCGTCCTTTACGGCCTGCTCCAAAGTCTCTGCGACTGCTTGTGCTGCAATAACACGTCCGCCAGATGTTTGTAATTGTCCATCTTTCACGACGGTACCAGCATGAAATATATTGGAACCGGCTGGAGGGGTCTTGACTTCCATAGGTGTACCTTTGGCATATGATCCTGGGTATCCGCCAGCAGCTACCACGACAGTTGCACTGAATTTTTGATCGACCTTGATATCCACTTCATCGAGGCATCCTTGAGTACATGCCAGCATGATTTCTGCAAGATCCGTGTCTGCACTCAACAATGGTAACAAAGTTTGTGTTTCTGGGTCGCCAAAGCGAACGTTGTACTCCAAAGTTTTTGGTCCATCCTTGGTTATCATCAAGCCAGTGAAAAGAGTTCCAATGAAATTGGTACGCTCTTTTCTCATGCCGCGAAGTGTAGGCTCCAATACGGTCCGTTCGATCTCTTCGATCAATTCTTTGGTAGCAATATTAGTAGGCGCATAGCACCCCATGCCTCCAGTATTTGGACCCTTATCACCATCGAAAATTCTCTTATGATCTTGAGCAGGGGGCAAAGACCGCATGTTGTAACCATCGCAGAAAGTGAGAATACTGAGCTCATCACCCTCCAGAAACTCCTCGATGACAACCTCATCTCCAGCATCCCCGAACTCTCGGTCAAGCATAATATCCTTTAGGGCCTGGTGAGCTTCTTCTTTCGATGTTGGAATAATAACACCCTTTCCAGCTGCCAATCCACTGGCCTTAATGACAACATTATGACTTATGCTATCAATATATTTTCGCGCATCTTCGTAATTCGTAAAGTTCTCGTAAGCTGCAGTTGGGATGTTGTACTTCTTCATAAAATCCTTCGAAAATGCTTTGCTGCCTTCCAAACGCGCAGCAAGTTTTGATGGTCCGTAACAAGGTATGTCTGCTGCTCGGAAATAATCTTCAATTCCATCAACGAGGGGCGCTTCTGGCCCTGGTACTACCTATACGGGGAAGTCAGTAATTGCTTGTCAGAGAGTCTTTCGGAGGCAATAAAACATCCAGTAGAGTCGACAGTCAAAAGATATCGTATAATAAAATGAAACCAAGCATTCTCGAGACATTCTTGTAGATTGGAATCGAGGGATACGGAATCAGACTCACCAAGTTAACACTGTGCTTCTTAGCCAATGCAACAAGTCCGGGATAATTATCTGCCTTGACGCTGGAATCGTTGGAAACCTTTGGGCAATTTGCGGTTCCTCCATTCCCTGGGACTGCGATTATGGACTCAACGCGGGGAGATTGGCTGAGTTTCCAAGCCAAAGTATGTTCCCGACCACCATTTCCGACAAGGAGGATTCGAATGGGCTCCATTGTGAAGTTTTCTTTACGGTATTGAGATATTTACTGTATGAAAAAAGGCTGGAGACAAAAGAAGAAACTCTATCAGGGTGCAATCATTTTGTGCCCGCTAGTGCCACCGCCTGGCAAAATTCTCTAACCCCGCCAATATCCATAACATTCAACCCACGTTACCCCTCCATGATTTAACCGATTACATTTGAAGTTATTTGAGCCCACGACGGTACTAGGTAAATACTTCATTATGTCATGTTATATCAATACCAATATCCGAATTAGATTCTTATAACAATGTATTTTAGTCCAAATCATATCTTCAAGCCTCTGCCATTCGTTTGAAGAATGTATTGTATCACCAAAATATACTACAGGTGAATGTTGAAAAAGTTCATCCAACCATGCACAGTGAGTAAGAGAAATTTTGAATGGGTCACCACAGCGCGTCAACATGGTTGATAGCAAGCGAACAAATCATGTTATTTTTATCCCCATTTCAACATTCTTGCAGCAAGTCTAATCGTGACTGTCATTAGAACGGAATTTTTCTCGGTTTATAGCGATATCGGGCAAGGCTGATGAAAAAGGTCACCGTGCGGTTGTTGAATGATTCGATAACACTTGATTTTTGTGCCCAACCTCGAATTTACCTCCAGTCTCGATCTTCTAAAACATCTTCATCAAAATGATTACCATAAGTCCGTCATCTCTATTCCCTCATTAAACCTCGCACAAACCACCTTTCAAGTCATTTGGATCATTTCCATCGATGCTAGACACTCCAAACTGACATCCAAATAGAAGTACCCTGTTCCTCGGCGAACATTGGCCCTGGATTCGATGTTATAGGTCTCGCTCTCTCCATATGGCTCGAGTTAAAGGTCGAGGTCACACCATCGATCACATCCCAAGCACCCCTCAATTGCAAAATCACATATGAAGGACAAGGCGCGGAAGAGGTTCCCTTGACCGCTGATAGCAATCTCATTACACGAACAGCACTATATGTTCTGCGATGCCACGGACAGAGGAGCTTCCCTTCCGAGACTTCGGTTCATATCATTAATCCCATTCCATTGGGGCGCGGACTTGGGTCATCTGGTGCCGCGGTGGTAGCTGGTGTTGCATTAGGCAATGAAGTCGGAAAGTTGGGGTTGTCAAAGGCTAGAATGTTGGATTATTGTCTTATGATAGGTATTGCGCCATTGCCCGTCGAGCTCGACATATCTAACGCCTCATACAGAGAGACATCCAGACAACGTAGCCGCGGCATTGTATGGAGGATTTGTAGGAACATATCTCAACGAATTAAGCGCTGAAGACACAGAACGCAAAGAGATTCCACTCAGTGAAGTTCTACCTGAACCGGCCGGAGGAGTAGATACCGGGTCCAACCCTCCCGAACCACCAGTTGGAATTGGGCACTACATGAAATTCCCTTGGGCGTCAGAGATTAAAGCTATTGCAATCATTCCACAATTCGAAGTCGCTACAGCAAAGGCTAGAAGCGTCCTACCATCTTCATATTCCAGGTCGGATGTCGTTTTCAATCTTCAAAGAATTGCTCTTCTGCCTTCGGCTCTAGGGAGGTCACCACCTGATGCAGAGCAGATCTATCTTGCAATGCAAGACAAAGTGCACCAACCTTACAGGAAAGGTCTGATTCCAGGTCTACCAGAGATCCTGCAATCTGTCACTCCTAAATCTCACCCAGGCCTCTGTGGAATATGCTTATCAGGAGCTGGTCCAACTATTCTTGCGCTTGCAACTGAGAATTTCGATGCAATTGCAAAGGTCATACTAGATACATTTGCGAAGAATGATATCAAGTGCGATTGGAAATTGCTAGAACCTGCACAAGATGGTACAACAGTAACATACAGCTGAAAAAACGGATAATGGCAAACGTTTGGTCCTAAAAAATAAGTTCGTTTGGAGACATGAGGAAATCTCAAGACACAGATGTGCTATCTTGGCTGATTAAGCCGAGTCTCATGCTAGAGAGGCAAAAATTACTTCACCTAGCATAGAATATCAATGTCTGTACATCCTAATATAAGTCGAATTCCACCCAGACTTGTACAAGCCATGAACCATATACGCCTTCCCTATAACGAAAATGGATTCCCTATCCAGACAAGCTAATTTGACAAGATTTCGGAAGCAATTCAAAAGCAATTACAAAGCGTTCTAGCATGTAATTATCATAGTTCAACCCAAACCACCCCATGCACCTCGGATACGTCTAGCGAGCTGTATATCTTTCTGCATAATTGTAACTCTCTTGGCATGAATAGCACACAGATTCGTATCTTCAAACAGATGGACAAGAAATGCTTCAGCAGACTCTTGGAGTGCCTGAATAGCTTGTGATTGCCAACGCATGCCCTCACCTTGAGGACGCACGGAGAGAGCGATTTCCCTGACCTAAAATCACGGCATGTTAGGTCCCGCCCCGCAATGTTCGTTGGGGTAAAAATACATACCAATCGTGAAAAGGGAAGTTTTAGAAGTAGCAGATCTGTAGACTTTTGAAACCTGCGAATTTCCTTCAAGGCTAGGGTACCAGGCTTATAACGGCGCTTCTTCCCTTGGGGAACTGGATCTCCAGCTATCCACGTCAATTGTGTTAGTACACTGAACTTAATTGGAACAACCTCTTTCTCTCGATTGGATTCCGAAATGGACCCTTATAAACCGCGCGCGCATATCGCGCAAGCCCACAATCGCCAAAAAAAACAAACAAAATCCAGCTTACCTCTAACGGCAATTTCACTTGGCCTCTTGCCTACAGCTCCTTTCCCCGCGACGGATTTTCCAGCCGGTCTGCCTTTCGTTTGCGGGCTACTTGCTGCTGATTCTTCTTCCAGCGATAAACGCTGCTTTTTCTTCTGAACTTGCGACATTGCGACTCTTAGTGGCAATCGAAAATTTTACAATATTCTTCGCCGGATATGTTTTACACGGATTGCTCAACTGATGATTGTTATGCGATTGTTGGAAAATAGTCTAGTGGCTGGAATGGGCTTTGAAGACGCGGTTTGGCGCAAATATGCGCGTTCGAGTTTGTGGTTGGGTTAGGAGAAGGACGTCAATCCAATTGAAGCCAAGAGATCTAATAGGATCCGCGCGAGTTGACTGTGCCAGGAATTCGAGTCCGCGAATTTAGAAAGGAATGTATTCGACTTATCAGGTTTGGTCTAGTCTGAAGTTGAATATCGATGTTAGGAACCACAGCAACCTTATTTACAAAGCTTGGACCAATCGGTCGAATCATGGCACAATTATGGCTGAACAAGGCTGAAACTCTTAGCCTCGCATTATCAATTAGGGTTATCGCCCGAAGTGCCGCGGGACGTTTTAAGATTAACAATCGATTGATACTCCTTAGTACAGGACAACTTGCTCAAACAACGTCATGACCTACAAATAAGAGCGCAACCCACGACACATCTTCGAGAAACACATCTACTACAGTAAAATATCTAGCGTCTTCTCAAGTCATAACAGGAAATATTCAAAACTGTCCGACACACGTTTATCCCAGGACCTGAAAATACTTAACAACTCGATAACGCAATACACTCTCCTCTCATTTTCACATTCAAAGCCCGAGCCTGATTGTCGCATTACTGCCATCAATCCCCAAATATCCAACTATGGATCAGATGATGGGGAATGGGGAGGGAGGAATAGGGGGACAAGCTGGATTTCCGCTAGAAACTTGGTTTTGGGAAATGCCGGTTTGTACGAGATGGTGGACGACGGCGACCGTGATTACGAGCGCGCTAGTTCAGTGCCAAATCGTTACTCCCTTTCAGTTATTCTATAGTTTCAGAGCTGTTTTCGTTAAATCGCAGGTAGGTTTTTCCTCTTTGCTGCGCATTCGAATTCCATATTGCGAACTTCGCTGATTTCATATACCAGTATTGGCGCCTCTTAACGACGTTTATATACTTTGGTCCTCTATCACTAGATCTCGTTTTTCATGTCTTCTTCCTAACCAGATATTCGCGACTTCTCGAAGAATCCTCCGGGCGATCAGCAGCGCAATTTTCATGGTTACTCCTTTACGCAACAACATGTCTCATCCTTATAAATCCTTTAGTCTCAATGCCATTCCTTGGACACCCCTTATCCTCGACTCTTGTATATATTTGGTCGAGAAGGAACCCTGATACACAATTAAGTTTTCTCGGATTACTAGTCTTCACGGCTCCATATTTACCTTGGGTCTTGATGGGGTTCAGTTTAGTTTTGCATGGAACGGTGCCAAAAGATGAGATGATGGGAGTCGTTATTGGCCATATTTGGTATTTCTTCAACGATGTTTACCCACCTTTACACAATGGACACCGCCCATTTGATCCACCAATGTTCTGGAGAAGATTGTTTGAGAGACGGCCAAGGGAGGAGACGGCCAATGCGATTAATAACGATATTGCAATGGCAGCAGCACCAGCACCGGAAGTCAGATAGAAAAATATCAAAGATCATGTGGATTAAATTGCATAGGGAGGCGTTTAGGAATTAAGAAGAAATTGGGAGCGGACAATTAGCCTTAGCGGGCATAGCGTTAAGGCCGCCTGGATAGGTTTGGTAGATGGGCTGGCAGCGATTTGCTTTATTCGTACTGTTATATTCTTACGCCGAGGCTTCAAGGCTGATCACATTGCAGTTAGAAGCAAGAATTACTATATTTTCATTGTATTATTAAACTTATTGATAGGGTATTTAACTTTGTCATGAACTGCTCTCTGCATCTGACTCTACTTTGGATGAATTTGTTGCAGCCCGCACCGTAGCTCGATCCTCCTTTGTTTTCGCAGCCATATCCGCATCCCGGGCATCGTCCCAATCCTCTTCATTATCAAGCTCATCAGGAGCTGCAGGATGATGTAAATGCTTCCAATCCTCCAATTCTTCTATAACTGACCGCAACCGATCTCTAATACTCTCAATAGCATAACTCCCCAAAAGTAATCGCAGAGGAGGGTAAGAACAATGACCCAACTGCCAAACCAACTGGGCGCATTTTTTGGCGCTCGTAGGCTGTTTATCTCCTAACCATTGAACCATCCTCTTCGCGTGCAGTGCTGGCGAAGATGGATCGGAATATGGTTCACTTGGAGGCTTGATCAGAAAATGTCCCCAAGTAGGTAGCGGGCTCGAAGCCCATTCCTTTTCATCTCTCCTAACCAAACCTGGCTCTACTAATGTAGCTTTTATATTAAATGCGTCAATTTCGTAAAGCATCGCTTCGATCATTCCTTCCACCGCATACTTCGTCGCGCAATATGGTCCCAGTCCCGGAACACCCAATGCGCCCGAAGTACTGCTAAAAATTAAATATCTTCCCGCTTTCTGCTCACGAAAGTATGGTAAACTCAATTGGATAATATGTACTGTGCCCATGAAGTTCGTCTCGAATTGATTATGTATCTCGTGCTCGTCCTGATCTTCGCATGCGCCGATGACGCCGTATCCTGAGCAATTGGCTATAACATCGATGCGCTTAAACTTTTTAAGAGCTTGGGATATCACGGCGGAAACAGATTCTCGGACACGCACATCACAGAGCGTATTAAAGCAGTTTGATTGCGGGAATGTGGTCTGCATTAATTCGAGTGTATTTTCGTTTGTGCGACCCACGGCAACCACCTTGTCGTCTTTCTCAAGACATGTTCGCGTGAGACTTTGACCCATATGTCCAGTGGCGCCGAATACCTAAGAATCAGTCAGTAAAATGGAAGCTGCGGGATGAAGATTAATGGATAATCTATCTGACAATGTGCAGTTGAATACACTCACCACCCAAACCTTTGACTTCGGTGGCTTATTTGGTAGCGGAGGGTCACAGCTCAAGGGGAGTTGTAGTTTAACTTTTTTACTACCATCAGAATTGGAAGTATTGTTTTCGATGCATTTGGTATATGAGGGAGACATGCTGTCGCGGGAATGGTTCTGAGGGGCGTTCTGTCCTGATAATGGCATTGAACCCTTGTAGTCGCGCTCGACATCGGGAGTATCGGCAGAGCCTTCCATTTCCTTAATTTTCTTTTCTCTTATCTGCCTTTGTATAATATTTTGGTGCTGATTCGTAAGTCATGGTTGACAATGTCGTGTCGTGTTACTGCTGCAGGTGGTGATTTTGGGGAAACTAGGGAGCCAATAGCGGGGTAAGCTGCATTTCTCAAAAGTTTTGTTGCATATCTGACAGCTTTGACAACTTTGAGGTTTGCTGATCTTAGAAGACACTGTCTCGGGATTTTGAGAGAGAATTGGCGTTTTGGTAGGAAATTCGCTATCGGTTTGTTCACAAGCTCTTATCGGTTCCCGAAGATCTCATCTTATCTTTTATGTCTCCATTCACTACCTACCTAAACAGCATGGCATGATCAACCTCGGCATATTTCTTTATCTTGATGGTTAGTCGGTGACTGTGAAAGCTGTCGATGGGATAGTAAAATAGACAGACGGGATGATACCCATGAGCTGGTGGTTTAATGACCAGCTTGACTTTTATTGTGTTGAATTTTGATGCGACGCAGTAAAAGTACTATAATTGTAATCCATATACAAAATGCCTTGAAAAGTTCGAATGGTATTCTTGCTGCCTATCATAACATGCTTCCATATCCCGCTTGTTGCGCTGTCGTTTTCTCATTATCGCTATTCTCTTCCATAGAGCACCCTCCACCATCCATTCCACCATCATCCACCCCACGCTACTGACTGGCAATTGCAGGAACAGTCTGCAGATACTCCTTGCGGTATGGATTGGCATCTACTTCTGGACCACGGTTCAGGGGTGTCCATTTGGGCTCCTCCTTGAACAGTCTCATTGCTTGGATGTACTACTCCTCCGTTAGTAATGGTAAAGACAGGAAGAACATCATAAAGGGAACCGTACATTCTTGTCATCAGTAGTAAAACGATGGTAAATACCAGCCGGGAGAATCTATCCACCAAGTCAATCCTTATTCTGACGCAGTTCCAATGTATTATGATCACTTACGATCAAATCGTCCTTCTCCAACCTAATGCGCACCCACTCATCGCCCTCACTTCTAACATCGAAAAATCCCGCACCATCTCTTATATATCTAATTTCCTCATCCTCATGCAAATGCTCATTAAAGAACATCTTGACCTTCTCCTCGTAAACATCGCCCATTTTCTGTGGTGAAACGGTAATTACATCGCGATTCTTGTAGCTTCTGTCCGAGGCGAGCTTGTCGACATCCTTTTCGTCTGCGAAGTGATAATAGAGAACCCCAAGCTTCTCCAAGTATTCAGGATCAACGTCGCGACCTGAGTCATGAAGTTCGCGTTGGTCGCCCTGTAGTGAAATGTTTGTTACTAAGAGTGATCGGATATGGAGGGGTAATGTAGTGGGGACAAGGGGTAATTCACCTCCTTGTTGTCAAACCAGTAAGCTCTCATTTTGGTATCTTAATTGACTAGTGAGTAAATCGTCCTTGAATATAGACTGGATGGAATTGAGCGCAGTATTATGCTTCAAATGAGAATAGTAACATAAGATAAGTGGTTTCCTTTGTCTTCTGTTGGTTTGGATAAATAAATATCAAAGCGGAGAGCTGACTTAAATATAGAAATCCCTACGAAAAGTCTGCGCCCGATGAGGTTGACGCCATTCCCTCACTCATCCACACACATCGTTGCAAAATCACATTGCATTTAACGGGGCAGTTCATTCAGACTATAATCCTATCGATTAATCTTTTCGAATACATTCACCTCGTGGACAGTGAATGAAAAGAGGCTATCAATCAGCAGATATATATTTTTTTTTACATATTATCTTCGTCTGATTTCAGTTTGCACGTCATCGTCATCGTCATCACAGATTCCGAAATGTTTGCAGGGGTGCTTACCGAAATCTTCAAGCCCACACAGCCAGATTTGTTACCCTTTTATCTTTATTCCCACCTTTCTATCTACGCATCAATACAAATGCAAGTGCAGATTTAGATAGCTCCTTAGGAAGTTCATCGATTGTCAAGTAAGGGAAGCTGAGCAAAGATGCAAAGAAGAAAGTTCTTTATATTCTGCAAGCAGAAGGATATCTTCAGTAATCTCGCTGTCTAAAGGTGCAGCGACAACACAAGTACATGGTGGAGTTGGGATGGTTACTAGCTGTCATAGTGTTTTCCGCTTACAAGTTTTCTCCATGTGAAATGCAAACATTGAGGATGCATTCCGTACGGAGATGGCGGTGATGTATTGGCCTCATCTCTTAAAGCATAATTCCCTGATATCCACAATAAGATATCAATTGCATTTTTAACAGATATTGATGAGCCTTGGCCTATCCGAGAGAATGAGGGAAGCAATTGCTTCTGGTTGATCCTGCGGTGGGAGGTGTGAGACAGGGTGGGTGGGAGACGCAGATTGAGTTTCATGCAGAGGTTGTAGATGCAGTCCGTTGATTCTCAAGGATTATGGAGATTATTTTAGTATATTTTACTTACACGAATCTACGAATCAGAGGAAATGAATCCAATCAGCCTTGGGGTTGCGTAAGTAAGTGCTCACACTCCCCGTCAATTCGTTGATTCTGTAATGTGGAACTGAAATTATTGTATACGCGAGTTTCCAATGTACAGTCACAAGTATGTCTATATCAATTCTTTCCGGAGAGGAAGATGTTAGATTACTATATCAGTCTAAGGACGAGTGCATGTTCACAGAAAGTCCAAAATTCTTATTCACAGAATATTACCATAATGAACGTTACCCAGTTCACACCACAAGGAAAGGTCTCTGTACGCTTCAGTGCCGTTACATTCGAAGATCCGGATCTGAATATATATCTGAATCCAGTGATACCTGTTTAAGCCCTTAGCAACAATAGAAATCTACACGGAAATTTCCTTGGTTCTTCACGTTACACATTATCCCGATTAATTTCATGAGCTTCGTTTTGCTAGAAATAGTATCCTCAATATCCTTTGGTAAACTACCACCAGTATAACCAACAAATGACATGTGCCTGACCAAATTGGGAAAGCAGTCCAGGCTCTCATATACATCAATGATTATTGATGGAGGAATAAAGTCGGTATCCAAATTTCCGGAAATGTTTACCAAATCGGCAAGTGGGCGGTCCTCGTGGTGGAAGGACACAACAAGTCCAGCATAGATGTTGAACTCTAGAGCTCATGCAAAGTTGGCGGCATGGCATAAAAATGAGTGCAACAAAGATCCTCTCGCCTTACATGTAGTTGACCATAGTCGGTTTGCCTCTGAGAGATGGTACAAGTTGGTAGGCGGCGTTGGCGGCGAAGCTGCAGAGATTGACATGCGCTGGCTTCGGGATACCAGTAGAGCCTGGTGTATATAGAATGAGGAAAGGTTTGTCCTTCACCTCAGCGAACTCCCGGCGATGAGAACTGAGAGAAGTCTACATGATGATTAGGTTCCCTTCGCAGGGGATAAGAGTGGTAAAAGTCTACAATATGTCCCACTTGCACATTCCTAATATAAGTATGAGGTAGCAAAGATCTCCCAGGTCCCATGCAGAGAACGACTGTGGGACCCCATCCCATCAGTAGCGCATCAACCAAAAAAGCATATCGATTCACAGCCGTGAAGAATGATTCATAATCAATGTCGATAGAGCCTTCTTCTAAGTTTGCAGATTTCAGAAGAGAGGTATATTCGTTTAGTATCAGAATATGCGATCTCATCGACTAGCTGGGGCAATAATCGCCGTTCAAATTCTGGTAGATTGGCTGGAAATCCCATCTTAGAAATTAATGCTTAAATTCTGGTGAGTCTACTTAATCCAAAGACTGCTATGATATTTGAGGAAAGGAAGGAGGAAAGGAACACAAGCTTTAATATATTCACAGTCAGAAACGGATTTTAGCTTTTGAAACAGCGGGGTAAAATCTTCAACGCTTCATCTGTACTGCAGTGTAGCCAAGAATGGATGAAGTAAGCATTGTGGCGGGGTATCGCAATGCAATCCACTTGCATATCGAAGCGGGATGTTTAAATGTCTAGCATATCATAAAGTCTATTGGTTATAACACATGCTTTCCTGGTGACACAGCATTGGACCTCCTGGAGCCATTGTACTCGTAGGTCACAGTATTACCATATGATCTTGACGACAAAGAAGCACACATTCCTAGTAATGTGATACTTCCTTTCGCCGCTAGAATGATTCAGATCCCATCGCAAGCGACGATAATAATGATCAAGTTCTAAACGCAGGAAGTATTTTGAAGGATTCTGAGCGTGGCGCGTTGGTGGCACAGCGCTTAACCCATTTGAGTACTAACCGCAAATTTCATAGTGTAAACAAAAGTGAACTTTGGAGCGCGATCCCAAAATCTCATCCCTTCACTTCTCCTACCTTTAAATTGCCAAACAACAATGTTATGAATTGATCTCTTCATCTATTCAACCCAAATTGACTTGCGACGGTAGATTATTGATTATATCAAATTTGAGTGTTACTTTGCTGTTCAACGCTACTGTAGCAAACACTGAAGCGAAGCTCCTAAACCCCCTGGTCCACTTTTCACCCAGCCAACACCCTTGCGTCATTGCTTTTTGTTTACTGGGTATTGAGAGTCCCTTCATGTACTCACATTTACAACGTCAATTCCGCAAAAAGATAGCTGGTATCAACGAAATATTAATTGCCATGGCTCTTGATCCGCGATTGATGCCGGGTGTGGCATCAACTGCATCTACTCCTTCTTTAAGATCAAGGGAAGGTAGTGTTGTATCTTCGGCCAAAGATGCGGGTGGAAATGTTAGAGTTGTGGTTAGAGTTAGAGGATTTCTTCCCAGAGGTGGGTATTTGAAACGCAAAAATGCTGCGGCATTTCACTAATTTTATTACAGAAATCAATAGAGGAGCTGAGTGCCTGGTCGAGATGAATCCAATGTCGCAAGCAACCACCCTTCTCGTACCCAATGATGCAGATCCTGCAAACACTCGCTCGAAGATGCGCAGAGTCATTGAAGAGAAACACTTTACATTTGACAATTCCTTTTGGAGCCACAACAAATCTGATAAACATTATGCGCACCAGGAGGATGTTTATAATAGCTTGGGGGAGGAATTCTTGGATCATAACTTCGAAGGATATCATACATGCATCTTTGCATATGGCCAGACTGGATCGGGAAAGAGTTATACGATGATGGGGACAGAAGAGCAGCCAGGATTAATACCAAGGACCTGCGAGGATCTTTTCCAGCGGATTGAGGCAGCCCATAATGAAAGTCCAAACATTTCCTACAATGTCCGTGTATCTTATTTCGAGGTCTATAACGAACATGTCCGAGATCTCCTTGTTCCATACCACCCCAATCAACCACCTTATTACCTTAAGATTCGTGAATCCCCTACTGAAGGACCTTATATCAAGGATTTAATCGATGCTCCTGTTAAGAATATCTCCGAGATTATGCGATACATGAAAATGGGAGATGCTAGTCGAACCACAGCAAGTACTAAGATGAATGATACAAGTAGCAGAAGCCATAGTGTTTTTACTATTATGCTCAAGCAGATTCACCATGAGATGGACACCGACGAAACTACAGAACGTACTGCTAGGATACGACTCGTGGATCTTGCAGGCAGTGAACGAGCAAAGGCAACAGAAGCAACAGGTGCTCGTCTACGCGAGGGAAGCAATATCAATAAATCCCTAACTACTCTTGGTCGTGTCATTGCTGCTCTCGCGGATCCAAAACAACACCGCACCGGAAAGCGCAACAAGGATGTTGTTCCCTATAGAGATTCGATCCTCACTTGGCTGCTCAAGGATTCACTGGGAGGAAATAGCAAAACCGCAATGATTGCATGCATTTCTCCGTCCGATTACGATGAAACTCTCTCCACCCTTCGCTATGCCGATCAAGCCAAACGTATCCGCACACGTGCCGTCGTCAATCAGGACCATGTTTCCGCTGCGGAGCGCGATGCTCAAATTGCTGCCATGGCTGAGGAGATTCGTATCCTACAACTTCAAGTTTCCAAATCTGATTCCACGCGCAAAGAGACAGAAACCAAAGCACAAGACGAGAAACTCGAGCAATACCAGAACAAGATCGCCCTAATGCAAAGAATGATGGAAGATAGAACCATGATATCAGAAGGCAAAATTCGCAGCTTGACAACGGAGAATGACGCTTTGAGATTGCATTTGAAGCTAGCTCTGGACAGCTTGAAGAATCCAATCAAGGTGGAACCTGCAAGAGCTATTAGTCTGCGCAATCCTGATTTTGGTGGCGAACATGAAGTGGAGCAGAACAAGGAGAATAGACATCCGGATCAAGCGACTGCAGAGGAAGAAGAGTATGGACAGGAATACACAGATGAAGATGAAGCTATTGATGTTGGTGTTCATCAGGAGAGAGCAAGTGAGATTCAAGGTTTCATGGGTGATCTGTTAAAGGATTTGGGTATGTTCAGAAAGAAGATTGGTGATGATAAAGGTCGTTTCGGTCGCGAAATTGGGGTAATTCAAGTTGTATGATTATAAGGGAACGGAAAGGAGAGGGCGAATTTTTTATGGATGGACAGACCTTATGAAGGAAAACAGGACAAGCGTTGGTGTTTGGGTGTTTTTTTTCTTTTAATATTATACCAAGGGTAGGACTGGGGGGTCGGATATGTAGAATTATGGATCATGGCATGGTTGGTGTATAGAGTCTAGTTAGTCGATTGATTACCTGTTTTAATACATTAATCTTGTTTTTCCGAGAGGAATGGATTTCGTACTAGTCCTAGCTACTGGACTTCGAACGATGAATACTTAGGTGGCTAGGTAGGTAGTGGATGATACCATACTTGTCAGGACTTGTCAGGATAAGACTTGTAAGATAAGAATATAGATATGCAACATTAAAACCCCGAAATCAAGTCCAAGTGTTCTGAGTGGTGGATATGGTTAGTATGTATTGTTAGTTTTTTTGGGGGGGGGGGGTTTACTTAGTATTATGGGTTCCGCAGCTAGGGGAATTAGGGGAATAGGGTAGATTAGCGTGGGCTATTGGTGAGGGAATTGGTTGTGCAGGGGCTAAGTGTATGGAGGAGAGTTGTAAGTTTGAGCTGTAAGTCTGAGCTGTAAATGGTAGTTTGATATTTCGTCGGGCTGGGCGGCTGAAAGAGGAGGCTTGGAGGAGGAGGTTATTAAGATGTAACTGGGTGTAATGGCTTGTGCTGAGGAAGTGATGGAGCTTGTTAGGGGGCTGGGGGGATTGTGATTTGAAGTGGCTACCTATTAGGTAGGTGTACATTTGAGTTTTGAGGGATTGGAATGGGGTGGATGGATGGATAGATAGATAGATAGACTGGTTACTTTGTAATGTGCGGCACTTGTGGTGTATAGATTGTTGATATCAGTCGCTATATACTTATTACTTGTTGGGATGCGTTGAGTTGTAGGACGGGATTGTGGATATATAATGTTGAGGATATATATATCTGTTTCTGGGGCTCTGGTTGAAATGGTTTTGTTTTAGTCACAAGGAAACGAGAGGATAGAAGGCATCAGCGAGATGGGATTCGTAATTTGGATTTGGGTATTGTAATCCCATTTCTATAGATAACGTTGGGGTAAAGGGATTAATGCTAAGTGAGCCTCTTGAGTTTCCTTTTGTCTTCGAGTTTTATCCTTACGTGGGCCAAGGTCGTCTATCCCATCCATACCCTGAAGCAACATTCTATATTCCTTTTATCGACGCCGTATCCAACCAACTCCAAGTATCCGATGTGCTCGGACGAAGAATCCTGATCTCGATTTATACAGAAAATTCAGATAATCAATCCACCCTACCATCTCAAAGTTCTTCAATTCCCACCTTCTTTCCCTCCCCCATCTTCCTATCCCCATCCGCATCTTTCTCCTCTACCTCACTTTCACTCTCATGCTCACTGTCCCCATCCCTCTTCTCTTCCAAAACGCCCAATCCCAAATTCATTTCCACATAACTCTCTCCTTCCCTCACATCCTCTAGCCCTCGCTTTTCACCCCCACTCATTTTCTTCATTAATTCCTCATTCGCTTCTTTCATCTGCTTCAAAAAATCTGGAAGATTATTTAAGCCTTCTGAACCGCCAAAACCATTCAGCTCGGATACACGCATGACGGGACGGGCATTTAGGGGCCGTATGAGGGGAATCTCATCTTCAGATTCGTCTTCGGAAGAAGATTCTGATGGGGAGGCTTCTGCTTCTGATGATGAAGTGACTTCTGAGGAAGCTGGAGTTGATGAGTTGGGTGGTTTTGTGGGTGCGGATTTGGAGGTAGTGATGGATGGTTGAGTAGTGTTTGGGGATGCTCTTCCTAGGGCGGTACGTTTTCTGGATGGGAGTTTGGCATCACGGATTTTCCGTGTGGGTGCTGCTTCGGCGTCCATTGCTTCTGTGGGAAGGGAGGAATCTTTGGCTGACATGGTGAATGTGTCAGGTGAGTTCCTGGGTTGAGGTGAGATTGATAGCGATGTTTGGAAAGGTCTCAGCTCAGTAGTAAGTCTCAGTGGTAGGACCCAATCGTTGAAGTCTGAAAAAGTATATATTCTTGAGAGTATTGAAACTTTTGATAGGTGATGTATCTGGTAGACCAGGGTAGTAGTATGCTTATGTGGTCCTGGAAGTTTTAATTGGGTGGAGCGAGAATATGTATTCCAAGGATCCAAAAAGATTTTTGAAAATGTTTTGATTAATGGGATTTTGTAAATAAAAATTCACCGAAAATATAGCAAGGAGGAAGGGTGATTTATTCCTTCTTTAGAAATTGATTGATTTGGCGATTAGTTAGATGTAGAGTGACCTCACCAGAAAAAACCATCATCGAAAACTTCCACTCATGCTCCACCGCACGTGATTTACATCACCGATCACTTTTTATTTTCTCGGACCGCGCCGGCCGCGTGTCATGCCTGCAATTGCGTACAACCAATTGAACCAATGTGAAGTCCGAACAGCCATTGCAAGGGGCATGTACTCTTTGAGAGGGCCGTTCGGGCGCTTGTTTCAGGGTTTCATAATGGGTCCGCTGCTTCAGGTGTGATCTCCTGTGCATTCATTCCCTTGGCGCCTGCTGCTTCTTATCACCTCATCCTTTGTACAATACCATTTGTTTTCTCTTTCATCCTCTCTACTATCTTTCTCTTGTCCCTCTCACCCATTCTTGGCTGCTCGATCTCTTGGTATCTTGTCATTCTTCTTGAAAGTGGTAGCCGCATTCGAGTATTCTCTACATCTTCAATTGCAATATTACAGATACCATTTGATACAATATGGCGTTACGACCATCACTCATTACACGAGGAATTTCCACCTCAGGGCCAAGCGATACTGGATCGCCTGCTCGAGATGATGCCAAGAAGAATATGTTAAAGGCAATGCGTCCATTGCCTACACAACATTATTGGAATATATACTTTGATAGGTTAGTGCTCTTCTTGTAGGATGTGTGGATTCTGCGGGGTATTGGTTTGGTAAAATTGCTAACGAAGTACCAAATAGACAGCAGAAAGATCAGAAGCCAGCCGCAGATGGTACTTATAGTGCTACTCTCGACAAACTTCCCACACAAATCGAATCGATTCAGGACTTTTGGCGTTATTGCAACAACACTCCGTTCGATCAAATTAAAATGAGAGAGTCGATTTATCTATTCAAACAAGGATTCCAGCCAATATGGGAAGATAGAAGGAATATCAATGGAGGTAGTTGGACATTTAGGGTTCCAAAACAAAATGGTCCGGACTTTTTCACTAGAGTTCAATTGATGGCTATAGGAGAGAAGCTTCAAGGCTGCTTGGAACTAGGTAAGCCATTTTATCCATATCTCTTGGTTTAGGAAATACCAGCCCTTTACAGATAATTGGAGATTTTTAATATGGGGGGCTTAAAGACACTGAAATGTTGATGTATAGCGCGTCTGAATCCTCCACGGACAAGTGTTTCGCTTTTTGGGTTAGGAGGTTAAGGTTATGAGATAGAGTGCAACACGAAAGTAATACTAACATACAACTAGGCGATCAACTTTGTGGCGTTGGTCTCTCTGTTCGTTTCAACTCTCATCTCATCTCAATCTGGCATCGTGACGCCTCGAAGCAAAAATCTATCGATGCGTTACTCGCTACGGTCTTGGAGGAACTCCCTGAAGAACTGAAACCCAAGCCCGACAACTTCTTCTATAAGAAACACTCAGACCACGCTGGATTCAAGGCTCCACCTCCGGAAAGTACATCCGAGTCCGCACAGACTGAGGTCACCCCGCCTAAAATTCAGACGGAGGTTCCGGCAGTCTAAACTGATTGTTTCAAGATACCAAGGAGGTTATATGGGAATTGGCGTCACAAATATATCAATAAAGGTTCAAATAATTGAATACTCACAAGGTGGAAAGGTGTTTTGTCGGACTGTACCGGATTTTGCATAATCTACTCGAGGCGTTGACATCAAGAGCAATCAGTTAAATAAATGAAAGATATGCAACAAACAACGCTATGCTAGACTTCTTTGTCGTCTGTGTATGTAACTCCATCCATGGTAATATCGAATTTGTTCCCAAAACTCCACACCAGAAAGCGTCCTGAACACCATAACCCCAAACTCATATATGTCAAGCACTCAAATCACTAGCTCATGCATCAGATGAACTCATTCATCCATCCCTCACCTCCACATCCCCGCTCTCCTCATAACCGCCTCGAACTCATCCCTCTCCACCCCCTGCCCTACCCCTTTACCACCATTCGCCTCCAACAACATACTAGCCAACAAATCCTCATCCACATCCTCCTTCAAAATCTTCGCGACCCTCTTCAACGTCGCCATTGTAATTCTCCCCATATCTCCTCCACCCCCACTTCCACCCCTCTTCTGTCCCGCATTTGTAAAAAGTCTAAACGCATCATCGACATCTTTCCTATGCGAATCCGACGTCCGAGTCCGAGAATGAAATTTAATGGCGCAAATAGCGAGGAAATGGCGATAGATAGTGTAGCCTTCATCTTCGGGGTCGAGAATGCTGTGGTATTCGCGCAGTTCCGATGCGGTGGGCGTTAGACCTAGCGCTCTGTTTTCTTATTAGTATCTAATTTATAACATCATCCTTCTTTCTTTTCTAGGCATTAAAGGCATAGATGGAGGCTCTTTGAAGCGCAAAAAAGGCACATACATCAACGCTCTCCTCACATCACCAATCGCTATAACCCCTTCCTTTTCGCCATCCATCTTCTGCGAAAATAAAGAAAATGCTTCTTTAATCTCTGTTTCTTCCGCCGCGGTAATGTTATTCTCTTTAGCTAGCTTGGACCGCGGGCCTGCTGCTGGCGCGGAGGTGTCTTTCCGTTTTGGGGGCTGAGTCTGTGTTAGTTTTGTATATGAAACTGGTAGGTGAGGGGGAATACCATTTTGTGTATCAAGCATGCGAATAAAAAAAATGTTGCGTAAAGGATATTTTTATGGGCAGAGATGGAATAGCAGTAAAACGTAAAAGCGGGAGTTGATACTTTATTGATAAAGTTCGCCCGCCATGAATGACGCGAAATGCCTTGCTGGCGAGGCTGAAGTGGATTTTTTTCGGATTGACCAATTGGCTGTACCTGGACTAAGCTAGTTTATTACTAGCGTTTACGCTAAGGATCGCTATGAAAAACTCGAAATTTTCTCCTGAATTCGGTTTCCTCTTCATCAACAACACAATGTTCATTGATTAATGCATAGAGTGCTCTCCAACCAGCGGAGTGATGTCCAAATATGCATCATCGAATCAATCAATGTTTCATGAAGACAGATAGGTAGGTAATTTCCGTTCCAGCATTCTCATCATCATCCCCATCTATCCATCCATCCATCCTTTCTCCAAAGGAAATGACGAAAATCCTCAACGTCGCTTCAAAATATTGCTAGAGCTTGCCGAGTCTCAACCCAGAGCGAGCAAGTGTGGACAGTGAAGCAAGAATAAAACCCGGGTCACGATTTTGATTCTTCGAGACTTTTCCCTGAGGTATCCTGGCTATGAGACTCGTTCGATGAGTTTTGTGTTTGGTTCCTTTGGGAGACATTTTATGTTTGATTGGAGGGATTTGAGAGGGTTGGTTGGGTGTAGTGGTTGTGTATAGTTGAGAGGTTGTTAGATTAGTGCAATATATTTATGCTTCTGATTACTTTTTATTCGTCTCCTTGGTGTGATTTGTTCTTGTGAAGTTACGTCGAGGATCAAGTGGTCATATCCGATGTGAATAGGTTCACTCTGCATATGGACTACTTCTTTAGTCCGCAGTGCTAGGCAACCATAGCCGTCTGGTCATTCTACATCTCGCGGTAGCAGCATCCGCAAAATGGCCTCGGTTAATAATTCAGTATCAATATCAAGTACAACCCGCGGGTAAAGCCACGGATTATATACTCCACTCTAAAAATCAAATTCGTATAATTTCTCTAGGTTTAGGCTTCCGCTCCTTAATCATTTTTCCAGTCGACCAATTGCAATGCTCCTTCAATCGCCGACGCGCATATTTTCACTCCCCTCTTCCCCGCGGATGTAAATTACGATATTCGCACGTACTGCTAATGTAAACATCGTCTACATCTCGATCGTTAGTGCCATTTTCTAGTAATAACTGGTAGGGAATTCTATGTTGCAGTGCTAGAGCCTTTACTCTAAGATCACAGCTTGTTAGTGCTTGAACTGTGCAATGGCAAAAGGCATGACGGCGTACCGTGCGAACGGAAGTGGATATTTCAAGGAAAGTAGTGCGGTGATGTGCTGCAGTATTGAAGGGGAGTGTAGCTATTCTTGATACCTTGGGCGCTTTTTGTGGTAGGATGTTAGGATTTAAGGGGAAGAGTTACTCATATACGAGAAGATCCAGTGGTGTGCTATGAGTATAGTTGCTAGTATGGAATGAAGGTTCACTCACCGGTACTGGGTAGTGGTGTTTATGACTGATGCATGAGATTACTAACCATCATTCCGAGCCTACAGGTTATGTGAATATGGTTTTTCTTTTGTAGGTAATTTGGGTTGTTTCTCTTAGACTGGACGTCGAATTATCACAATCATTCTGTGCATCATGTTTTCGACAGCGTTTCTATTTCTTATTCATAGATGGAAAAAGTCAGGCTTGATTAATTCTACCACACGTTTAAAGAAATACTAAATCTGCAAATGAATGTGAGACACCGAATCATTCTCGACAACAACAGCCTTTCAGATCCACTCACCCTCGAGCTCTCCCGAGCTTAAGTTCTCGGCACGACTTCCCACTTCACTTAAAAAATAAATCCCCTGTTCCTAGCTTCGTCATAAATCCCGCCATGAAATTCTTTCAGCGTCGTTTGATCCCAAATACTTGCGAGAAGCCAGAAAGGTGTCTTTTCGGGAGGAGGATTGTCGCCGTCGACGAAAGCATCAGGCCCCCTGGCTATTACCCATTTGTGCTTGAGATCCCGGACAAGTACATCCATATATTGCTCTCCATAGATGTTTACGGCCTCGCCAAGGAACTCTACGGCATGTTTGCAAGGGTCACAATCTCTCAACGGACAAAGTTCGCCCTTCAGTTTGTATTTTGGACGTTCTGGTGCATCTGTGAGATCCATTGGTCGAGAGATGGCGCATCCGCATAGATAGACGTCCCAAACCCAAACCATCGGCAATGCCTCCATGCCGTTAGTACCATCGTTAAGAACAGCTGGTTCAATCGGGACGAAACGGTTCGACATCTTGTCTGTGTGGGTTTGAACTTCGAGACACTGTAGCTTTCTTCGCAGAATATCTATTATCGTCAGCCAAAGAACAATAGTAAAACGAAATAGAGGAACCTACATAGTAATGCCCGAGTGTTAAAGGTTAAAGGCAAGCGAAATCGGGGAACGAATAAACTAGAGTCGTGGGTAAGATGGCGTGATGCTGTAATAATGAACAGCTGTGGCACAATGTGGTTGCTTAAGTCTCTTCGTAGTATATATATATATGGTATGAAGGTATAGAAAAGAAAAATTTGATGGGAAACGCTCAAACTATATAGGCATGGATTAGCATGATGAAATTATTCATATTCATATATGTTGTATGAATATGCCCCGATTTCGAGTCATTTGGAGCATTACTTCTCAGCTTGAACAGTCAGTGACTTACTATCATACATCGTCGACATCTCAATTTCAGCACCATGTATGCCGGATACTCGTCGATTCATTTTCGCTGTGCAAAATTCACACCACACTCAAGATTATGAGAAGCAAACCACCATTTGTGAAGTTTCTTTCCATCTCGCCAAGCGTAATGAGACCAGTTCAGCTTCAAATCATCAATTCATGAGCTTGTATGAATATATTTGACTTGGGTAAAGTCCATGACTGTCCACATCTTCCAGAAATCCGCATCTCGCACGACGGTTGCGCCATCCTCAAAAAGAGCATATGTATCAGCTTTGAGGAAGAGTGTTGAAGTCGTGTGGCTCGATGTTTATAACCTGGATGATTTGAGCCAAGTGATCAATGTCAATATTCAGCCGTGAAGCATCCCGCCCAGTTCATCAATACTAGATTGGTCATTAATCTCTTCCAACTTCCTAGGGGGGAATCTCAACATGGTTCAAGACATTGAGAAAAGTGATCGATGGGGTACTTAGGAAGGATCAAATCATGAAAAACAATTCAGGAGTAGAGATGAAGAAGAAATGACTAAGTGACATGATTGTTTTCCCTGTTGACCTCCACTTAGTTTGACAGCAATCACCAATCCAAAAAAGAATATGATGTGGATTTGAACTTGCAAAAAAATATGAGAAGTGGTATTTCGGGAACAGATCATTTCCATGACTTTCTAAATCGCGGAACCTTGACGTCCACTTCATGCTGAAGATATACCTTCTCTATCGAGGTCGTCCACACTCTCAATGGCTACCAAGTTAAACCAATAAAAAAAGGTATTGTGTGATCAAGCCCCTCGATTATTTGATAGAAAGATATATACATACCGCAGTAAAGAAAGGGTCGCCCACTAATCAATTGCTCGCCTGCTAATGACGAAGCGGGAATTAGCAAGCAAGATTTATTAGGAACTAATAAGCAGTAAACAACAAGAGTAGCAACGCTTGCTAAGATATCATTGGGTATTAAACGAAGATCATAGAGGAGAATAAAAGCTGGTATTGAATGTTAGTGAGATTGTCATTTGTTTGGAGTGAAAGCCGAGGAGCTTGACCACTGCACTAGATTGTAATGTTTGGTTAATTCGTGCATAGGTTGGATTATAACGCCAAGTGGGAGCTCTGTATGAAGGTGTTGAGAGGGAAGGAGGTGAGGGAGGCTGGTGCAGGAGTTTGGGAGGAAGGAGCTATGAGGTGATGCCGGGACGGTGTGGATCAGCCTCCTGAAAACGTTGAATGGATACTTCAGTGTTCATGCCAAATCAAACAACATAAGAACAAGAACTTTAGAGCTTGGAACAGGAAAAATATAACATACATACAGCAGAGCAATAAGATGTGGTGTTTCCCTGACTCTTATTATACAATGCTACTTTATTGTCCAATTCCAAATGGAAATGTAGGGATTGACAACCGATCCTATGCATTGGATAAGCGAGTATAGTTCCAATTCCAAGACCAGTGAGCTCCTTCCCTCCTTGGATGTCGATAGACATGTAGACTGATGAGTTCTGGATGAGAAGGCTCTGGCAAAGGAGACTTGTCCGTACAGAGAACATCAAATACAATGAGATATGCGCCTTGTATTTTATTTGGCAACGAATATCAAAAATAAGACACTGTTAACTCAAAAGAAAAAGGGTTTTGAGAAGTACCTACGAAGAGTATACATGCTAATAAGTTCTGATTCATACTTATAGTTTGGAGTCGAGCCTGAGGTCGTCGGATTATTCGACCTAATATCCATCTGTGGCTCATAAAATAATGGTTAACTAGGTATGTAGTGAACGTGGTTTCACTAATTTCAGTTTTGATATCTGAAGGACATTATCATATGTTTGCTTGGGAATTAGGCCTTTTGTAGGCTCATCCTCCTCCTTTACCGAGTTCTGTTAAGCTCAAGGTCATGAGTACTATGATCGATTGTCTTAGGAGGAAGTCGTGAAAAATGAGGTACTGCTCCAGCCCTGCTCTAGAATAACTATTCTGAAAATGTAATCGATGTCTTAAAAGCGAATTTTGGTGGCCCAAAAGGGTTGAAACATGTGAGTAGGTAGGACTTCGTCGTTAAAGAAAGCAGTTCCCCCCGGCACTATTAAAAATTAGCACGTGCTTTCGTGGTTCACTTTTGGCGCGGTCCCCGCGTTACTTTTGCCTTTGTGGTTCTTTTACTTCTGTTTGTAACAAAACCATTACAATATTTTCACAACTCACGATCTGGGATTTTTGCATTCGCAGTGGCAGTGGCAGTCGCATTCGTTTTTTACAAGTTACTCAATAACATTTGATAGTTACTCCCAGTCAATATATGCTATCGAAATTCCAAATTCACCTTTTGCCTTCACACTCATCTCGTAAGCCTTGAGATCGAACGCTAGAGACAATTACAGAATATACCCGCAGCATTCGAAATTGCGACAATGAGCTCGTCCAATATATCACGACAGGAGCGGCGAAAGAAACAAACACGTTTGACGTTCGATCCGATCTCCACTGAGGTACCTTTAGCTTTAGCTTCACCTGCTAAAAGTCAAGGACCATCGCCTGCAAAGGTCAGATATGAGAAAATGAATGGTGATGCATCTTTGGGAAGCGGAGGGCGAGTTACACGCAGCGGTATGTCTTCAGGATCGCCAGCGAAAGCAGTCTCTGGTATCAATGGAAAGTCTGGGGGAAAGAGAAAGAATACGAGAGATGGAAAGATCAATTTTGTATCGTTACCAACGCCTGCGAAAAGCTCGCAGAAAGACGACACTATTGTAGATACTGGAGTAGTCAGCGGTTTGCGTCGAAGCGCACGAGGATCACAGGTGAATAAATCAATTACTGAGTACGCCACTGATCCAACAGATAAGCCAGATGAGTCCACATTTGAAGTCGAGGCAACCACTCCATTACAAAAGAACAGGAAAAAAATTGCTGCTACAGAAACCACGGATGATGAATCGGATGTCGATATCAAAGGTTCTACGAGAAGAGGTTCTGGAAGCGGTTCATCGAGGAGACGTTCACTCACCGGTCGAGGCTTCATACAAGGCGGGAGCACATATAATGCCCCTCTTCCTTCTTCTGGAAGTCGAGGCAAAGCGCTAAAGACTCTGGTCCATAGCCCCAAACCTTCGACTCCTTCGACGAGTACTCCGAAGAGAAGATCGGTAACATTATCAGACACAAGTGACGATGACGTATTTACATCAAAGCCAAAGCCTTCGCAGCGACCTGGCCTATTTAGTCAAAAACCAACTGCACCAATTCAAAGTAGTGATGGATCTTGTGAGGAGGCCGACAATGACTCCGAAGATGATATACTACCATCTTCAACCAGACGCCGACAAGCAGCACGGATAATACCTCAAGTCCAGCTTGACCTCGATTCAGATGACCCAGATGATGAGCCCCCTACCTCACCCATGAAAAGAAAGCGTCCAACGATTATTTCCGACGATGAGGATAGTGATCTTGGATCGCCTGTGAAGAAAACGAAGGTCGTGAACAAGAGCGATTCGGATGATGATTTGCCACCTATGACTAAGCTAGCTAAGACGACGGCCCCTGAATCCGATAGCCCGGTTTCTTCTCCACATGTCAAGCGAAAACTCCCCGCCAAAAAGCATAGAACTGCCAAGCAGAAGCAATTAGAGATTCTCAAGCGCAAGCGTGCTGGAGAAAGCAACCCCATTCTTACAGATTCTGAGTCTGATGAAGAAGAGGTTGGTGGTTTGTATGATTCAGGTAGCGACGCATTGACTACCTTTGAAGATGAAGAAGATGAAGAAGTAGAAGAGGAGGTTCAAGAAACACGCAAGCGAAAGTCACCAAAAAAGCCTGTACAGGAGAACGAGGATAAATACGATTCCGACTTTGTTGATGACGATGATGATGGTCTTATTGGAGTTCCAGATTACGCTATGATTCCTCTGCATCTCACAGCCGCCGCTCACAAGCCTCTAAAAGAACATTTCGTTGAAGCGGTTGAATGGTGTGTCCAAAACAAAATTAATCCTGGGTTTAGTCAAAATCTTATGCCTATCTACAAATCAGCGTGGAATAAGCTCGAAGATGCGTATAGTGGGCTTTCTGGTAGCAAATTCGTTTCTACTTCATGGACTCGCGACTTTACCAAAGCTCTCTACGCCCGTCCAGAATTCCACACTAGGAGGCTTTTATCTGGAGAGGCAATAGATCTGTTAGGCGAGGTTAAATGTGAGGCATGTAATCGTAGGAAGCATGTACCGACGTGGGGTATTTCACTGAAGGGTTCTGCGTACTATAAGGATAGTTTGGCCGAGGTGGAAAAGGATGATAGTGATACCGAGGAAGATGACGAGGAAAATTCTGATGGTGAGAAGGAAACCCGAAGTTTAAACAGTAGAGATGAACCTCTGCCTTCTCAAGACAAAGAGTTCATGGTTGGCTCGTAAGTTAATCACCTACATTTTTGTGCTACGTATTCAGGGACTAACCTCCTCGTGTAGTGTGTGCAAAGAGAATGCAGAGAATGCCCATACACTTATTCATTTGAAATTTGCACTCAACCAATGGGTCATCGGCAGTCTAGAAAGTCAAGGCCATCTTACCATTGAAAAGCTTGCGAAGAGAGACAAGATGAGCGCAAAGAAGAGACAGAAGGAAGTGAACGGCATCGTGGATAAGTGGAAGGAGGAGAAAGAAATCAAGGAACTATACAGCATCTGGAAACAACAATTGGAGACGGCGCAGAACGCCAGTACGACAGGAAGACGTTGAAGTTGCAAAATGGTGCACCGAAAAGGGAAAGTGAAGGTGAAGATAGGAGAGAGGTACATTTATGGCGCATAATAGAAGCGGAATAGGATCATTTCTGTCATCCTAGATATCAGCGATTTGGGAGTAAAATATGGGAGCAAATGACAATGCATTGACGATATAGCAAGATTCATCGTTAACACTTGGGAATTTCCAGCAAGATGTAATAACATCCAAATCGATGGAACAGCGAGGTTTTACGAGTAGATATTCCAATATTTAGATGGAAATAGTATTAATAACCCATCAATGATAAATATACCTACCATCTCACCAAATCCACATCCACAGTAGTAAAAATGATTAAATACAAGTACCAATAATTTCATATAGCATGGAGTACTCTCATATTAAGCTTGAAAAATGGTGAATATAGAGTAGGTAAGCATTATTACTTTGTGCTAACCCCTAGGTACTCAGTCTACTTGGGTGGGCGCTCCAAGTTCTAGACGTCGGGTTTGCAGTTGGTTATATACAAGGATTTCGGAAATGTATGTATGTAGGTATGAATATGATTATGATTATGGATGCGGAGTAGGGGTACTGTATTGTGTCTCTGTTCGTCTGTGCTAGGAAATTGATGGGCGGTTGGATTGCTGGATTCGGTGGTTTGCGTGGTGGTTGGGGTGAGGTTGGGCTTGGGAAGGGTGGAAGGGTGGAAGGGGAGTTGATGAAGTCATTGTTGTGTAGTGTGTGTGATTTGGATTTTGTTGATATGTACCTATGCATATGGAGGACTAGGTAGGTAGACTAGGTAGGGAGGTATACAGCTCTGGATGTATAAAGCGGCGTGGGGTTTTGGTTATAGTACCTAGGTAGGTAATATAATATGATATGATAATATGATAAGTGCCGGCGCTGCAAGGAGGAAATGTTCCGATGGATAAATTGGATGGATGAACGCAAATTTGTGGTAGAGATGAGTTGGCTACCGCTACCTACTTACCTAGGCACTTACCTAGGTATTTCCTAGGTAAAATGACAGGAGGTTGGGTGCACACAGTTCTATTGAAAAAATTATCATGTGGGAGTTCCGAGGGAGTAGTAATCTTGTACCTGAAAGGATTCCGGGGAAGTAGATTGGATCATGTGAAGAATTAATTTGAGGTTTGGCAAGGAGCGAGATCTACGACTGGGGGGGAAGGACTTTTCTTGGTCAATTTTCTTGGTTGAGACATGCATGTGGATGGATGTGATGGATAGGGATATGGATACGTCAGATTTCTTTTTTTCAATTGTGGTGAAAGGGAAGGGAAGGGAGAATGGCATGATTTTTGGTGCTTGGTTGTTGTTAGCTACTAAGGGTGCTTTAGTCGGATAAGTACTAGGTCGGTAACTAGGTGCTTAGTGGTGGCAGAGTAATGACAAAGAAATGGAATTATGATTTTAGTGAGGGGGCCATTTGAAATAGGGATACACTACTAGCCACCTAGTACCTACTATCTACGTATGTGAATACATTGGAATCTAATAGGACGAAATAGGATGGGGAAGAAAATGAATGAATGGATGGGAATTCCGATAATTGTCAAAATGAAGTCATGACGCGTTGAAAAGCCTTTGAAAGAATCCAGATGTTCATGCAATTTTAATTAAGATCTAGAATTTATATACTAATCCGGCTGAAGATCATTAGTCTAGTCTACTTAAAGTAATAGTGAGAAGAGGCACGGGACGTGGCGTTAGTGGCCGCCAATCAAATGATTAGTTCATTAACTAGAAAAACTTAAAAAAGTGACGTAGCAACAGGAAAGTGCAATGGTTCTCATCCGCCACGTTAATTCAACTGGTAAGAACAAACAAGGCTCAGGCTCAATTAGCTCTATCAAGGTAAAATCTTCAGATCAGAAGTACCGACCTATACGTAGTAAGTAGGTGAAGACAAGCAAGAAATAGAAAGGAAAGGAAAGAAAAGAAAAACAGGGCAAGAGAAGGCAGGAACGTAGGTACTAGGTAAGGTAGAATTGGAATCATATCATCAAGGTACTAGGTCGAGTAAGTAGGTACGATTCAAATAAAAGAATTGAATTCCCCTACTATTGCCTTAATTCCTCTTCTCTTCCTTTTCTCATATTCTTGACAAAATCAAACAACAAACATACCATATCACACATATTATACGACAACACGCAACAAATACCCTTATTACCCTCATATCTTTCATCCCACGATTTATCGACTCGAGAGCTTTTGATATCAATACTAGCACGAGTATTCACTTCAAAATAACATCGTCATCGTCTGAACTCACCTTTTTATTCCGTTTCGTCAGAAGAGCCAATCAATTTACTGCTTGCGACCAAAACATCAAGTTTAAGACGCCTCATTACCTCATAAATCATACCTACATCATACAATTCATCCTTTTACCACTCCTGCAAGTCTCATACTTGATATTTATTATTGCACTCGAGGAGATAGAAGCTCTCTTTCTTCTACTTTCGAGTCCTTTTCCCATTTTCTTTTTCTTTCGTGATACCCAACACCCAACTTTTAATCAACAAAACCGCAATAATGTCTGTCAACGTACCTACCCAAGCGGAGAAAAAGGAAGCTGATATCGCGCGTAAATTGCAATTTTACGGAATCTACAAAGGTATTGTTGCGCTCTCCCATCCTACCGGCATATCTTCAAAAATAGACTCATACTGACAAGAAATTCCATGTAGCATTTCAAGCAGGAAAGGTTCCGGATGTAAGTACTTTGTTTCCATCGCCGTGTTTGTATGTGCAAATGGCTAATTCCTCGTGTGCAGAATGACCAAATCGATGTTGCTCTCAACAGCTTCCTTAATTTGGATATTCTAGCGTCACCATCCAGAAATCTTTCCGATGAAGGTAAAAGCTTAATACAAGAATTTCGTTCCGTTGTCGAACAGGCGAAATACCTTCTTCTTACCAAAAATGAAGGCGAACTCCTTCAGGATTTCATTTGGCAATGTCAACAGATTGATAGTGGAGCGGCAAGAGCTCCAGGAGCTCCAGTCGACCAAACAACTGCTCAGCAACATGGCAGAGATGTAAAGGAGGGCCTCAGAACTCTTGGTCAACTCATCCTAACCAACGGACAATTCAGGAAGCTCTGTGAGTGAAAATAATGCGTCAGAGTTGTGTCGTATACTAATGTCTGAATCAGTGAATGATGCTGTCGTTCTCCTACGAGATATTGCTGGTGATGCTGCCACTAATTTCGCTGGCAAAGTGAACCCTCCTGAAGATCAATTGAACCAAATCGATCATCCCGCTGAGGATAATGTCTGGCATGATAGCCCAAACATGTCATCTGGTAATATCAAGAACCAGATGAGGCAGGCATTCAAGAAGAATCAACCTGTCGGTAGAGACGATGTTAGAGATGCTATTGGTACCGCTAGTCAAACTGCTCACCCAAGCGGCTCTCGTGATCCAGCAGATACTGCTCAATTGGCTGGTCGTGATCAACAAGACAACACTGCTTCTAGAATTGATGGTCAAGCCGGAGCCCAAGTTGGTGCTGATACCTTGAAGCAACGTGCCTCCGAGAACGTCCCTGAGGAAACAAAGCAACGTGGTCGCGAGACAAGAGATAGAACTAAGAATTACCTCCAACAAAAGATGCCGGAGGAGCGCCGTGGGCAACTTATCTACAGACTTAAGAAGATGGTTGTGGAGATCCAAGGTCACCCAGACTGTATGTTTATCTTCAACTTTCTAACCAATTCATTTCACTACTAACTGCGGGCAGATATGCAATCTATCGATACTCTTCTCGACCTGGCCCAGGAATATGGAAGACATGCACACAATGTTGGCCAACATGGTTCTGGAGCAGTCAAGGGCGCACGTGGCGACACCGCTCTGAGGACTGCCGAGAGAGATTTGAAAGTTTGTAGCTCCATGGAAAAATTAGAAGTAGTACTTAGGCTAACACAATTTAGACACTCATCGAGCGGTTTGCAAATTACACGTCAATTGACGATTTTATCGACTCTATCAATGTTATCTATCGAGACGCTGAGAAAGATGAAGAATTGAGGAATTGGTTCAGGCAAATGAACGCCTTCATTCGCAGATGTCTCCAGGAGCAAGGTTATATCATGGAAGACGACTCCACTGAGCGTTGGAATGAGCTTTACGATACGGGGAACGACCTTCTCAGAAAGCGCTATAAATCTCATACTGACCGCATCGTTGATGAACTCAAGTTCTTAGCCAAGGAATTCGATAATGATGCACAGAACAAGCAATTTGCGGAGACGTGCCAAAAGTTTTTCAATCACCTAGGCAACGATGAGAACGGCAGGCCAAAATTCAAGAAGCATTTGCTTCACGATTTGTCCAATGTCATCATTCCTACAATTATTGAAGATATTCGATATATGCCTATCCCTAGACTCGAATTCAGAGATCCTAAGTTGGAGTTTGCTGTTGAGAATCTGGTGATTGAGAGCAGCAACCTTTTGCCGAACCTTCTTGAAATTCATCAAGGTATGTGATATTCCCTTCGCTATTGTTCCTTAGACAACGACTAACCAAATATTTAATATAGAAAGCACCATTCGCTTTGGTCGCAGAGGCCTCGAAGCTGGAAACAAAGGATCGTTTCTGGTTGCAGTTGAAGGCATCCAGATGGATTTGAGGGATGTTGCTTATTACATGAAAAGAAGGGGTAGTTCATTACTGGCTCACGACGAAGGCATCCTCGATATTCTCCTCGGTGACTCTGGACTCAGTTTCAGGATGAAGTTGTCTGTACTTTCGTCCGAAGCTAAAGATCGACAAAGCTTTTTGAAGGTTGATAGTGTGAAGGTTGACATTAGGAAGTTGAAACTTAAGATTAAATCATCGAAGCATAAGGCTTTGATCGCTGCGGGAAAGCCTTTCTTGATCAAACCTCTTACGAAGGCCCTCGCAAAGTCTATCGAGGCAGCCATCAAGCAGAAGGTTGAAGAAGTTGATGCGTTTGCATATAAAATCAAGCTTGAAGCCGACCGAGCTAAAAAGGAGGCCGCCAACAACCCAGAAAATGTTCCTAACATTTATCGCAACTACGTTTCCGCTTTCCAACGAGAGCTCACCAAGGGTAAAGAAAAGGCTCAAAAGGCCCAACAGTCTGTGCAAAACAAAGAGTTCAAGATGGTTACGACAACGGATGAATCAATGTTCCCCAATGTTAAGTTACCCGGCGGGATCTCATCCAAGGCAACCGAATATAAGAATTCTGCTAGACAAGGGGACCGATGGAAATCACAAGTCTTCGGCATTGGAATCGCCCAAAGATCTACCAACATTCCATCCCCAGAGGAGATCAGGAGGAAGCCACACTCGGTTGCTCAAGGTGGTGCTAGAGATCCACAAAATGCCGGCAACACCAACCCCTCAACTGGTCCGTCAGGCTATAATCAAGGTGCTCAGCAGGGCTATTCTCAACAAGGTGCGGTTCCTCAACAAGGCTCGGTTCCTCAACAAGGCTATGGTCAGCAAGGCTTCAATCAACAAGTTGACGTGGCTTTCAATAACGCTGGTGCACAACCTGGTGTTCTACAAGGCAACAGTGCCACAAATGGTGCCATTAACGGTGGTGCCGTAAACAAAAAGAACACTCCTACTGGAGGAAACACTCTATTGGGATCAGACAACCCAGTTTACCAAGGTAGAGTTTAGTCTACTCGATTCAAACCTCTCTTCGTTTTCCATATTGTTTTGCGGAACGGAATTACTTTCTTCATAAGATACCACTACCGCGGATACCACTTGCATATTTGGGGTTTGGTGGGTTAAAAAAACACATAACTTGATAATGTAATGGTGGAGGATTTCATTTGTCTTTGCTTTGTTTGTACGGGCTTCATTTTTGATACCTTTTGATTGTTTTATTTTCTTTTCGATTGCCGATTAATATGGTACTTTTAAGATACCACAGCGTTTTAGTGGATTGGGAAGATGGAACGTAAGCTAAGTGATGGATGGGTATTGAGGTTAATGATTAATCGTGAGAGGGAGGGATGATGAATCATGATGTGTGATGGATTGGACTCTTCCGACCATAATGCTTTGGTACGAAGTAGCGTTTTCTTATGTTAAGTTAGGTTTATCATAGCAAATGAGAATACCATAGCGAGTTAATTTGATTTGTTTCTTCTGACGGTGTTGAATTATGGTGACGAGGTGAAGCAAATCATTATGCATAGAAATTTCAAATGTACTCCGTCAGTTTTACTATCTAATTAGCTACCTATGTACTTCTATTAAGGAAACTTTATTAAACACTAGGATCGTAGTAAGATTTCAATATCATAATCGCGAACCCCACTAAGGTTAATCTTTAACCTTAGCTACCCCACATTTCGTCATTGATTACCCACCTCCCTACCTAGGATATTGGGTCATTGACGAATGGAGAGGTTTTGATTTGATGATCGATGATTCGATTGATTGCTAAGCTTTCTCTCTGTCGTCTCTCTTTCTTTTTGTTCATAGGGATAGGTAGGATAGGATAGGATTACTTTCTTTTTCGGACAACGCAAATGCTATCTCGATCACTTTTTGCAAAGATCAATAGATCCACCGTTTCGTCTTTTGAATTGGTATGTCCATTTTTTTGGTTTGGTTTTGTTTATGTTTGGAGAGTTTAGAGAGTGGGAGTGGGATTTGTGGTTTGTGGGTTGTGGTTTGTGGTTTGTGTGAGGGGGTTTAGTATGAGGGGATTGTATGAGCTCTGCGGAGCTTGGTGAATGAGAATGAGAAAGGAAGGGCGAGATGGAAAAAGAGACGGACAGATTTAATCATTCCTGGGGATGATAAGGATAGCAAGGATATAAATAAGAGGAATGGAAAAGAAAGGATTCAAGAATCAAAAGCTAATCATCTATATCTTCATCAGAAATTCACATCTGCAAGAACGATCTCACAAACACATCTTCGCAAAATGCATGTTCAAAGTATTTCAATGTGGGAGGGTACCTCGAATAATTATGCGTATTTGGTCGTGGATAATAAGACTAGGGATGCGGTGATTATTGATCCGGCGAATCCGGAGGAGTGAGTTTGGGGCTTTAGTTTTTGTTTCGTTTCGGTTTGGTTTGAGGGGGAGGAGTGGTGGATGGTTCGGATGGTTGGGATGACTGGCAGACAGAGCGGGGAGAGGATGGAGAACTGGAGAGAACATTTGATGAGGAAGAAGGGAGAAAGGCTAATGACAATATCAATAGGGTCGCTCCCGTTCTACAACCACAATTGAAGGATAAATTAATCAATTTAAAAGCAATCGTCAATACACACCAGTGAGTTTATATCAGATATCCATCTCAAAAGCATTACACTGACAATCATAATTCAGCCACTGGGATCATGCAGGTGGAAATAAAAAACTAGTACGCCCGTTCCTCACCTCCCTCCCCTCACACCTTAGCTAACACCATCCACTCAGCTCGATTATCCAGGATTTGAAGGCTTACCAATAATTGGTGGTAAAGATTGCGAGGGAGTTACAGAGACACCAAAAAATGGAGAGGGATTTAACCTTGGAGTGATCAAGGTTAAGGCGCTTTATACGCCATGTCATACACAGGATAGTATTTGTTGGTTTATGGAGGATGATAAGGGTCAGAAGGCAATTTTTACGGGTGATACACTATTTCATGGAGGTAAGTGAATTAACTTGATTGATGGGAAAGGGACATGAAGTCAGGCAGATATAGGGATTATGATAATGCATGAAACTGACAAGAAACAGGATGTGGAAGATTCTTCGAAGGAACGGCTGAAGAAATGCATACAGCTCTTAATAAAACACTTGCAGCTGTGCCGGATGATACAGTTGTTTATGTAGGTTTTTTTCCTTCACGTCCATACGATCTCATACTACTTTACTAATTTTCTCCCCAGCCCGGACATGAATACACGAAGGACAATGTGAAATTTGCCGTATCTGTTTCACAGAGTGTACCAGTAAAGGCATTGAAGGAATTCGCAGAGAAGAATAAGGAGACTCAGGGAAAGTTTACTATTGGGGATGAAAAGAAACATAATGTTTTTATGAGAGTGGAAGATCCGGAAATTCAAAAGGCGACGGGAAAGACGGATCCGGTGGAAGTCATGGCAAAATTAAGGGAGATGAAGAATAATTTTAAGTGAGTAAGTATTGGACTTCTCTGTAACTGAATGAAAGATGCATACTGATGGGGATTTTTTAGAGAACCATTAGCAAAGATCTAATGTTGTTGATGTTGATGTGGATTTTGCATGTGGATTTTTCGGGAAAGGGGTTTACAACAAATTGGCAAGCAGTTAGGTAGTTATCATCTATGAAAATTATACATTTATATTCAAATTGCAGTAACATAATACTTGCAAACTTAAATTGAATCTATCTATCAGAATCAGAATTAGAATTAGAAGCGGATGAAGAATGATTCTATACCTAGCTAATTAAGGATTTATTTTCTTTTACCCCTCAACTCACTCACTCGACCATTCATACATTTCATTATACCAGGAGAGAAAATTCCGGAGCACAAACATGAGTTGGGTGATGCATGCATGCATGTATGTGTATGAATGATGTAATGATCCAAACAATTTCTTGATTTCCGGAATATTTGCTCCTTTATCCTATGGTTACGCTTAGGGTTGACATCAATTATCAATAATCGATCATTAATCTGGATATTGTACGTACGTATGTAGGTAGTTGGATTAGGATTAGTAGTGAGATAGTGAGATATTAAAAGGTAAATATCATATGCAGTTGCGGTGGAGAGGGAGATGGAGATAGAGAGAGATATAAGATGCTGGAGTTCTATGATTTAATCTTGGTTTGGTTTTATTTAATATCTAGGTAATTGGAGATATAATTGAAGCAGAAGCAGAAGTGGAATTTAAACCTTAGAAAGTGCACGAGTACAAACGAGTGTACAAATTATTATTTATCTATTTATCTATTTATCTATTTACTTATTACTTACTTAAATACTTGAATACCTAGATATCCAGATACCTAGCTAGTCGAAGAATAAAAAGTAAAATGGCACATCAACAAGATCAAGAACAAGATCAACATCAACCCCTCGCACATGGAGCACCAGGTTCATCGGAACTTAGTTCGAAGGATAAAGTACTGGAGATGGGTGCTGGTATGTTATTTTATTTTTGTTTTGTATTTCGTTGTTTTGTATATTCATTCATCTACTCTTTTGTCTGTGAGGTTATAAACTATTTTACTTTTATACAAATATCTCTTTTCCTTCTTTCTTTTCCGGTAACCTCATTACATACAACCTTATAATAATCCCGAGTCTGGAGATTTCTGTTTATATTCATATTCATATTGGATTTTTCTTTTTTCGGATTTATATCAGAATCAAAGAAGATTAATAATAATAATAACAATACAACACAAACATAGGTATAACGCAAGATTTTGCACCGGTCAAGGCAATTTGTGCTCATCTTAATGCGTTTCATGTTTATGTGGATGAACCGGGGAGGTGTATCGAGGCTAATCACTATTGTACGCATTTGAGTAGGGAGGTGAGTTGGGAATTGTTTATTTTTTGGATGGAAGAGGGGGGAGGGGGGTTCTTTTTGAGGGTTTTGGTGATTTTTGGGGTGGGAAGGGAGGGAGAGAGGGAGGAAGGAGTATGTGGTATGGGGGAGATTGATATGGGGAGGAGGGGGATGGGAGAGATGGGATATGGGATGTGGGATGTGGGATGTGGGATGTGGGATGTGGGAGTGAGGGAGTGAGGGAGTGGGTGATAGGGTGAGGGCGAAGAATGCAATACCGAAAGATGCAGAATAGCTATCAATCTTATGACGAAGTCGTCACTGAGAACTTTGATACATAGTGAAGCTGGTCTACGTTAAAATACTGGGAAACAAAAACAAAGAAGATATCCTGTCACTGAGGGATCAAAATTACTAATTCCATCTACTCCATATCATAGGTCCGTCAATGTCTAATCTACGATGCGCCAAAAAATCCAGCCAGATTAATCGGAGTCGAATATATGATTACGCGAAGATTATACGAGAAATTAGGAGAAGAGGAAAGAAAACTCTGGCATTCGCATGATTATGAGGTAAATTTATTTTTCCTCCCCTTCGTCAACTTTCATTTCCCTTCTATTCATTCCCCTTACATAAAATTTTCTCTGTAATTATCCCAAAATGCGCTGCAGTATATATAGATAGCTAGTTCTTTTTTCCCTTTCTAATACATACATACTAACTACTCAAAAGGTTAAATCTGGCATGTTGATTCTGCCAAATCCTACAGTACCAGATGCAGTTTGGACGATGGCGGAGACGGAGGAAATGAAGGAGATTGTGGGGTTGTATGGGAAGACTTTTCATTTTTGGCAGACGGATAGGGGGGATGAGTTGCCGCTTGGGATGCCGATGTTGATGGGGAGTTTTACGGGGGATGAGCAGGTATGTGGATTTTGTTTTTGGGTTTTGGGTTGGTGTTTGAGGTTGGGGTTGGTGCTCATTGGGGTTGGTGTTGTGGTTGGGGTTGAGAGAGGGGATTTGAGAACGGAGAGATGATGATTTGAGAGTTTTTACTGTTTTTGTTTGTATGATTGACTGACTGACTGGTTGTGGATTAGGTTCCATGGGATAAAGTTAAAGAAAGAGATGAGAGATTTCATGTTGATACGATGAAAAAAAGGGAGGCGAGGAAGGATATCGAGAGTGTGGATATTCATGAGGATGCTGACCAGGTTTGGAAGAAATGAGGAGGGAATGTGGATGGGTTCTTTTCTTTTCGAATGGGATGCTTACTACAGGTGATATCAGTATTTTTATGAGTCCGGTTTGGATGTTCGAGGTGGATGCTATTTTCGACTTGGCAACTCACTAATTATGAGTAATCTGCGGGAAGGAAAAAAAGGGCAAAAATACAAACAAACATTTAGTCAGCACTGATTCGCTATTATTCTTTCTTTACCTAGAATTTGATTTCACTCCACACTTCCTTCCCTCCCTTCTCTCCATCCATCCATCCACTCATCTGGGGGTACTCGCCCAAAAAAATTCTCAAAAAAAGCCAAAAAAAAACGTAATACATCTCAAGTGAACTCAAGATCGCAGAATGCGGCTTCTGTGGATCGAACACAGTGCCTCCAGATTTCAATGAACCGAAGTGTACTTCAGTCTGGCGCTCTCCCAAGTGAGCTAAAGCCGCTTTGGGTGATTGTGTTATTTGATGATTCCTGAACTTCAGTTTAGTACTATATTTTGAGTTTTGATAAGTGTAGACACTAGGGTTTTGGGAGATCGATCTTGAGACAAGCGAGAAGAGAAGAGGGAAGTAAGCAAACAAGCAGAAGTTTGGAGCTGGAATGGAGGTGGGGGACGGAGACCGAAAAAAAAAAAAGGAAAAAGGAAGGTTTGAAAATTTGGGTGCGCTAGGATGTGGAGATGGAGTGGATCTTGGGTGTGGTGGTTAGGGAAAAGAAGGACAAATTGAAGGATATATAATCTGCTGTGGTCATATAATTGTCACATACGACCATAGACTGAAGAGAATTGGGCATCCCGTCCGCTCTGCCATACACAAGCTTCAGATCGGTAGATTAGTAGTTGGGTGGGTGACCACCAGCGAATCCCTGCTGTTGTATGTTTTTTGTGCTTTGTTTTTTTTTGGCAGGTAGTGATGGAGAGGAAATATGTATTAAGCGAGCGGAGTTGAAAATCTTGGATTTTTAGCTCGGAGCGGATCCACACTTCTTGAGGAACGCACTTGAGTACGGAGTATGAGGGGTTTAAATTTTAATTGTGGGGTTTTACTTATTCTGTGCTACTGCTAGTTGTGGATAACCTTTTTGGTTCTTTTTAGCTTTGATTTTTGCTCTTATGGTCCTTGAATGAATCCTAGGTTTCTAGCAACAAATCCGTAGACTTAAAACCATAAACTTCTGATTCCAAAGCGCAGAAGAGAAGACTTTGGAAAATGAATCTAACCTTTCTCCAAAGCATGTCATCTCCCATTTTCCGCCCTCAATCTATAATATCTGATAATAGATCATGAATAGCTAATACTCACCTACACATAATAAACAACCCACAACCTTCTATCAAGCTACTTAACTGTAGCTAGTTAGTACCCACCTCTAAACCTATTGGGTTTATTGAGACCAGAAAGAGCATCAGATTGAATTGATTGATTCTCTAGCTAAGCAGTTAAGCTGCGAGTATATATTCAAAAAATGAAGGAATAAGGTTAACGTAAGTCATGGCGTAATGCGTCTAATGGCGTAATGCGTCTAATTGCGGGGAACCACTCTATTAAAATCTCAATTACTCAACAATCAACTATAATACAATCTCCAATATCACTTTCAGATTCATCTTCAACTTCTTCTCCAATATCCTCTTCAGTTTCAGTCTCATATTCAATTACTTTCCCTTTCCCTTTTCCTTTTTTCATTATCTGTACTTTAGTAGCTTTTTCGGCTTCCACTACTGCATCACATAATTCTTGCGTAGAAATATGAAAATGACCCTTCAAAACTAATCTCTTTCTTTTCTTACATATCGTACATTTCTTCATAATAGCTCGTAAATTATTCACATCGTATTAGTGAACAATACTTTGAGCTCAAAGTTGCTCACTCCCAATCGTCAATTTTCGAATGTATTGACGAACTAGGGTTGAAAGAGTTGTATCATTTTCAATTGTTGAATTTAAAAGGTTATTTGCTGTTTGTAAGATTGCTATATCTGGGGATGAGCTATTGACGAAGACTTGATTAAAAATATCAAATTAGGTTGGTTCTTTGGATATTTTGACTTCGGGGGTAAACTCTCGACCCAGTATACGGAACACTCTCTGTGGATTAAATAAATGTAACCCAGCTCCCCGCCATGCCGATTCGATATTTTGATGATGGCATACATCGGCTCGAGCTTTAATATATGCCTTCATTCATTCAATCTTTTGTATTCGTACAAGTTGAGCTTGATTCAAATCAGAAAGTGCTATAGTGAGCCGTTTTTTCAATGGACCGAAAACCGCAACATCAAGTGGCTGAAGCAAATGCGAGGTATGAGGAGGAAGTATAAGAAGTACAATTCGATTTTGAAGACAGTGAGCTATAAAGCTTCCACTAATATGAGAATCGTGGCCATCGCAGATGAGAAGCCGATATTTGCCATCTGCTTTTGTACGAATTGCAGGTTCGAAAACGTGTTTTAGCTATTCTAATCCATGAAGATTGCTTGTCCAGCTCTTTGTATTTGCTGAAAAGAACCAGCTACCAAGAACTTCCTTCGGAATCCAATTTTGAAGGACGTTTTTACCTTTAAAAATCCCGAGTAATAAAAGAATAGATCCATCCACACAAATACACTCTACTATTGAAATCTATTCTTGATAGCCTGGATGTGCTTGATGTTTTGTACGAAGTGTAGAATCGATAATAATTCAGATTGATTCCATTATCCTAATTGAATATTTAGATTCATCTATATTATATTCGTCTTTCTTCTCAATTCTATAATCCTGAATCGCTTTTTGATATATATCAAATCAAGTACTATATGTTTTCCTGATTGCATCATCTATTCTTACAGATTCAATTCGATAACTAATAACAACTATAAGATAAGGATATTGTTTGATAAATCATAGAACCTATTTATAATTAAGAAGATGTTGTGGTAGGAGTTCAAAGAAGTCAAATGAGGGGCAATCCAAATTATAAGTCTGTTTTGAATGTAACTCCTCAGCCAATTCTTTTAACAACTGATAGCCTGATGAATAACCGCTAATTGTCAATTGCTTTATTCATTTAAGAAATACATTCTCTTGTACAGCAGAAAGTTTCTATTGCGATTGATGTACTTCAGAACACGATGAATCCCCTTTGATACATTGCATCACAATATCTTTAGAAAGCCCTAGTTCTTTTACAGCTTCATATAAAGATTTATACTTTCCATTTTGAACTCCTAATATTGCTTCAACAAGTCGAGATTCCATTTCCTACACTTTTAAACTTTTTCGATGGACTATTGTTGAATTGTTGCTTTTTTGATGGGGTGGTCCCCCACAATTAGACGCATTACGCCATTAGACGCATTACGCCATGACTTACGTTAGGTATTCAGCCTTCGGAATTAAAAGTGCTTTGAAATCAAAATATTGAAAGCAAACAAACAGTATACCAAAAAGAAAAGAATGAATTAAAAGTTGAGTTTTGTTTGCTCCTTATATGCATCATGCAATATATATGCATATGCTGCCAAGATCCCAGGAGGTCAACACAATTTCAGGCGAAACGAACCCTATATCAATTGCAGCTAGTTGATAGACAATTAGCTGGATTGGACGGAAAGATTTCGTAGGAGACTCGCTTTTTGCAAATGAGTATAATTTAGTATAAGGAGGTTATTCAGTTTGATATTGTTCTATTAGGGAATCAATAGATCATCCTGAGAATGTTATAATTGAAAACACACAACCCCCAGATTGATTAATCATCGGAAATTATATCATTTCCGAAAAGAAGCGATCAATGAGATATGCTAGAGCCTACGAGGCTGAATACATACAATAGAGAACTGAAGGCGAACAGCATCACTGATATAGGATGCCTAGTCTAGGGTCCTTCATTAATGATGAAGGAAGATGAACTTTTTATACAAATGAAGAATGAATAGAAGTTGTTTGAAACTACTTTTGTAGAGAAATAGGACGAGATGTCAATATTGGTATAGTACCAGAAGTATAAGAAACTATTCGAAGAAAGAAAAGGTTATGAAGCTTTACCAGAACACAAGTTATAGGATCATAAGATAGTATTAAAGGAAGGCAAGATGCCTTTATTTGGATTAATCTATTCAATGTTAGCCTTTGATCTAAGAACATTTAGGGATTATATTAATGATGTATTAGAAAAAGGATAGATTAGAGAATCTATTTTATAGGTAATTAGCTTTATATTATTTGTATCAAAAAAGAATAGTACAGAAAGATTGTATGTAGATTATCATAAACTCAATAATATAACAATCAAAGATCGATATCTATTTCCATTAGTTATGGAATTGAGGGATCGATTGGGAAAAGCTAAGATTTTCTTCAAGTTTGATCTACGAAACGGATTCCACCTCATCAGAATGAAGGAAGGTGAAGAATGGAAAATAGTATTTAGAATTCGATACGGATTATATGAGTATCAGGTTATGTCATTTGGATTGACAAACGTGCTAACAATGTATATGCACTTAGTCAACAATGTATTAAGGAAATATTTAGATATCTGCTGTATATGCTATCTAGATGATATCCTGGTGTTCTCGGAAATAGAAGAATAATATATTAAGGATGTCTACAAGGTTCTACAATACTTGGAGGAAGTGGACCTTCAATGCAAACCCAGCAAGTGTAAATTCCATGTCACGGAAACGGAATTCCTAGGCTATACTATATTCTTCGGAGGTCTCAAGATGAGTCCTAATAAGATAAAAGCAGTTATGGAATAAGAACCCCCAATTAGCATGAAGGAGGTATAGTCCTTCCTGGGATTCGCTAATTTTTACCGATGATTTATCAAAAATTATTCAAAGATAATCGCTTCAATAACGGAGATTACCAAGAAGAGCTATAGAGAATTCCGACGGATAGAAATAACACAAGAAGCATTCGAAAGCTTCAAGGAAGCATTTGTAGGAGAACCAGTCCTCAAAGTATTTGATCCGGAATTACCAATAATCGTGGAAACGGATTCCTTAGATTATATAATAGGAGCAATATTGAGCTAATCTGGCTCGAATGATAAATAGCAATTAGTCGTTTACTATTCATGCAAATTATCGCTAATCGAATTAAACTACAAAATATACAATAAGGAATTGCTAACAATAGTAGATGCTTTTAGAGAATGGAGAGTGTATTTGAAAGGATCAAAATATATAATGCAAGTGTATACAGATTATAAGAACTTGGTTTACTTTACTACAATAAAGGAATTAAATCGATAGCAGGTCTGATGATCGGAAATTATGGTTGCCTACAACTTCAGAATTTCATATATTAAAGGAAACGAAAATGCTAGAGTAGATACTTTCAATTGAAAACCAGAATATTTATATAAAAAAATACATGAATTATATATAATATTAAAGTAAAATAGCGATACTTTAATTCATAATAAATTATAACTTGCTGCTATATTAGGAGTAAATTATGATATTATCAAGGATATTATAAAGACAGAATACCCAACAGATATTATAATCAAGAGAATCCTAGTTATTTTTAATAATCCAGAAAAAGGATTTATTATCGAAGATGGATTTATTTATTTTCATAGCAAGCTTTATATACCCTTTAGTCTAATTAAGGATTATATTATAGAATAACATGAGTTTCTAGTTTATGAACATTAAGGTATTATAAGAACTTTCGCCAGAATAAGGAGAGAAGTCTACTTTCCAAAGATAAGGATTATAATTGAGAATATAGTTGGGAATTGCGATATTTATATAAGAAATAAAGTCATCTGATATATATTTTATAATTAGCTCAAGATCCCCGAACTATCTACTCAACTATAGAAGTCTATTGCTTAGGATTTTGTAGTAAAACTATTATTATCCAAAAACCTAATTATCCAGAAGGAATACGATTTCATTTTAATAGTAACGAATAAACTAATTAAGTTTGTTTATATAATATCATTCTGTGAAACTTGGATAACAGATAACCTTGCTTATATATTTATAAGAAATATAATTAGCATTTACGATGTACTAGATGAGATTATCTCAGATAGGGACAAACTATTTATATCGAAGTTTTGGTCTACCCTTATAATATTGCTTGAAATCAAAAGAAAGCTCTCGATAACTTTCTATCCACAAACAAATGACCAAACAGAACGTTTAAACCAAACAATGAAAGCCTATCTTCTTTGCTACATCAATTACAAACAAGACAATTGGGTTAAATTATTACCCTTGGTATAATTCGTATATAATACATCGGAAACAGAAACAACAAAAGTGACGCCAACTTATACTAACTTCGGGTTCAATCCATTAGTATACAAATCACTATTGCCACAAGATACAAATGCAAACGAAGCTATAAAAGATATTACGGAAATCAAGGAACTACAAGAACAACTTTCCTTGGATTTACAATTCATCGCTCTAAGAACAACATTGTACTACAATAAATCATGTAGTATAGGATCTACATTTAAAGAGAGGGATAAAGTTTATCTTATTCGAAGAAATATACAAACAAAACGATCAAGCGATAAACTAGATTACAAGAAACTAAAACCATTCAAAATCGACAAGGTAGTCGGATCAATCAACTACAGGTTAAAACTACTATACATCATAAATATCCACCCAGTATTCCATATATCCTTACTTGAACCAACATTACCAGAAACGCCCGACACACCAGTAACGGAAATCGAATTAGTCAATCCAAACGCTATATATAATATTGAAACAATACTAGATTGTAAATACATCAGAAACAAGATCAAATACCTGATCAAATAGTTGGATTACTCACATTCAGAAAACACTTGAAAGTTCAAGAAAGATCTTAGCTGCCCTGAGAAGTTGGAGGCATTTCACCAACGCTATCCGGATCTCTCCAAAAAGGACCCGAAGAATTCTGAAACGAAAAGGGGTCCGAGGGACTCAGGAAAGAAGAAGGATCGAAGTTATCCAACACATTCGAACTAGCGGCAATAGGCCCCAAGGAACCTGTAACCGCTTGCTCTCTCTCTCTTTCCACACACTCATTTTCCAACCTTTCCTTTTCTAACCGCTCCTCTTCCGCCTCAAACTCTTCCAAAGCCTCGATTGTATGAAGATCATACTGAAGCATCTTCCCGGCCTTTTAGCGCAAAACCTTTTGCTGCCTTCGAATCCTCATCCGACGAGCGAAAGCTTCTTGTTCTAGCTTCGCAGCAGCCTCTTCTTCTGCCTCAAGACGAGCTTCTTCACGTGCCACTCGAGCCCAGTTACCAACGGTATAACCATACACATTACAATCACTATTAGATATACTCCTAATGCACTCATCGCAACGAATGGCATTCGGAAGTACCCTGCATTCCAAATTCTTCTCAAAACAACGATTACACTTGAACGACATGATAACACCCTTTTCTTTTGTTCGAAAATAAATATTTTGGCGACTAGCGACGGATTTCGAAGTTCGAATAACACTCATATTAAGAGAAGAGGATGACGAAGAATTATAGGTTAGTGAAGTTATCACACTAATATAAACGCTTGGGACAAGCGCTAGACTAAAAAGGGGATAGTGTTACAACGATTTCGGATCTCATATCATGTGACCGATTATATAATCACATGGTCCCTTAGATCCCCTCGGTCTCTTGATCGAAAGGACCGAGGGGACCAAGGGGACGATTAGCATGAAGGTCTATATAACCAAGATGGATTTCCTTTGTATAGAGCTTCGTGTTCAAGATCAATCATTTAGTATACTCTACTATTAGTTACAAATTATATATCATTATTATCATTACTTTAAGTCCCTGCTTGACGTCTAGTTATAAACTACCTCGAGAGCCTAGAACACTTCCACATGATCTAGACGGCAAACCTCGTAACACCTATCTATCTATCCAACATATGAAAAAAAGTGTAGCCCACCACTATATTAACATGTGTGACGGAAATCCCTGCTTTCCTCCCACCCTTATTATATAAGAAACCTCAGGTACATTAACCATGTCTACACATGATACGATTACTCGAGATTAGTATGCGATTTAGGTGACCTGAGGATCAGATCCGGACAAGTACTAGGTATCAATGGTTATCGGTAAAGTAAGATCATTGGAGGAATAAATATGACTTCTTTTTGCCTAGCCATTGCGGCTAGGCCATTCATTTGTGTAAGGTCACGTACCCTAGGTTAGTCATGTGACGCGGCGTTTGATGATAGTCGTCGTAACATTTACTTGCTCAATCAATTCTTAAAAGAACCTAATAAGAACTTTAAAAGTATCAATTCTAAATATAATTCCGCTCATAAATAAATCCCTGCATACACTCACCTATCACACATCCACAACCACACCTTTACCAAAATCCTCCCCCTCCTCCTCTCGTCCTCTGCCCAAAATAACGCCTGAAAAAAAAGACCAAAAAACCAGACAATTAAACAATTGACCTACGCAGGGATCGAACCTGCAATCTCTTGATTCCGTACACCCAGAATTATTAATCCTGAGAAGTCGTAGTCAAGCGCCTTGCCATTGGGCCAGCAGGCCGTATTATTTGTTTGTTTGTATGAGTGGATTTGGGGTAATTATGTATTTATCCAGAATAGTCTAGTCGGTACAGGGGTGAACTTACTCCGTAGTGTAGTCAAACACCTCTTAACCATACCATGTCAAACATCTCATATAATCTCTCCTCCCTCACACCAAAAAATCACATCAATAAGTATTTGATTACAAATAGGTGGGTAGACATTGTATTTAAATCCTATGCTATCCTATTCCATTCCATTCCCGTTTCCCTAAAAAAGATGCCTATCCACCACTCCATCCATAATACAGTGGGTCAGTCAGACTACTGCCTAAAAAAAAAAGAAGACTGCGCTATTCGCATGCTGCAGGGTTATCTCAAAAGAAGAATGAAGAACAAAAAAAATAGATTTACAAAACATATAATATTGATTACAGGCGGAAAAAGGAAAAAAATTTGACTGTTAAAGTCCCGGTGATGATGGTATCTCAACTCGCTCTTCTCTTTCTTTCCCTCTTTTCTTCCTGTACTCTTCCTCTTTATGACGCAATTCAACATAAAATCACTAATGCTCAATTAGAGCCTCCATACGTCATAAAATCCTGCGTGAAGGTTTTCCTTCTAAGGTAAAAAAAAAAGTAAGTCAAGGAATGAGGGGGAGGTATATTAACAAATAGTGACTATCAAAGTCGTATGAGAAGAATTAGAAAATTGAAATATTCTTGTTCAAAGGAATGACGATTGTGGTTATTATTGTCCATAAGCTGCCCAGTGGCTATGAGCTTCTCGTAGAACTAAATTTGCGTTAGTAAATGTATTGGAAAATAGTATAATAGAATTCAATATACCATTTAAAGTGTTTCCCTGGCTAGCTCGATCTTCGCATGCAATTTGTAGCTCACCACCTTCCAAGAAAGCTAACACAACACTATTTGGTAATTCTTGCATATCAACATCAGGAATTTCAGGAGCTCTAAATTCACCAAGATGAAATCTTCGTGTTGCTCCTTTATCATTTGCACCGGCTGTGATGATTAGAAGCCCTTGAGTATCCAACACCATCGATCTACGCTTCCATAAAAGACTATCAGGGAATTGAACGTTGACATCACCAAGATCATTAGCAATGGTAGGTGAAGCTGCCAAGGATGGTTGGGGTGGAACAGATGAAGCTTCCTGACCAGGAAACACTGGAGGTTCCGATTCCTCACGGACCGTAGGTGAGATGGCATGTGCAATGGCTTTGCGACTTGAAGATAGAGATGAAGACATGCGCTTCATGATACGACTTGCACGACCAGACCTTTTGTCAGACTTATCATCATTTACAGGAGATGTTGAGCTAGCCGATGGCGGCGGAGAGAACTCGGAACGTTCAATGCTGCGACGACTGCTGACTGAAGAAGGGCGAGATCTCCGAGCAGGGGATATAATATCATTGGAAGAAGGTTGTGATGGCGACATAACGGCCGGAGAAGATGCGGAAGGTTCAATAACAGAAGAACGTCGGCGCTCAGAGAGCGAAGAACGTCGGTCGTTGATGAGGTCTTTGACCATTGCAATAGATGATCGCCTCTCATTATTAGTGTTTACGGTAGTTTTCGAGGACGTTGATAAACGCCTCTCGGTTATCGTGTCTTTCGGAGGACTAGAAACCGCCTTCTGGTGGTCTATGATCAGTGGTGATTCTTGTAACGCAAGAGCATTGGATTCCGAAGGATCTTTGCCAATTTCTGGCATTTGAGGAAATGGTTGATTAGGGTCTCGTATGATGCGAGCAGTTACCTGAACAGATTCAGGTCGAGATCGAGTCGTCTTGAGTTCGGAAGCGGGCGTAGGCTTCAACAAAGCAACTCTTTTCTGAATAGAACTTGCTCTTTCGCGCCCTCTAGAAATCTCTGGCGAACCCTCTCGTGAAGTACTAGGATTTGGTGTATTCTTATTTAAAGAATTTGTACGATCGGCAATGGAAGGAGCTCGTGATGGAACAAGAACAGTACTTCTTTTGACAGAAAAGAATGCAGGGGCTGCAGTTGGACTTGGCCCTAACGTTGATGGTGCTGCAGAAGACTCCGGTGCTAGATTTTGGAATTTCTCGAATGCTTTAATCCTGTTCGCAACACCAGACCCTACACTGATCTTTTTAGGGATAACCGGTGCGGCAGCAGGTTGCGCGTTTATACGATTTAAAAAGTTTGCTGAAGCTGACACAGGCCGAGAAACAGGTCGGTCACCACCAGGTCGCGCAGAGAGAGGTGAAGGATTCGCATTTGCTAATTGCAAAGGACTTGAGACAGTTCTTGAAAATTTTATCTCGTTCTGCGCGGGCTGAGGAAACAAAGGACTAATTGGAGATTTGGCCACCGACATGGGCTTTGCATCTTCAATTACAGCAGACTGCAGTTCATCCATTAGCTCGTCATCAGAGGAGAAGTTGTCCTCCGAAGTATGGCTACTCTTATCAAAACTAGTTCGAATTGGCTCAATACGGTGGACTTTCTTCTTTTGTGATAGAGTGTATCCAGGAGCGAAAGGACTCTCCAGCAAGCTTTTCTCGGATGATTTGAAGATAGGCTCGCTGGCAGAAGTCTGCAAAGGCTCAGATTGAGTATCTGCAATAGCATTTAAGTCTTGAGCACTAGACATGATAACTGGGGTTTCTGCCGATTCAGGTTTGACCTCAGATATCACATCAGATTCGGGATATTTTTCTTCGTTTGACACCGTGGTATCCGTTAAATTATCCTTTACTGTATCTTGGGAGACAGAATGGGTAACAACGGTAGCCATTTCCTCAGTGCCTTCGTCGGCTATTTCTGGAGTTTGCAGTGATATTCTTACAACTGGCCCCCTTTCAGTAGTTTCCGACGAATCAGCAGGGGAGAATTCTTCGGCCATGTTATCTTTGGTCATTGGCTTGTTAGACAGCTCTTCTTGGACAGTTTCATCTGTCAGCTCTGAAATAGAAGATGCCCTTGTTGATTCTGCTTTTTCTGAAGGCCCAACGGGGGATACTGGGTAGGAATCGGTTCTTGTAGCATCCGAGTCGTCCGTTTTTAGGGTGGAGTTGGTGTCAAGTATGATTGCGGATTTGTCTGCTTCGGCCATATTAGTTAGCAAAGCCAAGGTATCTTGAATTTCCTGCGGGGCGCCTTGTGATGTTGTTAGGCTTAGTGCGGAAGGTATCTCGAGATTTGCGGTGGACGCTGAGGACTTTGGAGAAGAGGGTGATGCTTGTGCAGGTGCGCCTGTACTCATCTGCCTTTTCCGCATTTCCATAGCCTTCATAAGTCTTGCCTTCTCTGGAGTAATTGTTGGGACCTTTGCACTGGGAGCAGCTGACTTCGTTGATAATGTTGATCGAACCGAGGCCCCGGAGCTGGTGTTGGGCCGTCCACCACTTGTGTGAGGGCGCGAAGGGAGAAGCGTGGGTAAGGTTCCATTTTCAGGAATAGAAGGTGGTGACAAACTCATACTGGGAGGCTCTCCAGAATCCTGCGAGCTTAAACTCGCTCGCCCCTTTTTCGATCCCCCCTTTGTAGATATTTTCAACCCCTGTGGAAGGGTTGACACAGGACGATAGGTAGAGGTTCCTCCAGCTGTGGTGGTTTTGCCTACATCGAGAGAAGGGCGAGGTCCAAGTCTGACTTTAGGTTTGCCGTTAAACTCGTAAGATGCGAGACTGTACAAATCAGGTCGTGCCGACTGAGATGATTTACGCGGTACTCCGTCGATTGTTGTAATAGGTGACGAAGATCCCAAATCAATTTCGCGCGGCTCCCTTGGAGGAGGCGGAGAAGTATCAAGATCGAAGCTCAAAGGTGCTTTATTCCGTGGAGGAGGAGGAGATGTTTCGAGAGTGTTGCCCCCTTCTGCAACCAAGGAAGAGAAAGTAAATGAATCTGGTAGATCGGATGGCAGGGTGGTCGGATCAACTGTTGGCTGGGTCCCAGATGTTGAGGTAATAGTTTGTGCGGTAGGGGGGCGCTCCTCCTGAACTGTGGATTGCCTTTTTATTCTAATATCCTCCTCCTCATCCTCTGCAATTTCCATTAAACGTCGTCGGCGCAATGAACTAGTCGAAGATGAGACCGATCCGGAGGCAGTATGTAGTGAGCATGCGGCAGAAAGAGTCGTATCACGGAGCTCTTTGGCCGTGGTTATTTCGAAAATAGTATGGTATGGAGCGAACTTTTCGGTAACAGCATTAAAATGAACCGTGACGCGAGCTATCAGGTTATCAGATTTTAGATTTCAAGGTGAAAATTTGAGATAGAGATCAACAAGGGGAACCCACCTTGAACCAACCTTGAACATCCATCTGGTACATATTTGATGACTACGTTCCGTCGCCTATATCGTAGAAACCCGAACAGCGGTGATGGTTCCTCATATTGTCCAATTTTATTTCTTATTTCCACAATTCCTCCGTTGCCACGGCCCAGCAACTCTATTTCGTCTCTCGAAGCATACTTTAGAAGGAACCTACAATACAGGCACAATATCAGTTCACCATATCACGGCACAAAGTGGACAACAAAAGATACAAGATATTGAATAAAAGCATACCATCCTCCCGGCTCAGCTACCGCAGCGTCGTATGCTTCTTTGACCGTGGCATCATCCAAGCCATTGAGCGACATTTCCTTGCGATCCTGCTCGAAATTTGTGGTGGATCAGGTAATTCTACCAAGCTTCCAGTGTTAAACATTCGACTCAGGGGTAATCGTATCTGTACATGATATATCGTAATGCAGCTTCGTCCGCAAGCCCGCAGAACGAATCGCAATCGGCAGCCCAGATAATTGGCAGATTCCCAAAATGCCCCCAAAATTTCGGAAGCAAGGAAAGCAAAAGGAAGGAATTGAAGCCGCTGTAAGGCGTGTAAGGGACTTTGAAGCAAGTAGAGTGATTATCGGAAATTATTAGTAAAAAAGCTTCCAGAATGCGACAAAGTCAGAATTCGGGGGGTTGTTAAGTTGTTCTGGCGTCTGCGCTTAAAATGGCTAAAAGCTTCTAGTCGCGAATTGAAGATCTTAAGGAATTTAGGAATTAATAGTAAGGAATTCCCTTTTGAGTATATAAAACCTAGGTCCAACAGGTCATGTGTAAATGGGATCACGATTATGATGTCGTCGATGACTTTATAAGATTCAATAATGCAACAATTCCCCTTTTCACAACTGAAATTTCCCCCCGCCTTTCCGATAAGTATTTCTCTGCTTTATCTGGGGATTGTTATTCACGCCACTGAGAGTATGACAGTGTTCACCGGGAGGTGCGGTGCTTTCCTCTCGCACAGATGAAGCAAATTGACCAATCATTTGGATCTGATTTCGATGAAGTCTTCAATGACACCTTGCACGTCTTCTGAAATGGGATGAATGATAAATTGGTTGATCGTACTCTTTACTCTGAATGGGTACCTACCAATTTTCTGAATCGACTATCATGATCAGACTGGTCGAATGGTAGATTGGTAGATTGGTATATTGCTTCTTGCCTGTTCATTAAGCTACTACCTAGTACTGGTACAAGACCACAACCATCGGATCATTCACAAGTTATTTTAACCTCGCTCACTATCCACTATCCACTGTCCACTATCCACCACACTGCACTATCCACTTACAACTACTCTGTACAGTCCCTGGTGTACCTACTAATAACACAAACCTCACCCTATTCAATCTTAGTGATTATTTCAAATCACCGATAACCACGTTATTTCCACGAGAACCCCTGCAGTTAATGATCGACAACTCGGTAATTGTGTCATTTCTCGGTTGGTCCACATCTGTCTATCTGCAACTTTTAAAATAACATCATTTTGGCTGTTGTCCGGCTTGACAACTTGACTACGAGATCTAATTATCTACCGGGTACTAGGGAGGAAGGATATACAAAAGTCCCTCATCCAGCAAGCTTCGCTTTCAATTTCAATGGTGGGATGTTAAAAGTGCTTGTGCGATGTTGCGACAAGTATGCGGGATCCCCTTTTTGTAATATTGTGCCAAAGCGTTGCTAATACATCCATCAGCTGAAGAACGTTGCGGGAACACCGGTCGAATGCTAATGATATGCTACGCACAAAAATCTCAAATGTCAGAAGACCTTGCAATGTCTCTTATACGTTCAGTATTTCTGCAAGCTATGGCATTGGAGCAATATCTTACAAAAATTTGAATGGTACCGTCGTTACAATCACCATCATCCCCACCTGGCTCGACGGGCATCTTCATAAGCAGCCTCACTGCGATCTGCCCATTCAACCTCGGGGTCGATGCGTGATTCGTGTGGATGGTACACTTCCTTAAACCCTGTGAAAGTACATTTTCCCGCAAAATCACACGTGAACGTGCCAGAAAGCGACTTTTCCTTATCGTTAAAAGTGATGCTTTCCAATCTTTTATCAGAGCCAAGCTGAATCTCTCCTTCACCAGTCTCCTCCCCACGCCACCGGTACTGCCAAGTGGGTTGCCGAGCCGAAGGCTTATCGTTAGCTCCTAGAAAAAATGCGCTTTCTCTGCAGCTATTCGGATCATTACCATTGGCATCATATTGAGGGATATCGCTCATCAAAATGTCTCCATCTTCATCCATGTAAGCATCTTCTCGTTTCCTCTTACCACGCTGCGAACGTGGTATAGGGATGGGCCTTTCAAATCGCATGATTCCCTAATGATTAGATCAGTCTGTGGACACAAGAAATGAGTGCATGATCACGAAATACCTCTACAACTATAAAGTGAAACATTGCAAACATTTGTTGTCTACCGTTCTTGTTCTCGACATAAATATCAAGAGTAAGCTCCGAGTCTTTTTCTCCCCACTCGTCCTCAATATTTGGGCATTCGATTACATAGGAACCTCGAACATCCCATGTCCCTTCTGATTTGGTAGCATCTGAAATAGTTCGGGAACCGCTGGCCGACGTCCGTGCTCTTTTTGTAGCTGGCAGTTTGACATCGTCTCCATCTTCATCACCATCTGAAAAAAGGTTTGGGTGAGTGCTAGTACTTGGTGCAGTCTTTCTAGCTGTAAATAGTCCTGGTCGTGGGGTAACTGGTCCTGGGCGTGTAAAATGAGAATCACTGTCGCCAAATAAATCATCATGAATGGCTGTGCTTGGCGCATTTTTCCTAGCTTTCTGTCTCTTTCGCGGCAATGGTAGGATTGGGCGTGCGGCATGAGTTGCCGTTTCGCCAAACAAATTATCATGCGTCCCTGTACTTTGCGCAGATTTTCTGGCTGTCTGCTTTGTTGGACCTCCAAGGGGCTCCTAAGATAGGAAAGACTTAGCTCTGTATTTTATAAAAATGAATCTATCGACGATAGCATGGTATTTTGTGGAAGCCAAACACCTTATGTAAAACGACTCAATGCAGAAGGATGGGAATATGACAAAGATGAAGCAAAGCCATGCTAGTCAAAATGGAGGTATCTTCGAATTTGCACACTGATGCGAATATGACTAATAGGACGTTCATATGAAAGTCCTTGCAAAATAAGCTAGCCAAATGTCCAATCTCAGCTCAGAAATTGGAACAAAACCAAAACTTGCAAATTCAAAGAACTTTGGCGGTGATACCATTTTAGAAGGACCAACCTTGGATGTTTGTTTCTCTCTAACTTTTGGCATGTCTTCCTTAGGCCGAGCTGCTGGCCGCTCAATCTCACGCATTTGATTCCAGACAGCATCTCTGCTTCTTCCTATGACGATCCAACGATCTGGAGAAGGCCGTATGTTGCCGACCCAAGGGGCATCCACCGATACAGACTCCAATCCCATCTTATCAGCAGCTGCAGCTAAGGCGGCTCGATGTTCAGTTTTGAGAATGACAATATCCAGATTTGCTGGGCGGCCTGTGGCAGTTTTCGGAAATTCTTCACTGAGGTATTTCTCTGGATTTGCTTCAGCCTTCTCCTCGGCCGTTTTTAATTTTTTCCATCCACCATCTCTCGCAATTTTATTTTGTTTCTTAAAGTCTTTGTTCAATTGGGATTCTGCAGTCTTAAGTTCCGGGATCATTTTCGCTTTTGCTTCCCTCAACCTCAACTGCAAATCGGCGATTGATCCAGACTGGTTTAGTCCTCTAAAAGCGCATTGAGCTCTCCACCATCCTGCTGGCTTTGTTTCAATACCTTTAGTATTACCTGGCTTGGGGCTCTTTGAGGGTAGCAGTTTTTCAGCGTGGGGATCGTAAGGGTAGCCATCTTTATGTAGTCCTTCTCCGCTACATGTGTAGGTGACAGATTTGAATTTGTGCTCGAATGGTAGAATGACAATAGGATGCAAGTCTACCATGATGCTGGAGAATTGGTTGGTTTGATTATTTTGATGATTTTACCCGATGGCTAGTGTGCTTCGTGTCGGTATTAAACGTCGAAATATTGCTGCGAAAACTTGAGTATGAATAACAGAAATTAAATGATATCAGTGACCCTAACTGAACCTAGAAGACTTGAATCTTAGTATTAGGATGCTCAGAAAATGTACAAAGAATTAAGAAGAAAAAATAAATAAAATTGTTACTATTATTGCATGTGAGTACTAGGTATTGTATGGAAACCACGCGTTTTGGGTTCGGCAGCCTGACGTCGTTGACCAGCCCAGCCTTGCCGCTAGCGCGTGATCTTAGCGTGGCGGGCACCAAAAATTCATCAGGCCCGCCCAGCTAGAAGGCAAAGATATATTAGCATCAACAAATTGAATTCAGACTGGTACGCGATAGTTCACACGATATTGCCCTCCTTTCTCTTACGAATATAAAATATAAGATTTCGCAAAGATGGTTGAATTAACAGAAGTTGAGGATGAGTCCTTTGAGCAAAAGCAAGCCGGTCCATCTGAGGATGATTACTACACTGATACTGGTTAGTCTTACCGTTGACTTTGATGACCTCTACGTTTAGCTAATATACGTGTAATTCCAGATTCTGAGATCTCCTCCGACGAAGAGGACAATGTCGCAGACGAGGAGACCTTCGCAGATCGCATAAGTGCCCTGAAAGATATAGTACCTGCGTCAACTCGATCTTATATTTCCAGCAAGGTGGATACAACGACAAGCTGGATCAAATCGAGTTTAATGTTTGGAGGCAAGACTTTATGGGTTGTGAGCACAAGTGCTTTGTTACTGGGAGTTCCCTGGGCATTGGCATTTGTGGAGGAGCAGCAGGTAGTTGAAATGGAGAAGGAGATGAAGATGAGAGAGATGGGTGGAGAGGTATGTCATCCCAGCCCATTGCACACAGATTTGGTTTTGATACTCATACTAACATTTACTTGCGATAGTTACTTTCCTCGGGCACAGACACAGCAGGACAGTTGAACGCACAGCTCGGCGCACAACAAGGGAAGCCAGCATTGTAATGAATGAATCTGCGACGATACGATACAAAGGAATGGGCCCAATGGATGGAGATACGATAGCATTGTACATCAGTGAGTGGCTTTTGAGGGGGTTGCATGATTCAAAAGGTTTATGGCCACAAAACATGTGTTGTATTTCTAGTTCTTCTCACCTCATGAACAAATAATTTCTTCAGTAAATAGTCGAGCATATTTACAAGATCCAGTTCAATGTCAAATTCAATATTCAAGGTTCAAGCCGTCAAAGCTTTTAAATTTTTCCCAGGTTTATCGCTTTAGCCGCCACTCTCCGTTATCATGAATCTGCTAGGATCATATCCTGGTGTTGGAGTTGATATCATGGGTCCACTCCGCCATAATATGCGTTTCAGCAATTCCATTATTGTACTCATAAGTGAATATTTAGCCTTCAATCTCTATCCCTCAACTCACAAACCGCAGCACTTTCTCTCATTTCTTCTTGACCTACGAGGTTGAATCTGCAAAATGTCGAGAACACCATTATTCTTGAACTTCGGTGGAGATTCAAAACGAAACCGTCAAATGTCTTGGTTATTGGCAAGCTCATCCAGAAGGAAAGAGCGGAGGTAAACCTAACATTTTGTTTGTTGATCGATAGGGGCTGACAATGAAAACAAGGTGGCCTTTGGTTTTGAGATTTTGGAAGGGTTCCATCCATTCCGGTACGACCTTACGCATACATCAAAGTCCGGAGACGAAACTAACCAATGATCTATACAGAGGTCCTCTGGCCGGTTGCCATTCTCTCTGCTATATCTGCTATTGTTGTATATTTGAACCAGCACATCAGCAGTGATGTTACGCTTCCAACCAGTATTGTAAGTGCTCTCCTCCCATCTGCGACTAGAAAGCGGAATCTAACTAAAGCAAGGTCCCTTCACTATCCATTGTCGTGGGTCTAGAACTCGTTTTCCGCAATCAAACAGCATATAATCGTTTTTGGACCGGCAGATGCCATTTCAGCACCCTCACAACTTCAATTAGATGTCTCACGCGACATCTACTTGTACTTGTGCCGGCACCCGCTCCGCCCGATTATCAATACGATTCATCATCTACACAGGAGGACAGTACAAACAGTTCAGCATATAAGGATTATGATGGTGCGGCAGATGTAAATCATCAACCACTATCCAAAGCGCTCACAGCAAAGACGATTGAAACAGTAAAGATTATGATTGCGATGCTCTATACAGTGAAGAACCATTTGCGAGCAGATTGGGGTGTGGAGCTTAGTGCTGGAACGACGTTAACGGAAGACGGTGAGTTTTTCTGGCCGGAGGAATACAAGGAATTGTTACCGCAAGGCTTTAAAGGCCATGAACACATGGGATTGGGCTTGACATTACAGTTGGCTACGTACGTCGAGAAATTTATCAACATTGGTTGTAATCTGTGAGTCACAACCATTGAAGTTCTCATTTTCAGTACCTATCTAACGAACATTTTACACTCAGGAATTGGTTTAATAATTCTTCTTCGTCAAATATGCTTCAAGAACTGAATCAGTTCATTTCCGCATATGGAAGCATGGAGGTAATTCGACTCGCGCCTACGCCCGTTGCACATCTCATCCATTCCAAGCAAACACTTGCGCTCTTCTGTTGCATTTTACCGTTTGCGATGGCGGCTGAGATTGGCTGGTGGACAGTGCCCCTCGTCGCATTTGTAGCCTTTGCTCTTTACGGTATCGAAGGAATCGCTCAGTGGCACGAGGATCCGTTTGGAAGGGACAAGATCGATATAAATATGGACGACATTGTGGATGACGCCAGAAGGGAAATTGAAGTAATGTTGGAAGCCTGGAAAACTCAAGGGCTAAATGGAAAAGGGCTTTTCACACCGAACTTGAGTGCACCATTTACGCCAAGAGCGGAATATGGTACTCTAGGCTGAAATACGTACAAGAGACAGTAGGTTTGGACATAAAGGGAGGATATGAAATTGAGTTTTACATCCATGTTTGCTTCACCAGCGGGTGCGTGGATTTATAAAATCATTCCGAAGTTTTTGATATCCCATGATTATTTCAATCTACAAATGATTCTATTCCAATCGAATAATCTCATTGTTTGATATACATTTGGATGTTGTGATCAGGCCTTAAAGTGTGCAAATAGATATTGGAGAAGTATCAATGTAGACTTTATCCTTCGAGTCCGTTCACCCGCTGGTGGTTGTTCGCTACAAGCATTTGCGGGATGGCAGATGCCCTATTTTGTACCATCTGGTTTCTGGTACACCAAGAATGAGGTAGATGATATTCGAGGTTATGATTGTTATTTTGGAGTTTATTTCATTTGAGGGATCTTTTTGGGGCACCATTCCCTTCCCAGATTTGTCATCTAGAAAGCCCGCAGGGTTTAGAAGTTTCTTGAATATTACGAGTAAAGTTCCGTATTGCAGTTATTTATAAGCTATTGTGCTCTATCTCGTTTGGTAAGCCGAGACTTTTAAAATCGGTTAGTTGATATGCTGCTGATGATCTCATAAGCATCCTCGCATTCGCTTGGCCCACTCCTGGAGGTTATATTTTCTAAATCCGGGTTGAGGTGCGGTAGGTACGTACATGACAAAGCTACATGCGTCTAGATATCGCTTAATTGTCTGTATTGCGTTTGGACAGAGTAAGTCATTGGTCAATTAGATAGTATGTTGATTCATATTGAAATGCTTTTTCTGACTATGTTATAGGAATGGAAGTTTAATAATCAAGGCTGATTTACATGGCTCTGTTTTTATATAAAAGGTTCATTGCGCTCTGTAGAATTCGAAGTGAGAGTCTACCTACCTATGAGACTTTGAGCAAAACAACATGTCCCGAGAAATCATGCGTGCAATTGGTAAGTTGACAAAAACTGTTATACTTACTTGAGTGTGTTGTCTTAGTGAGTAATATGACTTACGAAATACATACAGATATTGAGAATGGGAGCGGACCAATTTCGAGTCTTTTTCTAAACGACAATGTTCCTAAACCCATACCTTCTACATCTCAGGCTCTGGTTAAGATTCATTCTTTTGGTCTTAATCGGATGGACTTGATGCAACGTGAGGGGAAATATAATGTGCCCCCGCAAGCGGGAAAGATTCTAGGTGTGGAATTTTCGGGAGTGATCGAGGAACTTGGGGATGGAGATGTAGGGGATTTTAAGATTGGGGATGAAGTTTTTGGACTCGCGTATGGAGGTATGATGTTTCATTTGTATGACTTTCTAGATACTGATGGTTGGACGAAATAGGAGCATATGCGGAATATCTGGCATCATCGACGAAGATGCTCATTCATAAACCAGCTGAGATGCCTTGGTCTGTAGCTGCTGGAATCCCTGAGGTATCTATTATTGTCTCTGTGTAATCAAAGCTAAGTCTAACAAGATACCAGACATGGATAACGGCAACTCAAGCTTTGCACCTCGTAGGATGTTTCAAACCAGGAGATAATGTCCTCTGGCACGCTGGAGCATCCGCTGTATCCATTGCTGGAATTCAATTATCTAAAGCTGCTGGCGCCAACAAGATATTCGTGACAGCCGGTTCTGATGAGAAGATAGCGTTCTGTAAGAGCTTGGGGGCTACACATGGCTTTAATTACCATACGGAGAATTGGGTCCAAGAAGTGCTAGATGCGACTGATGGACATGGAGCCGATGTAATTGTTGATTTTATTGGCAAGAACTACGCTCAGGGAAATCTTGAAGTAGCAGCTATGGATGGAAGGATTGTCCAACTGGCTAGTCTTAGCGGGTACAAACTTGATGGCTTGGATATTGGCCCGCTTGAAAATAAGCGTTTGCGATGGGAGGGCAGTAGATTGAGAAGTAGACCTTTGGAATACCAAGGCAAACTGAGAGATGTGCTGGCTGAAAGTGCGCTGCAAAAATTCGCTGATGGAACTTTTCAGGTTCCTATCGAGAGGGTTTTCTCTTGGAAGGATATTAGGCAGGCACACACATTGATGGAAAGCAACCAATCGAAGGGGAAGATTATCTGCATGGTCAATTGATGACGTAATTAGGCGCAATAATATTGGTGGTACAACAGGTAGTCTGCTGGGACCGCGATGAATTGTACTCCGGCCATTTGACGCGTTGTATGGCATTGACGTATAATAAATCCATGAAGAAACTCTTCTATCGATAAAAGAATGTCACTTTCTGAGAGCACTACTTAAATGCCTTTGAGAAAAACTTGGCGAAAATACACTCCAGGCAGAAGACCGATTTATCAAACATGCAATACAAATGCAATTGCGATGTAAGTTTGACGACAGCAAAGAAGTGGGGCTCTAGGCTCAGACTATATTTTAGCTCCGTACACCCTGAACCTTCACTAATTTCAATCTTCACCTCACCTCACTCACGCACCGCAAAGGGAGCGATTGTTGAAAGTTCCTAATTCCAATAGAATCACAATTACCATTCCCTTCCCCGCTAATCAAGAATTCTTCATTTCACCTTGACGCAAAAATCACGTCGCCAACAGCTCATAATGCTGCCAAGATTCACCGAACGCCAAATTCGTAATGAATACTGCCCGTCAAGGAAATGAAAATCATTCGATATCGGAGTTCAGGGCAACATCCACCCAGTAAGCTGGGATGGATTCTGGAAATGAGAAAATGAATCAAGTGTCATCTCATGTTCTCGGACTCCCTGGCCAGCTCCATAATGATCAATACCGCGCCTCAAATGGAAACCAAACTGGGTGAAACGACCCCCGTTGATTCCTTGAAAACCAACTGAAGCATAAATTTTGTAGCTCGGTTATGGTGCTACAGTATCAAGCAAAAACGACGTTGTCCGTCTGATGCCCTCTTAACTCCATTTGCAACCTCCAATCCATCTTTGCTCTGACGTATACTTCTGTTCTCCTCGGTATCTAGAGTGGATTCATGCGTAATGCTCAATTGCATTGCAATTTCTATTTCTTCTTGAATCATCTCATCCAATGTTTGAAGTCGGCCTGAGAAAGGCTCGACTGGAAATTGTACTGGTTCAGATGAGTGTCGAGATTCTCTACGTGGATTTGAGACCTCTTTGTGCAAATTCGTCGCAACTAAATCTGACGTAGGTGAAGCCCTCTGCAATTGCACCTTTCTAGGCACTGATTGGGATTTTTCTGATTCTTTCTGCAATATGTGCGAGTGTCCGCTTAATGTGGACGCTTTCGAGGAGTGTCCGGCCAATGCTCGTGCTGATAATTTGGCCCTTGCCTTCTTGTCCGTGAGTTTTTGTCTTAGTTGTCTCCGGTGCTCTACTCTTCGTTGTATTGTCAGGATCCCCCAATCTATGGCTCTCTTGTCATTTGTAGTGTTTGGTCGGTCTCTATCTGCAACATTATGCCTTGGGCGCGATTGCTCTCTGGGTTTAATGATCTTTGGTGGTTCGTCTGATTTGGAAAGAGGTTGTTGGCATGGTGATTCTGTTATTTCTTTCTGTCGATATCCAGTTTCTGCTTGGTCCGATTTCTGATTTATTTGAACAACAATGGCTTCATTTTTATCCAAAGCTTCGTCATCCTTTTTCATACGTGAAATCCCCACTTTCTTACCAGGAAATTCCTCAGCTGGCCCTAAATTCATTGTCAGAACTCACCCTATTCAATGACCCTTCTCCACTCACAGAATTGACGCCAAAAGCATTGATCTGCTTCATAAAATGCCTTTTCTGTGCTGGCTCTGACATATCCTCGACTGTATTTTCTATAGCAAATCTGGTATAGTCGTGTTGCTTTCTCTTTCGTGTAGGCAGGCTTGAAACTTTGATCACTGACGAGCTTGGCTATCATAAAGTCTCCGCACGATATATAAACCATAACGAAAGAGCAATTGAAGTGGTCTTATAGCGATTTGTTTATTGTGTTTGACTTTTGTGGTTGTGTATGTAGTGAAGGAGATTTTACTTGGAAGATGTTTTGTATGCCAAAATAGGTTGAAGCTGAGAAAAATTTAGGTAGCAAATTTCGAGTTTTGAGGATGAAAGTAAAAAATTAAAGTTGTGATATTTTAATTGTTCTCGAGAGGTTGCTTAATGGCTCGAGCCAATTTCATCATCTCAGGTGCATCAGAAGGCTTACAAGTACCTCTTAACCAATATCCTTTGGAAAGTCCTGTGTAACTCTGGCTACGATGTACAATTATGCGTAGAGTTCCATTAGGCTATCCGAAAACCTCGCAGTAATACGGAAGACAACGAAACCATTCCTTCCACATCAACTTTCTACCCCTCTGTATCAAATCTCAAGTTGCGCCAACGCCTGCAAACCCAATTTTGCTTCGTCATCCTTTGCCTCATGGTCCTCAGTCTGCTTTTCCTTCTGTGCCATTCGTGCAAGCTTATCCCCAACACTCTTACTCCACGCCTGAGCTTCCTGAGCATAAAACTCCCGATATCTACATTGTTGCTCACGAAATCTCTCCTGTTCCCCAGCTCGAACACGAACATTTGCAAATGCCCTAAGAATAACTTCTTTATCATGCGAATCCAATAAACAATTCTCTCTAGGATATTCTTCCTGGGGCCCTAGGTTTTCGTTAGTATTTTTTTCATAGTAGAGGGAAGATGACAATCATATCATGATACGTACAGTGAGAACGCCAGAATAATTTGTCGGCCATGAATGTGATTGTGCTTTCGCTAGCTCCTGCACATACTTCTTCCATCTTGTTGCGATGCCGTGCATAATCTCTCATGGCTATCTCCATGCTGCTAATATGTGTTGCTTCGTCAATTAATCGGTGTATCATGAATTCCTTGAGAGATGGGAGGGACAGGAAGGAATGCGGCATTGTGGTATCCGGCCTAGTTGAATAGGGAATTGGTGGTCTTTCTGTAGTCGCATGAGGCATGTTGTGATGTGGATATTTTGAACGAGTTGTGAGGTTAGAGCTGTTTACAAGTTCTCTTGATGTTGGATAAAAAGAATCTTGAACTCGAATGGGAGATGTTAACCTCGACTAATAAATAGATAAAATTTGAAATCTGAATTTAATCTAGGCAGCTCACAAACCGTGCCATATTCTTCCGTCATCGAATCCCCCTAATTACCTACCTAGTAGATACCTAGATAAAAGACAGGCTCTCCCACATAATACCAAATAAACAATCAGTAAAAAATGAATTTTTTAACATCCGAAATATCCCGTCATCATCATTCAACGGCCCGTAAATCACATTTATTATACTACTAGGTACTATAAATTACCACCGACCTTCTCCCATGCATATATCATTCCATCCCATCTCACAAACACTCCGAAAACCCGACCTCCCCGAAATACAAATGCCATTTGTAATTTCCGATTACCTATCAAAATTCAAATTTAAATTTAAATTTAAACTTGTTCCTAGAATAGGTACTTCTGAGATGTATACTAGGGAAGCGGACCAGTAAGAGCTATTGAAGTATTTGATTCGGATATCTTGATTGGTAGCTACGTACTATAAGTAGATATCCCCTTCGACATGGCTTCGAAGTTCGATTCGAGGTACAATGTTCGAGGTTCTTTGGATCGGCTGTTGGAGGTGTTGATCTGGATCTGGGTTTTGGGGCTTGGATATTTATATGTATAGATACCTAGGTATGTTGCTGGAATAGTGAATAGTGAATATGATGTGGAAAGTGAGAAGTGGCTTTAATTTTGTTTTGTACGATACAGTAGTCTGTTTACCTAGGTACCTAGTAGGAACCTTAGGTGTGCAAGTGCAAGGCTGGACTTGATGTGAGGAGAGGAGAGGAATTAGATTGTAAATTTGTAGCTTTTAAGATGATAATCTGGGTTTAATATGATTGGAAGCTCAGCTTGCAGAGATGAGAGCTTGACGGAGCGGTGTTTTGTGTTGGGAATCCTGTATCCTTTTATGTTCAGTGGTTTAAGGGGGATGGGACAGAGCGAATCATGATTTGGTTTTTCTTTGATGTGTGGGTTGTTCTCTATCATTGGGTGGATTGTGATAACTGACTGACTGATTGATTGGGATTGACTCTGCGGTTTCTGAAGTTGTGAAGATGATCAAGAAAGAAAAGTGTGGAGTATAATACCTTCTGATCTTAGAAAGGGTTTCAGTGATTCATTTTCAGATATTTTTTAGTATATTTCAGAGGTATCTACAAAATTGGAAGATCATACAGTTATGATTTTGATTTATTTACCTACTTCAGATAACTCGAGCTCATGCCCTTGTATGTGTCATATATCTTCATGGTGATAACTTCACCAGTGGTGGGATCTTTGTAAAGTAAATCTGGGTTTAAGAGAGGAGGAAGAGGCTCAAATGATGTGTTCGGTGCGGAAAGTGCTACAGTAGACACCGAACTGTGGTTGGGCGTACCAGGGGAAGCAAGCCGAGCAGCTAAGAGGGATGAAGGGCTTTCGATTCGAGGATCGGATTCTACACTTAATCTTGGATTTTCGCTGATAGCCTGTGGATCTCGTGAACTGTCGTGTTTGTGTGTCTCTCTGGCTAAATATTGCGTTGTTTGTGTAGGTGAAGAAGCTGACGGACCTTTAGGTTTGAGATAATCACCAATGTCATTTCGGCCTGGTTCTTGAGATGCCTGCTCAAAGTGCGGAGCAGATGGTATTGCGGAAAGATCCACTCGTTCCTGAGTAGGTACAGAAGCAGGTGTTCTATAGGCTCCAGGTACCTCTGGGGCTTGTCCAGGGATCAGTCCAGCAGGTTCTGCAGCGCGGCTTGAGGTTTCCAAGGTCTGTTGAAAAGAAGTTGGAGTTATCCCAAGGACTTTTTGAGCTGATACTGGAGTAAGTGGCATTTGGATGCTTCCAATTTGTTGTTGAGTGATATACCCGGGGCCACCATATCGGCCAGGAAACTCGCCATATGCACTAGACAATTGGAATCTGTCCCAAAAGACTTTCTCAGTCCAGTAGTAGCAAAAATCCAAACCACTTGCTGGGTACTGTGAAGCGACGGAAGCAAGTTCAGCAATGTAGGCCCGATCGAAGCCATCTGTCTCGAAGTATGGATAGATGCTGCAAAGTTTGATGATTGTCATATTCATGAAGATCACGTAGTTCAACAGCCTCGAATTTTCAACGCCACCCAACAGAACATAAAACTTTCGAGTCATACATTGCATCCTCCAAGTCATTCAGCATATCAATCTCTCTTCTCATAGCAAAGAAATCGATCTTTTCCGTAACACTATACCTACTGCGCGCGGCGCCGAACACTTTGGTACAATTTAAATCTCACTAAAGACATAGAACGACAAGCGCTGAATCCATTTTCACATCAGTGAAGATTGCGTTGGTTGGTAAGTTGACCCACGTTGATATCAGTCCGAAATCTTCAAGATGTCATTCAAGACGTCGGAAAATCTGATTTTCCGGCCGAAATATGCCGCTATGGACGACGGTTTGCGGAACGGGGGGCTACGTAGGATTGATATATTTTATGCGGCCGGAAGGAACGAAGCCATGCCGTTGTATCAAGATTCAATAATGATTGACAACATTTTCTTGTTACAAAGCAAGTTCGCTCAAATGTGTATTTACTTGTAAATGTATCATTCAACTTGAGCTTTTCCATATTTATTAGTGTCCTCATTTGATTTCTTTCCGTATCACACTCATTTAGTTCCCGCGAAAGACTTTGTTATCCACGAGCAATAACCGTCCACAAAGCAAAGTCTACCTCACTATCCGGAATGTAAAGAAAAGTATGAGCGGGCTTAGAACGAGTATCTGGGCCCCAGGAAACTATCGCGCTCCGAGGTCCAGTGGCTCTAGCTATAATACTTTGCGAGAGAATGTACCGGTATCTACTCACTCCCATCCGTCGCGAGAGACGAGTAAGAATCGAATAACGGAAACCCCTCGCAAAATGATCTTAGACAGAGAACCGCCGCAGAATGAGCTACAGAAGAGTTCTGGTGGGCTGAGCACCAGTCAATGGGCACCGCGTGATTACCCCGGCAGATCGAAAGCAGCAAATCGTGGGGAGGTCTGGACTATGGTATGTATTCACGAATTTTGCTTAAAGAACATGCTAATCTTGTGATTCTACATAGATTACGCCAACCTCACAATCTTCGTTGGTGCGCCACGCGTATAATGCCTCGAGTCCTGCACACTCCTCCCGAGACCTTGGCCTGCCTTACGAAGTACAACATTACATTCTTGGTATGATGCAGCGGATCTTGGAGGAAGGATGTTATACCTTTGCATCGCGATGGATTCCCGACCTACTACATAAGAATAACTGGACGTGCTCGGAAGCTGTTGAATTGTCTACGTGGAGAACTTTTCTTCCAGAAAACATCCCAGCAGAGGCTCTTGCCTCGCACAGTAAACCTCTCCATAGATGTCTGGCTGATGCTGTTCGAATAAGAAACTCTGCCACTCATCGCCATATATGTTCCAGTCGCGAACTACAACGTATGACACAACAAGCCGAAGACCTCATGAGTTTGTTTTCGGATCAAACGAGGCAATTAAAGTTCCAAAGGCTTTGGATTGAAATTAACGGTTGGGAAAACCTTAGTGTAATAGATATGCAAGCCGCCAGACATAAAATGGAGTTGGCACTTCAAGAAATTGGGGAACGGCCCATGGACGATATGGATTGGACGGCAAACACAATTTCTTTGCAACAAATTCCCCCAGGGAAAGTAGAGCTAGGAGATACCGATGACTACGATGTTTATGACGAAATGGAGATAGACTAAGAATGCATTTCAAAGGAGTTTCGATTATGGGGAGTTGGAGTTGGATTTATCATAGGCTGCATAAACTTGCAGGAGTATGGCTTTAGGAGCACTAATGGGCGCATTGGGCGGTAGGATTGCGAATACCCATTCTGTTGCTTTTGGAAATATCTCATGCGCATTCCTCAAAGAGATTGAGTTCATAGATCAGACCTCTTAAGTATTTTTAGAGGCAAAACAACTAAATTAAATCAAGTTGCTACACATCTCAGCACCACAGACAACTTTTACAACATCATATGTATATGTTCAAGACTTTGGAAGCCCCAAATAATGCGAGTTATATTTTAGAGAGAAGTTTGCGGAAAGAAAATCGGACAGCTTTTTATACACACGTACTAAGCGCATGACACCGAAGACAAAAAAGACTAGTCTAGTAATTTATCACTAGTCGAACACTAAAATCCAATCCCGTCCCGGCAAAGCATAGAAGAAGTCATGCTTTTCTCCATCACAGTCCCAATTCTCGGCAACAAACCCTTAAAATGCCTGGTTTCACATTATGCTGATGACCATACGGATTCTACTAGCATCTGCCTCCTAGTGGACGAGATATGTTAGCGAAAGACTTTCAGGAACAGCGCGCGGGCTCGAAACAAATCAGATCTATTTTTTTAAACGGGAGAATAGCCGCGAGGGCCGATTATTCGGGAAGCTTCTGAGGAGATGGACTGTCGCTGTTCGTATTGCTGATTTTCGTAAATGATGCTCTCTTGTCGAACCGAAGAGCTTGGAAATTAGCACGAAGTCCTTGATCTGCGCGGATTTCTCATCCTCGGATCACAGTACTGGTGCTGTTTGACTTTGGGCATGTATCTAATTGTTGGATTCGGAAAGATAGGGTATTGGATATTTATGGTGCCTTTGTGCTTTACAAAAGAGCGCGCATGGGAGGAAGTCTTCTTTAGTGGAAGGTTTGAGAATTTCCGGTAACTAGCCATGCTTTTTCTTTGGGTATGCGCTTCTCGGCTCTTTTCTTTTTGTCCCTTTTCTCCTTTTGAACGGGAATAGCATCCTTTTCTTTCCTTGCCTTCTTTCGCTGCGTCTATGTTTCTCATATCTTCCCAATTTATCTCTTGTCTTCTTCAATTCTCTCGAAGTCGGTGCTGCGACTTCTAAGCAGGCAAGTATTGGTCCCGAAGGAAATTATGGTGCTCGCGTGCTCTTCTCGTCTTAATGACGTGCTGTGGTAAAAAGTATAGTTAGCTGATCGAAAGAGCTGAAGCGAGATTATCTAGTGTCCAAAGTATTGCTTACTACCTTCTATTGATGCCTATCCTATTTCCTATTGATCTTATCATTTTGGCATTGTTGTCGCTTATAATTAGCGACAAGCGAGATTCAAAGGTTTAACAATAGGGGAAAAGTGAAGGGGTCTCACCGGTAAACTTTCTAAACTTGAGTCCATTTTGGATTGCAACGGCATTGGCGATTGGGCCCATGTATGTCTATCTTACATACAATAAATTTGGAGCAAAGCAATCATACCCGAAATTTGATAAAATACGCTTCATCTTTTGATTCTGCCAGCCTATAGTGACTAATCCTTCAAGAGAACAGCAGTATTTGGAAGTTGAGGCAGTCGTGTGATCATATACGATGATTTACATGCGATGAAAAGCACCAAATTTATCTCATAATCAAATTTCATTATCAGTATATGCAATATCATATCTTCTTAACATACTACCGAAATCTCAAGACTCGGATAATACCTGAAGTGCCCACATATATTTCTAGCACAGATTAACAACATAACTCACCGAGCTCGGTACAAGTATAGTAAAAACTTAAAAGTGACAATAGCAGAATCATCTTAAAACTCGAGAATCCTCCCGTAACATAATGTTATCATTGTAAACCAAATCAAAAGTCAAGGCACGGTACGACTAAAAGCATTACACATCGCACATCGCACAACCCATCATCAATGCATCACCATCCACAAAGTCCAGACTCCTAAAACCGAATTAAATTTTCATTACTGCCAAGCCCCAAGATAGCTCTAAGAACATCCAGATAACAAACAAACACCGTCCGTGCTGCCGTCTGCAGATTCCATCCAGAATGTCCGCAACTCGGGAACTAGAGAAGTTCGGATGTTATGCTTTTTAAAAGGTACTTGATTATACTGGTTGTAAAGTTACATGAGTTGGGAAGTTTTTGGCGAGACTAACAAGGTATCTTTTATCTTTATCTGATCCCGCGCCCCTAGCTACATTAAGAGTTTTTTAGGTTTTTTTTTAAGTTTCCTGAAGATTGTATGTGCGGAAAGTAGAGGGATGTTGTATTTTTGTATGTTCTGCGGGTTGGAGGTTTAGTCTGGATTTAGCTATAGCTTTAGCTGTAGATCTAGGTCCTACACGGCTAGATATACTATATATTTAGATAAATTTGGATGATGATCAGCTAAAAAAGCTGGTAGTGGGGTGCAGAATTAATTGGTGGGGAGCTAGTGGTTGCGTAGTTAGTTAGAACTCGGTAGGATATATGTTTCTATTTTGGTATATGCTAGATGGGTAGACCAAGAAGTAGATCGGTAGACTAGTTAGTAGGTGAGCACCTTGATGGTGATGGATGTGGGTAGGCGGGTACTAGACTCATTAACAGGATGAAGACGTATGACGGAACTGGATAGAGATTTTGCTGGAGGAAGATGGATTCATAAGGAACTAGGTAAAAATACGAGAAAGTAACAGCGATTCACATTCAGGCCGGAAATTTTATATAAGGGAGAGGTTTGTGGATAACTGTGTCTGAAATTGAAATTCACTAAGTGCATTACTATCGTATCGTATGCATTTTTCATTATTCATCCTTGAATCATATCATAACCAGATATCTGCAAATTTTTCCCACCCCTCCATTATGTGCCCAATCATTTCATCCCATGAAACAATATACTGTGATGTGATACTCAAGTCCGTAAGGCCTTATCATAAGCCTATACCATTCCGACCCACCAACACCGATACCTATTGTATATGAAGTGAAACATCAAAGCCAAAAAAAAGGGAGTATCCTCTTTCCCACTCCATTACATTCTCCACTGAATTATGCCTCATTAAATCCTTCATCGTCGTAAATAGAAGTATGTTTGGTTCAGAAAAAGTATTATCAAGAAAGGAAATTGTTTTATCGCGTGATGTGGTATGCTGACTCTACAAGAGAGCAGCAACGAGTGCAATAACAGCTGCAGCTAGGGAGCTACCAACTTGGACATTGTTGGCAGCGCCAGTGAATGTAACTGGGGTAGCTGTTGCACTAGAGTAGGTAGTGTTTGTTGCGGTGGGGGCTTGGATTTGTCCATCAGGAATTTGGGAGATGACTGGACCGGCAAGAGAAGAAGTGCTGGTTACGAGTGTGGCGGCGCTGGTGGCTTGGATTTGACCATCAGGAATTTGGGTGATAACTGCCGAGGAGAGCGCAGCCGTAGATGTGGCGCCTTGAACTTGTCCATCAGGGATTTGGCTGATAGGAGCACTGGCTGGTGGTGTTGCGACCGAAGTGGCTCCTTGAACTTGGCCATCAGGAATCTGTGTAATTGAAGCCCCGGCAGGTGTACTTGTTGCACCTTGAATTTGGCCATCAGGAATCTGTGTGATTGGAGCACCAGTAGGAACATTGGTAGGCACTTGAACTTGCCCATCACTGGTTTGACTAATGTAAACAGCAGAAGTCGCGGCTTGTGGCTGCCCATCTGAAATTTGGGAAATTGATGCAGAGGACAGGGAAGCGATAGCCGTGGCGGTTGGTTGGCCATCAGATGATTGACCGACGACACCAGATCCAGCTGCAGCGCTGCATGAAGCTGTTTGGATAAAGATTTGGGAACATTGTTTACCCTGAGATTCGGTGTAGAGGTTGTAAAAAGTGCCTGACAAGCATTGATAGAAAACTGCGGAACCGCCGAGAGCGAGAGAACCGTTCGAACAGATAGACCAGCCTCCGGTGTATACAGCTGCTTCCTGAGCCGGCTTATCGAACTGGAATTGAGAGTTTGATGCAATGTAGCCTGTTCTGTCTTGCTGATCTTTGAGAACACCTCCGTTGAGTGTGATGGCAAGGGATGATGAACAGTCGGCACGCTGAGAATGAGTTAGCCGAGTTCTGAATCGATAGTCTAGATTGACAGAGATATGGATATATCTTACCTTTTGATAACGTTTTGCTACACTACTGACGTTTACAGCAGAGATTTCAAAAGAGCCAGAATAGCTAGTAGCACATCCTGAAGGTGCTGATGCTGTTGGAGTGATGAGAGCTGTAACCTGAGCAGAGGTAACTGATGCCAAACCGGCAATAACAGCGAACGTGGTCTTCATGTTGAGTATGATTTACGAACGAATGCGTGTAAAGGGGAAATGATCCAAAAGCGAAAGAGGAACTTTTAAAGATGAGGAAAGACTTAAATATCGGAATGTAACAATGAAAATTTGAATGGCAGGATGCTATTCTTTATGTAGGGGGTTGAATAATAAGTGTCTACTAGTATCTTAACTACTTAGTGAATGCTAAAGACTAGAGACCACGGGGACCATATAATTCCTTGATATTATTGAGATCCGCGACCTAATTGAATTACATCCTGCCTAGTTTGGATGTTGCATTACTTGATAAATATTCCCACAAGTGACAATTCGAATGGGTAAATTGACCTATCAATCGCAAAATCAGACCTAAAGGGTAGGTGCAGCCTCCAAATCGCTGGATGATTGAGGCACAATGAATCACTAATCTACACCACCGGATGGTGATTGGCGCCTAGTGGCGGGGTAGACAGGAATAGAATCCTTATGGTGCATGAACATCTTTTATGGGAATGACTGTACGATCTAAAGTATGCAGATCTTCAGGTCTGTGTCAACAGAGAAATGAATGGCAGGCAGGCTAAAAAGCAGGTTGAAAAGGGAGAAGTTTGTAAGATCTTACACTAGTGCTGAGAGGGGAAAGGGATAGTAAGACAGTGAAGCGTAAATGTGGGGTAACTTCTTGGGTATTCAGGCATTTGCAAGGCATTGTACCGGAGAAATGATTTTAGTGCTTATTGGCAAGACTACTTGCGAAGTGCGGAGTGGTGGGAGGATAATGGCGAATCTCGATGGTCGGAGTATGGGAATCATAAGGGAGAAGTAAAAGCTGTACGAATGGGATGTAATCTTAGCTCAAGAAAGAGGGATCAATCATCCAAAGCCATGGTATGGTTATCGATTACAAAGATGTCACTAGATCTATTCGTTACTTGGCGAATAAAAAGATTATATACAAACTGATCAACTTTAATTAGTGGAAGTACAGAAAATGAGAGGAAAATTGATATCGACGTACCGACTATTATTACTCCTTTGCCATCCGATACCGAAAATTTAGCCTCAATGCCTATATGAGTACGGAGTAGACGGAGCCTGATGAATGTATAACCTTAAGCACACTTAACTTAGGAACGACATCAACACCAAGAAACTCCAAGATAAAATTCCCATGATCGTTGGATTTAGTTCAATCTCGTATGTGCAACTAATTGCTCGGCAAACATTAGTGTCGAAAGAAATGCTCCACAAGATTCTATGCACGACATCATTATTATGACATGTGCTTATGGCACCCCCTTATCTTTGCCGCTCTCGGACACTGATTCATGGATTGCGATTGTGTGAGACAGACATGTACGCAGTACAGTATTCCAGACAGACAAATTGCATGATTATGATGATGTTATAAATCCTTGTCCATTTCAACATTGACCGTTGTGAAACAGATTCATACATACCTTGCAGATCGTCATCTTTCATCTGATATGTGTTTCCAATGACTTCATAATGGCAGTATGTACGCGACGATGTTGGAATCCCTTGCGTTATAGGGCACATGGTGTTCGATCAAATTTCTCCTTCGCTCGACAAAAAAAAGGCATGAAATTCAAATAACTCGATGAAGACTAAAGTTGTTACTTATTTCTAGCTATTTAAGTGCCCAAAAAAATAATAAAAAACCCAGAGGATGGTCGGGAGATTGATGGTCACCCTACACCTAACCAAATAAGGTGGCCTGGGTGTCAATTCGATATTTTATTTTTTAACGACATTTCCGTTCTTTGCATATCGGTTTGCCGATAAATATCGAAACTCTTATCTTTCGCACCAAAGATTAAATAAAGCTTGAGGAATACATATGTGGGTGAAAATGGTATGTATAGGTTGAGGCATAGAATAACGTTTGCATGTATCTAATTAAAGCTGCAGGGGGCGCGGATAGTGACTTTAGTACACACAAATTTGCTAATAGATGAGGATATGGGTAAAAGATGGGTCGATATATATACATCCCTCGCCCTTATTCCTCTGGAATCTATATATGCTAGCTACAGTGAAGAAAGAAGATTCTAACCACGACAAGTGCCCATATCCAATTACCTCTTAACCAAAAACCACAGGATCCGGTAATGTAACCGGCGTATCCGTCCTCAACTTATTCGTAATCAATTTCTCAAAAGTACTACTCCAGCCAACTCTAGGTGTCAATGGCTCTAAACCCCACAACTCATCCAAAAATCCAATAATACTCGTATGCGTATATTCGCCTCCCTTATTCTTCCCCTTATTCTCCACCAGTCCCTTACCAACCCACGGACTGATCAAAAGCGTCGGAACCCGGAGGCCCAAACGTGTGAAATCAAACGTCATGTCTTTTCCGTCCGGCGCTTTTTCAGTGTATGTGACATTATCCCCAGCGGGGACGTTCGTTGGTGGAGGAACATGATCGCCAAAACCGCCGTGCTCGTCGAATGTGAGGACGAAAAGCGTTTCGTTCCATTGTGGTGAGGAGCGGACAGCTTCGTAGATTCCTTTGATGAAAGTTTCTCCTAGGCTAATGGGTGATGGGGGATGATAGGACTGGTAGGAACAACATTCTGGGTTGATGTATGTGAATTGCGGGAGAGAACCCGCAGCCGCGTCCTCGTAAAATTTTGTTAAGGGTGCGATGTTAGTTTTGTCTTTACCACTGGTCTTGGTCCAGGTATAAAAGGCCGCATCAGGGTTGAAACCGAGTCCCGGACCGAGGGTAGAGTTCTGGTAATTCATCCAGGTGATGTTGTTTTCCGAAAGTTGTTCGAAGATGGATTTGACGGGTAATCCATATGTGTCGAAGGAGTCATCATTTGATCCCTAAGTATATTATGAGCCCCTTCTCCTACAAAATTATCTTGACGTGTAAAAATAACAACTCACGTGTCCAAAGGATGTCCCACTCGTTATGTAGGCACGATTGGGGTTGGTAGGACCAGGTACAGAAGCAAACCAGCGGTCGAAGAGTACGAAGTTCTCAGCCATCGTACTGAAAACTTTTATCTGCTCGGGAGTATAGTAGTTAATGACTTCGGCAGCGCGAGTTTTATTGAAGGTGTCGAAGGTGAAGGATTGTTCCGTCACGAAACCACGCATATTTTGGGGTTGTGTTCCATCCGGATGCCATGTTGTGAAGACTTGAACAATTAGTGCGAGCAGCAATATAAGAACGGGAGGTCATACGTTGCATGTTGATACCACTAATACTATGATTTGGATCATCTGCTGCAACATCTTTGGCACGAGGTCCAGCACAAACATCCGCTTTTTGCGTAGGGTCTGATGCATTCCTTTCATTGTGTCAATCGGAGTCCAACTTTGAATGTGAAAAAAGCTTACATTGAATTGCAGTAATTGTGGTGCAATAACCCATCAATGGATGGGTTATAGCTAAGACCACCCGCGAATGTGTCGAACGATCTATTCTCTTCAACAAGAACAACAACATTCTTGATCCGATTTTTCCATGAATTATCCGTGGTGCCATGGTTCTGAATGTTCCGAGGAGCAGCCAGAGCAGATCCAGACAAGGCGGCAATAAGTACCACCTCAAGGCTTAACATCATGATGCCAATGAGACAATTACTCGTTTCTGGGATAAACTGGACGACTCGTAGATTCTCGCCATTCCATATATACTCCCGACCATCACCAATTGCCGTGAAACCGCATTTGACAGCAAAGCACCAGAAATATGCACGTGTAGCCAGTGACAGGACAATGACACATCAATCTTTAAGTTGTACAGGAACCTGCATAATGAATATATCCTCACCATAGAGAGACCTTGAACTTGCAGATATTTTGGGACGTAGAACTTTCTACCTTCCTATCCTTTCGATCATCCTGCACATGGTGTGAGCTACTGGTTGGAGTATGCACAGGTGAATTCCCTAGTGCTACTACTCCCCAGCAAAGGTTGCAGAAGAAGCACTCATTTCCTGTCGACCTCAATCGACATTGGACGGATTTCGAGATCTGAAAGTGGAAGGTGGGGTAAGTGGATGGCAATCTGCGAGGATATATTATCGGCTTTTAACCGGCCGGTTACCTTTCATGGCCAGTCGAACATCGGCAATTATTACACGTGTGAACAGTAAGAACAAGTAGCAATTCGAGGATTAATAAGTACGGAAATTGGCAATACCATACAAACCAAGGAAACTCTCCTCGAGATTCGAAGGCATCTAGATGAATATAAATGGTTCTGCATACGCAAAGGTTCCAAATAGCGGAAAAAGCTATAGAGCTTTGCAACCATGCAACTACTCCGTATTTGTTTCTCTCCGAGATAAAGTTTGTTTCCAAAGTTTGGACCCGTTTTCTGATCGCTCGGACTTTATAACTTATCACAGATCCTGTTTCTCCACACTGGTGGTATATCGACAGACGACCTAGAGGTTACATTGGAGAAAGGTGTAAAAGAATTGTCTAACCTTCGTCAGAATTCGAACGATACAATATTATCGAGTATATTGATGATGGAGGGGCTTATTGGCAGAAAACCTGGATGAGCCTTCTTTCAACACTTTTTGCACTGTATCGGACTTCAATTTCCAAACATGTACATAATACCTGTCACAAACTCAACACCATAGACAGGATGCTGGTGAAAAGGAGTGGAACCAGATCTTCGGAATTTCTCGCTGTATGGAATCATGTAACCTGCTGTTCCACCAAGAATCTGGGATGTGGGTTGCCGAACTCGGGGATTTTCTTATCGCATATCCTTATCTCATATCGCACATCGTATCAAAGATGAAAGGAAGCCATGGCACTGAAGTAGTACTCACGGTGATGTGTTAGACATCAAGGTGTCGGGCTTCTATACCTATCAGCGAGGTACATGTGAAGGTTGACTAATAAGATTCTATACTTATCACAAGAGTCTAGCCACTGGAGTTCATACATACTTCCACATTTAGCTCTTATTTCATAGGACAATAATCCAGCAAGTGCATGGTTTCCCAGATGTTTTGCACCGAAAGTTTTCGGATGGCATCTGCCGTTTATTATCATCCCACCTTACTCATCTTATTTTATCTTATCTTTGCGAGCAATCTTGTCTAGGATGAGACGCAATCGAGAATTGCTGAAGAACTATGGATATGCAAGAACCGATCATCGTATCGTGGTTTTCTTGGCCATCTCGTCGTTGGGATATCCTAATATCAATAAGTATACATAGCTAAGATAACAAGCCACTCGTTTTGCTTTTCTAAGAGTATAAGTATTGCTACATTTCACTCGTTTTTGGCTAATGGGAAGGCATCTTGAGTGACCGATACAACTTTACCCTTGTTTTCTGTGACTATGGCGCTCAGAATGTTCAAATCGGCTTCAGTGGCAATGTCCCTGATGAGCTTGACAAATGCCGCTATTTCAATTTCGAAGACTGGAACGACCGTTGATGTCAATGGCATCAGCTACTATGTTGGCGTCGACGCTGTTACAACCATTCAGTCCAAGCCAAGCAAAGAGGATTTGATCCCTCTGACGGTAATAAAAAGTTTAGAAGGCAATTTCACGGCTGCTTCATTCAAGTCATTAGTTACCAATTATACTGCCTCCGACGATGTTTTCAATCCCGGTTTCTTGGAAGGTATGTACATTTTCAAAACCTAGTAGGACCAATTTTAACCTGGGTAGCTGTCCATCTGGTTGGTTCCACCAACACAACTTCGCTATCATCCATTTGTTATGAACATGGTACCAAAATTTTCACCAGCGATTCAAACAATCAAGTGCCTCCAGGGCCATACTTTTTGACTCCGAATTCAGGCGAGCTTTTCAAAGCATATCGTCTATACTCCGATGTACAGGATGCTTTCACCGAAGGAACAATCGAGAACTCAGATGGAACCTTTTCTATATTGAGTGCATCCATTCCCGGTGTACAGAGTTCTACTATTGGTGTCCCTTCCAGGCTCTATTATACCAAAACTGCCGAAAAGCCTCTTGCTGGAGTCCGACTTGGTGTTAAGGATATTTATGATGTTGCAGGAATCAAGACTAGTAACGGAAATCGTGCATATTATGAGCTTTATCCACCAGCAAATGTCACAGGACCAGCCGTTCAGAGCTTGATTGACGCAGGAGCCATTATCGTTGGGAAGATGAAGACATCCCAATTTGCTAATGGAGAAGGTCCAACTGCAGACTGGGTGGACTATCACTGCCCCTTCAACCCACGTGGTGATGGTTACCAATCACCATCCTCTTCTTCTTCAGGCCCTGGTGCTGGAATTGGTGCTTATGATTGGTTAGACCTCGGAATTGGTTCTGATACTGGCGGAAGTATTCGTAATCCATCTCAAGTGAATGGATGTTTCGGTAATAGACCATCTCATGGACTCGTTAGCTTGGATAACGTTATGCCTTTGTCCCCAACTTTGGACACTGCGGGATTGCTCACTAGAGACCCAGTTTTGTGGCATGAAGCTGCCAAGGTCTTGTATGGGAACAATATGACAAGTAACTTCACTGAATTCCCCAAAAAGATTTGGATAGCCGATTTCCCGAAGAATGATACAACAGAAGCTGGATCAATCTTGCTTGATTTTCTCGCGAAGCTGGAAACTTTCCTCAATGCAACAAGCACAACTACTTTAGACATTGGAGCTTTTTGGAACGAGACTACGCCCTCTGGAGCAAACAACTCATCAATTGAAGATTTCCTTGGTCTCGTCTATCCCACTCTTATCGCTCAACAACAATACAGCCTCCTTGCAGAACCATTTTATGAAGATTACGCTGCTGCTAACAACGGCGCGCGTCCCTTCATCGATCCTGTGCCATTAACCAGATGGGGTTGGGGGCAAAATAACATCAGTGCTGATGCAACTGAACAAGCTATTTACAACAAAACCATTTTCATGGATTGGGTTTCCGAAAAACTCTTCCTTGCTAGTCCAACTAGCTGCAGCGATAGTATCATCCTCTATCCCGGTACATTAGGACAAACCGATTATAGAAATGTATACAGAAGGTATGTCCACACGTCCAAATATTCACATAACTCAAGAACCCCCCGAACCCCTAAATCACACCATACTGACAAGCCACACCTGAACAGTCCCCCGGGAATTCCCTCCGGCTGGGACTTGAGCCGCATATCCAACTTTGCAGAAGTCCCCGATATGGTATTTCCAATAGGTCAAGCGGCTTATAATTCTACTGTCTCATTGCAGACGGAATATTTACCCGTAGCTGTGGATATTATTGCAAGAAAGGGATGTGATGGGATGATTTTCCAGTTAGCTGAGCGATTGTTAGAAGAAGGGATTTTGATGGTTCCCAAAGCCGGGAGCTTGATGTATTGAGCTTTTCGATCGGTTGTACTGTACTTTCGTAATTAATGTAATGTCCATATTTCGCATAATGTTCATAGGACGATGGCTCAGGTGCTTTTATGGTGGTGGCAGCTACCCTGGTAATTTTAGTAAAGGCACATTTTGATATGTTCTGCAACCAGCGACCCAGGTCGTTTTCTTGGACATGAATCATTTCCTGTATTAATTATGTCTGTAGATTGTGTGCCCTTGTGGAACCTTAGTTTGACTCCCTCAGAATCCTTAAAATTGACATTTCTTTATTATCTGCTAGATCAAAACCTCCTCCATCTCAATCTTCTCCTCGAACCATCTCCTCGCAACCTCTCGCTTCCTATGATATCATTCCAAAAAGGCGCCATATTTTCCATCTCGCTTTACCAACGACGACCGTCGAAACTGCGACACCATCGCAAAAGCAGAAAAGAACAACCATCCATCTCGACTCAAAAAGAAAGGCAAAATTTGCATTTTCATTCACACTCATCATATTAGTAAATATATCGTAGCAGCAAATAATATGCAACGAAAGAAATCATACACATACTAGAAGATAAAACTATGACTGAGTATATATGAAAGAAACCAACACAAAAATAAAGAGGAGTTCATAAATAAAAACTTCATCCTTTCCTTTAATTCCGTCTCAAAATCCACCTCGCCCCACAACCTACAATCCAAATATAGTACCATTCCACCTTACTCCTCCAAATTTACTAATAAACATGCAAATCCTTATAATTTTATATCATAGCTTCTTTCTTCTATGGTTGAGCTCAAAATTTTCGTGAAGATTAGTCAACAAGACAAGGTTCTACTTTAAGTTTTAATTTTTCGCAAAAAATTTCAACGCTACAATTCGCTTAATAAAAATATCTCCTCTTTACCCCCCTGTATAGCTCCACATAACAATTTTACATCCACATGTAATATGTGAAAAAAGAATTATGACCTACGCAGGGATCGAACCTGCAATCTCTTGATTCCGGTCTTCAGGAAGAAGTATCCTCAGAAATCGTAGTCAAGCGCCTTGCCATTGGGCCAGCAGGCCGTGTTATTTGATGAAGGTTCTAAGACTCTTTGTGGATATATACAGAGGGATTCAAAAGGATAGTTGTGTGAGTGGTTGGGGTAAGCTGGATTTAAGTTCGGATTGTTTTCTTTAGATGAACTTGTTGTTGATTAATAATTTTCCGTGTGAATTATTAAAACTTGGCAGAGTACTATACAAACAAGGAGCTAAGTATTAGACAGGAAGTTCTGGAAAACTGATGGGATTGGAACCAAATATTCTCTGGTACGAGTTCTCTAATATGACTTAGCCCTCTTCAGCCCTACCTAAATACTGTGTTGACGGGATTGATGATATATCATCACAGAGTTGGAGACTCTAGAGTTTAAACCTTCACCGTGGCTTTCCACAGGCATATCCCAGTGTGACAGCGCTTACAAGGTAAGCCTACCTCAATACCAGAACAAACGACTTAAATCTTCCTCCGGTAGCTGAACCTATCTGCCAACGTGAACGTAGCAACCGAAGTCCTTACAAATGCATGTCGCATGAATTTCAGACTGACCTCAGCAGTTAATTGCTGGATTTCCATTTCGTCCTTATTATCTGATTACGTTGCCGTCTCTTATCATACTGACTTCCGATCATTAACATTCTACACCAAAGATTGCTAGACACTTGTAAGATGTTAAGGTCATAACCGTACATGTAATTAGTTTCTGTTTTGTTAAATATAACTCTTGTTTCTACATTGAAGCATCACACTTCAATGTTCTTTGTGTACTAATTCAAACCCAAGGACAATTAAACTCTATTCAATCTCTGAAGAAACCCTCTAAAAACCACGAACCGTCAAACGCAGCTTTCCGTGCCTGTTACCCAACCACCATCCCGAGCCTGTCATACCGAGCAACGAACCTCGCAAAATCCACGATTCCGCTCCCATAGATTCGCATTTCTAGCCATAGGATGACAGGGAAGAATTTGAAGAGCAAAAAATAGCTTCATGATTCGAGATGCTGAATACTGGGTTGCTCACGTGGAGATGAGAAGATAACAATACCCTACATGGTGAATAAAGCGACCGATGATGCAATTAATATGGTCTGGCATATCTCTCGAAAAGTTTCAAGGGATTAGGGAACCTCAAGTTAAGTAAAGCTAACGGATCGGAAGCCTGGCTTAGCGATGGTTCATGCGGAATATGTGCCGCCGCGAAATTGATGATTTGCGATTGGAGTGGAAATAAAGAGTCAACCAAATTTATCAGAGGCGCAATGATATTGGCTGCGCAATTGGAAGGGGAGATTTTTGGAAAAGAAATTGGCGTAAATTTCGGTCACATGATTGGATTGGAATGATACTGATGTCTTTTCGCTTTGAGCACTACTGCAAGTAGCCATGCTGAAAGGTGGCGATCTTCAACGTTATTAGATCCAGAGCCTAGCGCAGTCGGAAATTTGTTGCTTCCAACCTCAGATCGAGAAGGAGCCAAGGTCCCATTTTCATGGGAACAGTAATGGACCCTTTGGATCTTTGGTGAGGAGAATCGAACGGCTTTGTATAGGAGTATATTCAGTAATATTACCACTGCCAGGTACTGAATTGCAAGTCTCAGTGAGTCCTGTCTTTTTCTTGTCGTGTCTGACTTGTACCCCTGCAGAGCTGGTGAATCGAATATGGTGATGGGCAGTTTGTCTTTGGGCGATACAACGTCGGGCCATGAAGCATTCATAACGGTTGTAATGCTCAGAAAACTTCTATCGGGATTTCGATTATAGAAATACTGTATTGTTTGAATTGAGGACAGTCAAACTCTTGTATGCCATCAACAACGCCAAGACAGTGGGATAACTGGTAGCCGCTCAGCATGCCATACCAAAATGCAGAAGCGGCAGCGTTTACACTTGTAGGATTCTAATATATTACACCTATATCCTCCAGGATGCGAAATTAGGTGTGCTAATCTCACATCTGAGTAAAGATCGTATTTTGTCAAAGGTGTGAATATATTTATCACTTACATAGTCTCGGCGACAACGCTAAACACCCTGAAAAGGCAGCGCATTTTGGTGCTAGAAAGATACTTCTTTCCATTTTTAGTCTCCCTTCAATATCATCGCCAGGATCTTTTATCCGCGCGATTGTCATTTCATCCGAATCCTTAATTGTTTACGACAGACGCTGAACTTCGCAGCTTGCTGAGGGCTACCGCCTGCTGGTACCCACCGAGGCGCGTAGAGTACACGAAAGAACCGCAAGGCTAAGTTATTGAGAGATTTGCTGAGCTCTATGCTCACCCATCATATCATACCATATCGTAGGACATCCCTTCCAAGCGCGGCACAAGGAAAAGTATATTTGTCTGTGTTTCTTGATGACATCCGAAACAATTGATCAAAAGTATCATCGCTCGGACCACTGTAGTCTCGAAAGCTCAAGACAATGAAGTAATTGCGACTTAGTTCAAGCTGCATCTAACGGGAGGTTATATACACATCCCGACTCAGAAACAGTTTATACATCCATCCTAAGCCGGTCGTTTTGATGGATTGCTCTGATTCTAAGCATCCTAGACTTTTAGAGCACTACTCTAATCTCGAACACCTATATTAACACCAGAAGGCAATAGACAGTGAACGATATTGCCAAAGAATAATAGATAAAGTCTTCTTTTGTATTCGATTTTGCGGGAACCTCTCCAGTAGTCCTCAGATGGATGTGAATTTCAGTTTCATTCGTATTCGACTCGATTCTGGCTACTTTAATGCATTGCGGCTACCAAATACTGATACATTGAAGCAGTAAAGTAACAGGAAATTCTCATGCTACGTTTTTATGCTGCAATGAGTATCAAATGGTGATATAAATTGTATTGCATATTGTGGTCGTGGTTGTGGTGTGGAATATTACCTGTTTGGCGGAGAGGCTGTCGCTACGGTGGCCGCGACATGCCAAGATGCTCATTTGTGTTTGTTACTTGGAAAACAAAATGGAATCCAACTCGAACATTACAAACATACAGTTATCATTCAGCATCGGCAGCTCTTTATCCGCACAAAAAGCTTTAGTGCTAATCTCAAGTACCTCTAATTGGGTCTACTAGGTATACAGATCACAACAAGTTGCTACCATACCGATGAAGTCGACGATGTCAAAAATACGAACTTTCTGCCTTGGTCGCCATAACGTCCTCATTGAAAACCGCGCGCAAGGACTATGGTTGACTAGCATAAATATGGCTGAAGGATCTCGGTATCACTATGAATATACAACAATATGATCAAGATATGCCGACTTATAGAATTGGGCACACAGAATTTGAAGCCGATACATTAACCCTTCGTCTTCTTCGGCTATGGCATTAGTCCCCAAACAGCTTGCGACGACGAAACGGCTTATCCGGCAATTGGCAAAGGTTTGCACGAACAATGTTTGGCAGATCCTATATTGATGGAATTCTACCACGGCGGGGGAGAAGACAACCATTTCCATACCATCAACAACCCATCCCAAGAAGTCTTTGGGAAGATCGAGCGGGACGAACTTATCCAATTGCTCAATACTTTTGGTCTAAAACGCACTCATATTCAATACGGAAGAAAGTTAAATCCGGTGGAGAAAATCAATGGCAGATTAAAGCTGATGGTTGATGATGGTGGTAATGATCACACAAGTGCCTTTTGGGCATTGCATGACAACTTTCAGTGATTCTACTAATGGAACGCTACCTGATACCGGTGGCCCAATGGCAAGTGAATTCATAGATACAGTATTGCTGACTTCCTCCATGAAAAATTGGATCCTCGCATCTCTCAATTCACATGCGAGTAATGCCGAAATTTTCCGAAGTTCTCGTGGAGGCATCTAATGCATATGTATGTAAGCATAAAGCCAGCCTTTTGCCCGAAGGCTCCGTCCACACTACAAAGATGGTATGACTCTTATGATTCTTCTTTTAGTGGATTTTACTTTGTTATATCATCATTGCTAAGTTCCAACAGACGGTTGGACAAAAATGGCACCCTAACAAATGCTGGTTCGAGTGTCGATGCCAAAAATAGCTTGGTTGTAAGAAGATGTAGAGCTTGATTTATATTTTTACGATGTCATCTCAACGGCTTTTTGATAGGAATACAGAGTCCTATCTCCATACCCCATCATTGCGCCATGCGCCATTTCCAGGAGAGGTGGTTTTAGCATTGGGAATGCGCTAAGCCTAGGAGCGAACCCCTGGTTTGATGGAGCATACGATTTCCCAACAATCACGATGCGTGCAATCTAATCATAGATGGAAAAAATAAAGACTCAATTGAAGTCTTCGCCTATCTCGTTAAACGATTTATCAGTGCATCACTTTTCTTCCAGATACCTTATCAGCCTCATCGGTATTTTCTCTTGACCTTAAGGACCCATTCGCAGCCCCACAAAGTGATTTGCTGTTAGTTCGGGGCAGCCCGAAGTGGAGATCACATGCTCTTCCTTGTTGGTGCTGCCATGTCACTTCTCACCGATCCGTCGCTTTCAGCCAATCATGCCAATTGAGTGTTGCATTGCTGTCTCCTCTAGGTCATGTACAACAAGTTTCCACACTCGCCTCGCTACACCCACGAGGCAGCTCTCTCCACTTTATCACACCGGTTTTAAAATTTCCATCGAAATTATGAAAATGTGCTTGAGCTATAGATCCTAATCTTTCAACTTCAAGTCTGATTGTAGTTCTTCATTACGTTCTCAATTCTTGCAGTGCTGCACTCCGCCAAGAAACATTCATTACACCGAGGCTGGCTTTCCTCGCCAAGACAGAGATACCAGAACTGTAGAAGATTTCGGGGGGGAAAATCAAGAAGGGGAAATCGCAGCGGAAGAGTTTCTATTAGGTTGGGAGCAACACTTGAGTAGCTGTGGGTGACTCATAGTGAAGGAATCGATTTAGGAACTGCAGGACAGGGCCTATCCGAGTGCTTGAACTTGCAGCTGGACTGTTTTATGATTTTGGTGATAGCAGAACACCAATATAGCAGCGCGATATTGAACACGAGTCGCACACCACATTTTTACCGGAAAATGGATACATACTGACACGGCAAGACCCCTCCAACGATTGTTTGCCAACTACTCCTAATGGATTCGGAGGAAAAGTTCACATACCCAAAACAAAATCAGGAGAGCTCAACGACGTCATTCCAGATTTGCTCGACGACATCGACAATTTGATAGAACTTAAGTACGTCACTCGTGAAAAAGAACTATGAAAAGTTATTTGAAACATTTTCTTCTGCCTCTTCAAACACCATCCCCGGGTATGAAACCTCGATCTCGGTCCGAATCCCGATCTCAATCTCATAATTCATCCGAAAAGAAACCCGAAGTTAAATCCAAGCCGAAATCTGGAATCGAGCCCCAGTTACCAAGTCAAAATAACAGGGTATCTTCAACTCGTCGCCCTCGTACCTCACGGCCAAAGATGGCTTCTGTTTCCAGATCCCGCTCAGTGATGACATCCGATGAACTCACAGCCCAGAGACTCCAAGCGCAATGGGATCGCGAGAATGATCTTCTTCGAATGCATCTACTTGAGGCTCAAAGAATGCAGGCTCAAATTGAAGAAGAGCAAGCTGCGTCTATGGCAAGACGTGCGGCCCGTATTGAGAGGGACATGGAGGAGGCTATCAGAATCGCTGCCGAGTGGGAGAATGAGGATAGACGTGCTGCCGCCCGAGAGCGAGAATTGGAAGAGCAAGAGAACTTTGCGAGGGAGTTGCTTCGAAGGGACGAAGAAAGAGCTGCTTTGCTCGAAGAGGATTTAGCTGCAGCGCAGGCCGCTCAAGCTCAATGGGAACAAGAAATCCAGGAACAGGAGGAACAAGCGAGAAGAGCGGCTGAGGATGAAGAAAGAAGAGCGACCGAGGATGAAGAGAGAAGAGCGAGAGAAGCGATGAGAAGAAGAGCGAGCGAAAATGGAGAAAGAAGAGCGAGCGAAGTGGGGAGGAGAAGAGCTGCTGCAGCTGCGGCTAGAGCCACTGAGGCAGAGTGGAAGGCCAGGATGGAGAAAGAGACAGCAGCTCGAAAGGAATCTGAAAAGAAGGTCAGGCTCGAGACAGAACGATTGCAGTTACAACAGGTTGAGGAGCAAGCCAAGTTGGTCCGAGAACAACAAGCAAAGGAAGCCGAGAAGAAAATCCAATCAGAAGCCCGGAGAAAAGAAAAGCTGCGCAATACAGGTGCCAATAAGGCAAGCGAGCCTGCGGAGAAAGAGGAAAAGGCAAAACAAGCCGATTGTGTATCCGTAAGCTCCATCAGTTCATTTAATCCTTTAGTTTTGTTACCTAATGCAGTTTTCCAACGTCTGACCCATTTTTATGTTTTCTTACACACACTCCTTGTACTTGCCAATACAGCCCTAACCCCTCGCTTTCCTCATTTTCCTTCCTTTGGTAGGTAGTACTAACACTAAGATCATGCAGTGTCTAGAGACAGGCGAAAGAGCTAACATGTGTGTCCTATCTTGCAAACACGCTTATTGCGGAGAATGTATCGCGGGTAAGTAAATTATACAATGCTCCTCGCATATACACTGACATGAACAGCTGCCTTCCGAACCGCGTTCTCATCCAAAAAGCGATTTAAATGCTGCAAATTGAATGTTCCAATCAACCCCGCTTCTCGCTGGCTCAATAAAACCTTCATCGCCTCCTACAAAATGTTAATTCTGGAACAAACTACCAAGGATCCCCGTTACTGCTCCAACAAAAATTGCGCAAAGTTTATCCCGCCCGTAAACATACATGGAACCATCGCAACTTGTCAAGCATGCAAAGTCCGTACGTGCGCACCTTGCGGTAATGCAGAGCATTCCGGTGTATGCAAAGAGGATAAGGAGGGTCAAGCGGTACAGGCTCTGGCGGATAAACAGGGCTGGAAAAGTTGTCCCAGGTGCAATTTCGTCATTGATAAGAATGAGGGTTGTTTGCATATGACTTGTAAATGTTTGTTTGAATGGTGTTGGGAATGTAAGAGAGAGTGGAGTAAATGCAATAGTACTTGCAAGAGAAGATAAGGAATGCATTGGATATATATACGTTTTCTTTTTTGGAAATTTAAATGAAGCAATAAATTTTATTCCAAGTAATTAAATCATTTCCTCATTTTTATCGCTATTGTCGCTATGTCCCTTAATTGCCAGTCATGATGGCGCTTGAGGAGTAGCAGTGCAGTGCGATTCAGATGTAGACACGATCTTTTCACTTGGATTTCCATACCTAGGTACCTACCATAAGATGCTGAATTTTAAGATCAAATATTCCCTCCTACCGATGTGGCACTCAGACTCAATTACTTTACCCATAAACCCGCTCTTCCTAGCCAGGTAGATAGATACAAGGTAGATAAGTACCTACAAAACTGCAGCAAAAGTAATCCAAATCCAAATCCACATCCACATCCACATCCAGAGTATGCGTCAGAAGAAGAGTAAACGGGAAAAAATACCTACGTAAATGAATAAATAAATACTATCTACCTACCTAGGTATGTAGGTAATATACTCGAGTATTTATATGTACAGTAGAAGTTGAGTATTTAACTTAAGCATCTTTCTTTAGGTATTGAAATTGCTAGGTTAGGTATCTACCTACCTAGGTAGGTATTGAATAATAGAAATGAATTGAAGTAGGTACCTAGGTAGGTAGATAGCTCACAAAAAGTCAAATATATAATAAACGGCTCTGAGATGTTACGAAGAAAAGCTGTTAAAAGTCCAAACCATATTTTATCAGCGGGATGACTCCTTTAAGTACCTACCTAGCAAGTTAGGATAAGAGGATTCCAGTTATTTCAAGAGTGAATAAGAATATTGCTGCAGATGGTGACGTTTATAAATCAATAACGTTCACTTCCATAAAAGCACAAAATTGATGAATATTTTAGAATTGTCTAATTATGTTTGCAGGCAAGGCCAACCAAGTTAAGCAAGTCTCAACTCCATCGCTCAATCCTCAATTCGCCGTTAACCCATCAGAATTCGATCACCACCCGCCCAATCCTTAAATCCAAGGCAGACCCACTACCAAATACAAAAAAGATATGCCGGGTCATATGAATGCGCTGGTTATGACAAAGTATACTTACTCGTGTACTTATGAGCTTCTTTGCCCCTCGTAAACGTAAACCCTCGGCTCAGTGAGTCCCGTTTGCTTTCACACCACTTCCACTCGCTCTCTTCGGACTTCTACCATTTGTCAACTCACTCAAAGCACCATCATTCCCATCATCTTCATTTCCTACTAGTAATTTGCCCATAAAACTGATGTAATCATATTGCGGCATACCCCTGTCTTGCTGTAGGTCAGGACCTTTATGCAGCGGTATGAATTGAGTCAATTTTTCAATAACCTCATCCGGCACCAAACTATGTCTCAAATCCAGCGGTCGAGAGCGTAAGGTTTGCCATCCGCAACTTCACGGAAAGATTGGAAAACTTGTTCTGCCGTGTTTTGATCTTCTGTAACGTCCACCATAAATCGGATGAATTCTTCAAACGTTACATAGTCCTTTCCGTTTGATGTATCGAGGAAATAATGGTGCATTTCTTCTTCGGAGAAGACGAGACCGAGTGAGGCCAGAGCTGCACTGAATTCCAGTTCTTGTAAACTGTTGCTAGCGTCACGATCGAAATGTCGAAAGACACTTTCGAATTCTTCAAGTTGTATTGGCGTCAGATTCGTCATGTTCCGAGCTACTACTTGATTGTCCAAAAATGCCAATTTCTTCGCAACCGAATTTTTCACAAGACTCATTTCATAACAGAGCTCATCGTAGGTGTAAGTCGTAAAGTCATTTTCCTCGATGTTCGCTTCCTCGCACTTCTTGTCTATAGCCTCAATTTGATCTAAAAATTGGTTGAGAGGTGGAAGGTTGTCGTGCAGTCGACGGACGTGAACCAACTGATCCTCCACGTCACCCTCCAATCCTGATATTGCCAGTTGCATGGTATTCAAAGTCGTTGCGAAATCGTTGGCTTTGTCGGCAAAAGATCTTCGTAAGGCATTTTTGATACTAGAAGCCATTAGCATGATTCACTTTGCACATAAATATTAACTGACTCCCTAATGGTCTCGTTTATTAGTTGACCTCTAGCCATTTCACCCTTCATCAACAACGCCCACTCTTCATCTAGGACACTCAATCTCAACTCCGGAGGCGGGTCGTAAGCTCGAAGTCGGTATGTGCTAAGCTTCGTCTTTATGTTCCCTAATAACGCAGCAAGGTCACTTTTCTCGGCTACCCACTCTCTTTTCTGGCCTCTTTTGTACGAACTAAAATGCGACGCTTGTTTCTTCGCATCCACATATGTGCCCTCGAAAGTCGCATCTTGCCAAGTAATCACTTGCTCCTTGATATTCTTCAACAGTGCTCTCATCCTCTTCTCGTAAGCACTCTGCATCTCCCAAGCTCCTTGCATGTTGTTAACAAACTTTTCCACTCTTCGGCCAGCATTTTCAACCTTCTCCATCTGCGAAAAGGCATGGAACCAATAGGCTATATAAGTCATCAAACTCCTCTCATCCGGCTTGGCCACATCGCAGACATCCTCAACATCCAAAAGCGCTGGGATACCGATCTCCTTGGTTGCAATGTCAAAAGCCAACTGCATATTGCCTCTATGATCATCCTTGTCCAAAGTATCATAATCGATTAGATCCGGTCGGTGGATATCGAGCAGTGCACAAAATGCTAATCCATCATTCCAACTGTCTGTAAAGTTTCGAACATCAACCTCTTCGTAGCAGGCTGTTTTTCTTTGGCACCAGAGCAATAAACCTTCCTTGGCAGTCATACCCTCCAAGTTGATGTCGGAGATAGTAAATCGGAGAATGAGTGTCCAGATCAAACCAAGGATGATTTTGCGGTTCCCGTCTACAACATCTTCCGCTCCGATGTTTGTCATCTGGATGCCCCTAGATTTGATGAAGTCCAGCGATAAATTTGCGTTCTCAAACCGCTGTACTCGTAGTTTAGGCTTCGCTGCATATCGGCCGAGTGATTCATTTGAAAGGCATTCGAGAAGATGGATGAGAATGACCTAATATGTTAGCACACAACAAGAGAAGCCCATGACCAAAAAACTCACTCCGTCGCTCAAATCTTTAACCAAATCCACTACCTCCAGTTTCCTGTGTGCTATCTTGGTGTTCAACCTATTTTTCTAGTAAGTATTTACTCATACTTTGCAAATATAAACCACCCAGCTTACCATTTTGTGAAGGTCTTCTGTTGCACCGTAATCCACTGCTGCTGTTCAGCGAAGGCCATTTTTCCAAGCTGATGCTCATGCAGCGGTTCGACCGCTTTCAACGCTTCCCCTGAGCCTGCGTTTGACCCTTTGGATTTATGTCTATGCTGATATCTCTTTCTTCTTTTTCCAAGCCCAAGGTTTTCGTCAGTCTTCTCGGGCTTCTCCGCAGACCTTTGTAACCGTGCTGTCTCTGAAAATTGTCTCGACCGTAGGATCTCGCGTTCTCTTTGGCTGGCAGATCTTTCGCGCCTTACTAGCCTTGGTGGTGTCGCAGGTGGGGTACTCGGAGCGTTTATCTCGAAATCAGCTGTGGAAGAAGAAATCCTTTTCTCTTGATTCTGTGTGTGACTGCGATTTTCAATTGGAGTTGGTGAAATTGCACGCGAGTGACGTGGTGTTGTGGATATGCTGGTCTCCTCATTTTTGTTTACTTCTGAATCAGGATTGGCGGCAGTTACCGAAGATGACCCCACTAAGCAACGATCGTTGCCAGGGGTTGAATTAATTTGTTCCCCTTCGCTTTCTTCATCTCCAATAACATCATCAGATTCATCACCAATTTCTGATGATGGTGGTGATGGAATTCCAATGTAATTTGTTGAATTCGAAGTTATTGTTGGCTCTCTTTCTCTCTTCCCTTCTTCTTCTTCCTCTTCCTCTTCTCCAACTTCCTCGTTGACATATTCCACTTCCATTTCAACATCTTCCTCTTTCACACCTTCGCTTTCGACCCTGACATCTAGATCCTTCACCACCAAAGTATCTTCCTCCCCCTTTACATCCTCCCCCTTTTCCATATCTCTCGCTTCCTCTTCGGCTCTCATATCCGGTCTCTCTTCCCATTTGGCATCTAGATCTTTTATCACCAAAACATCTTCCTCTCTAACATCTTCGACTTTTTCCTTCTCTGCTTCCTTTCTTGTCGCGTCCAGATCTTTTACCACAATGGTGTCCTCAATCCCAACATTTTCAACATTCTCCTCTTTCGCAACTGTGTTTGAAGTAACGTCTTTTGGCGCTTCCACCTTTGGCTCTATCCTCAAAGATTTTTTCAAGGCGGAAAACATATTGAGGACAAAACCGAATACAAGACTTACAGCTGGTTCTAGAATGAATAATTCAAGAACCTTTAAGTACCTAGAAAGCTACAACTACAATTGCATCTGTACTTAGATTCAAGGATAGGGTTATTTTTGCATGATGAAACAACAATCATTCGCGTTTCCGGTGAGGATTCCACAATCTTTTTATCAAAGCGAAATATCACTGGTTGAAGAGGCTTGGGGTTCCTGACCAGTGTATCATGTCACCCATGCCATACAATGACTTTATCATGCAAACATCAATTTCGTATTTCACCAATTTATCAATCGAATCTATTTGAAAAATCGATGGCATTATGGAGTAGATTTTATCATCACTCGAATTCCATGATTGATATTCTCTTTGCCGCTTTTTTGATTTACGAAAAAGTTTACGTACGTGGAAGCGGGATGCCCAATAATCCGGACTAGATATAAGTTTTCGATTTTTTAAAAGGTTTAAATATTTGGAGCATGATTCATCATTCTGAGAGGGCTTATTATTTCAAATAGTTTCAATGTTTGAAACGGTTAAAATATTTGGAGCATGATTCATTAGTCAACCAAATTCGTTGTTCTATCTGAATTCTTTCTTCCAGATAATTTCATCATTCTGGATGATTAGTTATTTCAAATGCTTTGAATATTTCGAACAGATTTAGCAGTTTTAAAGCCTCATAGCTGGATTGCAGTATTGACTATTGAATACCTTGTGTAGGAGATAGTATTTTTTGAATGATTCTGTTTAAAACCGACTGCATGAATTAAGAGTTTATTGGAAACATCTCCTTCACTGCCATCTCAACGCTACGACATTTCAGGTAATTTAGACCTCACACTCCTTTTAGAAACCATAGCAGATATGTCCAGATTTGCGATCTCATCCTTCCTACTTTACTATTTCATCGCGTCCGTAATCCATCGGGCGGCACAACTTGCTTTAAATCAATATCCAAAAGCGGCGTTCGAGCAACTAGATTTCACACATTTTAAACAATAAAGCGTCAGCTTTTCGCAAATTGCGGTAAAAGTACTGCATGTCTTCAAGTTCTTCCACCCAGCAGTCGTGGCGCATTTCAAGGTGTCTGAATAGCAGGCAGCTGCCGATTTTTGGCATGTCAGCATATTGGTAAAAGGTGAAATCTTGCCACACCAATTTCCTGCTGACACAGCGCATGTTGCGCCTGGCGTTGGAGATTTTGTTGGTGTTGCTGCAACCGCAGAAGTAGGTTGCTTGGCCGTAGTTGAAGCCTTTACGGAGCTTGTAGAGGTTTTTGCAGAGCTTGTGGATGACTTCACGGAACTAGGGGCAGTGCTCGTGGATCTCAAGGTGGCTCCCGGTGGCTTTTCTGTTCCGGTCGAGGAAGAAGTGGCAGTCGCGGATACAGCAGAACCTTTGACACTTGTTGTTGCCGTAGAGCCCGGCGTTGTTGGGATGGATGTAGTGTTGAGAGAGCGATACCAATTGGTCCTATCAGTGTCTCCCAGACACTCACCTACTGTGACACCCTTCCAGCCTTTGGCCTTGATTTGATCGAAATAGTAGCTGGAAAGGTTCCCTACAGATTGTTGTACAATATCGTGTTGAATAGATAAGTAGTCTACAACGGTTGTTGAAGCAAGTGCCTTTTGTACAATGTTCTTGGAGTTCTGAATTTGCGATGGTAAAGGATTCAAATAATCCTGAGTGTCCAAATCGAAATAGACTCTATGGTATCCCAGAGTCTGCATATCTGCCCAGCATCCTGACGCTTCAGTGCAATCAGAATACGGGGGTCTCATGTAGGTTGGCCATTTTCCAATGATGTTGTTAAATGCCATCTCATTCTTGACCATCTGCTGCATTCTAAGGTCGTGGGAAATGTTCGAAAGAGAATAATGACTCCAAGTATGAGATGCAACTTGATGACCCTCGGCAATCATACGTTGAATCAAAGAAGGATATGGGGCAGTGATATCGATCTCTCCTTTTCCATTGTTGTTGCCCGTGATAAAGAATGTCGCTTGGTAGCCATATGACTTCAAGATATCCAGCAGATCGGATGTGTAGTTGTATGGACCATCATCGTAGGTTAGAGCCACCACACCTGTTTGCACGCAGTCATAGATGTCATCCTTGTAGGTGATAGGCCCCATTAATGGTCTTACAGCATCGAGAGTTGATACACCGGCAGGCGTTGCATCCGAGTCGCACCTTCCATATCCAAGTAAGCAACTTCCCGGGTCAGCACAATAGTCTTGGGAGGTTCCGCAGTATCCAGAAACTTTGAGCAAATTAGTAAGAATGCTAGTGTCATCCGGCCTTGTGTACTCACCACTACAGCATTGGTTTCCTCCACAAGTTGCCCCACCAAAATTTGGACCACAGGTTCCTCCTGTGGTGGGCTCACTGGCATCTGCAGTACAAGCTCCATATTTAGACTGACACCCTACATCGCAATAATCGGTTGTGTTCCCGCAATATCCTGATCCAGAACAGCAAAGTCCTCCGGTACAGGAAAGCCCTGCATTGCTGGCTCCGCATAAGAACGAGTTACCGGATGGTTGAACTGTTGCACCTGAACAAGTACCAAATGCCGATTGGCATCCAGTCCCACAGTAGTCTATAGCAGCACAAGTTAGTACACATCATTGTGCATATTCATGATCAGAATTCGAGACATACCTGTTGTGTTACCACAATACCCATATGCCGAACAGCATCCTCCTGTGTTTGCAGTAGCATCACAAGAATAGCTCTTGTTAGATCCTGCAAATGAATCTCCACAGGTGTTGTCTGGACTTGTTATGGCTCGTTTAGAAAGAAAGGCTAGAAAGCCAGGATCTTGAGAATCTGTTCCTTCCAACGGAAACGCAAGTCCTATACCACTGAATGCTAACCCCGTGGTTATGGCTAAGATTAATGATTTCATCTCGGTTGTTAAATAATTACAAAATTGTTTCTGAAAAATGTACACGGAAGAAATGGGAGGCGACGAGAAAAATGAGGCAACTCCACGAAAGTGAATTAAATGCTGGAGATGGACGGAAAAAGAAAGAATGCCAGCTCGAAAAAGAAAGTCAGCGGTCTGATATGCCGAAATGCGGAGGAGGTGGAAAGGAAAAGGAAAAAAGGAAAGACATTGGTGAGAAGGAACATATATGTACAACATTGCCACATCACGGGTCGATATATCAGAAAATGACTCGACATGTCATAACCAAGCTATAAGAGCATACTAGACAGAAATCATCTGTTCTTTGACTGCCATTTTTCGGCGACGTTTACATCCATGAAGAGATTCGCGGAATTATCGCCAAGTTATATAGCCAAGAAGACCATGGCGTCGACCCGTCTTCTTGGAAGAGCTTGGAAAGAGTCCGTGGAACGAAACGAAAACTTCCCCTCGGAACGTTTCATAAATTTGATTCGCCCAAATATTTATGAAACATCACTTATTGGAGAACGATGATTTAAAATTTAAGGGGTATGGGCGGGAGCTTCAACTTGGTGGGGAAGTCGGTCTCTTTTTTCAGCATCACTTATTAATAGTGTTTATGCGCACTTACTCTTTTTCCTTGGGATATCATACCAACTTTGACTAAAAGAAAGGGAATCCCGACAAGCTGTTCTTAAAAACTTCGGGATCTTGTCTTCATGTACAGATGATCTAGCAAATACTCGTGCGAACAGAAAGTACAGAACTCCTTTCTAAACGAACTTGAATTTGTTGGGGGAGAATCTAATTTGATTAATGAGGTTTATTACTTTCCTTAATTTCGTTTTATTTTTAGGGATTCTCAGAAATGGGGACATTTATTATATTGAATATAGATGCAAGAATCTACATCACTTTCAATAAAAATTATCCCGTTGAGAAAGAGGTTCTGTACTTTCTAGCCACACGAGTAACACATTTTCTATAGTTTAAAGATTGTTTTTACTCAAATTGTCGCTTTGATATCTGATCAAATATTCTGCATGGCATTCATTGTCTAAGCCGGACTAGGAGAAATTTATCTGAACTTGAGTGTCAAAGCAGAGAGAACATAGTCAATTGTATTTTTCTATAATTTTAACCGTTTACCCAAGTCTAAAGGAGTGTGCCTAATCGTATTCATTACTCATCAGCCTATTAAGTCATCATCCGTCCAAATTTTCCGCCAAATTTTCCGTCAATCATCATCCATTACTACTCATCATCTCAGTTGCTATCATCCAAATCAAGTCGGAACACGCCCATAAACATCATTCTCCGTTCAATGCATTGATTGATCGAAGAACTCATGCTGTGGAGGGGTTCTTCTAAGCCTATTTTATCAATGTTAGCTTATTTCTTGATTACTCATTAGTGAGGAGAATGTTGAGGCTTACCTGGCAAGCATAATCGGTGTAGCATTGCTCTTCAGCACTTGGCGAATACAAGACGAATCTTTCAAGACGAACACAAGACAACTTAGAGCTGGATGTGCTGACGGTAGCGGAACCAACAACGGTACCGGCCTTGGCGGTGTAAGAATCTTCGCCGATGACAGCAGTCAACTTGAATGGGGTGTCGACAGTCCAAGTTCCATCCTCAAAGTCGATAGAACCGGTAGGGTTGAAGATAGCTGTCTTGGTAGGTGTTTGACCGGCAAGAGACAAAGACTTCTCTGGGTAGTAGTCAGCCTCGGCGTAGGCAGCGAAGCTCTTGTTGTTGAAGCAGTTGACGAGGTAGTAGATTTGAGTCGAGCTTGAGGCGCTGGCTTCCATGGCTGCTGGAGCGGCAGTTGGAGCGGCCGAAGTGAGAGCAGAGAGGAAGAGGAGGGGGATAGAAGCAATCATGGAGAAATGCATTTTGATGGTTTAGAGGTCTCGGAGAGTGAGAAAGTTAAGAAGGTTTGATAAGTTGTTGGAGGAGGTGTTTGAGGTGAGTGAAGTGTGTGAAGAGTTGTTGCAGATTGTGTGTGAGTGAAGTTGTTGTGATTGATAGAGAATATTTGTCGATGAAGGCTTCCCTTTATATACTTTCTCATCTCAATAACATCGTCCCATGTACGAAATGCTTTTCTCGAGTGGCTTTTCCTATCGACCGTTGTCTGTACGCAAACACACCCATGCGTGACGATCGTGGGACATCATCCATGGGAGCCACTTCATCCTCGCCAGCCACTTCACATAATACGACCGACTTGCGGCATTTGCATCAATGTTTACAGGGCTCAATATCACTCGGCGCCAACAGTGCCCAACATGTTGTTTTCGTCTTGAATACCCACACAAACAGTCATGACGATGGCGGTGATAACGATATTTCCCAGTGCTCAAAACCCATGTTTGTTAGGCAATATCAATACCGGCTTTCGTCTATCCCATGTAAAGTAAACGGGCTAGTTTTATGACCTGCAGTCAGGAAGTAAGACTTTTCCATCCAGATTTTCACACGGATTCCGGCCCATACCGGCACTAATACCTCATTAGATAGATCTTATTAGACCCAGGGTCTCTACCCCACAAGCTTGCAATCGGGCTCTAATTGTAGGCTGAATCTGCCCCTTTCACTTGACCCACCCCATCACATATTGCAGGAACAATAGATCTCTTTAATCCTTTATTATAATTTTGTATATTTTCCATTAATTTTGACAAAGTCATAATAAATTAGTACTAAAATCGATATTTTCTAATTTATATTAGAATTTAAAATTTAAAAACCTGTTTGAGTCGTAATAAATCTTGAAGAAAATTACTTAACTTTTAGATGATATTTAGAAAAATTTTTAATAGAATAACAATATTTTTCAAAAAATTGTAATAACTGACTGATCAAGAGAGCTTATTATTTCTTTTGCTAGTGCTAAAAGAAAATTTGGAATAGGTGGGAACAGAGCAAAGACGAAGATGCGAGTCTTAGGTTACCGATTACACCTGAATCGAGATTCTTTCTCTGATGATCCTGACTGAGCAAGGGTAGCCTACCTAAACGAGGGCCCACTAGACAAGCTTGCGGGTCTGCAAGTCGATCGTAACGGCGAAGCAGGCCACTTTGGTACAACTGTTCAAGACAGATCCTCCGAAGCCGATCTGCTGGCTGGGAAGATGAACAGGGGTGGTAGATCGGAATGAGAAAATCTCTGCTAACGCCGATTAGACCCCTACCGGTACTTCCAAGACTGCCTTTCTTTGAGGCGGTCAATAACGCCACATCATGGATCATCTATGTAGGGAAATTTAGAAAGATTTTTTAATGCTCATTACTGATCTCCCATACACTTCAGTACCGAGGTCTGCGATTTGCATCTTGCCAATATGCTAAAGAAAAATTTGTGAGATTAGATTACCTGCCTACTAAGGCATAGTATTTGACACAAATTTACAATATATTCATTATCTCATCTTTTTACAAACTTCAGGTAGGGCTAGAGCGGGAATGTCAAGTTTTAGGGCGAATTAGAAGCCTTGGCACTTTTTGAGCCTCTCGTCTGAGAATAGAAACTATTTCACTGAAGATCAGATATCCGGATCATATCTTATCCAGCTCACGAATGAAAGACATTCCGGAAAGGCACCGAGACTTAACATCATGAGCTTGATTTTCTGAATCACTTTTCAGGCAGCCTAACTAGATTCTGTGGGAATAACAACACGATATTTCAAGATTTGAAAACACAGATTTCCTTCCTCGGCAATCAACTTAGTGGGGTCCCTGAAAGCAAGAGGGAAGATCCCGAAGACCCACAACGATGATCCTCGATTTGCACAGTGGAATGAGTCCATCATTTTTCACTATGCAAAGGAGGAACACGTGAATTGGGACGTGCCCTATAGGCATGCTATTATTTTAGGTATGAAAAATTAAGTTCATTATTGAAGCGAATGTGGGAATAGCCTCAAAATTAAAGTTACGTACATTCAAAACCTTGTTCCTGAACCTTATTTTATCATATCCTTATCATTTTCAAGATATACCCACTAAGCTCATAATGAACCTCTTCAAAGTTCAGGCTTCAAACCCTATAAGGCCTAGAGATAAAAGATAATTCAATGGAAAGAGGTGTGAAAGCATCTTTTTGATGTTTTTATCTCCCGTTCCGACAGAATCGTTCCACTGGTTTTTACAGATTCCGTCCGTTTAAGTTTAAGTTTAAGTTTAAGTATCATAAAATAATCCGTTGGATCGGATTCGAAATATTATTTCAAAATCCGATCTTTTTCAATCGAACGATTTGTCGGAGAAAGGAGGAATCACTTCGGCGGAAGAGCGGATTGCTTGACGCTTATGCTGTGCTACTCGTGCGTGTGGCTGTGTGAGGCTCTTTCCTATATAGGTTTAGAAAAGGGGAGAAAGATGAAGTGGATTGACCAATAAAATGAATACTTTTTATATAGTCCACTTTTTAACGAAAATTTTGCACAAAATAACAACGGAATCCCGATAAAATACTCGCTTATGCTCGCTTCACTTTGTGGATTTTGCTGCACTGGACAAAGATTTACAACACATATGCTTTTTCAGAACCTAGAGGATTCTTCCCTCGCAATTTTTAAGCTTTTCTCAGAAAGAGCCTTATGCTTTTTAAGCCGCACAGTTAACTTGTCGCAGTCTTGCCGAGAACCGAAAATCCTGTATTTTCACATGCTGAATGCCGACTGCTGGGCCAGTATGTATGTATGGGATACCTACTAGTTCCAGAGCATCCATGGATGGCTGGAATGGAGTTGAATGCTACATTGCATTCCTCCGGGCATATTCAAAAAAAATCATCCAGGCCTTGCACCGCCCAGGCTAAATAGTATGAAGGTCATAAACCTCAAGTCTAGATCTCACTTCTTTACGAGGTCGTTACATATGTTCAAGCTAGTTTCCGGACAGTTTAATTCGTGGAATTTGATTTCGAAGAGGGCATGTCAAAAAAAAGAGAAAGAGAACAACTTTTTTCCGGCGTCATGATATGCAAGTGGATACCATGCCGCAACTACATCTCTTCTGTAAAGAATTGCATATCTCAAACCATATCCATCTTTTCATCTTTGTTGGCAGTTTTAGAATCGATACGTCGATATAATATCGTATCATTTTGACGGACCAGCCTCGGGAAATTCCATTTTCATCTCCCCCTCGTGCTGATCTTGTATTATTGTTTTTTTGCTCTTTCAGCTTATAGTTTCCTTTATCATGTATTTCTATGTTGCCTTAAGATTCTATCACATTGGATGGAGTGTACCACCACCAGTCTTCGCCTCTTGAAGGCGCTCTTTTCGATGCCAACAACATTCCCTATAAAATCAGGTATCTCCAAGAGACGAAAAGCAATGCTAAAGCTTGTGCTTGGGATGGAGTTGTAAGATTTTTCAATCATAGCCACCACGTCCCGTTGCGGAAAAGACGTTGAGCTGTTCATGCCAGCTGCCAGCCCACATTCTACAATGCAACATGCAGAAACGGCAATACCATCGTCTAGCTCGTGTCTTATACCCGATTTGTTGCTAGAATCCAATTCGTATCTTTAGATTCGGCAACGAAACTGCCCTGCATGTAAGCAGATGTTAGTTGTAGTTAGTTTGTATGCTCCATCACACTAGTAGAGCGGCAGAACCATTACATTGGGAAAGAGCCAAAGAATAAGCAACGAGTCTTGAATAGTGCTACGACGGTAGACAAGCAAGACAGGAAGATGTGGTTTATCGAGTATGCTTGAAGAACGGGACCACAGTAAAACTTGTTTATTCTGCAAAAGTCGACCAATCGGATCCGGTACAACGGTACCAATAAAAAGGTATGCATAAAACTTTGTTCAATGTTGTATAGTTTTTATACTCTAATTTTAACCCTGGACTTCGGATTTCTCCATTGCTTTCCCCCGAAACATACTACGTGATGGCTCCGCATTGAGAAGGTTTTCCCAAGTATCCGGAATAATTAACTGCCGTGAAAACAGGTTTTACTGTATAGTAGGGAGCGTGTAAGATCCTCAAATCCTCCAATGTAGTGTCTTTGCGGTTTTATAACATGCTAGTTTTGAAAACTACTACCCCCGAAGAGTATAAACCTCATTATCCTAAGGCTCTACGGAGTAGTCGCTGAAAAGCTTGCAACTCCCGGTTCTAGCTAAGTTTATACGAACAACTCCAAGACTTGCTAACCATAATAGACAGTAGCTCCTTCCACAATTAGTAAGAATAGCCTAAACCACGACCGAGTAGCATTCGAGTATGATCATGAGGCTGGCGCAGAGTGAGATACTGATTGTGGTGCCATGCAACTTCACAATATTGGTAGCTAGAACACGCGGGTGAAGTTGATAGGTTTACCAAGCTTATAAATCCAAAACATCATCCTAAATCTCTTCGCATTGTTCTCATGTAAAAGTTCATGTCACCGTGAAAAGCTCTTGAGTCTAGCAGAGTTGATAGCTGAACATTTCCCTAAGACTTGCGGACAGTTTTGTAAGGTATAGAGTGTTTAAGTTGATTAGTATATGTTTACCGGTCAAGAAAAAGCTTTAATATTTCACAGTTGGAAGAATTGGTTCCCAGCTACAACATCTACACACGGCACATGGATGAGTTACGCCAAAGTTTAAGAATATTTGAAAATTTGATATGATTCTATTAATAAAGCTGTCATGAACCATTAACTATTACATATTAATTGTTGAAATTTCAACATGCCAAAACATATTGCAACGTGGAAAAAACAAAAATATCAATAAAAACAACAAAAGAAACAACATCAAAAACAAAACTTAAACAAACATTCGCCAGACTGGCTGGTATCTTGTTACTCCATATACTCCTTCGCATACCATAGTGATCGTAATCTGGGTTAGAGCGCTGGAGGAAACAAGATAACCATAAAAAAAACCCCAGGGTATCCACCGAGAAGCATAACTCCAACCACCCCTACCACCAAAGACTCCCCAAACTCCAGCTCCTCAGACATTCACTCCTTGTCATCGTGGTAAACCACAATGACATTAGGGAGAATGCCTTAAGAGAAGCTGGTGTCTGGTGCGCCAAAGAATTCATCCCAGTTCGCCAATGCTACAAAAGCACTGGTCGAAGCGGGGTCGGGATTGGCGGGGTGAAAGGGAGGCTGGTCGAAAGGAGGCGGGTTGAGTGGAGCCGCTGCGTAAGGACCCTGAACTTGAACCTGAGGGACCCGATCGTAACGGTCCTCATGTTGAGGAGACGGAACGTCAGGAACCGGGATGTTAGGAACCGGGCCAAACGCAGCGGGGGCGGGCGGAACAAGGGCGGGCGGAACAAGGGCGGGCGGAACAAGGGCGGGCGGAACAAGGGCGGGCGGAACAGGGGCTAAAAGAAGCTGTGGGTTTGCTCCAGCCTTCCTTTTTGCTGGACCCCCCTCACTTCCTCTGTCAACTTCTCGTCCTCGCTTCCTCAATACTGATGAACGTAAATTACAGCCATTACAGCTATCAACCAGCTTCATGACAAACTGCTTTGGAAGCCCAGTCCTTGTTCCCCCGCCGATATGATTCCATAGGTAGTGTCTCTCCCTCTATGTCGCGCGTCTTTTTCCCTTGGAATATGGCATTCGATGAACAGGGCGAAACACTCCTCGAATGGAGTCAGCTCCTCCCAACTTTCTCCGCACTTCACCGAGACGCTTTGACCGTCAACACGGTAGTTGTTGCGTACCCTGTGTTTCCACGTGGGTGCTGGTCCAGGAAAGCTTTCTGGCTTTTCTATAGAAGCGTTAGGATTGCTGTCCAGCTTCCTTCTGTCATCGATGATTCTTTGGATTCGTGCCCTCGAAGGAATAAAGGCATCCGGGTCAGAACAGTTCTTGTTTCCCACATAAGCGGCGACACATTCATTCTTGAATGCTTGAAGCTCAAGTTGCGATTTCGTTGGGTTCCAGAACTTGATTCCATTGAGGAATACACGAAAGTTTTGCTCTCGAGTAAGGATATCTTCTTGGGTGTATTCTTTACCCATCTATTTCTTGTTAGCCAGTGTCCAAGTAAGGTTTGTATATTGAAAAAGAAAACCCCCAGATATCTAGAAATCGAAGGGAAGTTCAAAAATGAAGGGAAATGTTTCGTTTGGATTTAAACATTCAATTATATGACAGCAAGCATGATGCAATAGAACTGGTGTGTCGACATGAGGCCAACACAATAAAAGCACAGATAGGTTTATTTCACCCTTGATACATAAATTCCTTCATCCCACAACGAGTATACCCTTTAACAACTTAATTGCTCTCATCCTCAGGAGTTGTTCGTCCAATGACATGAAGCCTTAATATAAAAGCCTGAAGCATAAGGCACAAATAATAGATACACAAACCCAACTCGTGTAATGTGGACGACCCCCCTGAAGCACAAGTTGAACTACCTATCTACATTATATAAAGCTAACACAACATCTCAACAATGATACAAAGTGCCAAGCGAGTTTAAGAAGTAAATTAATTATGATCAGATGACTTTACAGAAACGTTTAAAGTCATGTCTAATTAGCACTAAGAAAGTAGACTAAAACCTAGGGCAAACGTCTGAAGGTCACGTGTTACTATGTGAACGCTAAGGATTTTAGTGATGAAGTATGTGATTCATGACGTTGTTGAGATATTCTCAAATAATCCCTCAAGTGGAGAATTTCCCAAAGAACTTTTTCTGGCCTTGCAAATGATCAAACGGGGTCAATCAAGTAAGGCAAGCTAAGTATTGAGCAACTCGATCTCAAAAAGCAATCTAAGCCAATCAAAGCAATCAAAGCGATGCAAGCTCAGTGCGTGGAATCAATAAAGCAATTGAGATGTATCCAAACTATAATGTGTACGTTATGTGAAGTAAATGGAGTGAATGTGCGTAGACTTGGAAGGAGCGAAGCGAGGAGTATATGTCTTACCCTTACAAATTATTAAAAAGTTTTTTTTCGGATCGGTAAGAGGAAAAAAATTGTCGTATTGTGCTGAAGGGAAGTGTTCAGCAAATGTCGTGGATAAGTCGGATTGGCGGGGCAAGAGGGTTGGTGGAATGGGTGAAGTCGGGGATGGCGAGTTGGGAGAGAGGAAAGAAGGGGTTCGTTTTTAATATGATTTTGTGCAAGGTAGGTTGTACGTATTCTGAAATTGAAGTTATGAATTCGTAGAGATAGTGGAAAAAAAGTAAAATCTTTGATTCACGGTTATTCAGAATTTTGTGTACGAAAAGAGAAGGAATTTGGACTCACTGGGGAGTCCTTTCGTAGTATATGTGCGTGAAGACAATAAGGTTCACGCCATCAAATATACTACAAAAGACAGGTACTGACAAATTCTACGCACTGATCTTGAATAAGATTAAGTAGGTTATTCCTTTCCTCCAATTGGCACATAAGGAAGTGTATTGATGTAACAAGATACTGGCTTGTTTCCAAGCAAGATCCGACGCCGTGGAATAGAACACATCAAGGAAATCTCACCTGATTCGGCTACATTACGGATTCAGTATCGATATGTAGCACGCCTCATTGTTGGATTAATCATCACGATAAGCGGGTGATGGTAAAGAGTGCGAGTCGTGTCTATCTAAGAGCCTTTACTTTTTCGACAGTCTTCCATGCTGAAACCGGTCGGCGGTAGCACCTAAAGGCTTCCACAGTAGCCTCGAACAATCTCCCATCAGTGGTACCTGCGATGCCGCACCGTATCAACGAACCACGATCAAGATTTATGAGGAGATATGACATGCAGCACAACATATCCTGCTTGTCAATGGAACGACTTGGCTAAAGGATACTTATAGATAGCGCAACAGTCGATGTACGAAAAGCAATGCAGCATGCGGCATACTATGACGATACTTTGAATATGTGCCATGTTTAACTTGATGATGAAGCTAACGCGCCACCCTTGAATCATGATCACAACAATAACATATGAGTAAAACGAGTTAGACGAAATGTTAAGACAATTAGTTGTACAGCTAGGATCAAGGAATACCTGCGAAGTATGATTACAAAAAGAACAATACAAATGGTGTCCTGCATATTACCACAATTAACCGAATAGCGAAGCCGACGCCTTTGCTTACGATCCTAAGAAAAGGAATCGACATAGATGAAATATCGCGACAATAGCCGGATAACGAGACACAGGCAACCTACAATGAGTAATACTTGATGGTTATAAGATTATATTTGGGCACAGCATACGGCACTCAACTGCACACAAATTATTTGCATAACAACTCGTTGAAACATAGATATCAATACACTTGAGACGGGTGTCGGGGTCCTCTGTGATCACAAACATACATAGCCACGGAGAGCGTATACAAAGTAGCAGTATAGACGAGTGCGGTATAATAGAAGGATCCTATCTGCCAATAGATCTCAATTGAAAAATAGATCACAAATCTACAAAAGAGGTTTCGTCGAGGCTGTAAATTATGGTAAGGAGTTCATTCACGATCACAGCTACCAAAAATACAGCGTGCGACCGAGGTGACTCACCATTCGCAACACTGACGACTTGCTTTTTCCCAGGCTTGGACGAAATCGACAGATTTGCAGTATTCATGGAATAGGTCTATTAACTACCAAATAGCTTGCACTTAACCACAATGAAGAATTTCAATAACTTCGATTGCTAGAACCCAGAGTCGATAAGGACTTCCGGTCAGTAGCATCGACTGGAGAAACAATTCTTATCCGTCTGGACTCAGAAAATTATAATTTACTACTTATTCTACAACAAGACGAATTTCAAAATCTAATCAATAATCATAACATATATTCAAGTCAAGTATCATCTAGAAAGTGAAATTTGGCACAGCACCGCAATCCTGTGGAAATTATTCGGATTAACAGTGATATTACTACAATTACCAGCTCCAACAAGCCAAGTCTCTGGAAGTTGAGTTCATGTAACATGTAACATGCCCAATCTAACTCCCATCATGCTTCTAGGAATAAATAGAACATACACATAATATACAGACATAGCTTCTCTAACAGCAATTCACAATACGCCCCTGAAAGAAATGACCAAACCCGGAAACCATATATCCAACAAGGAAAAGCTCAAACTACTCCAGTTAAGCTCTAATCACCTATACATATCTCTCAGCTCCACAGCAATCGTCACTTCGAAAGATACACATATACATGATAAGTAAAGCTGGGCTCTCGCGAAAAACTTGCGAGCGCAATATATAGCTTAGTACTAAAGGTGTGGAGGAGTGGAGGAGTGGGGAAACCTAATCTTTTGAATATGATGGTGTTCTAGATTGTGGGGAAGCGCGTCATTTCCGAGGATGAGCGGAAGGAAAGAAGGAAAGAAAGAAGGTGTGTGAATAGAATTCGAGAGAGCTTAAATATGTTACAGGACATGGTGCAATATTTTCATTTCGAAATGAACTATTTTGATTCCGAAATAGGCTAGCTAATTTGCCAATGCTCTGATTCATTGCGCCAAGAAGCTTAATTTTCAAATGAGCTAACTTAGCTCATTGCCCAATATATCCTATTCAGGTAAAAATGGACTCTTCGTAGATAAACTCCAAAACTAGAGTATTAGATTTATAAATGAATACTTTTGTTTTTTCCAATTTCGATATTTGATATCGACTAACTAATTTCACAATCTAACGAGATTATATCTACAAATAAACTAGAACTAAAGCTAAACCGATTCCGGTAATCCTTGTATTATGCAAATATTCCTCTATAAGAACTAGTACTAAGAAATCTTTTTTATTCTTAGGGTGGGAAAATGAGATGGATAGTGCCGGATTTTGAGTGGGGTGTTGGTGGTGTTAATGGGTTTTAGCTAGAATCTGGATGAGCTACCAGGACCGAATAGAATAAAAAAGATTCCTCACTACACGCTTTGTGTGTGAAGCATAGCCACCTAGTAAATAGCAAATGATTTGTGTTGATTGAGTTCTTATGTAGAGGTGTAGAGATAGATAGATAGATAGATGTATGTATATGGAATGGAAGGAGCGATAGAGAAACAGAAATAGAAGCACATAGAAAGAACGGAATATGTATATTATTACTAGTAAATAAAACGGCGTGGAAGGAGCGATAGAGAAATAGAACTAGAAGCATGTAGAAAGAACGGAATATCTATGCTAGTACTAGGACATAAAACGGTATGGAAGGAGTGATAGAGATAGAGATAGAAACACGTAGAAAAAAAAGAACATCTATACTAGTACTTGTACCTAAAGCGTTAGTATATATAAAGATATAAAGATATAAAATCGAAACCACTTATGGTATGTAAAGATTCCGTATGGCTGACCCAGATGATAGGAGTTTTGTTATCAATACCGATGTTCCTCACTCTACCCTATTCCATACATCCACCCACCCTCTTCAAAGCACCAGATACTTCCAAGCCGATTCGGTTTGTCAGGGTAAATCTGGGGTGCATGGTCATGATGCATGGTGCATGGAGCATGGAGCACATCAACGGACGTGCATGAATTAAACCTGTACTTTTACAGTACAAGGCTTGATAGCTGCAGTAATAGTCAGCTTCTCGGACGGCCGACTACTTCGTAGTAGTCGGGGAAAGCGAATGTCCTTAGAAAGTGGATGGGACGATTCGCTTCCCCGACGACGAAGTAGTCGGCGTGCCAAGTAGCTGAATTTTATAGTATGCTCTGTGTGACTCAGAGTAAAGAGCCCGTCATGCATTTTGTAGAGTATAAACTTATGAGATGGAGCATGTCAATGGCGGACCAAAATGTTTTCATTCCATCAACCATAATTTATTAGAAGTGATTCTCAAATATGCAGAGTGCAGTGAAAATTGGCTGTTGTGATTTTCTATATACTGCAAAATTGCCATTATTCCACAGATTATCTTAAAAGATACAGCCTGAAGCTATTTGTTTTTTTACCTTTGAAATAGTATTGATCAAAAAGGCATCAAACTGCGACGAGTAGCTCGGTAATAGTATATTGTCTGGTTCCAAGAGAAATATGATGTATTTACTCGCTATCCGAGTCCAACTGCATTGTAAGATGCACGCTAACATCTGAATCTGAATCCGAACCTTCAGCATCATCGTAGCTCATGGCAGTATCAGCATTCGTCGTAGTTGGGGCTGATGACTCAGTATTAGGAAACCTAACGCTAGGGATAACCGAAGGAGGTGCGGATGCTTCAAACCCAGATTCGCTAGGCAAGCCCTGCTGAGTACTAGAACCTAGTCTAAGATCAAAATTTTTCTCTGATGGGTTTAGCACTTCGCTCCGTGCCGACTGAAAATTGAGTACATCAACAGCATCTGCTCTTTGCCTCGTAGCAGCTGCATCGTCTATGCTATCCATGACATCGTCTTCGGAATCGTCTTCTGCAAGATCATCAAGTGTGGAAGTGCTGTGTCCTCCAGCAGGTATAGTCGGCATGCGTGGACGTAAGAGAATTTCCACTGTATCGTCATTTGGAAACGCCCTTGTGATATGGGGAAGAATACTCGACAATGCTTTTCCATTCTTTCCAACAAATGGATTGAGTATGCTTGCCAACATTGCTTCTTTATTACGTCCGAGAATTGCCGTACGTTCGAGTTGAGAACGCATGGATATATCAAGATATTTCTGAGGAAGGTCGGACAACAATACAGGTAAAAGAGAACTGGCTGCTGCAACGACATTCGGATCGACAACGACAACCGCAGATATGGAGCCGTGAAGTAAAGTATCTGCATTCTGACTTGACGAACCCTTCGGTTGAGACGTGTTGGCTTCAGGGCTGCTGACGCCAGAATAACTTGTCTCCAGATCTTTACAGCATGCTCGCATTAGTGGAACAAGCTTTGCAACACGTGGTTTATCTAAACTTTGGCTGACCAACGGCAGAATTTTACAGGCTAAAGAATATGTCGATGCACGAAAATCTTGGTGACTCCTCCCAGACGAGAAGGACCACATCAGCAAGTCGAGACTTCCTTGGGCCAGAGAAACGAAACCTTGTTCTAAAGTGGCAGACATGGTGCTGATCAAATGCAATACAGAAACAAAAACTTTTGGCAGGCCAGTCCACAAACCATCTCTCTCATCACGGTCGATTGCAGGATGCAACCTCACACTTCCGGAATTCGAGTCCATGGGCGAGGGCAAAGAAATAGACAAAATCCTGGTAATTAAGTCGAAAATGGATCCGACCGGAATTGTGACAGCTGAAGGGGTAGGCCCTCTTAGATATTCATCCAGAAATTGGAGTAAGCCTATCAATCTTTCGATGCCAGCGTCAATACCAGTCCAGCGAGAAAGATCCTCAGGTGTGCGCGCACCACCGGAGAGCTCTTCATTAACATTTACAGGTTCAGCAATATATCCAGCAGTCGATTCCCAGTCTTCAACAACGGCTCGAAAGACTTGGTCGGCAGTCATGTGGATGCCTTGTACAAGGTCTCGAACTGCCTTTCCCCACTCCTCCCCTCCACCATTCTTCGCTACTGTCTGGTGCAGAACGACCACCAGTTTACGAGCACTCTCCTTTACCGATAACGGAACAAAACACTGATCACAAAGTGTGGATGCTAAATATGGCCTGGTGGCAGCACGTAATTGGGATGTGAAAGGGCGGAAGATGGTAGTATGGCGAGGCAGCAACATGGCAAACGAGCGGAAGACTGTCTCTACTAGTGATGGGTTTACATCCAGGACATTTATCGATGCCTTGGGAGAAATTACATTCAAGCAGGACGTTACAAAGGTGGGTAACGTCGGCGTGGTGATTTCTCTGACCAAGGTTTGGTATTGATGGGTCATGCAATAGATCTTGGTTAGTGCTATAATACTCAGCTCTTTGGCAGCACTTGAGTCTGGTTTCTAATATAACCATTAGTATGCGGCTTCAACGAACATGGTACCGGTAAATGGCAGAAACAATCTTCACACGTACTCCAAGAACCGAAAGCAATCCTCGCACCCAAGACCCTGCGTCGCGCAAAATCTCCCAACCCCCAACTTCGACCACGACTTTGATCAAGACGATAGCAGCAAATCTTCCCTCGGCGCTCTTGCCATTCAATAAGGTTGTCAATTGGGTCTTTAATTTGTGGACCAAAACTGCCGACTGCGATGCATCCGCCTTCCCTGAATTCACACTAGGGTTTGAGAGGGGAATTTGACATTGAAGGACATATTGAACAAGAGTAGGCGTAAGATTGGGAAGATCTTTTGGGGGAGTAGATGTAAGACGTAGGCAAAGAATGCGCAGTTCAGACGGGATAGACATCTTCTTAAGCTTGAGTTGAGTCTTCCTTTTGGTTTTGCGAAAATGCCGAAAAAAGCCAAAAGTAAAGTTTACTTTTCGCCAGCGAGACTCGTATTATTGTGGTATTGAAGAACTTCTTGGAGGAAACGAATGTTTAGAATGATAGGAAAGAAGATTGAAGTTAAAGGATGTTAATTTATCATAATCATATTATCATTCAATCTGGAAGATCTACTTCTATGTGGTAAGGTTAGCGGTCGCGCACATGAAAAAATCTTTATGGTAGTCCAGATAGAAATCGGGATGTGCGAAGATTCGGTTATGATTGGTTGATAAGCCGTTTTCTGGATTTATATTCTTCCGGCTCCGGCTGTTAGGAGAAATTACCTACGCAGTGGATTAAAGAAATGACTAGGATAATTCCTACCTTACCATTTTTGGAGCAAGCTTTACCTTTCTTGAGGATAACTAACATTGTTTCTATAAGAAATTGATTTGATAACTAAGAAATTCTATTTCTTACATCCACTTGTAAGAGATTTTTAACATAGATATAAAAAGAATAAAAAATTTCTACTTGGTTTAAGCAAAGTGATTTCGATTATTTAGAGATCACACTAAAATCATATTAGGAAAGGCGGTGAATATTCTACTGAATAGGGATGATGGATTTATATTAATCCGGCTCCGAATGCCAAGAGAAATTAAACTTGATTGCTGAGAAACCGTGAACCACCAAAATGCTCAAGGGAAAATGTAGCAGGGTATCTAGATAGTAGGTATCCATGGTTCTGTTCAAGAACTCTGGTGCACCAAAGAATTCTGTAAATTGATTTGAATGGCCAATCTACCTAATATAATAATAAGTATCTGAACTGACGAAATACGAAATATAATATCTTCTGCCGATTTATTTAACATTCTTTCTTACTTTCATAATAAACTCCTAATTCCACAATTCCATTTGAGCTTGGCTTCCCCTACTTGTGACCGACCTCCTTGACCATGCTGTCATTTGCTTCACACTGTTAACCATCCCCCATTCCTTTTTCCACACATTTACTGCTTGCCCAGTAAATAATAATACGTGCGAACATGAGTGTAAGTAGAATATATCTAGAAGGCTATAATGCTCTGTATATTTGCTTACATGGTTAAGCGTGAACAGTCGAAAGCGGCCAATTATATTCAACTCCTGGACACGGCTCGCAGTGAAGGGAATTGGGATTCTGTGCCAGAACTTGTCAGAAAGATTAGGAAACATGCGCCTACCCGAATATGTATGTTCTTTTTATCATATTCCTTGAATCGATATTTTATTCTCAGGATTCTGGCTCTGATCTTCGATATTAACCCGTTGCAATAGGCCTCACGTTGACTGCAGAGACTGAATATGCCGTCACACAACACTATCTTAATAGATCTACCTCTTCCACGCGACCTTCGACAGCGGGTTCTACATCCTCGAGTCTCTCCAGATATATACCACCACTCCAAGAAGCTATAGCGAACGAGCGGCAACATGTCGAGGATGATTTCCAGGCGCAGGTCTGTATTGCTTGGATACATTGGCATATGGGAGAGCATGAATTGGCAGCTACGAGTTTACCCGAAAGTGTAGAAGCCGAGTTTTCGCAACTTGATGGGACCAGCAAAGAATCGAATGAATGGACGAAAGTGTGTGCACTCAAGGCATCATTTATCAAGGGAGATTCGCAACGAAGAATTGGAAATGTGTCAGAAGCATTGGAAACGTTCGACTCCGCTTTGCCTATACTTGGAAGCATATCAACTACAACACAAGCTAACGGCCGGAAGGAATTGATCGGTTGGATTGAAGAGTTATTGGCAGGATTTTGCATGCTATCAAGTCATGCTATCAGAACAAAGATAACCCCTATACTCGAAACCGAGACGTTGTCATCCTTCCGCGCTTGGTCTCGATTTTGGGAATGGGCTCCAACAAAGCCAGTAGGTCGCACACTGAATGCTCAAGTCTCAAGGCGAGAAGTATGGAGAGAATACTATATCACAGTATCCGATCTACTCCAAAAACAACTACCGTTTCCTACTACCGCCCTTACCACCGCATACCCTGACTTATCATTGAGATCGGAGCAACGAGCGGAATTAAAACGAGTGGAAGCACGCTACGAGGAATTGTTATTGATCGAAGTACAGTTTCCGAAGGCGGAAGAGCCGAGTGAGGAAGTCGAAACATTCGTGGAATTAGTTATGCAAAACTGGAGAGTTTTGTGTGGGAATTCATGGCAAGAACATGAACTTGGCGAAGGGGGAGCAGAGGCACTTAGCAGAGGTGTTTTGGACATCTTGTATAATGCCGCAACCAAGACATTCCATTCAACGCCAATTTTACGACATTTATTCACTGTTCATATTGCAGTCGCGGAATTTGATTTAGCGTTCAAAGCATTTGATACCTATTTGGAAATTGTGAAGAGAGGGAAAGCCCGGGTAGAGAAAACAGGGGAATTGGAACACGGTTTAGATGACGATGAAACAGTGTTGAAAACCGCTGCTGAGTGTATCAGGGCACTATGTCGATATGGCTCAAGAGAAGCCTCTGAGAAAGCGAAAGACCTCGGTCACTTTTTCGAGGAGTGGCTGACTAAACACCATCCCCTCGAACAGCGGAATGGAACCGAGCGGCTAATCGAAAATGGCACCTCGACAGCGTCAAGCACTCTTATATCGCCAAAAGTGTTTGCTATTGCTTGGCGATCAATTGGAATTGGCTATTCACAATGGGCACGATTGACTTTCGATGCATCTTTGAGAGGGAATATTCAACTGAAGGCCATAAAATGCTTTCGGCGGGCTCTTCTTCCGGAGTATGAGAGTACAGCAGATGTAGAAACCCTTTTTGCGTTAGGCACAATCCTTGCAGAGCGCAGAGAAATATCTACGGCGATTGAAGTTGTGAAGGTCGGGCTTGCTCCCCTACGTCCCAGTTTACCAAATGACAATGGCTCATCTGTTACGACCAAATTTGCACGAGAAAGATCTCTAATACCCTTATGGCACCTCATGGCTTTACTTCTGAGTGCACGTCAAGATTTCATGACAGCAGTGAGATCTTGTGAAGGGGTTTTTGACCAATTTGGAGAACGAAAAAACCTGTATGGTGAATCTGAACTTGATGGTTCATTTAGAAGTGACCACCTGGATTCTAACGAAAAGCCCATGGAAGGAAATCGAGGCTTGGTGGATGAAATGGATGATTTTGAAAAAGAAAATCTCTTAGAGGTCAAGATGACTCAATTATCCCTCATAGAAGTCCTTGAGGGCTCTGAAGTCGCGGTCAACTGCAGCGATGAACTTCTAAGCCTATACACAAGACTATTCGGCGACCCTTCCAAGGAAGTTGTTCCTACAATAGTTCAACCTGTTGCGTTGGTACCTCCAAAAACCTATGCAGGAACTATTAGGACTATGAAAGGAAGTATATTTGGACGATCTCTAAATAGGTCAGCGCGAAAAGATATGTTGGCTTCAATAGAACCGAGCACAATTTCTCAAAGACCAAGTACCGCGCATACCATGGTCCACAAGGCACCGACTATTCAGGTGACTCATGAGAATGGTACTGCCGGAAGACAACAACGTCGACGTTCTGTAGACCATGAAAAGCTGCACAAAAAGGCAAATCTCAGAAATACTTCTCAAGGGCCAGATAGAAGCGCAAGTGTAGGGAGAACACAGACCGACGGGGTTGCGACGGAAATAGATGCGCAAAATCGGGAAATTAGTTTTGAAGAGAGCTCAAAACCATTACCTCCAGCCTCACAGCAAATGGACCAAAAAGAACCGGCTCTCAAAGCAACAAATCTTAATCATGTCGTGGTTCAAGATAATCGTCTCCCAATTACTCCACATTCATTATTACCAAGTCCCACGACACGATTCTCCAAAGATTCTGAGAGGCGACGAAGAATATCAACATTAGTCCGAGTATGGTTATTGATTGCTGGTTTCTATCGACGAGCAACCATGTACGAAGATGCGAAAGGTGCAATTGAAGAAGCGCATAAGTTGGTTAATGGGTTGGAGACAGATATTGTCAATGACCCTACCGGGTTGGCATCGTTTGATCATCCTGGCTGGGGAGGTGGGAAAAGTGTGGATGAATTATGGGGTGATGTTTTCTCCGAGGTACGTTTAATAAAACAAGTTTTAAAATTTTACTAATGTCTTTCATAGCGTGGTTATCTTTTTGTCGATCAATCTTCTCCATATACGGCACTTGAAAACTTCGAGGCTGCTTTGAGCCACTCGGCAGATCACCCTGCTGCGATTGTTGGACTGTCCGATCTTCTGCTAGACATATATACGGAAGATGTTCTGCCACAACCGACCATACCACCTCTTGTTCTTCCCACAGTCTCTGCTAGTACTCCCTCAACCTCGATCTTCAATACCTCAGGTCAATCCAAACCACATCAGTCAACACATCCTGACTCGACTACAGGACCTCTTGGTCTTCCACTTCCTGTTTCCCTCAAACGAGATATTCTCACTGCTCCAGAGAAGAATGAAGCTGCCCAACTTGATAGACTCGCAGCTCGCGACCGTGCCTATGGACTTTTATCCGGCCTAACAAAATTAGGTTCAGGTTGGAATTATTCAGAAGCATGGTATTCATTAGCCAGAGCTTATGAACTAGGAGGACAGAAAGATAAAGCGAGAGATGTGCTTTGGTGGTGTGTGGAATTGGAGGAAGGACGAGGATTGAGAGGTTGGAGTGTGGCAAGTAGTGGTGGTTATGTTCTCTAATTAATTGCGAGGTTTGGAAATTGTGGGCAGCATTTTGTTCATAATTGGAGTGATAGAGGTTTGGGGTGGTAGATATCAGATAGAAACTTTGGGTATACATAATGTGGATTATAATTATATTATATTAAATTCGTTCAAACATCAGCCCTTGCGTTTCAGTTGGGCTTACAATAAGTGTTGGGTCATAGATGTAGAGAGACAAATATATCAACTACTAATTTATTACCTCTATATCTTATCATATTCACATCCCTTTCCTTTCCTCTTCCTCACCCTCTTCTTTACAACAAACCCCACAACTCCCACATGATATCATATATCATAAGTGCACAGCACATCTCCTTCTAAGATTCCCTCTATAAATCCCGCATAAAGAGTAAAAAGCGCATCGATCTCAATTTCTCTCAGTGCTTTGTTGAAGTTAGCTAGGAATTTGAGATTGAGCCGTTTGGTGAGCTGTGGGTTAGTGAGCTGGTGAGGTATTAGATCTGTGTGGTGTTGGTAGTGTGGGTGGAGGGGGGGTTGTTTGGAGGTTGGGTTGAGCGGTTGGTTTGGTGGATTGGTGGATTGGTGGAGTTGGGGTTGGGTTTGGGTTTGGAGTTGTAACTTATTTGGAGGGAAGTAGGAGCGGGGTCTAGGTGGAAGTGGGAAGGGGGGTATAGGCATTACACTGGTAATATCGATTGTGGTTTTGATAGGTAGAGTTTGGATGGCTAGAGTATAGCTGGGTAGAGTGTGGACGGGGTATTGAGCTTGTCGGCTATAAAGGATAGATTGAGAATTTTATTAGTAGGAGAGATGTGGAGGTTTATGGAGGAGTATGAGGTCTGGTAAATGGGTAAATGTGTTTATGAAGTTCATTCTTGGGTTTTAGCTTGATTGTTCTCATCTTTATAGATGTAATAATTTAGTTTGACAATTAATTATAGCTCTTTCCTATTTTCACTTCATATGCCATAAACTTATACCTACACGCTGGAAAGTTATCACAAAAAAAAAAAAATCTTGCTATATATATTCTATCTGCCATTCCAAGAAACCCTAGACTCCCTAAAATCTCAAACATCCATCAGTGACTAGCTATAGATACAGATACATATACCTACCCCCCTCAGCAAATCCCACTCTCACACTCCCTCTCCATCCCCATCCTACCGCTTAGACCTCGAGCTCACACCACCCCTCTCACTCCCCGCATTTCCCGTATCCTTATCCTTTTCCTTCGAAGCGGGTTCGCGGGCTGGCACCAATAAGCCTTTTGAATTGGGGACTCGTGATTCGGATTTACGGTCTGGTTTTGAATGTGAGCTTGAGCTTGAGCTTGATGAATTACTGCTAGATGTTGGATCTTTTATGAGACGGATTCTGGGGAGGCGTGTACTGGTGCTGCCGCTCCCGCTCCCGCTCCCGCTCCCGCTACTGGATTTCTTGGTGCTTTGTGTTGTTTCCCTGCTGGGGGTTTTGTGGGATGAGGTAGAGGTGGAGTTGGAGGTGATGCGTGTAGTTGGGTTGTTTTCGCGGGGCATTTTGTTGGTGATGTTGGTGTTGGTTTTGGTGTTGGTATTTGATGATTTTTGTGTTTAAGGTTGTAATTGAGTTGTGAAGAGAGATGAGATGAGATATAATTTATCAAACAATATTTACGATGTCTTTCTATGATAATGAATTGTTGTTCTTGCTGATGTTGATGTTGCTGATGATAATGAAAAAATACTCTAGAAGCTGGAGATACTCATACTTATATATACCACTATCGCATCATGGCCAACACTTCCACACCAATTATCCACTTCTACCAACAAATTCTATACCGGTCTAGATCTAGGTAGCAATGATGTCTACCTCGGTCTTTAATCACTTTATTAGTCTCGTAGGGCTGGATGTGGGGAAGACCAGGGTCAAATTAGCATGTTGCGAAATCTTTTTGGGGTTCGATTCGCTAATTTGGGTTATGTGGTTGAGTATTTGACTAGGACGATTATATATACGGCCAGGTGAGGGAAGACCTAACCTGGTCTGTAGCCTAATTGATTATTGATTTTGTATGGTAGTTGCTATTTCTAGGCTTTCATTATGGAAATTTATATTGGTATCTAGATGAGATGAGTATAGGAGATATATATTGAAGACTCGCTTATAAAATCAATACATCTACAAGTACTAGTTATTTATCTATCGTGTATTTTAAAGGAGTAATAAATCAGTTCACTCGCTTTTTTTAAAGTCTCGTCGCTAATTAAAATTATTAATCGTAGTTTTAGATCTAGATGATTAAATACTATTATTTTATAAATTATAAGTCTAGTACTCTACTTTTGAACCACTCCTCTTTTGGATCATCTTTTTACATCAAAAATTACCATTTTCAGCTATTAATAATTCAACAATTAATGAATGAAATCAATTGAAAATTTAATTACAATATTTTTATATAAATATAAACAGATTCTGAAAATGTAACGAGGTTTGCCGTCTAGATCATGTGGAAGTGCTCTAGGCTCTCGAGGTGGTTTATAACTAGGCGTCAAGCAGGGACTTAAGTAAGGACAATAATGATATATAATTCGTAACTAATAGTAGGATATATTAAATGATTGATCTTGAGCACGAAGCTCTATATAAAGGAAATCCATCTTGGTTATATAGACCTTCATGCTAATCATCCCCTTGGTCCCCTCGGTCCCTTCGATCAAGAGACCGAGGGGATCGAAGGGACCATGTGATTACATAATTGGTCACATGATACGAGATCCGAAGCCGTCGTAACAAAGCTCTCTGTAAGAGAGCTTCGCACTTCCGTAGAACTTAGAAGAGAGATTTACCTACTAGACCAATATTACCTCAGTTCTACCCTATCAGCTTCCCACTATTCCCTGTGTGAGGTCATTCCTTTTAACAAATACTTCAATTTTGTTAAAAGGAATAGAAGTTACCGGTACTAATCACGTGTCGTGATTAGTAATACGGTTACCTAAACAGGCTAGATTAGACGAACCATAAGCAGGCATATTGGTCCCCTCAGAGGATACCAAGAGGAGATTAATATGCCTACACACGTAGTAATATAGTCAATATAGAGTGTTACGAGGTTTGCCGTCTAGATCACGTGGAAGTGCTCCAGGCTCTCGAGGTGGTTTATAACTAGGCGTCAAGCAGGGACTTAAGTAATGACAATAATGATATGCAATTCGTAACTAATAGTAGAGTATACTAAATGATTGATCTTGAGCACGAAGCTCTATACAAAGGGAATCCATCTTGATTATATAGACCTTCATGCCTATGGCTAGTCAGGACCGCTGCGCGGTCCTGGACAGCCAGCGTTCCTCAGCGGTCCATAACGTGACTTTAATCACGTTACCTTGGTTTAGTCATGTGACGCGGCATAGAAGATAGCCGTTGTAACATAGAGGCCTCTTCCACCCAATCTTTTAATAAATTTTAATATTAAAGAATTTAAAAAATTTAAAAATTCAAATTTTTTTTTAAAAGAGACTGTTTAATTATATTTATTTCATTAATATATATTTTAAATACACTATTCAAAAAAGAAAAAAAACTAAATTTTTTTTAAAAAGAAACAAAATATTATTTATAATAAAATATTTTTATTTATTTATTTTATTACTTTTTTTTATTTTGATTAAGCACTTTATATAAATAATTGTTACACTCAAGAATACTGAGTAGAGTATCTTGTATTAGAAAATACTAAGCTAAGGAGAAAAGAAGAAGGAAAACAAGAGTAGCGAGTTTTCCTGTGATTAAATACAAACGGGGCATGCCACGTGACCCGAAGGTGTGAGGCGTCACACTCGTGTTACGCCGGGTAACAAGAAGACGCTCACGTGTTACCAATATCATGTGACTGACTCAGTGAGGATCAGCAAGCTCAGTACTGAGCCATACTGATCCTACTGATCAGCTAGAACATGAAGGTCTATATAACCAAGATGGATTTCCTTTATATAGAGCTTCGTGCTCAAGATCAATCATTTAATATATCCTACTATTAGTTACGAATTATATATCCACTATTGTCCTTACTTAAGTCCCTGCTTGACGCCTAGTTATAAACCACCTCGAGAGCCTAGAGCACTTCCACATGATCTAGACGGCAAACCTCGTAACAATATTTATTAACTAATTAACAAGTATATACAAGTACTCTATATATATATTTTGAGTTGTTATGAGGTTTGTCGTCTAGATCATGTGGAAGTGCTCTAGGCTCTCGAGATGGTTTATAACTAGGCGTCAAGCAGGGACTTAAAGTAATGACAATAATGCAATTCGTAACTAATAGTAGAGTATACTAAATGATTGATCTTGAGCACGAAGCTCTATACAAAGGAAATCCATCTTGATTATATAGACCATCGTGGCATGCGTCCCAGTGCTCCCAGTTGTCCCAGTTGTACTGGGACAGCTGAGCCTACTGGGATCCTCATATCACATGATACTAATCACGTGATGTTAGGTATGTGAGATCCGTCGTAACAAATATCTCGAATTTATTGTTTTATTTGAAAGATACTAGATTTATATATTTGTATATTTAATAAATAAATAGGTGAATTTAATAATTGATTGATTATTATTGTGACGCCTCACACCTTCGGGTCACGTGGCATGCCCCGTTTGTATTTAATCACAGGAAAACTCGCTACTCTTGTTTTCCTTCTTCTTTTCTCCTTAGCTTAGTATTTTCTAATACAAGATACTCTACCCAGTATTCTTGAGTGTGACACCGAGCATAAACAATATAAAGACAAAGAGAGATTTATAATATATCTATCACTACATCATCATCCTCAATCGTACAATCATACAATTACATATCTATATAATACCATCTATTCAAATCTCCACTCTCCCTCTGCCTCTCCCTTCCCCTCCTCCAAACATCCCCAGAAGAAACCCCAAATATCTAATCTTACCATCATCTATATTCGAACGCAAAGCAATATAATATAACATAAAATAATCAAGCACTTATACCTGTGCATTTTAAAACAAACAAACAAACAAGGAGCTCTAGTCCTTCCTTCCCTACCAACTCCTCTATCGATATAATATCGATATCCCAAATGCATGAATCATCTTGACTCTTGACTGAATACCTATTCCTCTAGCACCACGCCATATATCAATATATATAGTTCCCTCCCCCAACTACACACCACACTCTCATGTCTAAACAAACAAACAAACAAACTTCCATCCCCGTCGATATCTGTATCTATAAGAAGTTTGTAAACGCCTTACAAGTAACGATTAGAACAAGTACCTGATCATCATCCGATCTTCAAATATTCAAACATACCATCACCCCATTAATTGAAAAGCAGCCAGTGCAAAACCCCACACACAACCTGAGACTATATCGATGCACACAAATCTAGAATACAAAAAAGCAACCGAGTCGTTCGTTCGTTCGTTCCAAGATTTCCGTCGTATACCATTTCAATTCTAGTAACCCAAGTACGTTACATATCATTCTACATCGGCGGTAACAATCGCTTCTGGTTGATCGATACCGTAGAGAAGAAATGCATTTGGCGGGTACATGCGTTGGAGAAGCCCATCTCCGAGAATGACGAAGATGCCGAGGAAGATGGTGGTGAAGAGATCGAGCATGGTAGGCTTGACGCCGATGTGATTGAAATAAATTTTTGATGTATTGTATTGTATTGATGATTTGTTGCGAAATAATTAGAAGCCAAGGAGCTCAAATATCTCTTTCATGCTTATACCCGGGAAAAAGGCCCTTATTTGCTGGCATAGCTGAAGACCAATTACTCTTGAGGTATCACATGCCGTCGGCTTGAGAATTAGCATGAATGAGATATCTGATCCTGTATTTGAGTGCCAATTGAGAATCAATTGATGGTAATACGGGTGTATGACGGAATCTGTGTATCATGACAGATGTTGTAGTGTCAGGTAAGACGAACTTTTGTGCCGTTGATAACCATTTCAGTATCAAACAATTAGAATCGAATCGGAGAGGAAATATTAAGAGACAGCCTCATAAGTATGTCGCGATGCAAAGATAAGATTTAATATCTTCGTTACAGCTTCCGCCGTTGTGAACAAAATACCACCACTAAACACAGTCCGTGATAATCTCATGACTGTCCCTCTCCAAAAGGCTCTCACACCACCATCCTTCAATATACCAACTATAGCTTGAGTAGTCGTGGTTACTTTGGAAGATTGACTTCTCGTTTTGATAGTATCAAAAGGTTGTGTAGCCAGAGTAGTAATGACACCCGCTGCTGCGCCATTCGCAAAGTTGACAATAGTATTCTGTGGAATCTCTCGTACGACCTGAAAATCCTTGATAATATTGTATGAACCCATTCTAAACGAGGTTGCAGAAGCTTGTTTGAGCGTCGTACCAATGAAACCTCTATATAAACCTACAAAACCATCTTCCCTGATAACGGTACGTATACAATGAATAGTAGAATTGTATTGTCTTGTGGACCGGGCATCATCAATAAGGGCAGTTTTTATCCGTTCCGTGGGTGTGACAGCGAAAACACTAGCTGCGACACCCGCTGCCATGCCAGCTAACATGTTATGAGCAGGAGAAAGAACACCACTTTGGGGATCTCGAAAGGCGTTTTTGATGCTATCAAACGAAGCGAATCGGACGGCATCTTTTGCAATGGATCCTGATACCAATGCACCACATCCCTTATATAAAGCTCTCAAACCTTCCTGCTCGTATACTTGTAGGACGATCCGAAATGGATTCCGTGGTAATTTGGATGGGCCAGTATGCAGTTGGACTCGAGTTTTAGCAAACTCCATTGGATATGTAACTGCGCCTTCTACCCCTCCAGCAATTCCTCCAGAGAGTATGGATACAATCGGTGGTGTGGAGTTATTCCCATGGTTAGTCATTGCGATCGTCTCTATGTATTGTTATTGTTGTGCGGATAGGGAGGATTCAGAATTAAGAAGAGAATTAATTCAGGAGGTTAATACATGAATCGCAAACACTTTCCCCACCACTATTAGAGATCAATATAGCAATTATTACTTTACATACGTAGTATATACAAAAACATCTCTAAATAACAAATCAACCGGTGTCTACCAGTAAGATTTAATTTTCATAACCTAAAACTATGACGTATTGTTAAATAAACTCTATACCTGCCTTGCTACCGGGACAACATCGGCTGTCGGCAATCAGCCCGTCATCCGCACGTCTTCTGAATTGTTGGGTGGAGAATGATGATTCGTATTTCAATACAGTGGTGCAAATGTCCGTTCGATAATCATCCCCGAGGTCAATGTCGAGCAGATAGCATGAATAGTACATCATTATATTCATAGCGAAAACCTAAGCTAGCTATCGGGATGTTATTTGTACAGAAAGCCATGCGTAACACTCACAGCCAACACTTTCCTTTCTGTATTCCCCAATTCTGTGTCCGCAACCCAGGTTCAGCTTCGAAACTCCTGCAAACCATCTACTGTCATCAAAGAGCAACCACTCATCAAGTCTTCATGATCTTTTCTTTTCTGACCACCTTAACCTTGTCCATGAAAACCTTGGCCGAACAAAATCCAGTTAAAAGCTGTGAGGCGGCATCGTGAATCCCTTGGTTGGCAGGATCTGTTTCTTTTCTTACTCTCGCATTATTTAAGGTGCTTGAACAAGCATTGTTAGCTTTAGTAGAAGACTTAAGACTCTGAGAATCTCCTGTCGCTCTTTGGTTCATTCCTGTTTTGCTCACATTCTCTGATGTCTGATCGCTGAAATTCGCACTGTTTGCTATTTGTTTATTCATTAAAGCTGTGTGGCTTCCGAATAAATCACTACCAGCAACAGAATTCACCGAAATCTGATCGCTGATCCTCGTGTTATGTGTAGGTATGTTCTGTTGCGACTCAGCATCCATGAAGGATTCTCCAGACTCTTTCAGATCGTCAAGTATCTGTCTGCGTTTCGCTATCTGCGGAGACCTTGACTGCAGATGGCGGTCAAGGTTGAAGTAGGGCGACGAAGTAGCGTCAGGCAAGCGTTTTCGACGAACTGGGCCAACTCCTCCTCCTGCCGGTGCTACATATTCTGGTAAATATTCTAGAACATCTCCGTCGCCTCGTGGTTTCCAAAATTGTATAGCTCGTGCATATGCCTGCTCTATGGCAAGAGAAGCAGAAGTCTCCTTGTACCATGGATGATTGACTGTTTGAACAGCAGTCATGCGTTGTCCTGCATCAATAGCCAAAAGTCCCCGCAAAAAGGAACGAGCTCTCGTGTGGAGGTAAGACCACTTCTCTGCTGCCTCTTTTTCATCGGACGAAATAAAGTTTTTTGTAGCTTCAATCTCTTCAAGTTGGGACAACCGACCTCGAGGAATTGCGCTCTCACCAGTGAGCAAACTCCATGTCAAAATTCCGAATGACCACATGTCCGCTGCTGTCGTATAGCCACGACTTAAAGTCGAATCGGAACCTACAATTTCACTGTTGCTATCAGTACAAACTTTGGTTAACTGTCCTTTCCGATGACAACTCACGGTGCAACATAACCCTCGGTGCCTACACAAGAGAAAAGTCTGCCGGTTGATTTTTCTGTGTGATTGGCAAGACCAAAGTCTGTAAGAATGACCCGAGACCCAACATCTGTGTTTGTGATGAGAATATTCTCCATTTTTATATCCCTATGTGCGATTCCTTTTGAATGAAGATACTCCAGAGCTAGAGCGATCTGTCTCGTAATGAGGCGGGCATGTCCGTCTCCAAGTCTATTATCACAAGAATCGAAGTAGGTGTATAAGTCTCCTGCTGCAGCAAGTTCTGTGAACAGATATCTAAATGATAGTCAGAAGCGAAAATGAAAATGTCGCACTCAACATACAGCCTGTCGCTGGAGAGAAAGGCTTTCTCGATGCTGATAATATTCGGCTATGAACCATTAGCCTTGATCAATTGAACGAAAGAGTGATTGACTGTGTGAGGAGGCTCCGACTTACATGATTAAGTCTGGAAAGTATGCAAACCTCTCGTAGGTATGTTCTCCTCCTCAAGTCGGCGTCATATTGCTGATTTGATTCCGTTTGGATTAGAGAGCCGGAAAGCGCTTGTCCGGAAGAGCTTAATTTGACAACTTTACAGGCCACTTGCTTTGATGTGCCAACACGATTGGCAAGGAATACCTCTCCAGCAATACCACTACCGAGGACATGGTTGGAGATTGTGAAGCGATTTCGAAAGTACTAAACAGATTCAGTTAAGATGCAGAGAGATATCGGGGGGAGATCACAAGATGACATGCCTGAAGTTCAGCATCAGGCAAAGACATGTGTGATGTCATTCTTGACCTTGCTTGGTTAAATCGAAACTTCCAATGGGGCCGGATCTCAATCAAGTCTCCGTCGGCGAGAAGATGTCCAATTCTTTCATTACCAAGTATTCCAATCAGTACATCATTTACATAGGTACCATTCATGGATTCAAGGTCCTCGCAGTAGATTGAAGGAGGGTACTCATCCAGTTTCTCCGCGTCATATATGATGGCGTAGATGCGGAATTGTCGCTTGGAAACCATGATGCTATCAATGGAGAAATCACTAAATTTTTAGCATTTAATTGATTGGTTGAAAGAAGTACATACCATTTCGGATCCCTCCCTACATGAAGAAAGCTTTTAGCAGAGATGGGAATGGCTATATGAATCCATCAGATAGTGAAAATTGACATGATGAAATGATTACAAACTGAATTTTTGTCCAGTTTGTGCGTTCTCATGATTGAGCGTTGCGACGGGATAATTATCTAGGTCATGTGCACATGTTTCCCTGTCATGGAACCTTAGGAGAGATTGATCAATGTTCTCAAGATGCTTTTGACCACTAGGCTCGTGAATAATAAAGTCTTTCGCCTCCATCGTAGGTAATCCAAGGGTTTAAAAAAGGTGAATATGAGACAAATGTGAAAAATAGGATTTCATATCAAGGAATTGATTATAGATTTAGAAGTATGAGAGAAGGTAACGAGATGAGGAGAGAATGAATATTTGGAAAGTGGCGAGGTCGAATGATGTTGGTCAAGCCAAGTAAGTGTTGGCATGGGTTTCAACGCTCAAACATATGAGATGATTCTCATCATCACTAGAGAGATGGTAGATCTAGAGGACTCAGTAAGAAACGATGACACTCAAGAGTTGGGCTGGATACTGTTCAAGAAATGATGTTGAAAAAATACAAATTAAATTGTTTGAGGAGCATTGAAGATAGGAAGATGAGGAATTAACTAAAATCTAAGAATGTGAAATGGTGAAATGGTGAAATGGTGAAATGGTGAAGGCAAACAACTAATACCTAGTACTTCATCGTACTAGGCAGCCAACTTTGATGATGTAAAATGTAGAGATTTTCCCCTTTTCAGTGTATCGTATCATCTTGCTTCGTTTTCACTTCTCTTAAACCTGTTCATCTTCCTCGGGAAGGAACGAAAGGGTGGCCCTATTCTGGGTTTGGTCAAACACGTGCCTCGATGGTGAAACCATCGTTCATCAACCAACCAAGTACTACCTTGGGGGAAAATCCGGACTTATATTTTCAGGAGTATACGTTTCTGTGGGAATTTGAATACCTAAATACTCGGATCGATGTGAGGATGTATCCTCGGGCTTGTTTCAATCACTATGAACATTGCCATGCATACCTTAAACCCAACTGGCGCTTCCTCTCCGCCATGACGAAGCCTCTCACATTCGTACTGATGAAACTTCGATTCTTTGAATACACCCGAGGTAGTGAGGACCTTACTTTGATGGTTCCAATAAAATTGTGAAGATTTGGACATGTTTTAAGCACCTCATCAAGCTATGAAATACTATACCCGAGCAATGCGTGTCTCGACGCATTCATGTTCACGTGCTCATTGTCTTGCATTTCAGCTATAGAAATCAGAATCTTCATTTAATCTCATATTATGATATACTTAATAGACAGTCCATAACTGGGAACATCGTTTGCGAGTGAGCAATCATTCCCATGCCCTGCAGGTTTGTAAGTAAGACTTTTTAGATATTTAAGTTCGATGTGAGATATTGAGAGTACTGTTTTGGTGGTTTCTTTGGATGAGGATCAAACTAGAGCGAATTAATGTAGTTAAAACTGAACACCGTTAGGCTCAATGATATGGCAGGTGTGACTATTGGGGATGTACATAGTTTCATTCGTAGGATAATGATAAATCAAGCCTCTTCGCACCTACAATAACAACATTTTTGTAGTCTTTGCGCCAAATCCCTAAAGAAAAACAAGGGTAAGGGAAGAAGTACCTTACAAGAAGACATGGGGAGTGATGATGCGGAATTTATGGGCACTGCATCGGATGGAGTCGGTCTCTCAGACGAGCTGAGCGAGATCGAGGATGACGTTGCGAGTGACTTTCATCACGAGAGTGACAGTGAAGAAAGTGAAGAACACGACGATGAAATTGAGGGTTACACTGAGGACCAAACAAGAAACGATCCCATGCAGGCAAAGTTGGATGCAGGATTGTTAAAGGGGATAGAGTTGGAGGACTTCGTGTCTGAACAGCAGCCGGATGGTAATACTCGTCATGAGATAGCTCTTTTTCTCAAATGTCTGTAGAAAAGGTATGGGTAGGTACCTAGGTAGATGAAGATTTAAATAGTGACTCGTTTCTTCACTCGGACCTCATTGATTGTACAACAAAATATTACAAGGAGGGAAAATCCTACATTTTGAACGTAGTATACCTAGGTACACTAGGTACACATTCGATATCTACAGCTTCCGACGGACATTATCAAATCAATGGATGCTAATAAATATCAGCCCTTGCTCAACAATCGAGGGCAGCTAAAGAAAGAGGTGTGGTTCGGAATAAGTTTTTCATGTGTGGTGGGGTTGCGGGTATTAAGATGGGAGGATCCTTTGAATGTTCAAATTGGTATTGAGTATCGAGATGTTGTTTTGAAAGAATTTTAAATGAGACTTTTCTTTTCAAATGTTTGCATTGATATTCGAGATTGAGAGAATAGTAGCTACCTAAATTGCATGTTAAATTACATCACATGATCGTGCCCAATCCTTTGTAAAAACGAACGCCTTTCGAAGGGAATGATTTCCGTTGACGCAATGTTATATTGGAACCTGAGGTCGGACCCGACCAAAAGATGTTGACATCAGAAGCTGAAGAGTAGGTGCTAAGGTGGGCGCAGTCATGTGACTAGCCCTAAGATCTCCAATTGCGCTAAATTAGCGCGAAAATTAAGCGAGGTTGACCACCATATTTGGAGCTTCAATCAACAGAATTTCCTTTCTCTCCTCACCACACCAACTCCATACCAACTTACAGTAAATATGTAAGTTTGAATCCCTCCATTCTCTACTCCTCCATCAATGGTTATGAAGAATCATTTCATGCTCTTGAAAGCTCTTGATTCGTCACAATCATACTCTTACCCCTCATTTTTATGAAGACCACTTGTTTTACCCCTCTTCTCCATTCACGACATTTTCACATCAATTCAAGTTCTCACAGCTAATAACTGTCTTTAGGAGAGCCAAGTGGCGCAAGAAGCGCACTAGGCGCTTGAAGCGAAAGCGTCGCAAGACTCGTGCCAGATCGTAAGTTTTCATCTCCGTTTGCTTCAGATCGAAGATTTGCCTGTCGGCTGTCTTCTGTGGAGTAAATTCGTATGGTGAACATTTACTGACCCTTCTATAGCAAGTAAACAACTCAAAACAACTCGATCTCGATTCCCCTTACCTCTCGAATCATAACATTATGACAACTTAACCTCTTTTCGGATGCACCATCTCTCGCACCGACGTCTTCGCCTTTTTCAGCATTTCAGTATTCACCAAAACAAGTACGGAGTTCGCGCTTCGTTCATCGGCGGCTGGGTGTTCAAGGAAAGAGCAGTATGGTGACGCGCACTCAATAGCAAATGGTGGATGTTTTTGAAAGGAAGCAGGATCGGTCAACAATTCTCTGTCGATTTGTTCATTGAGGGTTTATAAATCAAGAAGCTATAGGAACGAAGCTGCCTTTGATGCTAAATGCCTTTATGACTTCAAACCTGATAAGAATGAATAAAAAAACTGAAGTTCTTCTTCACATATCTCCATTTTGCTCACCGTGAATCGTCTTGAAGTGACTGCACATGCTTGCTGATGCTGCTGCACTTCTGCCCAATATCTAGCACCATGTTTGGAAGCTGCTTGTTGATGACATACTTGAGCTCCCCCGCATGTTAGTAGTCATAAATTCTACCCATTGTGCAGGAACGAAGATGAAGAGCAAAGTTGCGAGCTGATGATCTCCACATCCATCTCCCTCCACTTCTCAGGAAATACCTTTGGCTATTCTAGTGAGAATCTCAATTAACGCTCCATTTTATCACACTCGTAAACTGGCAAAATAGAACCTGCATATAACAAGCAGCTCGAACTCGATGTTGTTGCCACAAACACCAGCCACAAGTCATCGCTTTCCGGCCTTGGCAAAAAGCCGGAGAAAAAAGTTTCCAATTGCCGACCGTTCCAAAATTTTATTTACTTTGCGACGGAACAGTGTACACTAGGCGGCTTCATACAATCTTATTACAATAGAAAATGGCGGACAATATTGAGAAGAGTAAGAAGCGTAAGAAGAGCGCTGATGGATCCTCGAGACCAACCAAAAAGGTTGCAATCGAGGGTGACAAAAATGTTAAGATTTCTCTGAAAGATTGTGATGAATGGGCACCTGTGGTTGGTATGTTTTTCCTTTTGGATCAAGAGAACCATTGTGGTCTCAAGACAAGTGAACACAGTCGTGGCAAGCTGACTCTTCATAGCATCAAGTCCTGGATTGTCTATGCCAGTATCTTTATCACTTCAACCATTCACAAAGCCTCGCAAGAATGCAACCCAACGACCAGGACGTAGCGGTGCAATCGCTACAACAGAAGTCCTTCTTCATTCCTCAGAACATCCAAAACTTGACTACACAGCACGAGAGGAAGAAGAGGGTGGATCCGATACATTATTGAAGCATTATGTTGGGGTTTACGATCTAAAGACCGGAAAATTAGAGGTTGTAGAAGCGCGAAAGATGGTGGTTCGTGGAAGCGTTAGAGCACATCAAGCTACAGAGGCAGAATTCGCGAAACATGTATGTCTACTGGGAAATTTCATAAGATATGTGCTAACAAGTCTCCCTACAGACTATCCGAGAGCTTCGAAACGATCTTGGAGAGACTTTCGGTACTAAGAAAGCGAAGAAAGCGATTGCCTCTGTCACCGAGAACGCCATCTCAGCGAATAAAGGCTCAAGATTACTCGCAGATGGTGCTAAACCTGCGAAATTGGATGCTGCAAAATCAGCTATCATCGCATCTATGGCAGAAGCCACATCGAGCATGGCATCCAGGAAAGATCTTGAGGAACAAGCGGATGCAGCTAAACCACGACCAAAAGCAGACCTTACTGCGAAAGACATCAAAGATGTGTACACAGTAGACAGCCTCATTGGAAGTGACATTTTCAAGTCGGTGCCGGTTTTGGAATGGGAGCAATCAGTCAAAGCAAAGAAGAACATCACTACCAATTCGAGATATGTGTCGGCAAGGATCGTCACTGCAGCTACCGCAGGCGTTAATAAGCTCAGAGTTTTACGATATCTTCTTCTTTTGTTAGATTTACATATGGCCTCTCGACCAATGCGAGGCGGTAGAATGCTGCCCAAGCGCGAAGAAATGAAAACAAAGTTGGGCGACAATCTACCTCAATCCGTCATTGAAGACATTCGACGCAGATATTCTGACGCTGGTGTAATGTCAAAATTCAAGTCTGATCTTCTGATCACTCACGTGTGCGCACTAGCATGTCTAGTCGATAACTATGAAGTCGATCTGTATGATCTTCAGTTGGATTTGAAGTTGGAGATGAAGGATATGACTCAATATTTCAAGGAAATTGGTGCGAGGGTTGTAGGACTTCCAGAGGCTAGGAGAAAGGCATTGGATTTGGACAAGGCGACTGCCGCACAAAGGAGGACAGCGAAGTTGAGGTTGCCACTGGATTTCCCAAGGGTACCCTTTGGAAGGAGAGGATGAGAAAAGTGCCAGGGATAGACTAGGCTGATGATTGTTATTGGCGAAGCGGAGTCTTAACATTAAAAATGGAGATAATGAATTTTATGGCTATTAATAATACTAGGTAAAGTGGCCTGTTTATGAATCTTCTTGCCTACTGATAATGCGAATCTCGATCCTGATCGATAACAAATATTTGGGTTAGGATATTCTGAGTCTCTGAAAGACCTAATGATCCCAGGACAACCCAATCATCAGAATGTTTCTAATCATTTGAGATACTCAAACGACGCAGAAAACTCACAATCCCCCGGGCCTATGGTACTCAGGGACATTACAATGAGCAGATATGGCAAGTGCCTACTTTGAAAGTACTGAGCTATAGCTAAAGTACGCCAATGTTCCTCGATGTGCGGCAATTGTATAAAACCTTCCTGTACAATGGATTCGCACCCGTTGTTTCTCTCAAGGTATGCAGGGTCTTAGTGAAAATTTTACCCTGGTACTTCCTTAATAACCTAGTTTGAGATTTGAAGGGTGTATCGATGACCTCTAGTTTTCTTTTTGGGCCTTATAGGGGAGGTTTTTTTATAGACAAGAGATACGGGAGTTCGTTCAAATTCATATTCAGGCTAATTGGAATGGAAAATTCGAAAACTGTAATAGAGTTTATGTAATAGTTTTTAATGTGGTAGGTAAGCTAAGGGTTCAATTTATATGGGTTGAGATGAATTATGGCAAGTACATACCGGAAGAGTTGTGTTTACTTTGTTTACTTTGCTTACTTTGCTTACTTTGCTTACTTTGCTTACTTTGCTTACTTTGCTTACTTTGCTTACTTTGTTTACTTTGTTTACTCCGTGGACGTGATTGCTTGTTTTGAGTGTTTTCCTGTTTACGACTAGTTTTGCGATTCTCCATCCTCCTTTTTTCAACATCATTAATCTTCAATCTTTCAATTTTTCAATTTTTTAAAAATGAGCTCGTTCCTCAAAGCAATCTTCTGTTTACGACTACTTCTGCAATTCTTCAACCTCATATTTTCTTCCCAACATCATTAATTTTTAATATTTTACTTTCTTGTAAAAAGTTTAAAATATATTTACTTGCTTGTAATATTTTTAACTCAAAATATGAGATCCTTCATCACTGCAGTCAGAGAGGCCGGGAGGGAGAACGAAGGCGAATGTTCCACACATCTCTACTTGTATGCAACATAAACTGACGTTCAACCGTTTCTCCAGGGCAGCGGTGTCTACCTCTGGTCCAAGAACCTAGACCACTTTGGCAAGAACATAGCCGATGACGGTTATGCTTCTGGCAAAGGCGCGCTCCAGCGGGTTTGGGACAGTGCGGTGGCAGCACGCATTGCTCGTTTGAAGGCCTGGGATGATGTCGTTATGGCGTGGGAGAGACACAGAGGGGAAGTGGAAATTTCCACCCTGGATTGACACTCGAGCAGATGTGGAGAAAGTGACCTCTAGCTCTCTCCTTAGGCCTCAAAACCCCACCAAGAAATGGAAAATAATTTTCTTTTGAAAAAACAAATACATCCACAAAAACCAAGAAAAAAAAGGGGGGGTGGGAGTTTAGATTAAAGCCTCAGGGAACGGAAATTTTTAGAATTGTGGTTTGTGGTGTTTGCGGTGTTTATTGGGATAAGAGTTTGAATTATAGTGTTGCAGTGTTTATGGTGTATAGAGATGGGAGTTTAAACTATATGTTTGCGGTACTTGTGATGTTTATTAGGATGGGGGTCTAAACTGTTGTATTGTGGTGTTTGTGGTGTTTTTTGGGACGGTAGTTTGAGTTATGGTGTTTCTGGCATTTGTGGTGTATAGAGATGGGGTTTGAACTATGATGTTTGTGATGTTTGTGGTATTTATTGGGATGGGAGTTTGAACTATGATGTTGTGGTGTTTAGGATGGGATCAAGATCAATTTTTTGTTTCACTGTATTGAAGGTGTTGATGAAGGAGGTGTGGTATATTACTAGTTATATAATGGCGAAGACAGTATCATGTGAATGATAGGGACCGGGGGAAATGGGAGAGATGGAAGAAAAAGGATAGCATACTGCAGTCAGCTAGCAGTGGGACTCATGGATACGCTTGGTAGATGTGGACGTGGATGTGGATGTGGAGGTGAAGGTGATGGTCAAACTGGTGAAGATGAACGGATAGGCAATTGACCTTGCAGACGGAAATGGAGGTGCGCAATGGTGAATGGAAGCGTTAACAAGAAAGAAGATGTGAAGGAACCCACGGGAGCGGTGTTGGTAATGATGTCTCGGGCAGATAGTTCGGTCTGAATTGGCTACAAAGGTCCTCTCTAACCCACTTCCACGAACTCAGGTTACTTAAAGAGATATCGAGCTCCAATTGCCCCTCATGTACTACCACAAAAGGTATTACCGAGACCGCCAAACACACAAAAGCACCGTTTCAAACCTCAGGACATTGCCATAAAGTCATCATACCACAGCAGTGAGAATAGCACCAGAGATGGGAAAACACTTAATTCAAAACTCAGAACAGTGCGTTTGGTGTACCAGTTGTCAAGCACTTTTGCCGCACCGTATACGCATAACAGAAGAAAAACATCAAAACGGCGACTACACAAGAGTACAAAGCTCAGAACACTATTCGCGATGCCATAGTGATAAAACCGGGAGATCAGATCATATCTAAAAGCTGGTGCGTACCAGGCTTCGTATGACTACGAGGAAACCCTCAAAAGCAGCTCACCAGGGTACCTTGGCTGATTATGATTGGTGCGAGAAAGCCACGCCTAGGCAACACAACTCCACAACAGTTCGAATTTACAAGGTCTTCAAGGCTCGAGCATTGTGCTCTTTCTCTGAACTATTGGCAATGACGTCAACTTTCGAAATAATCTCGCCAATTTTCTAATTGCACAATACTTTCCAAAGCTACACCAGTTATGCTCCAAACCTCAACATGCAGTGAAGTCTCCTATTGGTATCAGAGAAGTCACAAAAGATGTGTCGAAACACACCCTTGTGTCGAATACATTTCATATCCAGTTCATGTGCAACATTCAAGTACTATTCCTCGTTCGAACTTGTTTTGTGAGTCTGAAAGCTTGAAGTGTATTGCATCACCAACAAATCGCAATATCAGGAGCAAAGAGTAGAAGCCCACGCTAAGATTAAGCATATAGCAAATTTAGTTCTTGTCGGCCATGGTTTTGGGAACTCTGTATGACAAAAATGTTGACTAGTTTAGAGAATGGACTTTTTTTTAGGGGTATAATATTTGATAGACCAAATTAAACTGTATTCATCTGCATTTTACTTTCCTCCTAATCCATGTACAGATAGCATCCAGTACCTACAGGTATTGGATCAAGCTTTCAAGATATGCCTCGCTTAGGGTTCACTATACCTCCTCAAACCTCTTGGTGCAAAAGATGCAATTATAGCATCAATCATGGCAATGTGGTGTTGGCGTTATGGTATTTCGAGTTTATCCCTTGCTGGTCACAAGCACGCGGTGGCTGTTGGGATAGTTTATAGTATCAGCGAGCGAATTTTCGAGGAGTGCAGAGAAGAGTGGAACAGAATCAAGAAAGCAACGAAAAATGATGTAGGAGATTCGGAATCGGGTATGTCTCGTGTTACTAATGAGAATATTTCTCTTCGATTACTGACTGGTATTGTTAGGAAAATGAGACTACATCGCTTGATAGAGTTGAGAGCTTTCAGTATCGACACTGTGTAAACATTTGGATGCTAGAATGGCTGGCGGCCTGACAGGCTGGATGTTATATTAGGGGGCCGTCGGTACTCAAGCAGCTTTTGATATCTCGATACGATATGGTGATGATCCTGTATGATAATTTGTATACTAGTACAGGGCGTAGCAGAACAAAGCTCCCATTGGTTATAGCTACATGGAGCACCATAATCAATACCGTTCTCCCACTCCTTCAATTAAATAGGATGAAACATTCAAGCTTTTGAAATCATGCATAGTCTCGATTGGGATTGATGATGTTAACTTTGAGTGAGGCTCAAGACAGGGGTATCGGTAGATCCATTCTCTCGTGACACCGTATTTCTATATCTGGAACATAAGGCTATCCAATTCAGAATACGAACTCCAAAAAACCTAACCGTCGGCCATTTACGTCCTTCCCCACTTGGCTTCCCCACGGGCCACTATTACCCAAACAAACCCCTAAAAAGGAGTTGACTTTAGTTCTTCTCCTCAATGAATCCTTATGATATATACATAAAAAAAAAGCCCCGTGATTTTTGGATAAGTATTATTGAAAGAGATTATGATTCTTATATAAAACTTCTTAAAACTTTAATTAATTTCCGTGATTTAAACTTTAATTTTAAATCTATAATAAATTAACTTCATTATACTAATGTAATTATAATTTTGTTAAAACTCTTCAAATTATAATATAATAATTTATATTGTCTATAATGTGAAATAACAAAAATTGATCAAAAGGAAGGATCATAAAGAATTCAACTCTCTCTCCTGTGACGCCTCACACCTCCGGGTCACGTGGCATGCCCCGTTTGTATTTAATCATAGGAAAACTCTCTACTCTTGTTTTCCTTCTTCTTTTCTCCTTAGCTTAGTATTTTCTAATACAAGATACTTTACCCAGTATTCTTGAGTGTGACATCTCCTGAGGGCTGGAGATGTATGATTGGTAGTGGAGCTAAATGTGGGGACCTTGGATGACCAACGGCTAGGGTTGACTACCTAATTTGTACTTCTCATTTCTTCTCGTTTTCCAAACATATTTATAAACCAAAAGCCACTCTTTATATTTTAATGCTAATATCAATTATTTTTGTTGTAATCATTTTTATCTCTTTTTCTTATTGTCAATCGTTAAACATGTCTAATGCCGAGGCGTGGAAAAGACGTTCCATTTACCAAGTTCTCACCGACAGATTCGCTATAGAAGATGAGAACCGTCAAAATTCAGGTCCAGATAAGGGGATTAGAGATTATTGTGGTGGAACATGGAGAGGTATAATATCTAGACTTGATTATATTCAAGGAATGGGTTTCGATGCCATATGGATTTCTCCCGTATGTTTTCTTCGGCCTCATCGCTGTATTGGCTTCACTCACTAACGGCTCATACAGATCCATAAGAATATTGAAGAGGTGACCCAATATGGAGCGGCCTATCATGGATATTGGCCAGAGGATATTTATTCAGTAAATCCACATTTCGGTACCGCGGAAGATTTGCTCGCTCTGTCAGGTGCGTTGCACGCACGAGGGATGTTTTTGATGATTGATGTGGTTGTCAATCATATGGGTTCGCCCCCTACTGTGGAATTTTCCAGATATGTACCTTTCAATGATTCATCATACTATCATCCAAAGTCGTTCATCACGAATTATGAGAATGAAAAGGAGTGTGAGGAAGGATGGTTAGGTGATGAACATGTACCACTGCCTGATCTAAATACCGAAGATCCCACCGTGGTGCTCACTCTCCAAACTTGGATCATGAAACTTGTCCAAAAGTTTAAAATTGATGGCCTGAGGATCGATACCGTCAAACATGTCAGGAAGAATTTTTGGCCGGATTTTGTTCGGTCTGCTGGGGTCTGGTCGGTGGGCGAGGTATTATCAGGTGATCCTAACTATCTGAGCTCATATCAACCATACATTGGAGGGCTTTTGGACTATGGAACCTATTATCCTTTGAAAAGAGCATTCAATAGAGATGGTGGAAGCATGTATGAGCTTATCAACCTCCTCACTCCTCAGTACAGGTCAAAATTCCGCGATATGCAGCAAATGTCGACTTTTATGGAGAATCACGATATGCCGCGGTTTACCCATGACACAAACGAGGATTTGGCCGTTGTGAAGAATGCTATGGCATGGACTTTACTCACAGATGGTGTGCCGATTATTTACTACGGACAAGAACAATCTTATTCAGGAGATGGCGATCCTGGCTCCCGAGAGCTGATGTGGACATCAAACTATAATATTACACCACTATATCAGTACATCGCACGTTTGAATCAAATCAGAAAGTTGAGCTGGGATTCAGGGTTTGGTACACATCTAACCACGCGTCTTTATGTTGACGACAACGTTGCTGCCACGCAAAAGGGCCCCTTGCTCATGGTACTGACCAATCAAGGCAGCAAGGCGAAACCGAAAACGGTCTTTGTACCTACTATGTTCAAAAATGGTACCACAATAGTCGACATTCTCACAAGGGAATCTTTCACCGTCAAACGAACCACGAAAATCATCATGACAGCCGGCGAGCCCCGAATCTTTCTTCCTCTTCGTCTAGCAGAACACATCTGCGAGGATATCATTCCACCATTTCAAAGCGCCTTGTCTAGATTATTCTCTAACATATTCAGCTTCATGTCTTCCTCGAAAGTTGCCGATGAAATCACCACTTGGCCACATGGAGATGCAGTTTCTACTGAAGATATTATACTTCCCGAAAAGGATCCTGTGGCGGCCGAGGCAGGCGGCAAGATATTAATGCCGAGTGTCGAGGAGAGTTCATCTCCGTGGTCTATATTCTCTACGCTTGAATAATTGAGAAATTACAGCATGTCTTATCTTTCATTTACTTTGAACTTTCAGATTTTCTGTTGTTGTTTAGAAGATACCATGGATTATTGAGTCGTTGTAGTTTAATTATTATTGTATTTTATTTCCACGTCCTGAAAAGTTAATGGACGCTGTATTTTTTTGGTGGGAGAAGGGGGTTTGTGTACCAAGGCATCAAAGCCTGTAATATACTAGACAGACGGACGGGAACTAGAAGGGTATACTCAGTTAAACCTCCGTTGTTGGAATATCGATACCTTTTCGCGTGTTGAATGGATTTGTGTTATAGATTAGATTCGTTTAGTACACTAATTGTATAAACAAGAAACAATAAACTATATTGAGTCATTTTAATTTGTAAAAGTTGCCACAAATCCATGAGAGTGTAATCATGAGACATTCCCCATTTTTAACAATGATCATAATTCACTGTTATAGTTTTTCACTCACCCCGTAGTTGGAAATGCTTTGATTATCTCGTCTTTTAGCTTATACTTATCAAACGCATAGATTCAGACTGCGGGGTATCTTCCGGCCGCGAGATTGATGATCACCTGGAAATTGGCTCCAGTTATTACTACATCATCTCTAATCTTATCCTCAGACCCTTTAGAACTTATATAATCCTAGAATTTTAAAGACTGGTTTATGAGATATATATAAAATATCATTTTGGAGTCTAATTTCAAAATTATCTTTTTGTTGTTATTAAGTCTAGTACCCCACTTTTCGGCCACCCCCTCTTTTCGGTCACCTTTTTGTTACATCGGACTTCACATACCTAACATCATATGCTCAGAATCATGTGATATAAGGATCCCAGTGGGCTCAGCAGTCCCAGTAACACTGGAACAACTAGAAGTATTAGGATATATACTATGAAGGTCTATATAATCAAAATGGATTTACTTTATATAAAGCTTTGTGTTCAAGATCAGTCATTTAGTATACTCTACTATTAATTATAAATTACATCATTGTCATTACTTAAGTCCTTGTTTAACATCTAGTCATAAATCATCTCAAAAGCTTAGAGCACTTCCACATGATCTAGACTGCAAACCTCGTAACACTTTTACATCAAAAACCATGATTTTCAGCTATTAATAATTTCACAATTAATGATTAGAATTTTATAAAATTTGAATTATAGATTTAAATTATATATATTAATAAATCCTAAAAATTTATATTTTTCGTAATTTTATTGATTGAAATATAAATGATTGAAATATAAATGTGTCACGATTCACCATTAGTGTGACGGAAATCCCTGCTTTCCTCCCACCCTTATTATATAAGAAACCTCAGGTACATTAACCATGTCCACACATGATACGATTACTCGAGATTAGTATGCGATTTAGGTGACCTGAGGATCAGATCCGGACAAGTACTAGGTATCAATGGTTATCGGTAAAGTAAGATCATTGAAGGAATAAATACAACTTCTTTTTGCCTAGCCATTGCGGCTAGGCCATTCATTTGTGTATATATAGAGTAGCTATCCCCATCTACAGGTGCTCTTCACCTGTAGATTCTAAGTTAAATACAATTGCTGGTCTATAAACACCCTTTTGGTCACAATTAGGATTAGTGCCCTGATGTGACGGAAAAGTCGTAAACGGAGTCAATTCAATTACTTAGAATCTAAAACTAAAGAACTAAGAAGATTCTAATTAAGAAGGTCTTTATATACAGGGCTAGTGCACGTGAGCCACTAGTGGGATAACAACCGTCACGTAACACCTGAGGCAAATAGGAGGATCACGTGATGGATAGACCAGTCTATCCAGGCTATCCAATAGCATTCAGAACTATATAGTTAGAGTAGTTTCGTAGTTTAGGAGCTTCGTGCTCAACTTAGTTATCAATTAGATTACCTACATTCTACTTGATCTAGTAACGACTTCACTTCCAAGTGAATACCAGTGATAAAGCCTTAACCCATAACTACCAACCGACGAAACCCTAGGCAGCCGCTGCCTCCAGTACAGTATCGTTACAGTCCGATATGTTACGAGGTTTGCCGTCTAGATCATGTGGAAGTGCTCTAGGCTCTCGAGGTGGTTTATAACTAGGCGTCAAGCAGGGACTTGGGGTAATGACAATGATGTAATTTATAATTAATAGTAGAGTATACTAAATGACTGATCTTGAACACAAAGCTTTATACAAGGGGAATCCATCTTGATTATATAGACCTTCGTGCCGTATGTCCCACCGTTCTCCTCGATATAAATCAGTGGGATCGGTGGGACGAGTGGGACCACGTGACCCCTTGTTTAGTCATGTGATACGGGTTTTAGTCGTAACTGAATACCGTCGTAACACGATATAACAATTATCTTTTTGTTACTATTATAATTCAATTTTATTCTTTATTTTATATACCGTTTATCTTTTATAAAAATTATATAATATAAAGTTTTTTAATTATTAATCTTTAATTTCATAAATTATTAAATTATCAAATTATTAAATTATTAAATTTGTTAAAGTGAATGGTTCCTGCGTAGCACGTGCACAGGGCACTAGTCCTATTAGGACTAGATTGAGAAGCTCTCTGTAGAAGAGCTTCGCACATCCGTAGAACTTAGATGAAGAGTGATTAATACACTAGACCAATATTACCTCAGTTCTGTGTTACGTAGTAACAGTCAACCTGTCCATATGAGCTCAGACCCCGTGGAAAAGCAAACCGATTCACATACAAAATTGTATGGTAATCGGTTCGTAGGATCTCCCCACCCTTAGCAAGCTTGGACATATAGTCTGATCCAAGTCACGTGATGGACCCTGCATATTCAGGGATACGAATCGTAGGTCCATACGAATCGAAGGTCCACAAACTCTCAGGATCCAAGAGATCCAATGGAGGACGAAGGTCTATATAATCAGGATGGTTTCCGTTGTGTAGAGCTTCGTGCTCAAGATCAATCATTTAGTATACTCTACTATTAGTTACGAATTGCATTATTGTCATTACTTTAAGTCCCTGCTTGACGCCTAGTTATAAACCACCTCGAGAGCCTAGAGCACTTCCACGTGATCTAGACGGCAAACCTCGTAACAATTTGGTTCGTAACACTTAGGTCCTATCGTACAAATAATACAACTCACTTTCCATCGAAGTTATTCATTGTGCCTGGATTTCCGCAAGCAGCAACGAAAAAAAATAAGCCACTCCTTCCGACAAATTATCCAATCATTCAAGAGCATAAGCTCACTATCAAATTATCTATCCCGCCTTCCTCAAAATCCATTCCCCAAAATCCGATTGTTGTCCCCCAAATGGTACATTTTCTAAAAGATGAATAAAGGTGCAGGGCGGCTTAGTATGCTGTCAACTCAGTGGCTTGTTCGACATGGAACGCTTTTGCATGTGAAGATTCACTTCTCCATTCTTCGTCCCCCAATTCAGCAGAACCAGCATCTCGAGCCAGATGCGCCTCTGAGCCCACACGCTGAGGGCGCCTCCATACACTTGATGTTACAGAAGAGGCGCCTTTTGAAAATTTGGATGACTTGAGGGTGCTAAGTCGCTGTAGTGCACTTTCGACCAAGCCATTAAGGGCAGGCAATGAGGCAACGATAACCGCAAAGGTGATGTCAACTATATCAAAGCACCAAATTATGTAGCCTTGGTAGGTGAAGTCACCTAGAGCCTTATGGACAAAAACGTTCCGTACAATACTTGCAAGTGTAGATGTGCCACCGATAGCGAATACTGCGACCAAACGGTACTTCCTAACCATCGGCATCTGTAATCGAAGTATAATTACAATTGGTACGCACAGCAGAGCCACGTCCGCTAATATATGCAATATTCTGGTTCCATAGCTGATACTTGTGCGATTGAGGCAGTGTATCGTACTGGCTGGATCTGCAATGCCACCGACGTACCACAAGGAGTACCCGGCTGGGACTGGCAAGCACTGAAACATGTTCAAGGAAGTTGTCATAGGTAGAAGGCACAAAAAAGTACCAATGAAAGCTCGGTTTATATACTGCCATGTCTTTGAAGCTAGGCCAGTAAGACGCTAATTTGCGAGAGCAATACTGAGTTTCACAGAAAACACTGTGAAATAGAACATCGGTTCTTGGATTTGTCCGATCTGACGTGGGAAATTCAGTGAAATGTCTCGACTTCAATTTCTGATGCTGTTACTTACATAAATGAACCATGCCACTTCAACATAAGTGCAGTTCCAGATATGCTTTCCCAAGCAACCACGCATTCGGGTCACGATATCAAGAGTTAGGTAGATAATTCCACCCAGCTTCGGATGGGTCAGTGCTGGCAGTATAGCTTGTGTCGGGCTCATGAGCTTACCGCTCCTGGGATTATCACCCAGTCATCCGGACCCCAGAAACGTGTCCGCCATTTACGAACGAAGAGACGAGACAGAGTAAATAGGGTGATGAAAAATATGGCGAAAGCTTCACTAATTATCAGACTTGTGGCATGGGAGTTGTGATCCGCGTTTGGCGGGGCAGGAGTCCCGAAGGGTTCGGAGATGTTCGGGTTTACTTGGGTTGGTGCGACAATGCAGAGTCCACGAGCAATCAATATGTCATTCGCCGATAGAGGCTTCTGGCCCATAAGAGCCGAAATGGTCATTTTGAAAAAGAATAGTAGCAAGTGAATACTCAAGTGAGTTGATGGTCGACAGAAATGAGGTGGAAAATTTGCACTAATAAGAAGAGACAGGAGTGAATGACTTACTTAGAGAAAGATGATACCTAATATGGGCTAAATAAAAGGGCAAGCAGCTTGCAATTGGGACATTGAGGAAAACTGGCTAAGTGCATGGAACCTACTGATAGTGGACCCCAAATCACCGAGATTTTGTTTTTTTTTACTGTTAATGGATAAATCCGCCTGATGGGCAAAGGTAGTATGCACTATTTCAGCAACTCGTTGATGGGCAGAATCTTCAATGGCATGTTAGCTTACGGCGAAGCATGGGTGAGCAATTTTTGAGGTTGCAATGAATTTTTCGACCCTCAGGGTGGAGGGATTATAATAAAAGAAATTGGTGATTTCATCATACAGGAGACCACGCAGAAAAAGCCTTTGTACAAGGCCTTTGCATAATCGTCACACGACGGCGCAGGAGCACGGTACCGAAATTAACCTCCCATATCTAGCATTCGATACTTTGTATCAACAACTATTGCCAAATTTTGTTAATAGAGTTAAAAGTAACACTTCGAACCTACAGATCAGTCACACACATTTTCTTGGAAAATTGCTCTTTTTAAATCAAGTAGGGTGCCGTTTCTTGCTCAAGATTCATCATGTCGATTGGTCAAATTACAACAGCCAAACCCACACCAGTAATAACACCCCTTGAAAATCTTTCGGGGCAACACGAAGACATAATCACTGTGGTAATGTAGTGTCCTAAAGCCAACTAAAAGATCGATACTGACTGGATCACTAGACCTGGGATGGCCCCTTAGATGGTAACAACCCACTAAACTGGTCAAATAGTTGGAAATGGATCAATGTTCTTCTAGTATCCGTACAGGGAACATTGTCTCCGATCTTTTCTACGGTCCTAGCATTAGGATCAGAGGATGTCGCCTTGGCGTTTGGTCTCCATGATCCATACACACCCGCCCTCCCCATCGCTCTATATGTTCTTGGCTTGGGTATAGGGCCTCTATTCCTGGCACCACTTTCCGAGTTACATGGCAGACGCATTGTATATTTATCATGCTTTACAATCTTCACGGTTCTCAATGTCGGCTGTGCCCTCGCACCTAACATTGCTGCCTTGTCTACACTTCGTTTACTCTCGGGAATGGCCGGATCTGCTGGCCCGAGCCTGGGAGGAAGTAGCATCAGTGATATGTTCTCTCGAGAACATCGAGGTAAAGCTCAAGCTTTGTATAGCTTCGGTCCAACATGTGGTCCTATAATCGGCGGGGTCATGGGAGGTTTTATTATTTACAACACAGGTAGCTGGCGCTGACTGATTTGGGTTATCGTGATATCTTCTGCAGCCACTGTCTGCTTTTGCATGCTTCTGCAACGAGAAACGTATGGGCCATTTCTTTTAAGGCAGAAAATGAAGCAACTCAAGAAGAAAAATCCGAATATTTCATACCGCATAGACTTTGATGTACAGCCAAGGGATCTTTTCGTGAGATCTCTTACCCGTCCAATGCGACTACTTTTCAGGGCGCCTATTTGTACTTTTATGAGCCTCTATCTGGCGTTGTAAGTTCCCTAGGTCAAAGCTCTCCTTGTATTACTCCTGCTAATCTACATGACACCAGAATATATGCCATTCTCTACTTGCACCTCATAACCATCACTTTTCTGTTTGATTCGAGACGTTTTTATGGCTTGTTTTCTTACGGATGGACGCATGGAACGACAGTTCTCGCATATCTAGGTGCTGGTACTGGATCAATTCTAGGCACCATAATTTGTGCCAAATTTCTCAACCGCTCATATCGCTACGCAGCTGCTCGCCACGAGGAGAGAACAGGCACCGCAGCTTCAATGCCCGAGTTTCGGTTGCCATTCTTACAAGTTGGCATGATGATTGTCCCAATTGGATTGGTAATCTTTGGTTGGAGCGCGGAGAAAGAGACACATTGGGTGGTACCGTTACTAGGGGCGTGCATATTTGGACTGGGTATGCTGATGGGATATGTATGCATTCAAAAGTATCTTGTGGATGCCTTTGAAGAATACGCCGCAAGTGCACTTGCAGCTGCAATTGTGACTCGATGCGTTATTTCCTGCGTGTTCACAGTTGTTGGGTTCCAACTCTACCGGAGATTAGGCTATGCCTGGTGGGTTTTGTTCTTCCTTTTGAAATAATAATCATGCTAATAAAATTTAAGGGGGACTATGCTTCTAGCCTTCATTTGCATTGCGATGACCCCCATACCATTTGTGCTACAACACTATGGTCCACAACTTCGCTCCAAAAAGTTTGATTTCTGAGTCTCAGCGGAAATACGAGAGGTTGGGCGCATGATGGCTTATCCTAACAATTGCTCACCAAACTTGTGAAGACAAAACACCTCCATATTAAACCAATCATACTTGCCCCTAGTTGCATGCATGGCTGCGGCACTGCATTTAACCGAGTGAATGATGCCAAAGGAGGCTGCGTTTGAAAGCTGACCATGCCGCACAGCAATCCCATGATCCACTTCCAATATTAGTATCTCCAGTCTCCCTGACTGCGCAAGCAAACATAGCAACCCACTTTCTGATACTTTCTTGAGCAAGGTAGGGCTGAACTTCCAATCTACACTCATGCCTACTGCCGAAGAACTCCTCAAGGTTGCCGGATCTCCGGATCATCCATCTCGAAAGAAAGTACTCCCAAGGTATTCACCAACAATTGGCGATAGACTTCCTCCGGCTGCTCGAAAACTCTTTGAAGAGTACAGCAATATCCCACCTTCTGAAGTCGAATCACACATCTACAAAATTGTAAGTTTGCACGGCTTATAAACACTCGGGTTTTCCTTTGCTAATGTGCTATTCAGCGCGATCTTGCTTGGGATGTCTTTCCATGGGCATGTATCGGCGAATTCTGGTTCATAATATTCGGTCTTTCACGACATCCACAGTATCAACTACTAATTCGGCTTCTTACTTCCAAAGACGCTACCCAAACGTCCGAAGATCCTCCAAAGTTTCTCGATATTGGAACCTGCATTGGCCAAGATCTGCGAGCTTTACATAGAGACGGTGTACCTCTGTTTGTTCTTTATGGCACAGATGCCATTCCACAATTCGAAACTATCGGGCATGCACTATTCAAAGATGAGGATCGTTTCTTGCCTGATCACTATATCGTTGGAGATATCTTCAATCTTACACCATCTTTAGCCAAAAATGCCGGCACTTGGTCTGCTGTGAATATGATTATGTTCTTGCATCTTTTCAATATTCCAGATGCAGAGCAGGTCTGTACCAATGCCTTAAAGTTGTTACGCCCAAAAGCGGGGTCTCTCATCACTGGTGCTCAAACCGGGACCACGCAGCCTGGTGAACTTGTGCTCAAGCCACCAATGTGTGAGCCTGGAGAACATAAGACAATTTACCGGCACAGCGCAGAAACATTGGTCGAATTTTGGCAAAGAGTTTCGGCGAAGTTGAACATCCGCGTCAAAGCTACTGCGGAATATGATGAGGAAGAAATCAAAGAAAGAGAGCGTGGCGTTCGAGATAACCCAGACTGGGAGAAAAGCAACAGGTCATTCGTGGGCAATTCTGAAAGACGAATCTACTTCATGTTAGAGCTCCTTTGAGAGAAGTAGCATATTACGATACTAGAGTTGTTAGAACAGAACTCATTGAAAATTGAATTCGCAATTTGCAGCATCAAATCCTTACTCGGACATGGCACGATGCCCCTTTTCGCATTCTAAATTAACAAAATACTGTGTCCATAGTTTCCAATGAACTCCTTTATCAATACCGTGGTATTACTAGGCCTGTATCGTGGTGATCCTAGAAAGAAGTTACCAATAGCGTGATGTCATCCTCGATTGTATAAAGGACTAGATTTCAGTGGCATTTCAGAAAATTTGGTGCTACTTTACAGTAACCGAGATTAGGTAATATTACTACTGGTAGGCACTTTTTCTGGACTAATCCTCCTCGCTGCAAAGCACTGCACAAGGGAGGAAAATTACTGTTAAAATCAGATTTGGCAGGGAATATTATGCACGGATATTATTCGGATATTTATAAACGGCAAAGTAAGTACCTACGTAGTCAACGGTACCGGTACTCCGCTCCATCCAACAAACTAAATAAACTATCTCGTAAACAAATCGATGAATTCATTAACCGGCATGGTATCGGACTCAACAGCTTGCAAGATGTTTTCAACTTCCCTCTCTTCAAACATGTTGGACATGTTTGCCCTGAACTTCTCTTTGACAAGGTTCAGCGTGTCAGACCGTTTAGGATGACCAATTGGAAACTCAACCACAACCTCGTCAAGTCTTTCGCCATTACCCAGTTCGACAAGTATTGGATTTGCGCCACTACGTACCTATTGATCGTGGTAATCCTGTGTAAATGCCTCGTCCTCCACCACCACCATCTTCTCCCTAAGATTATCCACGCGTGTATCTTGAGCCCAGGGAGAATCATCCATGTAATCTGCGGTATCAATCACAGAACCCTTGAGCAATATTACGGCGATAATATATTGCAAACAATGGTCGCGGTCAGCCGCGTTGTGGAGCTTCCCACGTTTGTTGACTATTGTCATTGCCGCTTTCTGCGTTCTGATATACACTGTCTTCACATCTCCATCTGCACTGAGACCTCTCGATTTTAGTTGCACTGCGATCGCCAATGCTGCCTCAGCTGCAGAAATTGCATGACCCTCGGCTGGGATCAGCTTGAAGAAAACACTCTCCATGACCCAGCTTCTGTATGGACGAGCAGCGACGAGATCCTTGCCCTGCATAATAGCATGATGAAAGCCCCACTGCGATGCAGTGAGCACAGATGGGGCACCGGGCTGGCCCGCCATAGTAAGCAAATTCAAATGAACTGCGCGCATGCAGGCATCGCCAGCTGCCCATCCTTTGCGGGGACCAGCATTTGGAGCTTGCCGAAAAGTTCTGAGAGGGTGGCCATCTTGCCAAGCTTGGGATAAAGCGGCGAGTGCTTGTTTCTCGGGGAGTTTCAACAGGTAAGATGTTAGGGCTGTCGATGCAACCTTGACAAAGATGGTGTGGTCCAGTCCATGCCTGTTGAAGGCATTTGAAACTTGGAGCACTCCCTGAATTTCATATGCTTTTATTTGTGCAGTCAAAAGGGTGTGAAGAGTTATTCTGTTTTCTGATGGCGTGCGGCTTTGCCAGTCAGCGACAGCCAACAGTGCCCCCAAATTATCGGACGGATGCCCCCATTCGGCTCCAGGATACGCGTCATTGTGGTCTAGATATCGTATCATGCTACCCATGTCGAACGCACCTTTGACGGGGTCGAGTATGTATGATGTTCCGGGCAAATGAAATCCATGGGGAACGATTGTCCCCGGAACTGTTGGACCAAGCATAGCCCTACACTCGGGACTCGTGCTCATGGTCTCTATAGCACACCCTAAGGCGTCGAGAAGCGCTATCCGGGCACGCTCATAAGCTAGCAAGCTAGGAATGGCAGTATGATACACATACTGAACAATATCAACGAGAATTTTGTCGTAAATGGGTTGCTCTGATGGTAAAGACATTATCGCAACTCCTCAGTTCTGATTAAGTTTTACTCTTACACGCAGAAAACGAATGTTTCTTCATTTATAGGCCCACATTCTGAAAATAACGCAGTATCGGAGAAGCCTCATGCAATGCAGGATGATTGACTTCTATTTTTGGGCATTATATTCGTATCACTATTCATCGAATTACACGAGAAAGTTCCTGCAGCTAGCCGATACTCCTCAGCAATCTGTGCGACGACGGAGATTTTTATGCATGAACTAGATATTCAAGCACCATTGTCGGATGTCATATCGAATGTTGCTATGGATCCTTGAATTACTTGCAACGGCCTCCTTACTGATGAGGTGTATGACCCGGCTGTGCCCTAGAGTCCGACGTCAAGTGTTGAAGATGTATTAAGCCGTGGAGATTGTGGTGCGGCGTTGAAGAAGTATCTCAAGGCACGCAACTCTCAAAATGGCATAGATTTTCGGTGAAGAAACATTTGGTTGCAAGGTAAAGTAAAGGCTCATTCAGACGGAGATTCATTCCCCCATGCGTCCTCTGGCAGCAGACGAAATCTCTTCTGGCAATCACAACACCTTCCTATACGGCTCAGCCTTGCCTCGAGGCGGTGGGTGTGGATACAGTAAGACCGTATTGTCGAAATTTTTAGGAGTCCGAACGAAGTCAACGTTCGAGGAAGGAAATTCGATGTCAAGGAATCACTGGTGAATCCTCGGACTAATCTCACGGATATCTGCAGTGATGGCTGGAGTGACCATTGCATTCCAACTAACCCGGGTGTAGAGTATCTCATCAAGTCATTAGAGATCACGCAGTTGTGAGGCACAGTTGTAGTCATTGCACTCACTTGAAAATGTTCTAGATAGCACTGAAAGTCCACTACGTGTATATCATTTCACTAGCCTTCTCTCAATAATTCAGCAACACCTCAATGAACCTGAACTATGACTTTTATCTCCTTCTGTAACCGGATATTTTTGGGTTTAGGTCTCCTGGTGTTTAGACTCAAAAAGATCACATCGCAAGCATCTCTTGAGAAAAGGCAGGAAGGGAGCCTTGAAATCCGTGACACTCGAACGGGGATATCATACAAAATCTGCATATCTAACAATGCAATTGAGGCTACAGACTTGCGAATGATTTCTACCGCAGGGTGGAATCGCAGTCCACTGGAGCATTATTCAAAAGGCCTGAAAGTCTTGGATATGGGTTTTCAGAATACAGCCGTCTGCAAATCACGAATTACTCATATGTAAGATCAGCTTGTTCAATCAGTTGCGCACAGACAAGGGGTTCTATATTGTACTGACCCTTAAAACCAATAGAGATGGGAATCTTGGCAAGATCCAATTCAGGCAGTATTCGCTAGACTATCTACTCGAGCATCATGACTTCATTGAAGTCGCATATCTGCTCATTTGGGGGCATTTACCTTCTTGCGCCGAAACGCAAAACTTTGAAGGCGAACTTTTCAAACAATCAAATCCCCCGGATATTGTAATAGAGGTGGTCAGAAGTTTTCCGTAAGTTTAAATGGAACTTCCATCTATATACCTTTATGACATGGCTCACCTCACCCGACAGACGCGGGACTCCCAACTTTCTCATTATTGTTGCAGGCCTATCAGCATGGGCTGCATATTCGGCAGACCACATCCCAATACACACTGGCAAGAATATCTACTTGGGCAATCCTGACGCTGTGGACAGCGGTATCATCCGAACTATGTCGGCACTATCAGTGGTGATTGCCTTAACATCCTGCCATCAACAAGGAAAGCAATTCAGATCACCAGATGCCAGAAATTCATTCGTGTGCAATCAACTTCTCATGATGGGAATAGTGAACTCTGAGACTGGAAAACCGGACTCATGGGCAGAAAGGCAACTCAACAAACTTTGGATCATCTATGCAGATCATGAAATGACTAATTCCACGGCTGCATTCCTCCACGTTACGTCTACACTTGCCGATCCAATTTCCGGTTGTATGGCGTCTTTACTTTCTGCATCTGGGCCGCTCCATGCAGGGGCGATTGATTTAGCATACCGAAGTTTTCAACAAATTGGGTCCAAGGAGAACGTCGCAAAACTGATTGCAGATGTAAAGGCCAAGAAACAAAGATTATTCGGTTATGGGCATCGAATCTACAAAACAGTCGACCCACGCATTTACCATTTACGCAAGATGATGGATGATCTTGCAGTAAAGACCGCTAGCAATCCGCTTCTTTCAATCGCAATGGAGATCGATCGAATCGCTTCTCAGGATACCTATTTTACATCTAGGAACCTCAAAGCGAACGCAGACTTGTATGGCTGCTTCGTTTTTTCTGCTCTGTAAGTTACGCCCATGGAAAGTTCTGAAACTAGAATGATGGCTGATATCATATCATTCAGGGGGTTTGAGCCGGAGATAATCACTGCCGCAGCTGCGATGGCGAGGTCGTCAGGCGTCATGGCCCACTGGCGTGAGGCGATGAGTAAGTTACGCATACAGGCAGTACTGTAACAGAACTAATATTTTACAGGTGATAGGCCAAACATATGGCGGCCACAGCAGGTTTTCACCGGAGTGGTATTATGAGATCTAAATGTGTGAGCTTTTCCCCCTTACATTGTAAAGTGCAGACAGAAATCATTATATAGCACATGCCGATCTATTCCTTGTTCAGTATAAGCAAGCTGCCTTTCAATCTAAATAATTAGGATAACAATGTTAGTTACCTACCTAGGTACCTAAACAAGTATTTAAATCATTTCCCTGAGGTGAATAAAATGCACTGCTGTGCCACAGCAGTGCATATCGTACGACCCCATCTTGATAAACCATGCAGCCCGTCAGACCCGTACATGTGAATGTACCGGTATTAGCAGATGCTGTGCTATCTGCAGCCATTCGGGAACAGATATATAGACCCCTACAACTCGCCCGCCGAAATTAATTCGATACTTCTCTCTAGAGAATTTCCGTACAAAGGCGCTGCGCCACACTAAAATCTCACCTGTTCTATCATCCACTTATCCCACCACAATTTGGCCCTCTCAAATCAATAATCTTCTATTGCCGGTGCCATCGATATCTACCATATTTTTCAGCACCAAAAATACACATACCTACCCTTTAATCCATATTTCCTCTACACCATCAAAATGGCCGCCTATCTCGAAGCATTTCTCGGACGAATTTTCTACTCCCAACGGGGCCGCGATGCAAAACTCATATCACGTTCCATCCCCGCCATTACCAAGCTTCCAGCCACGCTCCTCGTCACATCACCCCTCGGCCCCTCACCATCACCTCTCTCACATTCACACTCCCAACTCGGCGCGAATGAATTTCCCCCTCTTTCGTGGTCTCTAAATTCTCACACGGATTCTGAGCTCGAGCTCCGCGATAAAATAAAATCGTTTCTTCTCGTGGTCGAGGATCCTGATGCGCCGTTACCGAGTCCGGTTATTCATGGTATCTACTACAATATCCCGGCTTCGAAAACAGAGGTTCGCAAGGAGGATTTTGTGCAGAGTCAGAGTGATAATCAGGATGGTAATGGTCGGTTGTTGGCTGGTGGCTTTAGTTATGGAGTTAATCGGAGGAAGACGATTTGGGGAGGTCCAAAACCCGTGTTGGGACATGGTATGCATAGGTATTTTTTTTCAGGTGGTGGGATTGAGTGAGCGATTGGAGACGAGCGAGGAGATTGGGAGGGAGGAGCTTGGGGGGTTGTTGGATGGTAAGGTTTTGGTTTGGGGGGAGTGGGTGGGAACTTTTGAGAGGAAGTTGGATTGATTAGATAGCAGGACTTTTATTATGACTGTCTGGATATTGATCACATGAATCACTAGCGTTGATGCTAGTACCCCGGCAGGGGGGATCACATATTACATAGTTCCCCATTCCCATAGTTCTAGTTCTCTAGGCAATTAATACGAAGGATATTGTAACGATACTGTACTGGAGGCAGCGGCTGCCTCAGGTTTCGTCGATTGGTAGTTATGGGTTAAGGCTTTATCACTGGTATTCACTTGGAAGTGAAGTCGTTACTAGATCAAGTAGAATGTAGGTAATCTAATTGATAACTAAGTTGAGCACGAAGCTCCTATACTATGAAAATATTGAATGTTTATATACTGGTCCTTTCCAGGAGCCTGGGGGAGCCTACGCTCCTGGAGGCTCCATCACGTGATCCCCACTTGTCCCACGTGATGGAGAATCGTGACAATTTCATTTTATTTAATATTTGTTTTTATAAAGATTACATTATAAATTATAATAATATTAATAGAATTTTTCAATCATAAATTTACATATTTATATAATCCAATTGATATTAAAAAATCAAAATACTTTTATATATATTGTGACGGAAACCCCTGCTTTCCTCCCACCCTTATTATATAAGAAACCTCAGGTACATTAACCATGTCCACACATGATACGATTACTCGGGATTAGTATACGATTTAGGTGGCCTGAGGATCAGATCCGGACAAGTACTAGGTATCAATGGTTATCGGTAAAGTAAGATCATTGGAGGGATAAATATGACTTCTTTTTGCCTAGCCATTGCGGCTAGGCCATTCATTTGTGTATATATAGAGTAGCTATCCCCATCTATAGGTGCTCTTCACCTGTAGATTCTAAGTTAAATACGATTGCTGGTCTATAAACACCCTTTTGGTCACATATATCTTTTTTGACTTGTTTCTTCTTATAAAAAAGGAACATCCAATCTCAAAGGACTTTTCTATGCTTGCAAAAAGTGGGAAAGAATACAATGTTTTTCATCATGCGCCTCGCCGAACTCCCAGATTGATCCTCAGAGTAGTTGTGCCGCCCAGAACTTTCTGTAATCATGAGCATCTCAATCCTGTCGCTCCAATAAAGTTGCCGAGAGCTACAATGATGGAGATTTCCAGAGATTCCATGCACTTGCGACTACAAATTGGTCGCAAATGATTTGTTGCTTTGCGGGATCAAAATTTCTACTCTATTTTGACAGAAAAGAGTGCTTTGATATCGCAAGTTTTCATAAAGTATATACGTGTTCCTAAGCATTGAAGGTTTCTAGCCCGTATGACTCATTCTCCGGATACCCTCTCAATGAACCGCAGCGTTAGAGCATCATGTTTGTACATGAGATAAATCTATTTAGCCTACTAGATGGGACAGATGTCTTTAAATGTGCTGCATTTATAGACCCTCAAAATTAGATGCTCGCTTGGAAAGGAGTCCTTTGCCCTTCGCACCTTTGACTTTATTATCATGGGCCCCTCAACGGCATCATCACCTGCGGCCACTTCGAATTCTTCCAAGGCTAAGCCTTTATCATCACTCTTGGAAATGTCTGATATGGAGTTGAAAAGCCAAATAAATGATAACGCTAAATGGAAGAAGCGGTCAGAAGACACCACTCTCAATGTCCATTTCGCAGAACTAGACGATCAGTGTTCGAAAGCCTGCAATCTTCTCCTCATTGGGTCCAGCATGCTCGAACGCTTCAAAACCACAGGTCACGATCTCAACTTAGGTTTGAAGCCTCACGTATTCAATGCCGGAGTTGGTGGCGACACTATTCCCAATGTACTTTACCGCATGAGTCTAGGCCTCCTTCAGAAAGCCAAGTACCAAGCGAAAGTAGAAACAGTTGTTGTTAATATCGGTTCTAATGATTTGAAGAAACCAGGCCGGAGCTTGTCGGAGGTTCAACTCTACCAATTTGCTCTTCACTTGGAGACATTGAGAAGAACCTTCCCAAGAATCGTGGTTACGGCACTTTTCTACAAGAAAGATGTCCGGCTATCAGATGTTGATCGAAGCAATGAGGATCTGCGGAGGATAGTCTCTGGATTTCCTGGAGTGGAATGGCTAGCAGCACCGCAGATGGATCTCATCCACCACTATGAAGATCACGTCCACTTGAACAGAGCTGGCTATGAGGTGTGGGATAAATGGCTGGTGGAGAAACTTGGGATATAGCAGCGGTGATAGGTAGATTGTATTTGACAAAATTTTGCAATACGAAGTCTTGGATAGGGGGTCGCTTGGCATATGTACAGCTAATATGTCCATTATGTCGGCACAAAACGTACAATATGTCGGGAGTCAATCTATTTGCAGTAGGCCGTCAACCCCACGTGCGGGTCGGGTATTATACGCGGGACTATCAGTAGTCTACACTGAAGAGTTAGAATAGGAAAATCTTGAAAAAGCCAAGGTGACTATACCCTCAACGCGATAGCAACTACTAAATAGTAAACAACAATTGGTAACCACTATTCCGTGCGCTATAGATTAAAGTAGAATGCACCTTAAGCCTTCGATATTGACGTTTTCCGTCACAAGGGCATATTATGGAAAGTGTAAAACGTGTAGCACTCAAGCTAGCTGTTGCTATTTGTAGCCGCCATGATACGAACCTAAGTGACGTATTTAATACTAGACAGTATGTAAAAGTTCCATCGTCAATCACTGCCTATCTACCAGAGAATACCCAGCAAGTATTAGCCAGTAAACAGTGAAACACCCGGACTACTCACCAGCGACAATTTTTCTGCTTTTGCTCCGTAGATCAATAAGAATAAGATTAAAGTTATCATGCATCATTTTAGCCCCATTTTTAAGCTTTGAAATCTCTTACGTTTCAAGTGGGATATTGTGGATTCTCCAACCGAATCAGACTATCTCCCGCTCTCCGTTATGTGGCTAGATGGAGTCATGTGATCAAACTTTGTCTCCCCCTCGTTTTCGATTGGGTAAAGACACACACAAAGGGGCTTATCGAAGCAACAACCCAACAAATTCAATCTATCTGAGGATATGAGACGAAAACCCAGCCGCCTGGGTTCTCTTGGTATAGATACCTCCATTTTTCCATCTATGCCTTCCTTCACAATGAAGTCCGTGGTTGTCTGAAGAGTGGACGAAAATAACTGACAGACGAACATACTGACAGACAAAAATACCGACAGACGGAAATAGTAACAGACGAAAATATTGACAAATGAAAGTGTATCGTTTCATTCAGAAGCATAAAGCAGTTGAAGATGTAAAATCTCTTGGTGAAATGCTTAGTATCACAGAGTTCGTGAAGTATGCACGTATCCGTTCATTAAGGTTGCGATCTAGTTATTGATCACGAACTTTGCCAGTGCCAGTTCGATCAATTTCATGTTCGTTAACTTTTCCGCCGAGGGGATTTCCACACAGCGGTGCTGCTAGTGAAAAAGCGCCTTGGCTTTTGTGACTTCGTACAATACCAAGCAACATCCCCAAAGATTTGGGCATGATATACAGGGTGTATGATTCTTGGCCTCCTGCAATTGCAGTAAACAATTTCAACACCGGTGTATTGAATTGATGTTTCTCTAAAGCGTCTACTCAACGCAGCCACACCGTTAAACGTCTTGGCCGTCAATTTCAATATGCAACTATTTCATCGTTTACCCCTGGATCGTCCACCATTCAGATGCTCGAATTGATGACGAAATGCCGCGGTGGAAGGATTAAGGAGAACTTCTAGATCCTTTTTTGCATTGAACTAGTACCATGGGATCAATAGTAGGTAAACTTGGCGGCGTCGAGGTGTACTTTGAGATTTCACTATAAAGTGGAAGGTACATCCAACAATCTAATAGCACCACTTCCATCTTCACTTCCACAGTTCTCTACACATTCAACTACTTACATTCTTTAAACATTTTTTTTTATCTCCTAGTGAGCCATTTCAGTCCTTTACAATCATTCAATATGAAGTTCTCAGTCATTTCCGCTGGTCTTTTGGCCGCATTCGCCGCTGCTGCTCCAACCCCAACCTCTGAAGAGAGTGTCAACCGCGCTGCTATTGCCAAACGCTCCACTATTACCGACGCCTGCAACATCGGATACGCCAGCACCAACGGTGGTACCAAAGGAGGAGCTGGAGGAACCACCACTACTGTTTCCACCTATGCTCAATTCACCAAGGCAGCCACTGCAGGAAAGTCTGTCGTTGTGCTTGCGGGTCCTATCACCCAAGCTGCACCCCAGGTCAAGGTTGCTAGTGACACCACCATCATTGGTAAAAACTCCAAGGCAGTCTTGACTGGTTTCGGATTGTAAGAGCTCACTACTCCCTTCCGATTTACGATGATCTAACAATGTCACAGGCTCGTTAAGGGACAAAAGAACGTCATTATCCGCAACCTTGGCATCAAGGAGGTTCTTGCCGCTAACGGTGATGCTCTTGGAATCCGTATGTTCTCCTTTCATATCCACTCATCTTCAACGTATCAAACTAACCTCCACATTAGAAAAATCTACCAACGTCTGGGTTGACCACGTTGATCTCTCCTCCAACCGCGACCATGACAAGGACTACTACGACGGACTCTTCGATGTAACACACGCCGCCGACTTCGTCACCTTCTCCAACTCCTTCATCCACGACCACTGGAAGGCCTCCCTCATCGGCCACTCCGACTCCAACAAAGCCGAAGACACCGGACATCTCCGCGTCACCTACGCCAACAACTTCTGGCAAAACGTCAACTCCCGTGGTCCATCCATCCGTTTCGGTACTGCCCACATCTACAACTCCTACCACAACAACGTCGCCGATGGTATCAACACCCGTGATGGCGCTCAAGCACTCGTTGAATCCAACGTCTGGGTCAACTCCAAGAAGCCTTTATACAGCACCGATGCTGGATATGCCGTTGCCAACGGAAACGACTTTGGATCATCCGCCAACGAAGCCACTAAGGGTACATTGAGCGCCAGCAAGTTAGGATACTCCTACACACTTTTGGGAAGCGACAAGGTTAAGGCTGCTGTTGTCGGCACCGCTGGTATTACCTTGAACTTCTAGATCTTATCTTGAGTGCTATTTTTGACATGTGAGGACTTTCTGGGAAAAGGCGAGCGGCTGCAGTGCGGATATTTTTTCTATTCTTATTTAAATTTTTTGGTCATAGACTGTACATACCTATACGAGACTGGACGGACTCTGAGAGTTGGTCAATTAAATATTTACTCTCGTATACTTTCCCATGGTGACTTTTGTGAAAACTATCCAGAATTTGATACTCTAGCTTGCGTTAATCCATAATTCAGATGGTCAGTGATTTTAATTTTCTATTGGACATCCAACAAAAAGTTTCTTGCTCAATAAGATACCCAAAGAGCAGATGAATGATCATTACGGGGGGGGAGGGGGTTTGGTTTCAGAACGATCTATCATCCAGACCTGACATCAGTCTACCAATAACAAATATCCACAGCAATTCTCAATTCTAATAATCCCACCCCTCAAACTTGTCGTATAATGACACCAAACAAAAGACAAAAGATTCATTACACCCCCGCAGACGAAGAAACATCGATCATCTATTCATCTCCTCCCCATCTCATATCTCAAGCCCATCTCCACCAAGATAAAAATCACATCTTACCTCCTCCAAATTACCACCCTCATTTCATAATCTCATATATACCTACCAAAAATCACTTACTTCATAGAAATTCCATTCCTTTCCTCGCTTATCACAGTAGAATCTAGAGATAAGAGAAGGAAATTTTCGAGGGAAAGGCAGTAAGTAGTATTCACGCGGTTCAATGGGTAGGTAGTATTTAGAAAATGAGGGACTTTCGGTCATGTTGTTGCTGTGGGATGGATTTCTTATTTTAAGCTACTGCCTGTTTCTGCATCGAGGTGGTCCATGGTCTCGGATAGATAGATGTAGTGAGGAAAGGGAAAGCTGGAGAGGAACTGGGAATAACTGGGGAGGAACGTGGGGGGTAGACCATTATTACATGAGCTCGGTTACCGGTGCCGTTCAGATTTCTGGGGTTAAAATGGATAACGAGGGGATGGTTTGACTTTAGAGGGGAGCTGGTGGAGCCAATTGGCGAAAAGACCAAATATTTGAAAACTAGATCAGGTCAACGTATAGAAATAAAAACCTGATCGTGTTATTCATAATTAAAATTTCCAGTGCAATTGGGTATCGCAGAAGAATATGCTAGAATTACTTGTGAGTCCACTCGGCTGTCTTTTTCTCTGCAAAAGCCTTCATTCCAATCTTTTGATCCTGACTTCCAAACAAGCTGTGGAACACTCTCCTCTCATACTCCACGCCATCTCTGAGCGGCAGATCCTGACTCTTATTGACAACTTCCTTCGCAGCCTGCACTGCTACCTTACTGTACCCTGCAATTGTCCCGGCGGTACCAAGCGCAGCTTCAATCAACTCTTCCCAGCTTGTATATGTCCTTGCAGCGACTCCCCATTCTCCTGCTTCTTTGCCGGTAAAGTTCTTGCCTGTCAAGATAAGCTCCATAGCTCTAGCTTTACCAATTGCCCTCGTTAGTCTTTGACTACCACCGGCTCCAGGTATCGTTCCAAGTTTAATTTCTGGTTGTCCAAAATTTGCATTCTCCGTGCAGTATAAAATATCGCACATCAGAGCTAATTCACAACCTCCGCCCAAAGCATGCCCTGAAACGGCCGCGATTATAGGCTTCTTGATGGCCGTTGTGAGATTTGACCAGGATTCTATGAAAGAAGTGGTGTAGGCTTCAGAGAAAGTAAGAGGTGCCATTTCTTTGATATCGGCACCGGCTGCAAAGGCTTTTGCAGATCCGGTAAGAACAATAGCAGATATGGATGGAGATTTGTCGAATGCTAGGAGAGCATCGTTGAGCTCGGTTATGAGTGGTGTGGAAAGGGCATTATATGCTTTGGGTCGATTTAACGTTACTTTCAATATAAGTTAGTAATGGATACATAAAAAATATAGAACAAAATACTTTGTCCTACTCCAGGTCTTGGTTCTGTAGTTTGGATGAACTGGTAGGATTTGTCCGAGTAGGCTCGTGAAAATGCGGGGAGAGTTGAAGCTGTGAATCGCGAGGCAAAGGGCCTCAATGCTCTGATTGGATTCATGATTTATTGATTAGAGTAGAGTATCGTGAGTCAAAGTTTAAAGCTCGAATGTAAGAAGGAACTGTTTGAATCCTTGAATCCTTGAATAACAATTGAAGAAGTTTAATGTTGTTAGTTATAAAAAGCAGTTTGTGTACTTTCCATTGAAGTTAAACATCTCGGATACAATCGATTATCCTCGGGATATCAAAGGCGAGTCTTGAAGCTTACCCTTGTCAAGAGGCCCAAAACAAACTGGAGACAAATTCTACCGCATGGAGTTGGATCACGTGAAAGCAGCTGTACGCGCGCCACTATCTAAGCCACGACGCTTTCCTTAGGTAACCATGTATGTAACCTTACTAGGTGATGATTCCAGTTCTACCTACTAACAGGTGGTCTCGATTTTCAAGAAGTTCAAAAAAGTTCAAACTCAATTACTGCGCGCCGCCTACCACTTAAACGTCACTCTTTCTAACCTTTAATTTCTTCGATAAGTTACACATCTGCACGAATTCTACACTCCTTTCGATACAGAGCTTACGTCGATCAATATGGATTCAATGGAACCAGAACAAACCCCTTTCGAAGCTGTGAGCGCGCAAACTTCGAAGATAGGACGTGTAAGTTCTTCTGTAAATGCGATTTCTTGTATCGCTTCATTTCGAACAGAACTATGAAGCTAACCCAAGACAAATAGCAATATCAAGCTTGGTTAGACAAGTCAACACCATATGTTCCTTACAGATGGCTGGCCACTTTCGCGCTTCTATTGATATTTTTCATTCGCATATTCGTCGCACAAGGATGGTATATCGGTATGTCAAGCCTCTTCATTTGGCGCATTCTCAGCTTATAAATCTCGATAGTGGCATACTCTTTGGGAATCTACCTTCTCAACCTTTTCCTCGCTTTCCTCCAGCCTAAGTTCGATCCCTCTAACGAAGCTATGGATAATGATATGGAGGATGGGGCCGCTGGTGGATTGCCAACCAAACAAGACGAAGAATTTCGCCCATTCATCAGAAGGCTTCCCGAGTTTAAGTTCTGGCATTCTGCGACAAGAGCAATCGGAATCGGTTTCATTTGTACATGGTTTGAGATCTTCGATGTACCTGTCTTCTGGCCAGTTTTGGTTGTTTACTGGTTGATTCTGTTCATGTTGACTAGTAGGTTATTCCATTTACACGCCAAAAAAGAGCACAGTAGTGTTTAAACAAGTACTGACATGTTCCATAGTGCGAAGACAGATTCAACACATGATTAAATACCGATACGTGCCATTCTCGTTCGGCAAAACGAAATACACCAAAAATAGCTCGTGAGCTCCATTTGCTTTATGGGATGCAACGATTGAATGACCTGCTCTGGTGACGACGGAAAGGGTGATAGCTTTTCTATCTAGTGTACAAAACAGCTGTACTCCTTATATGTTCATGAGAGGTCTGGGGGCAGGAAGTGAAACCCTTATTGATTTTAATTACGCCTTCTATGTTTTCGGTGTATTCGGGGGCCATCTGGGATACTCAGGGTTTGGGTATAGCTGAAAGCTATCGGACAAATAGATTATATGAGCAAGTCAAAATTAAGAACGGCATTATTACCTATATTCGCATCTTTCAAAGCATTTTGAGGTATTGTGAACGAGTGGATACCAAGATTTCCAGAGAGCTGCCTTTCAAAACCCAAAATCATTTTTGGACCTTATCCCAGAATTTCGAGACACAAAAGGGGAAATATACACTCCAATCAAATTGCCTTTTATACTTTGTGCTCTCATCGCTCTCATCGCTCTCATCTATACTGGACTGTGTAGTGCACCTTGAAGATGTTTTCCAAATACATATTTCCGAGGTTGCATCTCCAGACATCTTTCTTTCCCTACTCTTTCACTCACGACGCTTCATTCGCATTTTTACAATGGGCTCTAATTTGAAAGGCTCTAGGCATCTTCTTTCAAAACGATGCGAGCCAATGATTTGCGTTAGTATGAATATGACCCGCAGTAAATCCTATTGGACCATAACCCAGCCACAGTTCCCGTAGTACTCTAAATTTCAGCCTCGTCACTAGTGCTATTCGCCCATCTTGAACGCGACCGCCCCAAATTATTGTGATTTCGAACTCGAATTAATAAATTCAAGGATATCCACGAAACCATCATCGAACAACAAGATGTCGTCCTCAGCATCGCGAATTGTTCATCAGGAGTATATTGCTCGCATACGATATTCCAATGCCTTACCACCACCACCAAATCCTCCCAAGCTTCTCGATATTCCCAATACTGGCCTTGCCAGTGGTCAATATACTACACCTGGATTTGCTACGAGATTAGCGCGAGATCAACCATTAAATATAGAAGCTGATGCAGAGCTTGGTATGCCATTAGACCTGGTGGGGATGCCAGGTATATTTGATGGAGATGAGAGTTGTAAGTTTCGCATATTCTTTACAAGTTGCGCAATTGCTTACCTTTTCTTCCAATAGCTATACAAGCGCCATTACACCCTCCGCAACTTCATCCTCATGATCGTGCTCTCCTAAGACCATTGGCGACATTGGGCAAACCAAAATTCTCCGACACGGGAGTCTCATTTCTGCGGCGCACTGAATATATCTCCTCTGGCTACAGCTCGAAAGCGCGGATGGATGGCACCACCTCGGTGAAGGGACTTGTCGATACGCGCAAACCGAAACCTGTTCAGGACTTATCAGCTGATCGTGAATCTCCTACATACATCAAATCACAGGTCGAAAAGAGCTTCGAAATCGCCGCTGCTAATCTCAAAGATCTCACGCGAGTCCGCCATCCTACAAAACGGAATGTCAAATTGGTGGACGCAGTTCCTCTTTTGCCAGATCTGGATTCGTTCCCAGATGCGGGCGGATACGTCCTGTTGAAATTCCTCACAAACCCGGTTCCTCCAAGCAATACCTACGATACTCGCGTCGAAAGCAGTGTTTTACAACCCATTGATCCTAGCGAGGCAGAGTTAGAGCTCAAAGAAGCCGCTAGACAAGCTCATGAACTGGACCCACATAATAATCCAGCTCCGGATGAATCGATACAATACCAAATGTTCATGCCGGAGACTGCTACTGATGCCAAGAATATCAAACGAAAATGGGATGTCTTGGACCCTGAACACGATGATAAGGATCTGTATTCTCGCATTGATGAGGAAACAGGCAAAGGATCTTTCAGGTTGAAGAGACTGCGTGCGTATGAGACCGCTGTTACGGATGGTGGAACAGATCGAAAATATGATGAAGTAGTGGTAATAGCCATGCACGATGGAACTGATGGACTGCGCCAAAAAGCCGCTCATTACTATCCTGTAGTCCAACGCAACTCGATTCGACCACAGAGAACCAAGAATATCCAGAAAGGGAAAGGTATTATTGGCAACGAAGAAGAGGAAATTACGGATTTCGTGGATCTTAGCATTGTCGATGTAGGCCCGGAGACGAAGCAGGTAATGGATAGTTTCAAAACGGCGCCGTATGGAGAGGATCACGAAGAGGTGGCGGAGGAAAAGGTAGCCGAAGATGCGCTTTCGGAAGCGGATGCAGAAGGGGAGGATGATGAGCCGATTTCGCCTCCAAGACCTAGTCTGGGTGGGAAGACGATTGCTTCAAGGGTGCAGACTGATGATGACGATGACGACAATGAGAGTTTGCATTCTGACGATTAGGAAAGATGTTGAGCTGGAAGTGGCAGCTGGGATGATGACGCAAATGTGGTTGAATGGAGAGATGAGGCAAGCAAGGGAAAGATTGAGGAATAATAGGAACGGCATTCATTTTATTGGCATATCAGATGAATCTACCGAGAGAGAGAGAGGCAAAACAACCACATGGAAACCACCTTAGTTCCGCATAGCATGGGCTCGGCGTCCTTTGAAAATGATTGTGATTTTACAGCAGAAGAGACAGGAAGAGAAAAGGAGAATGAGATGAATAGAATGATACCTACATATACTCGTATCATGGGAGAAGATGGTTCCATGCGAATCTTGATCGAATAGTGAGAATGAGAATCCAATTGTTCAAGTCTGATATTATGTACGTATGCTCATGACATGTATGGATGTATATTAACTAATCAGATACTCCTATGCTCTCCTATCCTGCCCTGTCCTGCCTATTCATTCCCCATCCAAACCAGCCTATTCCAAACTCAAATCCCATAAACAAAAAATAAGGAAAGAAAAAAACGCCTCTGCAAAATCATGCATGCTATGCTATGCTATGCTATGCTTGTATGTATCATGCGTGCCTCTAATAAATTCTTATCTATATCCTGGCTTATTAACTCTTCCCCTCCTATCTTGTCCATCATTTATCTGTCTGATATGGAAAGACTGCGGAGGGCCTAGATGTTTAGAAAATCATGGTTATTTCAACAACCTATTTCCTATAACATGACCCTGTTTCTACAATTCCACATCCCATTCTTTACATCCGAACCACCAGTTCCTCCTTAAACATGTTTCTTTGTGCTGCGGTGACGCACTCGCAGTTGGTTTTCCATCAGGTGAAGGATCGACGCAGGCGAAACCGAACCACTTTTTAGATACACATGCTTGGGTTGTAGTAGGTATGTTCGAGGTTGTAGGAGAGGGGAGAGGTGGTGCGGAGGTTATGAGGTGGGATGGAAGCTCTGTGCTGGAGGTGGATATGGAGGTTGAGGTGGAAGTAGGGTCTTTACAGCCGAACCATCCTGGAGTCTTGCAGGTTGTTGTTGTTGTTGCTGAAGTGCTTGTGGAGGAAGACGTTGAAGTGGCTGTGTGTGGGACCGAAGTACTGCTGCTACTACTTTTAGTTGTAGTTTTCTCATCGTTACAGCCAAACCAGCCAGGAGTTTTGCAAGTTGAGGTTGAAGTTGACGTGGTAGTGACTGGTACGCTAGTTGCAGGCTTAGAGGTTGTGGATGTATCTTCATCTAGGCAGCCCCACCATCCTGGTGTTTTACATGTGGAAGTGCGACTCCGTGTATTTGTGGTCGAGGTTGATGAGGGTGGTGATGTGGCAGTGCTACTACTGTTGCCTTCCACCTCTTTCCAAAGCGGACAATCTACACATTCCGGTGTAAATTTGCAAACTGGCACTGTATCGTAGACCTTGATAATCTGCTCAATCACAGTTATGATTTTGTGTGACCAGATGTGTACTCCCCACCCGTGATCGGCTACGACATCATATACACACTCCATGCCGGTATGGCATGAACTTTCCAATGCATATCCAGCATACGAGCAAGAAGCGGTAGCACCATTGCAGGTTCCCAAGTATATCGGGTCGGCAGTGTGTCCAAAATGGTAAGCTCCAGTAAACTCGCGCTTTTGTGGCATGCTCGGATTGTGACCCGGGGGCGCTGGTAGACCCAAACGACTCGCGGGTAAAGCATCTGGGACTGCCTCAAATGTAACAACAGGAATACCATAAGTTAAACCTAGCATTGAACTAACAGATCCACCAAGAGAGTGGCCAGACATCCATATATTTGCATTTGGATAAAGAGCCGTTACATTGGAGTAGAGATGTCGAGCCGCAGTGTAATATCGATTTTCCGACCTTAAGCTTTTCTTGAGGCAAGATACATTGCAGGTATAGGTTCCAGTAGCGCAGTCGCAAACTTGTCGGTAGAACGAAGCACCTTGTTGGCCACAGCAACAACTAAAGAACAAATTGTCATTTTCCTTATCGTTCGTAGTTGTCCCATCTCCGTCGTACACCGCAAGACTGGTTCCCTTCAATCCTATGACAATGGTCGAATTTGTCTCATCCATATAGATGTACCCTCGTAGTCCATCGGCATCCCAGCCAAATCCATAATCATCGGTGCGATTGAAACCCCCATTGACGTCCTTCCAGTCCCCTGTATCTGGTTTGTTCACATAGGCATTCGCTGCCATTTGTGCCAATGTTATGACAGTATCCTTGTCTGTGATATCCGGACCGGCTACTTCGTCAACTGTCCAAGCCGATGGTGATAAGGCCCATACATCCCCGCTCTCTCTTGATGCTGCTACCATTGGATCGACCACTGAAGGCCTCCTGTCTTTTAGCCGTTCTATCTTCACTGGACTCTTCTTCATGACCAGTGGCCTTGTTACTTCTTGCAATGTTCCTTTTCCATCTTCGGATTCCAGCCAAACTGTTGACTTGGACCTGGAATCTAAAATGTCGAGTTGTTTATGTAATTGAGGATTTTCGTAAGTTCCATGATGGAAGATGTGGCGAAGGGACTATTGTTTATCATTAGCATTATTAGAAATAAAGCGGTGAAATATTATATTTACAAATACGTGATCTCCAGCGGAATCCTGTCGATTTTGTGATTCTGGAATAGAAGGTGGTAATATGGGGAATATTGGTTGCTGTTGCTGTTGATGAGTTGAATCCAATGCACTTATCGGTGTCGATAAGGCTAGGAAAGATAATAGTAATTGAGCTGTAACTCTGCCAGCAGAAGAACAAGTTGTGGATGATTTATGCCTCATCATCTTTTTGGAGTACCTAGTACTCGATGTAGAAAATGAAAAGGGAAAGAATTCGGTTTGATACTTGACGGGTTTGTTGGGAATACTTTATGTTTTGTTCAACGTACATATCGGTATACGGAGTAACAGTATAAGAGACGATAGATGATGATAGCCCAAGGTCATAAGAGGCGTCACGACTCACAAGCATCAGGCGGAAGGTTTATGCAAGTCGAGTACAAACATTGGCAGGGTGTCAAATAAAGGGATCCTATTGGCTAATCTACTTATCCTCGTGCATCTTTCACATTTCTCAGCCTTTGGTTGATAATTGTGAAGATTGTCTTACGTGCCTAGGTACCCCTGATAAGAGCTAGACATGATCAAATATACCATGAGTCATGCTATAAAATACCCAGCAAAGCTCCTCGTCATACATAAACCTCATACCTCAAAATTTCAAAATATACGCCGGCCGGAATACAAACCCACCCGATTTAACCTCGTTTACATCAAAACTTCGAGACCAACTGGCACATCCAGCGTCTACGAGTGAGTCGTCCGTACCATATAAGTCATTGTTGTCTTGACTTATCTAATATAACTGATCGCTTGTAGCGTCAAGCTAATCACCGAAGCTACGCAACTACAGCAACGAGTACTTCTACTTCTGTTTCGTTTCCTCTATCTCAATGCCTTCTACTGTTCTGTCTAGAGAAACCATTCTAAACCTTTGAAATGTGACTTGATTTCTTCCTTTTGCATTCATCAGGTCCTCCATCTTCCCACACTAGTTTACACAGCGATCCCTGGTTATTGTTAGAGCAAAGTAGAGTTTCAGGCGTCATCGCATTCATGCAATTCTAGTGTGATATTTAATAGACAGGTACCAATTCATTCTCTTCTTAAATTCTCTGATTGATTCGGGAATTCAGTCATTTACTGACACGATGCACTTCACATTACCAGGTTTCATGTCGTCTCCAGCAAGAAAGGGCGATAGTCAACGTCCTCGTACATTGCAACTCTCCAAGTCATTTTACCAGGAACCATCATCTAGTCCCGATCGCTCATCGCGACCTCTCAGGGCAAATACTATACAGAACGGCACTATTCCATCTGTATCAATGTCGGACAAAACAACGTTGAGCGAAAATAGGAGACCTGGGACACAATCGGATATCTTCGAGAAAAGCTCCGAGGATGATGAAGAAAATGGAGGAACGACTGGAGTGTCTGGAAAGTTGCCTGCAGACTTTGATGAACTTCCTATAGAGCTTGTGAGCTTGGCAGATAGGTCAGCCAACCTTTGGTATAACGGAGCCAACACGTTTGACTAACATCCGCTGCAGTTTCATTGATTCTTTATCGGCGAAGATCCATCCTACTCCCCCTTCAATCGACAAGTTATCCGGTCTTTTCCAGGATTTCTATGCTGTTGCTGCTAATCATATAAACACTCATATCTCCGCCTTATCCTCCAGACAACATCGCTCAAGCTCTCCGGCCCCGTCAGCCTCATCATTATCTTCAACAGCAAGCAAGATTAGAGCGAAAGCTGCTTCTATGAACAAGGAACGTCCCAAAGTAATAGAAAGAAAGTCATCTGAGCAGCAGATGTTAACTAGCGAGGAAATCAATGAGCGAAAACGTGCTAGGAAAGCGCTTGAGCATAAGCGAGTAGCCTTAGAAGAAGCAATCGAGAGGAGAGTTTGTGAAGGGATATATGATAGGATATGGCGACACAGAAGTTCGCAAGATGAAGCTCAAGACGAGAAACTTCGATCAAAAACTGCCGCTTTGTCAGTGGTTGGAATTGGATTGGTAGATTTGGGAGTCGATTTGGGTATTGAATCAAGTGAGGAGCCAGATGCTGCAGAAAAGCGAGAACTAGAGGTTCGAGAGTGGTTAGAAGGTGCTAGAGGAGAGTTGATTGCGATGAATGACGAAAAGTATCCTCTTGGGAAACTCAACCATTTAAAAGCCGCCCACAAATGTATCGTTGATACCTTATCTCACTTTCATCCGTCGTCATCAGCGGACGAGATTATGCCTATGCTTATTTTTACTCTGATAACATCTCGACCAGAAGGCATTGATGTTATAAGCAATCTTTACTTCATACAACGATTCAGATGCGAAACCAAAATTGATGGGGAAGCTGCTTATTGTCTAACAAATTTAGAAGCTGCAATTTCATTCCTTGAAACCGTAGATCTTGCAAGTTTGAGGGCAGACGAAATTCCCTCAGGGCCACTCAAAATCAGTAGTCGACCGGGCACACCCAAAATAGAAAAGCCCGATCCTTTGACAGTTAGTATTACACCTACAGCTCTATCGGCTCCAGCGACCTCTTCGGCAAACCCAAGTCCCTCAGTGTCTAAACCTACGCCCTCATCTTTGTCCTCCTTCCGGCCCACTGTTCAACAGGCAGATCGAAGGCTCAGTGATATTTTTCAGTCACCGGCTGCTTTAGGAGCAGCTGGAGATGCATTTTTAGACTCTGCTGATCAAGGATTTAAGAGTATTGGTAATAGCTTGGGAGATAGTTATAAATTCTTGCTTGGGAAGCTAAAAGAGCGTGACTCCACAGGTCAGGCTCAAGAAATTTCAATACCAAAAACCCTGGATGATGCTCGAAAACTAATCAGCACACCTCCACCAGAAGATGAAGGGTCTGTGAGTGGAGGAAGTACTCCTGAAAGCCCTAGCGTCAAGGAACAGAAGAATGTGCCTAGCACAGAGTCAAAGCCTGAAGGACGTAGTCGAAGTGATTCATCTCAAAGACTCGATGATAGAGTCTTGAGCTTCATTGGTGGTCGCAAAATTACTCGAGAAAGAAGCACGGATAGCAATCGAAGTGGTGGTAGCTCTAGCAAAAGAGTCTCATTTCTTCAGGATGAAAACGGAGAGAAAGGCACACCATCTCCACAAGCTCCAGCCAGCAATCAGGCCATTGTTGAATCGATGCGAAATCTTGGTAACTCACTCAATCCAATGAACAGGATTGCTGGTATGGGTATGATGCGTGGATTTGGACGTGTAACAACTCCTACGACACCTACCCCGACTAAATCAACAGCACAAGACGGAGGGGTTGCAGATTTGACTACTGTATGTCTTCACACTTTTTCTCAAGTTGCTTTACTGACCTTTGGTAGACATTCCCTGATTTGGTGCCTTCTCTACCAGCGAAAGAGGTACCAAAAATTGCTCCACCAAATAAGCGATTTATGGAACTTCAGAATCCAGGAGATCTAAAAATTAGCGAGGTAATGGAGTTATTAAGAGATTATAGAAGGCTAGCGGGAGCTTTGAAAGATCTTGGGGCTGTTTAGGTTCACTGGTATCACCATACTTTTTCTTTTTATTTGTCGCTACATGTCTTCGGATACCCACATTCCTTTTTTCTTTACTATCTGGGTTATCATTCGTCATTGGGAATAGCGATGGAATAGCGTTCTTAGGCGTGGATATGGGAAACATAGAATTGGATGGGCGTATGGAATCGGATTTAAATTTTGAACCTACAACGAGTGGGGAATCTCCGAACACAGTGGAACTTGATATAGGGATGGATGAAGTGGAGGAGGATGAACTATACTTGAATGAATATATTACTCTGTAAGATTTTTCTCCACCATAAGAAACACGTATATAAGCGGTCATTATTTCCAGGTCTAATAGTTTGCAAGAAATTGGCAATGTTGGTATATTTCACATTGGGGAGAGGGGGAGAGTGGGATAAGAATTAGACATACAGGTTATTTTTTATAGACCCGAAGATCTGGTATATGATGTATAGGAGAAAGAAGGAAGATAGTTTATATAAATTATATATACGGAGTAAAGATGAGAGGATTTCGATATATTATTATATTTGTAAGGATATCGATATTTATAGGTAAGAAGATTGAGGCTTAAGATTCAATTGGATGGTTATGATTTATAAGAGTTAAATTTCTTGGTGTGGGGTTTTTGCGCATATTGATATTATTTATATTGGGGAAATTGTTGGGGAATTGGGAGATGGTGATGTAGACTTTTATTTAAAAGGTGATTTTGAGGGGGAGTATAGAGGGGCTGGTGTTACGAGGTTTGCCGTCTAGATCACGTGGAAGTGCTCTAGGCTCTCGAGGTGGTTTATAACTAGGCGTCAAGCAGGGACTTAAAGTAATGGCAATGATGATATGCAATTCGTAACTAATAGTAGAGTATACTAAATAATTGATCTTGAGCACGAAGCTCTACAATAAGGAAACTCTTTCCAATTATATAGATCTTCGTACTATACATCCCATTGCCCTCTATCGTCCCATCAAGGTGGGAATATTTCCCACCATAGTGGGATTCCTAGGCTCGGTGGGAATCCTTGATCACATGCTTTCGATCAGACTCGATATCTATGCTTGCTTAGGATGGGGAGACCATATAAGTCAATTGCCATATAGTTTTATATGTGAATCTACTTGCTTTTCCACATGGTCCAAGCTCGTATGGACAGATCAGCTGTTACTTCGTAACAAATTTCTTTAGTTATATAAATCCTATACAAATTGAAAATTGTGATTTTAATTATTGATATTTCAATCAATAAAATCATAAAAAATCTAGAATTTTCAAAATCAATCAATATTTATATAATCAATCTATAATCAAAATTTCAATTAATTTAATTAATTAATTATTGAGATACTAATAGTTGAAAACGGTAATTTTTGGTGTAAAAGGATGATTCAAAAGAGGGGTGATCCAAAAGTAGGGTACTAGATTTATGAAGTAGTTAAACAGGAGATCCTATGAGTTGGGAAAATTGATTCAAGAGAGATATTAAATTTTTGAGGTGTGGCTGCGGCTTGGACTAAGGTTTAAGGTGATGAATGATTGCATAGGGTAGGATGAGTGCTTATTGTGGTATGAGATGAGTTTTGGAGAAGAGAGATGATGTGATGGCACTGTGATTGAGGATTCATTCCACTTAGATAAGTTAGGAACAGCCATACTTTTTTGAAAAAGTATAGTTTCCAATAATGTAACAAGAGTAGATAGGACTTCCTATCCAAGTAACCGCAATAAAGAATACACATGCAGGTGAATCCTTCGATCAGAGAGAGTAGAGTAGCATGATAATGACAACAAAGAGTTCCTTCCTACTACACACATCACAGTACACACAACCATAGCACTCCACCGCACGCTCCAGAACATCCCAAGCTCGTCATTTATTATGTCCGATGAATCCTTCAAAACGATTGCATGTTTCCCGCTCTAATTCTCATCCTAGACCAAAATATCAAAAAGGTATTCACATCATGTAGAAATCCCCTCAACGTTTCATTTATTTCATTTTCATCCCACCACCTACCACCTACCATCTATGTACTCCACATTCCCATTCCGTAACCCCCGTCTTTCTCCCATTTAGCGAATTCTTCACCGAGAGGAGCTCCGGAGCCAACCGGTATACAACTGATTCTACCTCGTACATCCATGCCATGAGGCTCTAACTTTAAAGCGCAATCAAAATCAAATCAAATCAAATCAAATCAAATCAAGATAAAATCACCGATACCATCATACCACGCGGCACGGACGGATATGCGGATGTGCGGATGGATGTGCATACATAAATATTTCCCCACAACTACTCTAATAATCCGATGAAGGATTTGAATTTTTGTGATTAAATCCGACACGTGGAATTTTCGTCCGATCCGATTATTCGGATTTTATTTCTTGTTATTTTTTTTCCTGTCGGAGAGAGAAGGAAAGAAAGGAAAGGGAAGGAAAGAGAAGAAGGAAGGGAAGAAATAGTGGGGAATAATGGAGATGGATGGAAATCTTGAAAGGAAAGGAGAGAAGATGTTTACTATGTATACCTAGGTATGTAACCCTTACCTTGTCGGGTAGTTGTAGGGATATTTGAGGTTGAATGATACCAGTCAAGTCATGAAATAATAAATATCTGTTTAATAAACCCGAACATGACTTCAAAGTCCGGGGCATGAAAATTCGGAGCGTATCAAATACCGATATTGTATAATTAATTGTCTGTGCTGGGAAGCCTCCTTTTATATAAAAATTGAACAGTGTGAGAGTGAGGCTGTGCTGCTTGCTACAAGAGTCTTGGTATAGATAAATCATACCTACCCTGTGACCTTTACGGTCGGTCCGAAGCATGGCCCTAGTTTAAGGAGATTGGATTGACTACCGGTATGAGCCACTCGTGCTAATCTCAGTGCCGGATAGTCTTTCTTGTGAAGGGGTGTCGGATCACGTGAATACTGTATGCTTCTATACCTAGTATAATCGAGCCAGCGAGGATTGGTGATGGAATATCTCAACTCATTGAGTATATAACTCACTTAAGGAATATAAGTATTTGAGAGACTTGAGTATCTCGCCGAAACTTTCATGTCCAAAGAAAACATGTGACTTACATGTACAAAATGGCAACGAAAAGAGTGTGTGAGTTCCCCTTGGAAATCCCATAAACCAAATAATAATAATAAATATTCAACCAACTGATTTTTAGAAATACCCGCCCGAAGAAAAATCCCTTTATATCCGGTCGATCCCTCGTACTCGCAACAATTAAAAAAAAAAACTGCCAATAATGAACAAGAAACTAACATTCACCATTAGATTTGTCCGTCCAAAGTCCAAGCCTCCTTCATCGTTTCTCGGATATATCCTTAGATACGAACCGAAATTTGACCATACGAGTGAATGAATCACAAGCGAATCCATAGATAATAATAGACATTGAACCGTGAATACCTATTACAGTACCTACTGTAGCATCCAAGCTTCACCCTTACATTCTACATATACGCAATTCGCTTCTCGTATTACTTCCTCCTTGACGAAAAGCGAACCATAATTGGATGTGATACGAAAGGATAGGCGGGTATATTACTTTTCGGGAGAAGGACTAGTTCAGGTACATGGAGTAAGTGATCGCTGGTAAGATTTGTTATATCTGACGTTATGATTGAATCATAAGGCTGAGGGGGGCTTGAGTGAGGTGAAACGGAGACGGGGGATCTTGAGCAAGGCTGAGTTGGCTACTGATCGGTATGCTGAATGAGGTAATTTATTGCGCTGTGGCTTCGCTTGAGGGGTGAGGTAGGGGGGGGGGGAAGTTGAAACTTGGGATGGAATATGGTTCATGCTTACGAGATTGACCACGAGGGTTCAAGGAAAGTGGAGGGGTACATACAGAGTACATACTGCTGGATTCGGTAGCGAGTATGTATTGTTGGGGATAAAGGCTAATCTAATCTAATAAACAATGCAATAAGTAAGATACCTCGTGGAGACGTGTTCATGTAAGACAAACCATGAACAGACAAGACAGACAGACAGACTTTGTTCATCTTACGAACCCAGACATTCACCGAGATCTCTGACTGAAACGCAAGAACTCTATTCCGCACTTGCATTCCGCATTATCATGATCCCTTAAAAGTCGAATTCATCTATATACAAAGAAACACCCACCCACACACGCATAAACATGTACTTCTATCTGATTACACAATTTGATGAAAGGATTGAAATGTTGGTTATTCATCAATCTCGCATTTGAACCAATCATCACATCCCATTATCTCCGTTCGAGTCGCAACAATTCCGACTTACAAATACCTACCTACGGATGTATGAATGAATGAATGAATGAAACTTTCCTGACAAAAAGATCTGCTACGTACATACCCAAAAATTAGAAATGGAATTAAGCTTAACGGAGCTTTGATAAAAGCCGTATCGGAACCAGGAATTTAAATGCATCCGTTTTTTTTCTATTATTTACTCATAATGATGAGTGAAAGTTTGAAAGGATATGATGGTAGAGGCTTAGCTCGTTAGCTTATTAATTAAGATTCGAAATTCTGGGAATTGCATCGATGAGATGATTGCCTAAAAGAGGTAGGTATATACTATGCAGTATGTCCAGAGAACCCGAGTCACCGATATGACTCTTGGTGAAAGGAGAATCGGCCGAATGGACCGAATGGGGTGGATATTCACTGGAGAAGATTTTTTACAAACTATGACTGTTCGGTGAATAATAATAATGGGTTGGGAAAATTCTTATATGTGCATTTGACTGACAGTGACAGCTCTTTACGACGGAAGAGAAAAAAAAATAAAAAATTAGAAATGAAACTAAAAGATTTTTGTGGGGCCCGATGATAGTGTGAACAATGAACATGAGGGTAACAGCACGTAACTTGGTAATAATATTAAGAACAATTTCTACAAACATCTATCTAGGGACTGAGGACTCAAACCATGTGGAGCGGTCAGGATAATGATTAACATCAAGGATTCAAACGGAAGTTGTAGGGAATTCTCTGTGCGCCGCACTATCCGCCCTTTGGGTTGAGAACTTGAGAGATATCAAAGAACATCATCTATGGCGGTGCGGGGACCTAGGTCTGTGGTACGAACACCGAGATAGTGACGAGTAGTAGCCGAATATGCAGGGCATTTTAAAGGTATCTCTAATTAAGGGCGGGCAGGTTGAGTGAGTGAGCCTGTCCTGTGAGGGCTTTCATCTCGGAAAAATATGGTATGTACACAGTATCGGTAAGAGAAAAAAAACACTATGACCTTGTCTCTGCGTAGATAGTTAAATTATATGCATACCGTGTTTCTGTACCTTTAGTGTAAGAGTCGCCTAATATTCTCCTCCGTAGGTATTCACACTTGCGATGACTGTGCATGCTGGCGGGGGAAGAGGGGAGTTACGCGGAAACTCGGTGTCGGTGAACTGCCATCCAAATAAGGTATCTCTCTGAGCATGCGAGTAGCACAAGAGGATCCAAGCCTTTCGACGTGCAGGAAAGGTGCAGAAAGGCGGAGATCTGAAATATGACTGCGGGCTGCCTGATGAACCACACGTTACTTTGGCCAAGGGTGCACGGTGTGACACTTTTCCTTCTTACTACGCTACGCTGGACAGAGTAGTTGTTTTTCTTTTGCTGCGGTAGATTGATTGTTGCGGTTTTCTGCCATGATTCACGGCAATCTTGCTTGGTTTCGTGCGGATCGGCTCGAGTGGGAAAGGAGGAATGAATATGATAGAGAGTGGAGTAAACGTAGTAAGTAGTATGTGGAGTTAAGGTACGAAGGAGAGGAGCACGGGGTACAAAAATTCAAATGATTAAGTGCGTGCTGCTGCGTAAGGTTTGCTTGAATAGGTAAGATAAGTAAGTAAGTACAGTACCTAAGTTCAGGCTGCCAACTAACCCAATAATTTCAAGGCTCGGATTCGGATTCGTGGCAGTTTTCGTGGACACGTTGTGAAGCTTTTATGAAAATTGGTTTGAGGTGGGAGGGATCAGATCAACAGATTGAACAAATTAAAACTTGATGACTTGGTGATTTTGGTGGAGGCTTGGTTATATGGGGCCTCTTTGGGGGTGTTCATAGGTACATCCATTCAGAGTACATACATACATACATTCTGAACACCGGGGAGATAAATGAATGGGCAATGATTAAAATCCTTTGCCGCGTATATCAACATCACGCTGTCACGCGCAAGACATTCAACAGATTTGTTAGATGAGATGTAGGTATAGGTTGTCATTATCACGATGCATGCAACTAAATAAGATGAAACCCCAACGATGATTTCCTGTTTTTTGTTATATTTGAATGGTTGTTTTATTTTCCATAAGGTTTAATAGGTTTTGATTGATGCATGCGGTCTCATTTGAGAGATGAGAATGTTTGAAGAACCTGGAATTGTGAATCATGGGGAAATTGTACCATGTGTCTGCTTCGTAACAAGAGGGTAGCAGATGGAAGAAAGAGGAAAGCTGCAAGAGGAAATTAGGGTTAGAGAGTATCAAATGTCTTCATGCTCCGTATAGTAAAATGTCATACATGTGAAGATGGATGCTTATGGAGCCAAGGAGATGGCCAGTTTGTCATCAGGAACATGGTAGAAAATCGTGGGGATGGAGATATCTTGGATTTGACCCGGAGAGAGTAAGTATCTACATAGTAATCAAAGCAACCAATAGTTTAGTGCTTGGATGATCAGATTGCCTAGATTAAGTAGATTGATTGCCTTGATTATCTAGATTACCTTGAATGGACTGAATGAACTAAGAACTAAATCAATTTCATCGTATCAATAATCCAAGAAAGCATCTAGTCATCTAGTCATCTACATAGGAAGTACAAGATGAGTAACCAAGAAGACAAGAATAATAATCCATAATCCATTTACTCGGCATCTTGGGCATCCAGCCAAGGCCATAAAAGATTCTCCGGCTTTCATAAAATTCCTTTCACTCTCCATCATGATCATAAATAAAAACAATTCATCCAAATTGGCTGGTGGAAATACGATTCGGAGTTGTTGGATTAGTCAAGCAAATCATTTAGTAAGCTGGAGTTACCAATTCAGTAGATCCGGACCTATCAAAATTACTAATTCCTCTTTTGTCTTGTCGTGAGAAATGCCTACCCTTTCTTTATTCGCATTGTGTTGCTTTCTCAGCAGGAAATAATAATTAAAAAAGAATAATAATCAAAAAGTGCTCGATCCGTTCCATCCATCGGCTGAAAATTCATACCGCCTACCGCTGCGGACTTTACTCGCATAACAAATTGTACGAAAAGTGAAAACTACGACGAAAAAGTTTATTAAGCTGGTCAACTTTATTACCAGGATGAGATTAGCGTCGCCCATTCCATCCATCATCCATCATTCATCATCCATGGGCATGGGGTTGATGACCCATCCATCAATGAAAGCCTTGACATCCTTTACATCCACAACTCCGTTTTGTCCGGATCGCGGTCTTATGAATCAGCCCTTATGTGCCTTATGTGCTTAATGGGGTTTACTTACATGGCCATTTACGAAAAATCATCTGGATACAAAGACTGCCCGAATTCCCCCTCATGATCATTTATAATTCTTCCATATCCTCATCCATCATAAATAACTTGATAAGAATACATTCAATCCAAACATCAATTCAATCCTCACCCTCAGAAGTTTATTCATAAGCTCTTCCATATCCATAATCAACATTCAGTGTTACCACCTGCAATCAAAAGCCATACATACAAATCCCGGTTATCACATATCATCATCATAATCAGTCATCGATCCTCGGCTCTCGTCTAAAAAAAAATAACGTTGCCTTGAGTCCTTGAGTCATTCATCACAGCACAGCATTGGAGTATAAGATTAATTCAAAATGTCGAATATTTCCAGAAGTCCCCTTTCCTCCCAAACACCTCAATCACAATCACCATTACCACTGAGAAAGAAGATGTCGATTACTCAAACTTACTACCTTGCTCACACTGCTCGAGGTAAGCTTTCTTCGGAAGCTTCCCGAGCAGATCACAACCTTCGTCTTCTTGTCGGCCATGCAAACCTTCTCGATTCATTGATGCTTGAACTTGCCGAAGCTGAACAAGAACAAGAGAGCTGGTTCAACCAATCCGTCCGAAAAGCTACTGCCACCAAGCAAGAAGATCCAAGACACATCCAATGGGCCGATAACGTTGTCGAAGAACCCGAGGAGGATTGGGAAACATCCGACCTCGACAACGACTCCTCCTCAGATGAAGACAGTGAATACGATTCAGATGAAGAAATGGATGAGCCATCCATGGCTTCATTGACCCGCGTACCATCACACAACCTGAATGCCGCAATCAAAGTCTCATCCCGAGAAGTCGAAGAGGATGAAGAGGATTTCGAAGACGATGGTGAGGAAGATTTCTCCGGTCTTCAACTTCACCTCACCAAATCACATTCCGCATCTCATCCACCAGAACTCGATCACGATTCTGATTCTTCAGAAGATGAATCAATGCCACCATCTCCACCATCCGATGCCCTCCCCAGTTTCTCGGATAAACAACAAATCGCTACCACCTCCTATTACAGCAAATCCACTCCATCCTCATCGATACCACAATCCGAACAACAAACCTTCTTCGACGAAGGTTTTTATTTACCTCCTCGACAATCACCAAGTTTAATAAGCGCCATTAGCGTTTATTAATCTTCTCCTTGGGGATTGTTTTACGAGTTTCGGATTGTATATTATAAAACATATAATGGGTATTGGATTGAGCGATAATATCACGAGCGGGCATTGGAGTTTTGGGCATGGCATTTGATGGGGGCATGATACAAAAATACCACACGGTTTACCTTTCTTACTTGTTATTTATTTTTCTTTATGGGATTTTGATTTTACGATGGGATGGAAGGGAAGGATGAATGGAAGGGAGATTCAGAGATTCAGAATGAATATTCACACCACTCATGCGGGAACATTGGGAGTAAAAGGGAGAAATTCATATTTAGAATTATTTTGGAGAGAGGAAGGAAGAGGCTTATCGAATCTGCGATAAGGATTGCCGATCAGGGTTTTTTGGCATTGCGGTTGAATGGGTTGATGGATGGATCAATGGATGGATGGATGGATGGATGGATTAGATAACTCCCAACTTTTTTTTGGTTGAGCTGTCTTGGAATATTCAGTAGTATAGTATAGCATAGTATAACAAATATCAAAATGATCAAACTTCAAAAATTTATTCTTTTTATTCTGTCTGCGTGCTTGTTTGCTTGTTTTTTTGAATTTTTTGTGATGTGGTTGTGACTGTGACTATTATCAGTTGCAGTACTTACTTACACATGACTCATTCATTGCATAGGTAATATAACCTAGCTATGTATGTACGTATATAGGCATAGTCGGCATCTATACTACAGCACAACACAGCGCAGCACAACACATACAATACAATACAACACAGCACAGCACAGCACAAAACAGCACAGCATATCAAATTAGAATGTGTTGTAGATTAGGTAGGTAGGTAGGTAGGTAGGTATATACTTGTAATATATAGATAATTATAGATGAGATGAGATGAGATGGGTGCGGTTTTAGTAGAGTGTAGGTAGGATAAGATAGGTATGTGTTGGTATGTATGGTGGCAGGTAGGTAGGTAGTAGATAGAAAGAAAGGGGAGAGAGAAAATTCTCATTCAGACTCACTCACTCACTCACTTCACTAGCTAGCTAGATAGATAGATACTAACCCGACAATTTCTAGGTCTACATCTTATCCTTGATTTTTGAAATCTAAAAATCCAAAATCTAAAAACTAAAAACTAAAGATTGGTAATAATAATTATTACAATAATATTTTATATAATTACTGCGTAGGTAGGTACATAGGTGTATATATATATGGCATCATTTTATGTTATGATTATTATTAACTATTAACTATTCAACAAAAACGAAGAACTAAAAAACGAAAGAACTAAAGATTCTAGATTTTTATACTATTTTACTTACTACCTAGATAGGTATCTAATAGTTCTAGAAACAGATCGATAGATAAGTAAGAACAAGTTGCATCTAAAAAAAAATTTGATATAATTCTTATTCTTACTCTGATTACTCTTATTTTAGGAAAGTAATCAGGGAATTTCGGAGGAATAAGTATTTATTTCCATAACTCTGTGAAATGCTAGATAGATACATAAAGTTCATAAACTAATAAATAATCTTCGGGTGGTAGGAATGCAAGGCACTTTTATTATTCATGTAATATATAATTCATATTTCACTCCTCGTATTGTACTCGTATCGATAGTCCGTATCGCGGAGCAGAGCATCGCACTTCAATATAATCCGTGATCCGAGTTCCGCACCTACTTCTTGATCGATCACCAGGAAGTTGGAACTTTTCAGAAAGAAAAAAACAAATAGGAAAGTCGGGAAATTCGGGGTTGGGGAGGGTTATATTTTGTTTATATCATTATATCATTATATCATGGGATTGTGTTGTTGTTGGGTAGCTAGAGAGAGTTTAGGTGTTTAGGAATCAAATAGATTATCCGTGGAAATTGAATGATGGATGAAAGATTCCGGTCTATCTATGTGTGTTTGTATGCCCAGGTGTATGTTGATTATGAAGTCAGCAAGTGAAGAAAGTAAACCTTGTATTTTCGGTTCATTTTTTATTTTTTTTTCGAGGTTTCATTCTGAAATCATCTTTGTTGGATTTCTGATGCTGTATTTATGTATATATGTATTCTGTATGTATAATTGAAAGAATACGGTGCAGTACACTGCAGTACATGAAATCAAAATGAAACGAGCCGAATGCGAGGATGCGGGGCAGATGCGATGGAAGTTTGAGAGAAGAAAAGTTTGAGGGAGGGGTGGTTGGCAGATGAGATGGAGATGGTGATGGGGATGGATGATTTTCCGCAGGATGCGCCGTTATCCAAAAGTTCGTATGAAATGGGTACTCGGTCAAGCTTTCTTGTATCTTGAACTGCGCTCTTGTCGTGTATTTATTGGGGCAGACAATATCGGATTCATAATTGATAGGTTGCGAGATGAAGTTTGAGAGAGTGAAAATTTAGATGCAGTGCTGTGAGATGTGAGATGTGTTGGCGAATCTGGCATATACACATACATACTATATACGTACATACATCCTACATAGTACATACATATATACTATATACATACATACACTAGTGTCGAATCCATAGTTTGTCGCCATCCTACTAGGTAGATATGTATGCAAGTACCGGTGAACGGGAAACGTTAATGCTCCTCTTCATCTGTAGGTCCATACTTCAAACACACCGTATATTCATAACATATGCAGCTACTGTGTATCATATCATCGGAATATACCCTACGGAGTATGTTCCACTTTCATGTAGGGAAATGGAGTGTATATATCAGCCAATAGTGATATCGGTGCGATACGGTGAGAAGAAATGGGAAGCTGGAAGGAGGGTGTGGAATTCGTTGGAGCGGTTGGTTGGTTGCTTGTTAAGCAAGTGTTACAGCATGATGGTGGGGTAGATATCGAGGGTCGTGCGATAAGTTTTGGGGTCAGATGCGTGTGTGGATTGTAGTCGGTGAGAGTTTGGCACTTTACTTTATTGTGATAGAAGGGTGGGTAATTTAGGGACGCTCTGTTCGTACGGAGTATATGTCGTTTATGGATAGATGGGATGGTGTTGTATGAATATATTCTATCGTGCGTGCATGCTTGCTGATACTTCCTTTGTATGGAATATCAGGGTGGGTTGGTGTGAACAAGTTTGGTAAATGATAGACTTTTGCGGAGAGAAGAGCACTTGGATATGGCTCAGCTGCTGGTTTTATGTGGATAAACAAACATGAGTCCCAGATCTTGATCAAGTTGATGATAACCACATGTGATGATCATTCAACTCTAAACCCCAACTTTTTCACATCTCAGACAAATCTCTCCATGTCTCACAATCCCCCATCTATCAATCTTTACCGAGGAGGAAGCTTTCATCCGGTCAAAAATAATATTGGAAAAGGAGGATAGTCTCCAGTCACGTGTATATCTAACATCGTATTCATCAACAATCACATTCCTTCTTCCCCCGACCGCCATTTAAGCATCTGGCTGACAAGTGTACCTGACACACCTACCTACTTGCGCCCATGTTCCATTGCATAATCTACTTATCTTACCGACCATGAACATGCATCAATCATAACGTTGAAAAGCCGTAAGGCTGAATTTCACTTCGGCGAGGAAATATGTAATCTTCCGTTTTCAACCAAGATATCCGGGCATTCACGGCATTGACGGCATTATAGGTTTTTCCGCTAGTAGAGTCACGATATCGTTTGTTGAATTTCGTTGATGGGTCTGGAGAGACGGTACGATATGTTACTGGCTTCGTCGAAACTTGTAAATATTAAGAACGAGTTGTTCTTCATCTGCATACAAATCCTTTCCGAAACGAAGGAAATAAATATACAGTATCTATCTCGGGACCGATTCTCTTTGATCACCCGCTTAATCCGAGAAGAGTTGAAGACACTTATTCTCACATTTCATTTCCGAAATATACTCCAAATTGCTAACTTCATGTCACCTATAAACAAGCTTCTAGAAAAGAATCAGCTATCCCACGAACTACTAGCTGAAAATCTGAAATTTAAAGTACCCTTCTAGCCTTACAGGTTGCCGGTGGCTTATGTTACACCAGAAGGCTGTCCTGTCGTGACCCAAAGCTTGGTATTCAGGTACCGATACTCACGTCTCACGTTCCACCATCTTTCGGTCCTGCCGAGTAAATTACTGTATGGATCATTCGATGTGGCTGTGGCTGACCCACTAAAGGAAGCTCAAGTGAGTGATGTGTTGAATGAGTAGAGGGAACGTTGTTGCGATGCTTATATTTGTGGATGTTACGTTGAGTTGGAATTATTTGATTTCCTACTAAGATATGGTATCTGTTGTAAGTATATGCCGAGGAAGTCCTGGTGATACTTGTATGGGTGATTTACTCGGTTCATTCGACTAGATATTTTCCTAGCAAGCATGCGTTCCCCAGTGGTTCTATTGTCCAACGATATATGCATGTAGTACAAACTCTTTCTTACCGTGCAGATGTGACTAGACAATCAATGAGAGATTCTGCTGCGTTCCCACCCTTCATAAAAAGTACTTTAGCAGTAATCTTTTAACGCATTATTTCCTCACGGCTTCCATTTATCACAACACTCATACATATTCCAACCAGTTTCGAAGATCCCGATCCCGTGATCCACGAAAGAATAAATTGTTGCATGTCTTTCTCCACAGGGCTGAAATAGACTTTGAACCACAGACTTTTTAGCATCCAAGCCACCAACGTAACGGGATAATACCTGAAATCTATTCATATATTTATCTATTTGAGTGTGATAGTAGGATTTTGAATGTTTATTCATCTGTGTCATATGTAATATGGCTTTAGAGATGAAGATGCAGCTATTATGTTACGGGTTGTCATACTAGCGACACTTATCATCGCCATCGATATAGATACTGAGTTGCTAGATAGATATGAAGTAACTGCATCCGAGAGCCAAATCATCACATAAAGTATATCTTTTATTTAAACGATGTCATGATATGTCCTCTCTCTCGTATGCCAAAAATTTTGTTGCACGTAGCCATAATTGTCATTATTCTTGAGACGGTTGTTTTTATCAATCTATTGTTATTCTCATTCTCATTCCCATTGTCACTTTTATCGTTATCTCTTCAGCCTATTAATATTACATCATACGTACGTTTTAATTTATCTTGAATCTTTTAGATTCTCCGATTGTACAGTTCCTACTCAATTTCCAACCCCCTCCCAACCCCTCCTCCCAAACCCCACTTCTCCGCCCAAACAATCCAAATACAAAATGTCTCCTTCCAGTGCCTACTGCACTTATCTCATATACCTGTTACGACCACGGATCTTATACTAACCGATCGTGTGCTTACGAGATACAAATTGACCGATTTAGTATGGGATTAAGGTGGTATGGGGAACAAATATGCACAGACCCTGTTAAGCTTAGATCCGGTTCGATAACGATTACAGAACCATATGATTAGAGGATCATATGATGGAGCATTGGAGGTTCGAAGGCTCCTATGGCTCCTAATTACGAAGATCTATATAGCTAGGAAGTATTCCTTATTGTAGAGCTTCGTGCTCAAGATCAATCATTTAGTATACTCTACTATTAGTTACCGAATTGCATCATTGTCATTACTTAAGTCCCTGCTTGACGCCTAGTCATAAACCACTTCGAGAGCCTAGAGCACTTCCACGTGATCTATACGGCAAACCTCGTAACAATACCTCATGTACCTCATCCAGTAAATATCAACACAAGCACCGAGATGCACATTATCACAACCCTCAAATCAATAACCTGCTTAACCCCTCAAATGACAACTTCTAATCCTCAGCAGCATCCGACCTTACTGTAACGATACTGTACTGGAGGCAGCTGCTGCCTGAGGTTTCGTCTGGTTGGTAGTTATGGGTTAAGGCTTTATCATTGGTATTCACTTGGAAGTGAAGTCGTTACTAGATCAAGTAGAATGTAGGTAAACTAATTGATAACTAAGTTGAGCACGAAGCTCCTAAAGCTCCTAAACTAGGAAACTATTCTGACCTTATAATGAACGATAAAGGGAGCCTCCAGGAGCTTTGAGGGCTCCTAGGGCTCCTTATCACGTGATTTCTTTTTATCCCAGGACACTAATCCTAATGGTGAATCGTGACACTTACTAGATATATATACAAAGCAAAACCCCATTAAGACCCTAGTTCAAGTTCAAATACAGAAAACTAAGTAATATACGCAACGGGTTGTTGTGATTGATATGGCCAGGGGAACAAATTAGAGGAATAAGGAAATCAGTAAGCATTACTTCGTATCTGACGCAAGCACGAACTTCACAATATGTACGAATTCATCAAAAGTCAAAACAAAGAAATGTGTACACATTATTGCTCTATTTATTGTCTATTAATAGAAATCCTGATAGAAAATCCTCGCTTAAAATGTACACAATGACTCAGTGGATATAACATCTGCATTCAAGACGATCAAAAATCCCATTCATCTAACATGTAATTAATTTTGATTCATTGACTCGCTGGAGATACTTGGACGAGATTTTTTCCCATTGCACATCTAAAAGTGATGAGATGGCTGAAATGGCTGGATAGGCTAGAGCAGTTCCATCAAGATGTGGACTTGAGTGTAACAAATTGGAGATGAAGTCAAAGGTATAGATTGATTCGTATGCTGAGCTAGTCCTATATCCTTGGCCTGCAAATAAGATCTAGTCCCATGTCGTAACTCAGCACCAGAAAGTATATCACAATCTAATTCGTGGAGAGTTGAAAGACAATCCGATTGTAACGTCCAGTGCACTTGGACGAACAGGAGCCAGGAGAAGATTCCTAGGTTAGAGAATTGCAATATCCGTGACCCGCGACATTTCGTGTGGAGAGCTATGACGTTTTGTTCATTCGCATGCCCATATATCGTTCCTTTTGCACCTCAGACTGTTTAGACATTTTATGTCTGTGCTTTCTCCTCACCTCCAGTTGCCATATCATTTAGGCCTAACTCGCTAGCTTTCTCTACGCCATCTCCATTTCTCTCAACATAACCTGCCGAGTTGCTTTCATCTCCTTCCTTCAGTCCTCTACTAGGAGGAGCTACTAAATTTGCCCAAACACCTGCAGCCTCTATAGGGCTTCTAGTTTTAAAGTATGCTTCAGTTGGAACGTTTAATGGCGCTTCAACCTTTTCCCCAAAAGTTAATCTCTTAAAGCTTTTTCCGATGATATCCTTGGAATCTAAAAATTCGAGTCTCTTTTCTCTATCCTCCTGTCTCTTAGCGGCTAACTCTTTTGCAATTCTGAGTCGCGCTTCTGCTCTCGCAGCCTCCTCCTTGTTGGCTGCAATAGCTCTTGCCGATTCCGCTGCTCTGTCCTTGACAATTTTTGTATACTTTTCATGAGTAGGAGTCATGCCTCTTCCATACTTTATGATCCAACCATTGTCTAGATCAACATTCGTGTCATGACCAAGGTCGACACACTTTAACATAACAGGACGTATGTTTGGTGCTCTGACCACTGCCCATAGTAAGTTAGTCAACAGAACCTGAGGGGTCAATGCTGGATCAATGGCTTGCACTACTGCACAAGCTTCCTCAAATAAAAGCCGGGCTTCTGTCACTCGTTCTTCAGTTGAAAATATTTCACCCATCATACAATTGAACGCAACCGTGAGAGGATAAACGACAGATCGTGTGACCAGTTTCCTCAATTTGTATCTTTCTAGTACAGCCCTGCTTATAGGTGTCGCGCTAAGTGTAGGTGCTTTGAGTACTCTCTCAATAAGATACTTAGCTTCCTCCTCTCTCCTTTCCACCTCACCTGGAGTCTGACCATCGTCTACAGTTCGTGCCAGTGGCCCTACCGAGAGTTGTGCTCCTTGTAACGAGACAGAGCGAACCGAATCCCAAAACCCTTCGACGGCTGCTTCGCCCATATACATCCCATTAGCACATTCGACGAAATTGGGTCGTTTTGATACGTCGGGAAACACTTCATCGTATAGAATTTGAACTAGACCAGGGTTGTTTCCAATTATCATCACCACAGAGGATGGATGAAGTCTATCTTTAATGTTGCTGAAAAAATTGATCAGATCCCTAGGTCGTTCGGCGAAGATTAAGTGATCAATAGGATCAGTATTGATTTTGGCCAACTGAGCCACAGGCACAGCCTTGATTTCTGACTCTTTTGGCGGTGGCCGAATTTCTGCTACTTGTTCCTTTACCACATGCCTACTTGCTGTTATTGGATCACAGAATAATGAGTTCAATTCGAGAAAATATGATAGATCATAGATCTTGATATCTGAGATTGGTAATCGTGCCGGTTTCTTCGATCTCTTTTTCTCTTCAAGGATAGGTCCATTCTCAAGCAGCGAGGGTAGATCATCGAGTGAAAAATCTTCGTCATCCGGCCCAGTATCCATCAACAGACGTTTGAATTTTAGGCTTTTGGCAGGAGGAAATGTTTGCTCGGGGACAGTTGATTCCATTTCAAAAGGGAGGACTTCTATGTCAACAGCTCCTACCACGGTTGTGGCGACGCCATCTCTGATAATTTGAAGCTTGCCTTCGGTATCTACATAATGCTGGATATACTGATTGCGGGGTACCATAAGGGTTATTGGGTTTCTTTTGGGATTTGCAGTTTGGGCGAGAGCATTGGCAATGAGTGTCTGTAAATGATGTGCTCCAGCAATATGTATGCGCTTGCCTCGGGAGATTGTTGAATTGTCTCGTGACTGTGGTTGGTACAATAGGTTTCCGGATTGTCGAAAGTAGACGATTGAGGCTAAAGGGATTGGCAGCGGTCCAGCCCTCCAGAGGGTCTTAGATGCGAGGAACATGTTGCATGTACCCGGATGGAGGTGGGACCGTTACCTTTGAGGTGTTGAATCGTCAGCCTCCGTTTTCTTTATCAGAAGCCCAGAGATTATTACTGTTGTTGTTCATGTGCCTGCTGTTACATCGTTAATATCACCTTAGGCACCAATGCATACACAAAACGTGATAGAAATAATGTGACTTCACGTGACTTGAGTCTTTCGAAGTGAAACCCTTATTGAATTGTGTTTGGTCCCTCCAAACTTGGATATTATCACGCTACCAAACTGAATACTTGGATAAATATAGCTCTGCGCACTGCATATTTACTACATCCATTGAGCGTGCCTGTCTTAGCGCGAACCTGCAAGCATAAGTTTGACCATGAACCTTCACCATTTGAGGTCAATTACGTACGTACCTATACACAGTGCGGACATCCGAAAGAAGTGTTCATCAAGGATAAACCGTGCGCCGTCTTGTTTCATGTAAATTCGAAGTCTTTACGTTGATATACATCATGAGTGGTGTGCTGGAAATGGAAGCGGCTTGTCTCGATGCTGCCATCAAAACAGGAAACATACTTCAATATCGGAGGAAGGCACAAATAAAGAATGAATACTCAAGTCCCAAGGAATAGGCCTACCTAGTAGCCATTCAAAGGCAGAGCGTTCACGGCTAATCCTTCTTTATACGGAGGAGAATACTCATGTTATTCCGTCTACTCTTCTCAGTATCTGGTGTTAAAGCGCTTGAAGCTTGGTTGAAAACGATTGGAAATCTTCCGACGCCCAGGGTGTTAAAAGGTCTTTGCTCAGCTTTTGCAACTCGGCATAGCAAGGTGCTTGGATAGCTCTAATGTTGGGGCCGCACCACTATTTCGGCCTTTTTGCTACTTATCATCGCGACCGAATACAATGTGGATATACAGCATGTACTGTACTTTCTATGTGGGCAGTACTGCATATGAATTACGATATGGATAGCCACATAAGCATGGATAAGTGATGATGGTAGGCTGTGGACATGGCATTGATTTCATCGTGTTCCACCAACAGTTGGTTTCTGCATCTCCGGTTATTCATCACCAACAACTGATTTTATATCTATATTTTATACATCATCAATCACTTCATATATCTATCTACGTTCTGTTTCAGGTCCCTGTATTCTGATTGACAATAAGAATAATGGTCCCAAATACAAGAGTCAAATATCGTTCGGGCCATAGATAAACTTTCCCTTGAAGCATCTCAAAAGTACACAATGAATACCCCTGTTTACGGTTGTACAACAACCGACAGAGTGTGGGAGTACAAGACCATGGTTCATCGGTCAAACCTTGTCAGAAAACTCCTGCAGGACATGAACAAATTATATTATTGGATCGCCACCGACATTTGGTATGTCCCTCATCCTCCAAAGAGAGGAAAGAGTTGAGATATTTCGAGTACCGACGACATGGCACCTTATGCTTTAATTCTCATAAATGGAAAGTTGTATGGAGGAGAGGTGATGCAAAAATTTTGAACCTCGATTTATAATTGTCTTTGAGAAGAATTGCGGATCCTCGTACGGACTTCTTTTTTGGCGCTCGACAAGCCTTCAGAGCTTCTTGATAGTATCTCTATAGTCCTGGATATTTTAAGTCTTTTCAAAATGCCTGTTTCATGAATATTTGATTAACGAAGCCTTCACAGACCGCACTTTTACCCTGTCGAGTCTGATTAATTTTGTACAACAAGCGAACTCTACATACTAGAAGAGTCGAATGCAAGGCTCGAGACTGGTGTTCTCATATCAGTACTGCTGAGTATTTGAAACCTTACTCAATAGCTTCATAATCATCATTTCCACGACCAATATCTCTCAAAACATGGTGCGGTTTCTAGTTTCGTTTGGACTATTCTGTCTTGTCACCAATATCGTGCTCGCGTTAATGGTTACACCTGACTCTCCATGCATGTCTTTGTGTAGTGATGGTCAGGGCTCGGACAGTATCGACGGAAGTGAAATTGTCTGCCAAAACAATGATTTTACAACCACTACAGCTGGCCAAAAACTAAAGTCATGTCTCTCTTGTCTACAGTTGAGTACTGCAGCTAGTAACGATCAAGATGATCAACACTGCTTTATATGTGAGTTTTATTCGAAAAGGCTAGTTGAAAAATATTTGTATGTTAATACTCGGCAGATAATATTCGGTATACATTAGCATCATGTTTATATGGATTTTCCAATGTTACTGATGCCATAGCCACACCATGTTCTACCTCCAAAGCGTGTGGCCCGTTACAAATAGCGATTGAAGATGGAAATTTCATTACCAGCAATGAGACCGCTTATGGCTATTGTTCAGTCAACTATAATTCGATCTTGAGTAGCAGCACTTCCGCGTGTAAAAGCTGTCTTCAAGCAGATAACATTCAATCATATCTTTCGAATTGTTAGTCTTACTCCCTCAACTTAAGGTTATCAAAGACTAATTAGCACAGTCTTAATAGCTCTCCAAGCAGGATGTCACCAACAGCCACCAGATGGAACAATCATCGGACTCAACGACTCTGTCTTTTCTCAACACATCATAACCGAAACGTCCCCTGGAAAAAGCTACAATACCACTGTCTCCAGCAGCACCACCTCCAAAAAAGGCCTGTCCAAAAATACTATCATCGGCATCACCATTGGTCTCGGCATTCTCCTCCTCATCACCATATTTATAATTTACATTCTATGGCGTAAATCCATCAGCCTAAAACGTCGACGCAATGACCATTCTTCTCTCGATGAAAGATATGGCGCTCTCAACATTACTGCACCAAATGAAGGTGCATTTGGAAATCCACAGAGTCGATTTAAAACTATTACTCTAGCTGCTCCTCCACCCGCTAGGAAACGTAAGAACACGAATACCACACCGCTATTTAATCTCTCAAAATATCACAGCGATGATGAAAGTTTTCATCAACGCGATACGACTGTGTTTCCTACTCATCAAGCTTATTATCCTCCTTCTCATCCACATCCGCATCCAAGAGCAGAAGATATGGTGCCAATACTACCTAACGATAAATCTCCCTCGCCATATCCATATCCATATCCTTATCCTCCTTCATCAAATGAGCACTCACCCATTCCCAATCCCGAAAGATCTTTTTCGCCGCCAGCATATAATCTAGCGCAGAGACTAGATAGAAAAGAAGGTGCTACATTTTACAACCGAGTCAATGCTCAAAATAAGAGGATGAATAGGAATATAGATAGAGATAGGGATGTGGATATAAATAGGGATATAACGACAAGTTACGCAAGAGCCGCTATTGATGGAACGCAAAGTAGTGGAATTAGTGTTTCTTCTCTTTCTTACAATGTGCCGGGTGATGAAATGAGGCTAGATGGTGGTGCAATGGAGAGGAGTAAAATTCCTAGCGTGGGAGGAGAGAATAGAGGGATGAGGGAGAAGGAGAGAGATATAAACAGAGAGAGGGAAAGGGAAACGGAAAGGGAAAAGAAGAAAAAAAGAGCAGCGAAGAGGATGCCGCTTATTAATGATCACGACCAGGACCAAGATCAGGATCAATGGCCTGGAGAATTTTAATGGGAAGTAAGATATGAATGTGATGATTGATTAGATGATACCCTGTCGTTGTGTTCTTGTTCTTGTTTTTGTTTTTCCTTTCTTTTTTAGGGAAACTATCTATATTTTCTTGGTCTCTTAATGTTTGAGCCCCCGAACTAGGTATGAATTTATAAGTAGCTAGGTACCTATACCTACCGATAGCGAAACTGGTACGTATGTATACGTACTTGCGTACTTGAAAAGGGGAATGATTACCACTGGATCAGGGATTTGTTGCTTTCGACTTGTGACTGGAACTTGGAATTGGAGTTGGACGTGTATCTGTACTTGGGGATAAATGTTAATTATAGCATGATAATATGAGATGAGATTTAAAATATATTGTTAAACATTTACTATTAAAAATTGTACGAAATTATTCTATGTCATCACAACCACATCGCATCATCAATCATCCGGAAAAGCGAGATATAATTAATTAATTAAATACTTGATTTGATTATATGTATTTTTTAATCTTGATATATTCTTATTTAGTTTTTAATCAAATTTAACAAATGAATTATAATTATAATTCTGTCACGATTCACCATTAGGATTGATGGTGTTACGATGGTAGTGTTACGAGGTTTGCCGTCTAGATCACGTGGAAGTGCTCTAGGCTCTCGAGGTGGTTTATAACTAGGCGTCAAGCAGGGACTTAAAGTAATGACAATAATGCAATTCGTGACTAATAGTAGAGTATACTAAATCATTGATCTTGAGCACGAAGCTCTATACAAAGGGAATCCATCTTGGTTATATAGATATTCATGCTCCCTTGGATCCTTTTGGATCCTCAAGCTCCAAAAGCTCCAAGTCACGTGCTTTCTGACAGTGCGTCCACATACGATCTTAAGGTGGCCCAGATCACATATTAATTCGATGAAATCTGATCGCTTTTGCACAAGGCCCAAGCTCTCCTAATTAGTCAGTTGTTACTATCGTAACAATTATAGAGCTTTGTGTTCAAGATCAATTATTTAGTATACTCTACTATTAGTTACAAATTGTATATCATCATTGTCATTACTTTAAGTCCCTGCTTGACGCCTAGTTATAAACCACCTCGAGAGCCTAGAGCACTTCCACGTGATCTAGACGGCAAACCTCGTAACATATAATTATCCAGGAAGGAATTTAAATATAAGATCTCATCAACATCACATATAATACACTGCGAGTATACTTATACATCATTAACATTCTTACCAAAGGACTCTCTTTCTTATTCTATTCATATAAGATTATATATATATATATATATATATTACTCACTAATTCCACATCTTAATTAAAGCTGGAGGTATAGGTAGTCAGCGCATCGGGACCATATTCCGAATCTGGCCTGATGGATTTTGCTCGTATTTAAGATTATGAATCTTGCTCAAATGGACTCTACTCTGTTAATATACAAGATGGGGGAAAGAAACGTAACGGTGGGGATGTATCAGTAAGTAGGAGATTGATTTTGTATGTGCTCACATAGACCAATCATTTTGGACGTTTTCGAGATCTAAAATTCTGTGATAGATACTGGCTTTGATTCGTGATTTGAGTAGATCAAAAGGGATAAAAGTGACTATGACTCGTCAGTGGTGGGGTTCGATACGTATATCTTCTCTCTCTACCTGTCACCTGAAGCAATGATTCGATTTATTCCCAACTGGGGAGGTATTTGATGAGAGTTTGAGGCTAACACCCAACACAAACACTAAACACCAATTGCCGGAAAAGATCTCTCATTATTCCCTCAACGCTTGCTTCAGGCGCTATCTGCTACGCACAAAGGTCATTGCTCCACACATAGCATAATTCATACGAGGCGCCCAACTTTCCATATCTTGTTTCCAATTCAACATAACATGCTCAGGTACGAACAACCCGACTAGGGTATCATTTCGAATTCCAGGGCACATTCGGCAATAGATCCGGGAATTTGATCAATTGCAATATCTACCAGAACATAAAAACTTAAAACTAACCAGGACCAACTAGTCTTTACTGGCTATGTAGCTAGGAAGTGAGCGCATATCTTCAAGCTTAAAACAAGAAGAAATGGGTGGAGGGCGCGTTGTACAATGTTGATAGACCCTTGCCTCAAGCCTTAAGGATACATGGCTTATACTCCTAAATCAATAACCAGACATTTCATCAATTCCAAGTATGATGATATTTTGTCAGTGGAAAATTTGATATTAGATCAGAATGATCCATATGCATGCATACATGCAAGCGACTGGACGAATTGAGTTTGGTTAGTGGATCAAGAAATACATGCATGCGTATATCCCGTGCTAGACAAAGCGAGGCGAGGCGAAAAACCCGGGAGCTTGGTTGAAGCGCCGTGGTATGAAAGGGGGTTTACTCTGTACGAATGGGAAGATTTATTTTGTTTCCACCCCATTGCGGATAGTAGATGTACGGAGGACGGAATAAAAGTATTTGGAATAGCGGTTGGGATATCTAGATATGGGCATCGTTTAATTTGGTGTGTTGATCAAAGACCTGATTTTTCGTGTCACCTCACTCTGGAATAAGCGCCTTTGGTACTGTGGTGAGGTTTTCTTGTCACAAAGTTTGATTTGTGGATTGATGCTACTGTGCTCTAATGACTTGAATAGGATGAGTGTGTAATAAGTCTGACGATTTTTATAACTTTCGACTTCGACTTCGACTTCGGCTACGTAAATAATGTAATGCATACGTAATACAACCTTTGTGTGGCTCATATTCATGTAAATAATAAAGTGTACTCTGTAAATATAAATCATAACGCCATTCAAACTTAAATAAAGCATTATGGGGTCCAAGAAGATATTGTTGGAGTATTTTGCAGCGGAAGTTGAACGGATATCGGTAGATCCATCACAGGTTGACACAACTTCACAAGGGGCGCAATAGATGCAAAGTAACCCACCATTCACCATTCCCATTTCCGTTGATCCACAGCCCAGAGAGAAAAGTCTGAGAGTCTGAGAGTTTGACAGAAAGATAAAAAATACAATTGGAGAGGCTGATTGACTTGCTGACACATCTCATCGTATCCACTTTACACACTTCAACCGGGCCGCTCCGGGAACCAATTAAAATAGTCAAGACAGGTAGAGGGAGTAGATTTTGGTGAAGGGGCGGATGAAAATCATGGAACAAGGGAATAGAATAACGGGGCGCTGAGAAGATTTCCTTGATTTTGATTGGATTGGAGAGGGAAAATTAAAATATGAACATCATGTGCTGTCGACGGACATCGGAAATATTGAGGGAAAATTGATCTAGAGCTAATCGAGCGAGTGGAATTATTGAAATGTTTGTGATAAGATTGATGGTAGGCTGAGATGATGATGATCTACACGAAGGCGACGGTGATGATGATGGTTATTTCTCAAAAGAGAAGAAGCAACAGGCCATTCATTCTAAAGTATACTTGCTGTCGGTGTGGAGAGTATATATCACCAAATGTTGGTGTTTCGACCATCTAACCAAACATTATCAAGACTGGTATCGATCTCAGATCATTGCATCAATTCATGATCCAGTACCATACCAGTGACTACGCAGCCAATACTCCGTATATGATTCGGTATTCGGACCCCAAGAGAAGTACCTAGTATTCAGATTTCCAATTCAACCGTCCTTTTGCCGTCAACTACCTATGCCACTTCCTTAAGCCTTACTCCGTATATCAGAAAAGGCCACCCACCACCTCCAATCATGATGATTATATGAAGATATACCCATGCCACATACATACTCCGTAGGGTCAGTAACCATGTCCGCATGGGTGCCTTGTACCTTACCTTACCTTGGCCTTTTATTCAACCGCCAGACATGAATGTGATCGATGCACCGGGAAGGAAGTTGAGTGGATGTGATGGCTGTGCGGGTGTGCGGAGAACGAACCACAACTGCAAGTCCTTATCACACACATAATCCACCCATCATCTCAATTTTTAAAAAATGTCATACAAGAATGTCGTCTTCCCGCAATACGAACGACTTTCATGAAGTTCATGAATCGCTTCAATGTTGTGGGACGAAATTTTTATTCTTTTTTAATATCTTGATGACTATTCGGTAAAGAGAGGATCAATCAATCTTCATTCTACAGCGGTGATATTCAGATGAAATAGATCTTGCTGGTCGAGATCAATCATCGAATCTATAGCCATTTCATTATTACTCTTTTCACCTCACGATACACAAGAAACACCCCGGACGAGATAAAGCGATAAGGAATTGCTTTGAAAGTTCAATAATATATACCCTACCTATCACCAATCATTTCCTTCCATCACCTCCTTCAATTTATAATAACATATCTGCAACATGCGGTCCTCAATAATATTAGCACCGAGTCTCTTCCTCCTCACATCCTTCATACAATCCACAGACGCATTGAAAGCACTATCGAATTCACCATGTGCACCGAAATGCGGCAATGTTTTGGGAGGAACTTCGGGGGATGATGATATCGTGTGTCAGAATACGGACTATACGAGCTTGATTGGAACGACATATTCCGGTTGCGTGGGATGTCAATTGACGAGTACCTTTGTTGATCCTTCAACAAATCAAACGGATTTGGAATGGGGTTTATGTATGTTCCTTCCTCAGACTTATGTGTGGAAATGTGACTAATATGGTGTGTGTATAGATAATTTGAGATACGCCATAAGTTGGTGTCTCTTTGGATATCCAAATAATACACAAGTGCAGGATACGCCATGTATAACACCGCTATCATGCGGTCCCATGCAAAATGCCCTTGAATACGGAAATCTGACGACAAGTGCTCAAACCGAATATGGATATTGTTCAGACATCGCCACGAACCAAATCCTACAATGTCAGAATTGTCTCCGAATTTCAACAGCAACATATTATCTGAATAATTTCTACACCCTGCTCTATGGAGCCTGTGAACAACAACCCGCTCCAGGCTCAACATTATCCTTTCAAGGCTCCCCCTTCTCCACCACTCAACTAAACATGACATCTCCAACTCCAAGCTCCGTACCTGGTACAGCATACCCCGGTCTCTCCCTCAATGGACGCATCGGAGTCGCAGTAGGTATAATAGTCTTCGCACTCTTCATAACCGGATTCTGCATCATCTTCAACGGACGACGACGTCGCCGCCGCGTTCTCCGCCAACATCAACTCGACACCGGCTACGCCGCCTGGAAAAACTCCCACAACGTCGACGGACTAGGCGGACACATCCCTGTTAACGATACCACCAGCGCCGTCTCAAACATGACATCCGGCTCGGGAGGATTCTTCGACAGTCCCAACTCGCAAAAACCACTACAGCCACAGTATTGGGGTCAACAGCAACCTCATGGTGGCAATTTCAATGGTCATGCTATCATGACCCCGGTGGAAGATAGTCCCATCACCCCCGTGGCGGAAAAAGTATACCTATCTCCCTATTCCTCTCCATATAGTAGTCCAGCCACCGCATCCACGGATGCAAATGGAAGGAATCCGAATGGAGATTCGTGGCCTACGGATCGAAAGGGGAGTTTTGGACAGGGGACGTTCGGACAGGGGACATTCGGTCAAGGAGGAGGCAGTATGGCAGAGAAACTCAAAGCGAGGGAAAAGGAACGAGCACGAAGAAAGAAAGAAGAAGAAGCGATGAATGAACGTGATCAAATCGAATTGCAGAATTTACAAAATCAACATCAACATCAACATCAAAGCCAAAATCTGAATCTGAATCAGAGTCAAAATGTAACGCCAGTCCTAGGACATCCGGGGTACGGGAGGGGAAACGCGAGAGGTATGGCGAGTGAGGATACGAGGAGGGGCGATGTACTTTAGTGTTCGCTAGTACCCGCTTGTATAAGTATAGACTAGGTAGGGGGTGTAATTATCTATTCCATCTCTTTCGCGTGGGGGGTTTTTTAACTTTGTATATTGATTAGTTGTTTGTTTGAGTAATTATTCGATATGATACCATTTTTTGCTTATGGGGGAAAAAGGGGAGGTGCTTTGGTTTGGTTGGGTTGGGTTAGATTGAATGAATGGGATGGATGGATGGATGGAAAGAAGAATAAAACCCACCAACTCTATAATCCAATTTACAATTTGAAAATTTAACAATTTAAATATTGGGGTATTATGTTGATTAATAAATAAGATGAGGAAATTATACCTACCCAGGTATCTATCAATCTCATCCCACCTCACCCCCTCTCACTCTCAACAAGATGAACCCTTGGTAGGTACCTAGGTAGTAATAATTAATAAGAACTATATACCTAGCCCAATAATCGTTTCACTTGAAAGAGTATAAAGTAAAGTAAAGTAAGATTTAATTATAATAAGTAACTACTCAAATAATTTAAAGGAGAATAAACTTCGAGGATTGGATTGGAATAGAGGATAGAATGAAATGGAAGAGAAGAGATAGTGGTGGTGTGGTGATTTATATATATATATATATACACAAAGGAAGCTATAGGGAAATTTATATATGGATAGGATAGAGAGTTTTGATGATGTTGTTTGGAGGAGGTGGATAGGATAGGATAGGATAGGTGAGGGATGGGTTGGTTTGTTTATTCTAGATTTAGGTTCTAATGTAATTGTCTTGAATGATGTCGTTTATTTTCATGTACTCTTTTAATAACGTGAGGGTATGTGCAGAGCTCATTTCATAGGGCGATGCAAATGGATAGATTTCTCCGGTGGCCATGTCTTCCACGTATGCATCTCTGCATTCATCGCGCCAGACTCTAGGAATTTCTTTTACAGCATCTGATTCTGAATCCCTTCCTCAACTTCTGCTCTTCATCCGGGATCTCCTCGTTGCGTTCTTCCTCCATGTTTGAAAGGAATAGAGGAGTTGTAGCTGTCGTAAGAGGAGGCCTCATAACGACTGAAGACTCTGTAACTGTCTCTAAAGCCTTACAAACATGTTGAAGCTTTTCCTAGCCAATATATTCCAAAGATGTTGTTGTCTTGATGAGTACTTCACTAGCTTAAACGTTGTAAAAGTTCCCGACTCGTTCAAATCCAGGCTCGGAAGATTGGAAGATAGAGATGGTGACTTGAGCTGCATTGGTTTTCTTTCTAGAATAGCTCCCCAAACTAGTACTAAAAGCTATTTGTGCCGCTAAAGTATTTGGTTCGTTGTTTGTATGGAAGGGATTCCCAGGGGTGATATCATTCAATTCCTTGTAGGAGAAACACGCGAATGTGGTCAGAGTCCTAGAGACTTCCAAAACGGAATCCGCATGGGATAGTTAAAGTATGGTGTTATGAGCCCAGAAGCAACTTAAGCTTACAGAATATTTCATTCTTGATTACGATAGTTTTCGTACTTGATTCATAACTGATCGATCTGGTGTCGAAGAGATGCTTGTAGTCTCCAACTCATGTGATAGCTCCAAAGATGCCGAATGGCTATGTGGGTGAAGAGCCGGAGTTGTTGCACGAGAACTGTTTATGATGACATAAGACATGTCGCGTTCGCGAGTGAATCAGACACGATATCGATGGATGATCGAAAAGTCTTGATTTTCGACGTGTAGTTGTTTGGATGAAAAATATCGGGAATGTAAACCTCTGCGGTATGGTAATATGATGAAAGATGATCGAATTTATCTGAACGGAGTTGAAGTGAATTGATTTGGCGAAGGAAGAGCTTTGACAAGGGGAGAAAGCTCCTACTCGACCACCCTTCTTGCCCTCGGCATATTCTTCTTTTCCTTCCCCTCCACCTTCTTTCTCCTCCTTTCGATAACCCGATCCAATTGTCTCCCCTTCAACTCTCCATATGTATCCAACAGAACCCTCTTCTTCTGTTCTGCCTTCTTCAAATAATATGGTGTCTTTCCTTCCTTCACCAATTCCTTTTCCTCCTTCCTATGCTTATCCAAAATCTCCCTAGCCTTCCTCTTCTTCGCATCTGTCTTCTTTCTACTCTCCATACTCAGCAAGTCCCTCTTTAACTTCTCCTTCTCATCTTCATCCTTAGTTTTCTTGATCGTCTTCCTTAATTTCTTAATTTCATCCTCCCGATAATCAACCAAGAAATCATATACTTTTTCGATCTTTCCCATATCCACCGGACCGTGCGTAGGATCGAATCGTGGATCGCGAATTTCTCTTTTCTTAACAGGTACGACTTCTCTGCGACGGGAAACTGCTTTCTTGCTGGAAATTTCGGTTGGTGCATTTTTACTACTGCGAGTAAAATCTCGTTGGTCTTTCTTCCCTGCTTTACGTTCGGTAGCTTCATTATCTTCCCATCCATCCGCGTTGCTCTTCTTTGATTTTTTCGAATCCCTTTTACTAGGCTTGGACATGGTTGCTTGTGCTTTAGCCAATGCGCCGAAAGAAATCGAGGCTGCTGCATCGTTGGACGTTTCTTCCTCGGATTCAGATGCTTCCTATTGGGATGTAAGTGAGGGATATGAATTTTACTTTGACAAATCTAACCTCTTCTACCTCATCCTCCGTCTCATCGCTGGAACTTTCCTCTTCCTCGTTGTCATCTCTACCAATTTCTGATGGAGCAGAATCCGAAGAAGATTCTTCAATTTCCTCAGAAGATTCCCTTCTTGCTCTGACACGTCTTTGCAGACCGGTGTCTAGCGCTTTCCTCTTCGTTGATAACATCTTTTTAAAAAATTTGTGGTTGCTTGAGTTTTAATTCTTGAAATCCAAGCAAGGTTCGATTTTGTATGGGGAATTTTTTCCGCGATGACCACCGGAATAACAAAACACCGGTTGATACCCCACAAACTTTCTATCATCAATTTTTCGAAGTTTATCTCCAGCCTTGTAATCTAGAAACAACCAGCCCAAGTCAAACCTTCCGGCTGGATGTCCTTATTACATTCTTTTACATTCACTTTTAGTGGGAAAGAGTTGAGATATCTTGCCAAGAGGACTTTCTCTTCAACGGAAAATGCGTTGAACAGATATGGACGCAATAGTCGAAAAGAACTAGTAAAATCAGGCAGATCGCCTAATTGGCATCGAAAACATCCAGGAGTATCATTCGGAGAACGAAACTGGCCTGTATCTCAGCAAGAATACCTCCGGATAGCTGGTGATAAGTGGACTCCATCGTTTGATCACAGCGGTTTTAAAGACATTGCGACAAACATATCAAAACCGCTCGTTCCACTACTCCGAGCACCATACATCGCACCTGACGTCGCGCCTGAACCAGATCCATTGCAAGATAAGAAATTCTTCTACCAGTCACTCATTAGTCACCAAAGACCATCATCAAAAAAGACAATGGCTCCCATCTCCAAAGAGGCGAGGGTCCAGCCATCCAAAGCCTCGGGTGGTATCCCCAACCCTACCAGCGAATACCTCGAAAAGACCTACACCAAGCCAAACCAAGGACCCACTCCCTCCCTCCTCGCCCGCCATCTACTCGTCGTAATTGATCTAAATGGCACCCTTCTCTACCGTCCCAACCGCAAAAACCCTACCAAATTTACCGCCCGTCCTCACGCCGAAAAGTTCCTACAATACTGCGTCGACACCTTTTCCGTGATCATCTGGTCATCCGCCAAATCACAAAATGTGATACCCATGTGCCAAACCATTCTTACCCCAAAGCTCCGACAAAAAGTGATCGCCATCTGGGGACGCGAAACATTCGGTCTCACTGGTCAGGACTACAATATGCGCGTGCAATGTTACAAGCGACTCACCAAGCTCTGGGGCGATCCTAAAATCGCAGCTTCGCATCCAGATACTCAGAATGGTGGCAGATGGGATCAGACAAATACAGTATTGATTGATGATTCCAGCGAGAAAGCCCGCAGCGAGCCCTATAACTTGATCGAAATACCAGAGTTCTTTGGTGATGACAAGGAAGTCGGTGATGTCCTACCACAGGTCCATGATTATCTGAACTTCCTTAGCATGCATGAAAACGTCAGTGCTACGATTCGTCATTCGCCGTTTGTGCCACTGCCCAAGGCCAATCCTCATGAGGCTACAGGTTTGAATTTGCCCATTCATCCACCAAGAGTTCCAGGTCCTGCTAGAGTTCCATCTCCAGTCGTTGAACCCGTGTACAAACCTTCACATTCAGGTGATACAATACCCTCAAAGTATCAACCGATGCTCGGAAATTCGGATAAGTGGTGATCTGGTCCAATGATGGCTTCAATACTACTGGTAAGTTTGTCATCTCTCATGAGGTAACGTCCTATCAATCTTGATCATTAACAATTACTGGTAGAAAGTTTTCATGACATCAAGATCACTTGGTATTTTTCTTTTTTTTTTGATACCCGTTTTCCGACACACTCCTGGTGCTTATGTAGTGGTGGATCAGCGATCAGGATAGCTAGCACAAGGTATCACGGCAATGAGGGGGCGTTCACAATGGGTATTTATTGTATAATGGCATGATAATAAGCTTAGATTGCATTCGCAGAAATGCTAAAAATACCAATGACGATCTTCATGATTCGTGTTCGTAATCCTCCCACGTCATGATTGTTCATTACACGTTAACCCTATTCAGCGCTAAAATCATTGTGAAAACAAAACATCTAAAAGTAATAATTTACTTGAAGACCTTTCCATCGGCCCATGGGTACTCCTTGCCGTTAACGACAAGTGGCTTCTCCCATGTCCATTGCTCGTTGACAAACTCTCTGTCCTCTGGCTTGGAGGCATCAAGCTTGGTGAACTCATAGCTCTCATGGTCAGGAGCGACATCGAAAGCTGGGAGAGCTTCTTGGCCACGGATGACGAAGGCACCTTTGATGATGCTGTCGTTGGCGGTACCGTAGACGGAAGCACATCCAAAGATGTACTTGCGGGAGGCCTCAAGACGAGCGAAGAAACCGCCAATCAAGTTGGAAGTCATGAAAACTTGGGTAAGCTCATCGTTGTACTTGTAGTCAACAGTCCACAAGGAGTACTCCTCTGCGTTGTAGTTCTCCCAGAACCACTTGAGAGCATCAGGCGTCTCGGAGTTAGAGTATTGGCGCTTCCACTCATCGAGGGGAATGGTAGACTTTGGCAATGCCTCGAGAGGGTGCTTTGGCTTTGGTGCAGCTGGGGCCTCCTCTTCCTCTTCCTCGACCTCCTTGGCCTTTGGCTTAGCGGCCTCCTTCTTTGGCTTCTCGGCCTTTGGTGCCTCAGCCTTCTTTGGTGCTTGGTTCTTGAGGGCCTCATCGATCAAAGCGAGAGGGTCGACAACAGCGGAGTAGATTGGTTGGTTGTAGACGGTAGTATACCAACGGGTAGTGTTGGGGTTCTCAGCGCGCCACTTCTTGTCGAAGAAGAATTGGAAGCCACGGGAGATGATACCAGCAGCGAACAAATCGGCAAGAGTGATACGCTCACCAGCGAGGTAGGTGTTGTTCAAGAGGTGCTCCTCGACAACGGAGACGCACTTGGCAGTGGCCTTGATGGAATCATCGACGTTCTTCTTGTTGTATGGGTCCCGGCCCAAGAGAGGGCGGAACCAACCACCGAGGGATGTGAGGACCTCAGTGTTGAAGAAGGACATCCACTTCAAGATAGAAGCATAGTCTTGCTTGGTCTTACCGAGGAGGGTAGTCTTCTCGTTTTGGGAGGTGACTATAGAACTTTGTTAGCTATTGACTCGACAAAACTAAGTAAATTGCAATTTAGAATTTTAAAGAGTGTTCAGAGTCTAATTAATAAAGATCAACATAGAATGATTAAGACAGGGATAACTGAATGACTTTTTTTCATCATGACACAAAGGCGTATATAATAGGTGGTGTTGCTGCAAATTTGGAAGAAACGAAGTGGGGTGAAGTGGGATGTAAACATACCGTAGATAGCGATGGCAATAGCCTCGTGGAGGGTGAAACCATCAGCACCGACGAAGGTTGGAACTTTGCCGAGCTTATTGATCTTGAGGTAGTCCTCAGAGACACCCTTGGATGGCTCAGTCTCGACAATATCGAGCTCGATGTTGTTTGCCTTTGCAACTGCACGAATGGCAGTTGAGCGGGGGTTACCCTATTTTAAAAGCACGATTAGCTAAAGTTCTACGGAAGGATTAATCTGTGGAGTTTATTGTAAATGTCAGTAAATGTGTATGCATACCGGGTAGGTGTAGAGAGTTCCGAAAGTCATCTTTGCGTTTGTTCAAAGTTGATTGATCTGAATGGAAGAAAGAAACTTTTCGTGGGATATTTGTTGATCTGATCTGACTCAAAAATTTGTTGCGGGGCTCAATTGAGCTAGTCCGTATTAGCATTAAAGCCAAAATCAGCTGATGCGGGAAAATCGAGATGTGGAAATCTAAAGTTTGCGAAAGTCGATTAAAGAGGGTAAACGCTCTTAGTTGTCCACGACTTAGTTCCGTCTTCAATATGAAGACATCATGGCTTCCCGTAAGCCTAAGGGAAGGCCTTAGATGTGCCTATTCCAATCAACCAACTCTTCCCAGAACCTTACTACGAAATCGAATTCCCTTGTCATCACCTTCGAGATCCTTCACAACCACTTCACAACTTCGAGACAGCATTGCGGCTCCGGAAATAAATTTCCCAGATGAAGGAGGAAGAGAGACCGGGGAGCAAGGGCCACCGAAGTTCTACGCACGCCTTGTTCCTTATTCGCCATCTTATTTCACGGCTCAACCTTCATATACCGATAACCTTCTCCACTTACAAAGCCTCTTGCGCAAATACTCAAAACTCCCTGTTGTACAACCAGGAGAGGCGCCGCGTGTGGCATGGAGATCTCTTATGGAATATAGAGACCAAACTGGAGAGGCAGTGCGGTCATCAAAATATCATAAGATTGTGGAGACACTGCATCGACTCAATCACATTCATCCATCTGTGATGCCCCCAGATGTGAAGGAGGTTATCAACATTTACAAACGCGATATAAATCCACACGAGAATCTCGCAAAACCTATACCCATTGATTCATTTGGGCGGGCACTAGGAGTTGGAAGGAGGAAATCATCTGTGGCGAGAGCGTACTTGGTTGAGGGCACAGGGGAGGTACTTATTAATGGGAAAACACTGGCGGATGCTTTTGGCAGACATCATGATAGGGAAAGTGCCATTTGGGCTTTGAAGGCCACGGATAGAATTGATAAGTATAATCTTTGGGCCCTGGTTAGTGGAGGTGGAACTACAGGGCAAGCGGAAGCTTTGACGTTAGCGGTGGGGAAGGCTTTACTTTCACATGAACCGGCTTTGAAGCCTGCATTGCGAAGGGGTAAGTTCTTTGTATTTCATCACATTACCCACCCCCGATCTATAAAAACGAGTCACTACTTGGAGCATGAAATACTAACATATTCTCCAGCCGGATGTGTAACTCGTGATCCAAGAAGAGTGGAGAGAAAGAAGCCAGGTCATGTCAAGGCCAGAAAGATGCCTGCCTGGGTCAAGAGATAATTTCATATGTATTTTCTTGTATCAATACATATGCTGTATGGGTTTCTGTAGCTTGGTATATTCAAGACATAAGAAATATGAAAACGAACGAATACCCGTTAATATTCCAACATATATTCCAGACATCGATATCACAATTTCAGACATTTCTCTAGGCCATATTCTAAAGCAAGTCAGCATGTCGGTAATCATGTGAAATCGTGAACTGTTTCATTATAACATCAATCTGTCAGAAGGTATCGCATACCTCACACCAGCAAGTGCAGCTATCTTTCAGCCTCAGACATCCTATTCAAAAGCTAGCAGCCCCTCTTACCCCAAAACGTACCTACATTACATGGCAATTGCTTTTTCATTCTCCAAACCCCATGCTCGCACATGCACATTATGCATCCAAGACTAGATAGAATAAATAAATCTTTCCTACCAATCACAAAAGCCACCTTCCTATTTAGCCAATCTATATTTATCACCCGTCATTCACGCATATGGAGTGCAACCCTAGCACAACCATCATATCCAATATTCGATATCCCTAGAAAGAACTTCATTCATCCTCATCCTTTCCTTTCCCTTCTTCCCTCAAACAATCCCATCCATATCAGATTCAACGGTTGATCATTAGGTACTACTACCATCACAGTTATCATTACCATTACCACATACCATTAAAAACCCAACTTCAATAAATCAAGAATAAAACAAAACAAAACAACCAAGAAAAAGAAAAGCTCGGCCCGTCCAATATCCATAAGACAGCGTCGCATTATCATCTCATCCATCCACTTATCAGATAACCCCCTATCCCAATTTCGCTTCTTTCCTCAATCCTCCCGCTCCCGGCCCAGGGTTTATTTTTTATTTTTTTTTCTGCCTCCCGTTTATATCCCCATTCAATCGCTTCCGCATCTATATCCTTGCTGTGCTTTCTGGGGTATATATTATTCTATATTCTATATTCTATATTCTATATTCTATATTCTATATTCTATATTCTATATTCTATATTCTATATTCTATATTCTATATTCTATATTCTATATTCTATATTCTATATTTCATATTTTAGATATGCATCCAGCGTCACTCATCTATCTCACTTACTGTATTCTATCTCGCTAGATTAACCCATGATGATGATGCTCACGAATACTCCCTTTATATATATAATCCTAGACACCAGCCACAGACAACTGTACAATACTACAACCACACAAACCTGTTTCCTTTCTCTTTTTTTTAACTTCCCGATACATGAATCTGGTAATTAAATAACTAATCTACTCTAAAGTGACACTATTAATATAGATATAAATATATAGATTACTCTTAATATCATCATTCATTTACAATATACAATCTTACATCTTACAATCAATTAAATCATCTCGCCAATCTCGCCCAATATATCCCAACCCATCCCAATCTATATTCTTGCATCTTCCACTCCCGCCCTATTCCAAGATTCCAAGTTCCCCCTCGCACGACGCATTTCCCGATCAGTTCTAACTTCTCATCACCCTTTGCCTCATACTTCACCTCACCCTGCCCCACACAAGATCTCAAACCCATCCATCCATCCATCCATCCATCCATCCATCCATCCATCCATACATCCATACATCACCATCAATCCCACAGTAAAATCTCCGTCGTCATTCCATCCTCATCCCCATCCCTATCCCCAGTCCCTAAAGAAAATAAACAAATACACCCACACACGACCCAACCCATCCACACCCCAGTGCAATTCCAATCCCACACATACCCACCCCCTCTCCCTTCCCCTTCCCATTACCCTTCCCATTACCCTTCCCCTTCCCATTACCTTCCCCCGTACTCACCCTTCCATCCATGTGCCGTCTGTCCGAATACTACGTCCACATCCCACCATCCCTCAAACATTCAATACATATACAAATATATACACAAACACACATATGCAAGCATACACACCATACCCACAACTAATCCTCACCCTCATCCTCACCCTCACATGTACATATCCTATCATCTCACCTCATCTCATTGCATGACAATACCTACATTCCATCATATTTCACTTTCATATCAGATCCTATCTAAACCCCATCGCATAGCATCTAATCCCATCTAATATAACCTAACCTGAGCTGATCCCATCCCATCCTAAATCCTCTCCTGTAAACACATCCCCCCACCCACAAGCTAAGCGATGGGATGAACATATACAGTATAATAACTAATAACCAACCAACCAACTATCACCAACCCGCCAACATTTACTCATAAAAACAACCCACATATTTTCCGTACCGAAAGAAACCCCTTCCTTTGGCATTTAATAATAACAATAATAAAAATAACAAAAAAATAATCTCTTCTTTAAATTTTCAAAAGATCCTATTTCATTTACAGTACATGTATACAACAACTATATCATTCCACAATCCATTGGTGCCCTGCTCTCCCCCAACCTGTATCCCCTAGCCCCCCCCCTCCTCATAAATCAACTCAAACATGCTCTTTCCCCTTCCCCCCGGCAGGCACTCATCTCTTCCGGCGTATCCATACGCATGCTAATTCAATTGCAATTAATTGCCGTCATGTCCTGATAGATATGACTTTAATACCCTAAAAGGTATATTAATCATTCGCTCCATAAACCCCCATACACCCTTTTTTGTTCGTTCAGTCCCGTGGGCCTAGAAGCCGATCTGTCATTCCATTGCATTCCTATCCTTGTGAGCCTAGTAGCCCCGTTAATTAATCATACTCCCGAGCCTAGAAGCCCTCCCATTGCACGGCAGCTCTAGTAAACCACTTCGTACAATATTATAATGAAAGAAAACAAGACGCTAAAAACATCCATTCATTCATGTACCCCATGCTTTCCCAAATCATTTGCGAACCAGAACCTTCCCACCTTTCCTTTTACATCATACAAACATCGTAATAAAAGAAGCATTGCGCATAGAAACATTGAAACGTAGCTTCATCGAAAAATCAGAATGCCGCCCACCCGCAAATAGTCCGCCAGTGACAATCCCTTCACCTTATGCATGCAGAGAACCACCAACACCAAAATGTCAAATCGAGAAGACGAAATCAAGTTTCCCATCCAAGTATTAGCACCACATGAAGTGGTCCTGATTAGCAGGAAAGAAAGAAGTTAAATCTCGATATTGACAAAGCAAAACGAAGAATTGGAGTAAAATAACGCCGCGGAGAAAGAAATGTAAGTTTATGCTTTACAGTGGTATATCAAAACAGAACTTTTTCAAGTAGGGGAGAACAGGAGCGAAAAGTGGTAAAAGAAGATATACTGTTATCATGGTGGCGCTCGACCGACGTTGGGGTTCGCGGGTGCGCCTTCATCAGGGGTCCCAGGCCCTTCAAGGTTTTCTTGGAGTTGTTTGCAGCTCATGAGAACTAAATCATAGTTAATAAATAAACCACCATTAGGAGTTCTGCTATTCTTCTGGACTTACTATCCATGATTTGCGACTCCCCAACCCCATATTGATAGTCCACCAAACCGTATTTTTCGACAGAATCGCACATTCGTGTTAAGTTGGTTCCCATTTTACCAATAAACTCCAAGGACATGAGTGTTTGCGGTGGCTGTATGCGCTGACCTGATTCGAGAAAATCGTGCTGCCTAGTAAAGATGCTCAACCACGCGGCATTGAATTCGTTCCATAGTCGAAGTCGGTCGCCATGAAGCGCAGCTTCGTCTACAGTGAGGCCTTCATCAGAAACTATTAGTGGATGAGATTGAACAGAGGAAATCTTAACCTACCTAACTCTGCTACGTGCCCGAGTAGCCACTCCGAAACCTCAAGTAAAGACGAACTTGCTTCAGCAAGGCGAAGATCAATGATGTTCTTGAAGATTTGCTTGAGAGCCGTCTGATAAGTCGAATAGGCTTCCTCCATGCCCCCTGCCCCTTGTTGCTGCAGGTTTCCGGTGTCCATAACGTCGGCTGTTCCCGATGCTTGACTCATTCCACTTAATCCTACGGGTGCCGAATATGATTGTTGAATCAATGTGGTGCGATCTCCTGGGCTTTGTTGGTGATGTTGGTAAGGTGTAGATGAGTTTGAGGAAGCGTACTGCTGAGTACCTGGGGTATTGGTTGGGTCATTTGAGAGGTAGGGCGCAGCCACATCCGGCATCATTTGCATTGCTGCAGGTTGCCGCCCCTGAAATTGCGGACTGTCATAGATGCCGTTTTGTGGAGTTTGTTGTGTGACACTGTTGTACATCATTCCGGCGTTATAATCCGAGAAACTTGATTGTTGCCTTTGGTCTGGAGGATAATTGGATGAGTATTGCAAAGGATTTGACGAAATACCTGCCGAGAAATTCGAAGTTGGCTCGTAGTACCCAGGAGTGGTATATGCTGAAGCGGGACCGACTCCACGGTTCATTGATGGTGACCCTGTCGCCGGTCCAGATCGATGCCTATCCGATATGGAGTATGGAATGCCACGACCTTGACTCTGGTCTGAAGCATATCTGGGATCCTGAGCAGAATATGGTGGCTCATTCTGCCTTCTTCGACGGCTATTGTCGTCCATTCTCTCCTCTCCAATTCAAAAGTGTACAGACTACTTTCCACCGACTAATCCAATCGATGCGCCACCCACACGGAATCTGGCGTTGAGTGCAAGAGGGCCAGCTTGATGATTCGGTCTCGGTGGAGGTTTCAATAGGTTCTTCTCGCTGCAATTTCGACGCGTTTTACCTATCTTATTGCTCGATACTAAATTCCGCAGTCTTTATACCCCTGTCAATGGTATCCATGAAGCCAAGGGGGGAAGAGGGTTTAGTTACCTGGTGTCTTGCAGATAGCAGCTTTGGGAGAGAAAATTTGAGATTTATTTTTGCTCAGAACGCCCCAGCAAGTTTTGTGTCGTGGTCTGAGTATTTTCGTCGGGATAAAGAAGGGCGTGGAAAGAAGATATGAGAAGGTGAGCACCTTGAGGTGATCGACTCCAGCACTTGGACAACAATTAGATGAAATTGACGGCGATGACCGAGTGCTAGATTGATCAATGATAGGTTGCTAGCACGGTTTCGTTCAAGAGAACAGAAATGCAGCGGAAATAAGGTGTCAAATCGAGTTTCTCCTATGGTTCAGACCTCGTCACTCACTCCTAGGACTATCCTTGACTTTCAATACAAGCAAGTCCCCTGTGAAATATAGCTTATAGGGCAAATAGCACTAGGGTGTCGAGTTAACGTCGACGGTTCCTCTCAATTTGATTTTGCTGCAATTTGACCGCGGGCTGGATGGCGGGCGGGTGTAACTATGGAGGGGCTTTTCGACTTTACTCTGGCGTTGTAAGGGAGGAGAACCAGGTTCATGGATAAATTAAGATGTGCAACCAGCCAATTCTCTTCCAAGTTTCTAGAAGATCTAGAAGAAGAAGAAGAAGAAAAAACGAATCGATCGATGATGCTAATGTGATGGTATCTTCAAATAGAATCAAGTCAAGAAAAACTCTATAACACTCAAATCTGGTAATGGCTGGAGCGCACGATGTTGTTGAAGATTAGACCATGTGAATGAACTTTGAATGTATCGTCGGGCCGAATTCAAATACAGGAATAATTGGGAAATAAATCAAGTCGTCTCTTACCTTCTTCCCTTCCCTGAGGAATATCAGAAGACGTTGAAGGACGATGTGATCCGTGAACAAGTTTGGTCTACGAGGCAGGAAAGTGTCGATAATTTCTTTCCTATGCTTGTGCATGAATTGATGGCTGACTGTCGGAGATCAATGCTCATTCATGCACCTGACTTGGGTCAGCTCCCGATTCTTTGGGTTTAGAAAATTTCGAATCGTGAAGTCGAGATAGAGTTATGGGGATGAGATGAAAGAAATGTCACTATACGACATACTTTTTGGGATGGTTTGACTGCAGTGGCGGGTCAAGATGAGAAGGCGCCGTTGGGTTCCAGGTTCCTTCCTCAAATCTTAATGGAACTTTAAAGCTCCTCTGGTGTCTGAGCACACTCTGACTACTCAAACGTCGGACCTTGGACGGATACTGTGTTTAGTTTAAAATGCAAAGAACGTGCAGTATTGTTTGGAAGGCGATGGTGTTGAGATGGTGAAGTAGGCTAATCAAACATGTAGAGTGGTGAAGGGAACTTCTCGTGTTGGATCTATCGTTTGACGATACGGTAGATATACCTTCCTTCAAGTCAACACCTTTCCTTTGGAGATCCTCGTTAAGGCACGGACGGATCTTTCAATTAAAAGTGTTGGAAACTTGCTATCAAAGTACGAATGGCACTAACAGGACCGAGTGAGGTGCGTGAGGATACTACAGATAGTGTACAGTAAGCTTTAGATCATCTAACCGTGTCCATACGCCTCTCCATGTATGTACTCATTTATTCATTCCACTTATTCATTCATTCATACATTCATTCATTCATTCATTGATTACCAGCCATTCCATCGAAGCGCATGGCCTAGACGGATGGCCGAATGATGGTTAGATAGATATGAAGAGAAGGTTATACTGACATGTTTGACACTTCGGTATGACTTTGTGACTTAAAGCTGTTCCAAATTTTAGGTCCGCGTGCTTTGATTCTGATGATTCTGACTATACTCAAACTGACCTAAGTATGTCGAGAATTATTCCACCGCTGGTAACCAATCAATCGACCTGGAATGCTCCGAGATATTTGCCTCACACCAGCCACTTTTCGAAGTCAGACTACTGTCAGGTACGGTGCGTTGGCGGTAGTAGATAGACACGGCTGCAAAGTTGATTACTGTCTGGCTAAAGCGAACTAAGGTTCGAATTCTCAAGAATAAAAACTTGTTCTGTTATGTCTGTTGGTCTGAATTTAACTAAAACGTACTCGGTGGCTGGCTGGAAAGCGGAGACTTGGGACTAGAGCAAGCGCAATTACTCGTTAAAGCCAATGAGATGGTAGACCTCGTCAATCGTTATTCTAGAGCGACGAATGGTGTGAACAAGAACGATATGGTGGAGAAAGAGGGTCCAAGTAATCTATGCAATAGTGTCGATTCAACGAGGCGGGTGAGGATAGGAAGCAAGATGGTGATGTTAAAAAGTGTGGGGAGGGAATCTATTTTCCGGTAGGGCCTTCGCTGCTAATATGTAAGTGTGCAGTCATGCAATTAGATATGCAGTTGATCAAAAGAGGTTCAGTTAGCTCTCTCTCGCTCTTATAAATCTGGATCCACCTCAAATCGTAATGTATCAATAATATCAATTTCCTTTTCTCTCTTCAGGGCAACAGATACGGTAGGTAGATGGAACATTGAGTATGGGTAACCTTTTTGGCTTTAGATGCCGGAGCTTTAGTCGATCAGGCGTAACGCTAAGACGTGAGATCGCCAGATGAGGCGACGAGGCAATGCTTAGGATGCGAGTTGTGATAGATGCTCGTGGATTTACAACAACAGAAAAATGTAAAGCATGACAGGAGGTTCATCGGATGGAGATAAAACAACCCCTAGATACCCAGCCGAATATTGGAAGGTCTGGGAATAGAGAAGGGGTTGACAGGGTTTCAAGACATGAATTGGAATTACTGGACGCGAAGGGAGAGTGAGATGAGTTGGAGCCTAGAAAAAAGTGTTTCTACCTAGATGGATATTTTAAGGACAGCTAGAGCATTTTCGGCGTCATTGAGCGTAGATTTGACTATCGGAAAGGATGGTATAGCACAATACCCAGGTGATTTGAGTCCGATTAGTGCACCAAATGAGAAAGAGGAGGTTGATGGGGTTCAAAGTAGCGTTGTATTGGAAGGAGAAGGCCGAAGCAAGAAATACAGGGGAAACCGGATAGTTGGAAATAGACATACAAATATATGCCGCCTTCCCAGCATCGTGGTTCACTAGGGTTCAAATCGGAAGGAAGGAAGGAAGGAATGGAAGGCTGAAAAAAGAAAAGTATTTTCCGAGATCCCCGAATTGATTGGATAGCAATCATTTCTTTTCCTTTTTCATTCCCGAACTCCAGATACATGATCAATATATGGGAATAGGAGTGTATGGATTGTATGGATTCAGAAACACAGTTCACGGCAATCGACCGACTATGGAAAGTGACTTGGTTGTGAAGAAGAACCTAGAAGGACGATCAAGTTGAAGAGTAGGAATCTGTAGGATCCGACACTGAGTAGGTGGTGTAGGTCTTTTCGTCGAGAAATTAGGCCTGCGCGACTCATCAAAGTAAGAAGCATGTAAAAGCTAGAACAGCTATACGATGGATCCCTGAGATTACCAAGGTGAAAATTCCACATTTATTCTGTAGGTAGGTACCAGGTGCACCGGTATGAAATCATTAAAGGACGCTGACTGGGTGCTTTTCGTCATTTGATGCCGGTAACAACAAATGAGAGTACTCCGTGTATATGCTCGGAAATGTTAATCTCGAAACACTTGTGCCAAGTTTTGTTCTGAAGCTGGAATTTGGCGGGGGGGGAGGGGGCAGAGTTTGTGAAGCAACAATATCTCAAGTACGTACTAGATAGATACTTTTCTAAGTCTAAAATTATTTTCACTGAACATCCGGACCATCCCAGTCGCTCGAATTCCGACAATTATTTCAATTTCAGGCTTTTCCAGGTACTGGGTGCTTTTAGACAACTGTTAGACACCCACTAAAGTAGCCTTTTAGGTACACTCGTATAGTACACACGGTATACACAGTGCAGAGTATAGGCGTCTTTCGGGCTCTTCACAGAAACTATTCTGCGGACAGCGATTTTCCCTGAAACATTTATCGCAAGGGTCTCGGTCGGGCGTAAGACTCATATTTTTGGTGCGTGGTAGGTAGGTTAACTAATAATTTGTTCCGTTTTCGAGAAGAAGAAAAATTATATCCATGTACCTGGTCTGTCGTCAAAATAAGCCGTATCTATCAATGAGCGAAAGTGAAAAATTAAAAAATTAAAAAATAAACATTATATAAAATCTTTAATATTTTATTAATAAAAACTCTTTCGATAATTTACTATTATAAATTATAAATTTTTAAAATCTAAGTTTTTTATTTAATTTTATATATTTTTCTTAATATTTATAATCAATCTAACGGATAACCTTTAATTATCCTCGTAGTATATATTACATATACCTTCTGACTAAAATACGAAAACGATATTAACTAATTAAATTATCTACAAAACATATCCCAGCCATGAAGGTTTTCCCCTTCCCCTCAGAAAAGATCTACACAGGCCTCTCCATCAAATCAATTCGAAAGAAAGACTCAGTAGATGATCGATTTGAAACTTTGTTACCTTTTAGACACTTTCTTCTAGCAAAATCATGTCGGCTTCTTGGCCCAAACCTTCCAAAAGGGGTCTGACTTGAATGCAAAATTTCAAATTGAAAGTCATACGATCCACCAATCAATCTTATTTCAATTCCAAGTGTGCAACTTGCCAGCACGTATTACCTACCGATTATTGTTATTTCAATCTCTGTGTGACTTGACCAATCGCACGTGCCGGTAAATGCTCAGAGCTTCCACTAATCACCAATCTGAGACTCCACGACTCCCATGATTCCCACTCCTCCCATGAAATCCAACTTCCAATATCTTTTTTGGTGCTGTCGAACATTCAGCTAGTAAGCCACAATAAATGCGGTTTCTAGATCATTTACTATTTAGGTAGTCTCTTCCGACCAAGTCCCGTCAAGATTCAAAATACTTGGAGATATCTCATACACGAGTCAAGAGATTTGCCAAGCTGAACCTCAAGCCAGCCAAACGCGGATATTCATGGATGCTCTTACAACCAGGGATCGACGCCATTTGTCCTATTCTTGAACCTTTCCATCCGCTTATCTGCACAGGGTCACTACGATGCTACGCAGAGTTGTGAGCGATTCCCAAGCACTCTGTTTCTGCATGAATGTTCGGAAACATTGAATTATGCGATGAAGCAATTCAATAGCCAGAGATCAGAATAGACAACCTTCAAATCGTAGTCAGGGGTTCGCTCGCAAGTTCATCCAGAATAGACAGACACGCTTATTCTAGGTGACATGGATCAACAATTGAAACATGCAAAAGAACTCTTTACCCGCCTCAATGTTTTCGCAAGGCAGATGCCGGCTTGACCACCCACGACTCCACGAGGCGTCCACCATACCCGTCCTCACGTTTCTTCTTAGACGGCAAATGGTTCAACTGTAGGGGAGCTTAGATGGTGTTCTTCTAGGAAATCCCTTGATAATCCACGTGTACCTGAGGATTCCACTTGCAATAGGGCTTTCGTGAAAGATCAACTGTCGGACCGTTTATATCCACATTACGGTTAGCAGGTTTCTGTCTTAGGATGAAAATGCGATCAGGTCAGAATTCGATATACCAATACCATGCATGCTCTACTAGCCATATTACTGCAGATTTTCTTCTCATTCAGGTACTCATCGGAAATACCGAGTATGCGCATTGGTCAGCATTACCTGACATGTCGATATAATATTCTAAATGATATTGAGGATGCAACGTCATGTTCAGGTCATGCCTCAATGATGCGAGCGATTATTGTCAAACAAACGAAAGAAATGCGACTTGACGCAACCTACTGTACGAACCCGTAGCGGTCTCACACCCCTGATCTACTATGGATATTAGCTGCTTCTGCGACCTTTCAACTCCGAGACACCACACCCCTTATCATTTGGCGAGATCTCAAAAGTTTGAAATAGAAGTCAAACAGAGGCTGTATGCACAGACCATTTAATGACTAGGCTGCGATGTCAGAAGATTCAGTCAATCTTCTAGAAGCTCCAGCTTCCCCCTTGCCGGATTATTTCTAGAACATCATGTTTTTATTTGACTCCTAACTGGGGACTTTGAACCAATGGCGACGGCGACCCCTTCAAGATGTTTCAACATTCCCTCTATCATTTTTGTTGCCTATTCGAGTACCTTGGCCTTATACTCTTTGGGGTGAAAGGCCAAGCGTGCACGCAGCACAACGTTCGAGCCGAGTCTGCTGAGAACGATTTTTTATTGCATTTTGCACCAAAAAAAAAGATAATAATTAAAAGCAATTATGCATTCAGTCAACGAGATAACCTTACCCTTCTTTCTTGGTGGCGAAAGAAACACAGTCCGAATGTATATCGTAGTCTAGAGCAACACCCCGCATATGTGGCGTATATGTCAATCACTCAAATCATCACTTAAATTATGCATATTGAGACTCCACGCTACACCCTACCTAAATATACCATGTACTCTAAACTTAACTAAGTTCTTCTGTCATGACAATTGATTCATCACACTGATAAAACGATGATACCTAGTAGATGGGCATGCGGCACTGAGATATTTCTATCGAACGCCGCAATATTTCAGCCAGTAATTTTGGCGAACATGTTCGTCTTGACAATCAGAAGACCCAGTGAGGAAATCCTTCAGCTGCATCTTAAATGGCATACTAAAGGTAGATACGGTGCATTAAATCGACGTAGAGAACTGAACTCCGATAATGGGAGGCTACACTGCTGGATAGCTTATCATACATTTTTCTTTCATCCAATTGATGTCTACGCAACTACAAGGTAGTTTGCTGACAATTTATCCTGTCAGTGAACACTGAGCTACAGTGACCTTGTGAGAAGTTTGACTTCTGGACCTGACCTCCAACATGAAGCTTATGAGTAGACAAAAGTTTGCTGATTATACTCAATCTTCCGGGAGTCACCTACCTTGAAAGCTTCATGATTATGTTACATTTAAATTTCTGCGAAGTACAACTACCATCTCTACGGTGCTAGGATTCATACGAAACTTTTTATTGATTTTTATTGGAAGTGCAATACAGAGAGCAAGTCCAGTGCCAACATTGAAGAAATTGAAATCATGATGGGAATGGTTTGAGAATCTTGCCGATGAGATCCTAAAGTTGTTCTTAGTATTATAGTTAAATTGAGTATTTTGAACTTTAACGATAGCCATGTATACGTACTGATTACAGCTCTTCGTCTCGATATGTACACTTAACACAATGCTTCGGCGAGAAATATATATGTATCCTCTCCAGTCATTGTAACCGTACGAATTTCAACTCTTGAGTTCTGCTCCGCTCTATTCCCGTTAATATTGCAGGCACTGAATGTGAAAAGCTCAGCCATTTCAAGATCACGTATCATCTCAAACACTCAGATATTATATATAACATGGCAGTCTTATGTCATACATTCATTCATCCGATCTCTAATTAGCCTCGCTTGAATTCTCACTTCATGCTTTTGTTCTACCTACAGATTTATCACTTTGCCTTCAATACCTAGGTACTCGGAGATAATTTTCTCGTGTAATCACGTATCAAATCTGAACATTTCATAATCTCGCCGTCTTTCGAAATATCAATATAATAAGTATCATCACCACCTAAAGTGGTCTTCCCAAACCATCAGATGAAATAATCCATTTCCTCATATCAAAAATAAACATTGAAGTACCTATCTATCCTCCTATAACCATAATAATCCAAATTCTCAAACGCCTTCCCTCAAATTCATCAGCACTCTAATACTCAATCAACACGCTATCATCATTATCACAGACTCAAAACTCATTCTAGTCAGCCTACTTGGACACGGCATATAGAACATATCCTATATAATTCTATGCTCTTCCTCGTATATCCTTTCCTGCTTTGTAGAATATCATTCGTCATAATTATTAGATATCTAAAATCTATCCTTGATTATCCTCTGCCGTGATAATTAATTATTCTGTCCTATTTCATTTTTCTTATAAATATAATTAATTCATTATAATATACTTCCAGTCGTTTAATATTATTATCTTTTTGGATAATTATATAAAAGTTTTTAAATTTTATTTTTTTGATATTTATAAGTGTTATTTATAAATATAATTTTAATTTAGATTGTTATTGATTATTTTTTTGATTTATATTAATAAGAATTTAAATTTTTTATTTTGAATAAATAGTTAATTATAAATACCAATATTGAAAGTATAGATTATTATAATTATATTTTTGTTAAAAGGAATAGAAGTTACCGGTACTAATCACGTGTCGTGATTAGTAATACGGTTACCTAAACAGGCTAGATTAGACGAACCATAAGCAGGCATATTGGTCCCCTCAGAGGATACCAAGAGGAGATCTTAATATGCCTACACACGTAGTAATATAGCCAATATAGAGGCCTCTTCCACCCAATCTTTTAATAATTTTATTATTTAAAATTTTATTAAATATTAAAATAAATTCTTTATTATTTTATATTAATTTTATAGATTTAATAGATTTAATTTTAAATTTTAAATTTTAAATATAAAAATATTTAAATAAAGTACTATATTAGTAAATGTGATGGAAACCCCTGCTTTCCTCCCACCCTTATTGTATAAGAAACCTCAGGTACATTAACCATGTTCACACATGATACGATTACTCGGGATTAGTTGTTACGAGGTTTGCCGTCTAGATCACGTGGAAGTGCTCCAGGCTCTCGAGGTGGTTTATAACTAGGCGTCAAGCAGGGACTTAAAGTAATGACAATAATGCAATTCGTAACTAATAGTAGAGTATACTAAATGATTGATCTTGAGCACGAAGCTCTATACAAAGGAAATCCATCTTGATTATATAGTCCTTCATGCTTCTATGATTACTGGTGATCCTTCATGATCACCAGTGATCACCTATATCGTGATCCTTAGTGATCCTTAATGATCACCAGTGATCACCTATACCGTGATCCTTAATGATCACTACTGATCATTTGTGATCACGTGTCTTGGTAGTTGTGTAGCCCGTCGTAACATTAGTATACGATTTAGGTGGTCTGAGGATCAGATCCGAATAAGTACTATGTATCAATGGTTATCGGTAAAGTAAGATCACTGGAGGGATAAATATGACTTCCTTTTGCCTAGCCATTGCGGCTAGGTGTCACGATTCACCATTAGGATTAGTGTCTTGGGATGAAAAGGAATCACATGATAAGGAGCCCTGAGGAGCCAGAAAGCTCCTGGGGGCTCCCTTTATCGTTCATTATATAGTCAGAGTAGTTTCATAGCTTAGGAGCTTCGTGCTCAACTTAGTTATCAATTAGTTTACCCACATACTACTTGATCTAGTAACGAATTCACTTCCAAGTGAATACCAGTGATAAAGCCTTAACCCACAACTACCAACCAGACGAAACCTTAGGCAGCCGCTGCCTCCAGTACAGTATCGTTACAGTACCTCATCTAGTAAAAATATAATCTATTCTCCAAAATGTTACACTTTAGTTCTTTTTCCTCAAGTCCTTCAAGTAAAAAATCATTTCCACCTCCTTACAACCACTATTAAATATCTATCTACTACATACCTCGCACCCTCGTCTCTTTACCCACTTCTCTCCTTGATTCCTTTCCTTCTTCCCACTTCCCACATCCAGCCTCCCCACAACTCCCTCTATCAAACCCCCATCAAATCCCTCCCCTCCCCTCACCTCCTTTATATAAACCGCCAATACAACCCCCCACCCAAACCACCAACCCACCCACCCACACACCCACACATCCATCATCTTTCTAAACATAAATCCAAACACAGATCTCCAAGCATCAATCAACCAACCAACAAACGCCCGTTTGGCTTAGCGGTAAAGCGCATCACTAGTAATGATGAGATCCTAGGTTCGATTCCTAGAACGGGCATTTATCCATTCTCACATGCATAAATGTGAGGACTCAATTTTGTCCGATGTGTTAATAATATTGAGAAAGTAAGATTTTTCTTTGTCCCTCCTTTTCTTTTGTTTTGTAAATGGTAAAAACCCCTGTTTAGGAGAAAGTACAAGAGAATGCCTGTGGAGAGAAAAATAAGTGTTTACCATACAAAACTTTATGTAATATGGTGAGTGGGTGAATGTGTGGATAGGTTAGTGGGGACTCTGGTTGACTAACCGAGCTTCTCGTGATATGTGATGCTGGATAATCTCTCTCGTATTTGCTACCAGTATTGGTTGAGATTCCCACAGATGTAAATGAGATTCTCGAGGGGCCCCTGCAACACCAGCCCAATGAGCGACACTAAAGCCTGAATAAGAGAAGTGTAGCCATGTAGGTATCCCTCTGGCATCCTAACTCCCCCTTTTTCTTCTACCCATGCATTTCGCCTGCAACACTCGTCACCCACTCCCCTATCTTCCACCTCCTTCGCATGCCCCACTTACTCAAACACAAAAAGGGAAAAATACATACAACAGTGGGGATTCGCTGGTGATCACCCACCCAACTACTAATCCACCGATCTGAGGCTTGTGTATGGCAGAGCGGACGGGATGCCCAATTCTCCTCAGTCTATGATCGTATGTGGAGGAATCAGATAAAAGTGAGGTTATATGCAAAGGCTTTTGTGTTTCTGTATTGTTATGCATACCCACACTCTAACCGAGAATACCCCTTCACCCTGATACAGATCTCATCCTACAATGAGCTTCACAGAAATCCATCCATCCATCCATCCATCCATCCATCTGACTTCTCCGCCTTCCTTTTAATCATCTCTCTCCGTTGAATTCTTGTCGTACGAGCTCCTTATTAACCAAAACACCTGAAACTGTAATCCATCCACTTTAGCTTAAACTGTAAAGCGATCCTAGCACGCAGTTATCATAACCTAATTCAACAGATGTATACATAGTTCCTTACGTGGACTTTACTTCAAGTGCGTCTGCATCTGCTATCAAAACCTCCTGGTTACTAGCCGACAACCGAAACCTAAAAATAAGCCTCAAATTAAAAACAAAGCAAGTAACCCCCAAACAAGAAGTAGAAGCCAGTGCGTAGTCTCCCCCACTCTCGTGATCAATAAAACGGTAGTGAGTAGAATTTGTTGCACATCTGATAATTCGGACCGACCACGGGCCGGCAAGGGTTCGTAGAAATCAGGGGACCATTCAACAAAAATGGCCTGACTCTTACGAGGGTCAAAGCTAGGCAGGTAAGAAAGGCTGTACAAATTAAGGGCCCATACATGTAAGGCTGCATAACCACTCCTGTGGTAAGCCCATATATATGCTGTCCCCTCGGTCAAGCCTCATGAAATTTATACAAACATTGTGAAGAGCTATCTTGGACCCCTGTAAGGAGAAAATTACATTTTCCGCTCATTAGATACTAGCTGATAGGAAGTGGCTAGCGAAAACTAGATAAACAACTATATATGAGAAATGTTTGCTTAAGGATCAACACATAAAGCCAAGTCCGCAAGCCGCATAATATGACCATGAACACTAGCTCATGAACCGAACTCCGAAAAATGAACTCCCTTACTGATGTGCACAAGGAACAAACAACAAAGCAGCCCAGTAAAGAGACTATCACATTCTTTTGGAGTTAAGTAGAAAAAAGCTGTGTCCTGAACATCTACCTAAGCACACACTTTCAATGCATATCAAAAAACCTAGTTTTGATAATCGATCCGCTGAAAGAACTCAACCATGTCCTGCATCTGAGTTATTTGTGCTGTACTCTGATTTGATTCGGTGTTTGAAAATATGTGTTGTTGGCTATATTACTGATCTCTCATCTCTCTTCCATGATCTCAAATCAAAATTGATCTACCACATCCATTAGTAAAGTTACGCCAGTAAAGTACAGAAATATTGTCATCCAACACAAATAAAAGAGTCAAACTCACCTAATGTCATACTCATAGACACATCCGTGTTCTCTACCATCTTTGTGAACTCCTCAAAACTAATCTTCCCATCCCTATCCAAATCTGCCTCCATAATTGTCTTGTCGACAATTTGCTGTAATTGTTGATCCTTCAAATTACTTCCCACCATCATCTTCAAAACGATGAATAATTCCCCATTGCTTATGTATCCATCACGATCAATATCATAGACCTTGAATGCGAATCGGAGCTTTTGTTCCTTGTTTCCTTTACTACTAAATGCGCTGAGCCCACTAACGAATTCCTGAAAATCGACATCTCCACCTCCATCCTCATCGAATATGGCGATCATTCTGCAAGACGGGAAAGAATTAGTATCGATCTCATGTCAGGCAATTGTGCGTGATAGCCCGAAGTAGAGAAGATAGACAGACACACCTAGTAGCTAGAGGATTTGATGAGATTTGCGGAAGGCTGAGAAACTCCTCACGTTCAATGGTACCAGAGTTATCCTGTAGAAATAGCTTCCATTAGCCCTCCTTGACTCAACACAATTTCCACACTTCTTGAGCTTTACAACCAGCATACTGAGTACACCGCTGAAGCAGATTATTGCGCACCTTATCCAACTTCATAAAACGTTTTCTTAATCTATCAACCTCATCTCGATCAACTACCTCGCACCCAAGATTAGCGCTGAAGTCCTCCAATAACCAGTCAAAGACAGTAATTTAGAAGAGTGTATTTTCCGCACAGTTAGACCCTTGCACAATATTCTCCAATACTGCACTGCTTGTATTTCCCATCTTGACGGATTATATTTATTCGGGGTGTGACTGTTTGCGTGATGTGTAATTATTCGTTCGTAGTAAGGTTGCTGAAGGAAAGAAGGTGGTCGCGATACTTGGTAGTGAGGTTGGTGAAGTAAAGCTGGTGCAGTAAAGTTGGTAAAGTAAAGTAGGTGGAAGTAAAGTCGAGTGGTCGCAATACTAATAAGTAGTACGTGATGGAGAAAAGGAAGGGGGTCGTAATACTAAGTAGTAAGGTTGATGTAGTAAAGGAGGTGGTCGCAAAACGGCGTAAGTGGATGGATAGAAGGTTTCCTAGAAGGGCGGGGGGAAGAGGCTAAAAAGTAAACAGCTGTTGCAGATTCCTAGTAAGTATTCTTCCTTTGGAAATATTCTCTTTTACTTCCTCCAGCTTGATATTTAATTTTCTCCAAGTACTCAATGAATTTTGGTGATTGTTTTGAAAGTTGTATAATAAATTATTTAATAAAGTTATCTATACTCGATTCCCTGTGTATCTAACCATCACTCCCAACAACAATATGCTTCCCTCAAATCTCCTATCAGTCAGAAGTTTGATATTACAGGGATCCCTAATCTAGTATAGTTCTTGAATGTTCTTTGTTGTTGCCTCATATAGTGACCATATCAGGCCAACATTACCCAAATTAGAGTTATTGACACATTGAACCAGGAAAAATTTGCAGGTATCACGAACGTCGGAACGTGGCAAGGTACAATTTTCTATCATCAAAATATTCACCCTGACATCGAATTTCAATTCAAAAAATGGATTAAACAATCAGTCATGAATGATTTTTTATTCTTTGAATTTTTTACGCGTCAAAATTGCGTTGTCGCGTTAATTTTACATATCGGAGTCAATTCATCATCAAGATGAGGACACAACCGGCTGGCAGGGTGGTGCGCCAAAAGAAGCTCAACAGATCCACCCATCAACAAATTTTACGAGAAGATCAAATAGAATCCGCCGAATATGATTCTTTACAAGGCCAATACAAAGTCGAGACTGGTGTCGAAAAAGCTGAAGAAAATGTTAGTATCACGTGCTCGATTTTACCATGCTATCACGTGATGGCAATAAGCGTTGCTGACTTCTGCGTGTGTCATTTAGGAGTACCATCTTCAAGCTGCCCTGGCAGCCAGTCACTCTTCGGGTGATAAGGATGCCCCGCAAGAGATTCCGGCGCCTCCTGCACAGGAGGGTACTGATATTGACTATGAATCCTTATACTCGAGGAAATTTGACAAACCTGCTACCTATATTCGCTTTTCGCAGACAGTGGAAGAATGTACTGGCTGTCAATATAACATGACCATTGAGGATGACATTTTCCTAAAAGATTATAATAAGAAAAAAACTCTTTCAAATCAACAGCTGTCGGAAGATGACTTTGAAAAGCTCATGGAACTTTTCGAAGAAACTGCTGATACTCACACCCCTTATGCTGCTGTGGATAATACTCTGGTGACCTTTGAGACCATGAAGGAAGCTATCAAGGAACGAGGGGAGGAAAAGATACCTGGTAATATGAAGGATATATATGAATATTGGAAGTCTCGACGGCAAGCATGTGAGAACCGTGGTATTCAGCCGAGTTTGAAGTTCGAGACGCACCAGGATATTGACGAAGGCGATCCATATGTTTGCTTCCGCCGCCGTGAAGTCAGGGCTACCAGGAAAACCAGAGCACGAGACATGCAAATCACAGATAAAGTTAGGAGATTGAGAAAGGAGATGGAAGAAGCAAGGCTCCTGATAAAAATGGCGACTGAACGAGAAACTATTAAGAAACAACTCTTGGAATGCGAACGTTCCGTCTTCATGTCTCGTAGTGAAATAAAGAACCTCAAGGTCAAGCTGGGTATCAAGAGTGATCCTGACGACGAACTTCTCATCAACCAGAAGGTATGCATACTCTCATGCCCTGAAAAAAAGCTTGAGCATCATACTGACATTTCAAAGCCACAGAAGAAGAGGACTTTGGACTTCCAAAATGTGCAACGACCTCCACCTCCGCTTCGTATACCACCTCGTCCTGATGGCCGCGGAATTGAAATGGATATGATATTATTGAGTGATCAGCTGGCCCAAAAAGAGAATATGTTGCAAAGAGAATTGGAGGAAAAATCTGCACAGCATGTCAAGTGGAACGAGAACTATGTCGACTGCACAAGAGAGCCACTTTTACCAGTGGAAGGACAGAGTTCGAACACGGGTTTCCGTCCTGCGACAGCCCAATACAGTCAGTATTTGCTGACTCCGCCATCATCTGTGACTTCCGAATCGTTTGATCAAGCATCTCCAGTGAGCCAAGAGAAACCGGACGCGGTAACTGTGCGGTATAGCACACCGCCAGAAGAAGACGATCGTCGTGCGCAGCCAGCATATCGAAGAAGAATTGGCCGAGGCGGACGGCTATGGATAGACCGGAGAGGGATGTCTACAGCGGCCAGTAAAGGCGCGGAAAAGAAATCTGACCGTTGGAAGTATGACCAAGATGATGATGATGACGATGGACAGCCTGTATATGAGGTTGACCCATATGACACCAATCCTCTACGTTTCAGATCCACGATACCTCTGTCTGGTCATTTATATCCGGATGCACATCGGCAGAGAATGTTCCAGCATCAAACGCAATCGAGCAGGGCTGTTACTGGAGGTAGTCCTGGGAACAACCGAGCAATCGGGCCTCCAAACCAACATAGTAATTAGAACTTTTTTCCACGACAACTAAGTTGTCACTTTACCAGGAGCGGCTTCATTAAGAAGGCTTCTATGTAACTCAACTTCTGCAGGGTTTAAACGGGCAATGGGAGGAAGGGGCGTTACCCAGGCAAAGGGCTAAGCGCTGATTTGTTGTCATTAGAAGTTTTGTCCGAAAGTACCCAAAGAAGGTATCTGGGTGACCTATTTGTACTTTAGCGCTCATGAACGAGCAAAAAATCATTATTAAATGACGACATAGGTGTCATATATGACGCCAATTAATAATCTCCTCCAAAAGCAATCCAGAGCAAATGAAAAGCTTCGTGACCTACCAACCAAAGTGTTCTCGGTATTAAAGAGCCAATGTTCTACCGAGCACGACCCTTTTTCTTTGGCTGTTCCGTCTCCTCTCCTTTTCTCTTCGCGTTCTTCTTCATTCCCTCTTGTGAAGACACAAGTCTCATACGATGGTTGCCACAAGAAAAGGCAGTTGCTTCTTGCATAGCTGCTCGCAGCACTTTCTTCTCTCCGGAACGTACTTGAATTGCCATGGCGTGCCTAACCGGAAGATCTGCATTCTTGAGTAGATCTTCATCCTCTTCAAGGGTAGTTGAATATTCTTTCTCCCTCGCTTGTAACAAAGTTGCTAGGACCTGACCCGCGAGCTCTGTTGTAAGTTTGGAACGGCTGGGTATGCTGCTCTCTGAATTCAAGATAGCTTTAAGATGACTTTCGTCAACAAGCAAGAGATACAGAAATGCCAAGAGTTCGTCTGGTATACTTGGCTCATCCGGACTAGAGTGGACAAGGTCAAAAGAGTCTTCGTAGACTCCTTCTCGTTCGGCCAGCTCAAGCCGTGTCTTTAAACCGTCTTGCGTGAGCTTATGCAAAGATGGATGGACCTTGCCGTTCCGGAACAGAGAAACAATGAGCTCCGCTGAGATCTCGGCGACATCATATGCAGAGTATCCATCTGTGACATATCCATATCTCCTGAGAAGGTCGGACCTAGGGAGCTGGCCATAACTAAACGTCCTCCAGTCAGTGAACCACAATCGCGGCTGAAAATGGGGTTGAATAAAAGACGAACTCGTTGAATATTTCTTCTCCCTTGCTAATAGGTTTGATTGCTCTCATCTCTAGCTCCTCGTTATCGCAGATCAAGCGAGCATTGTTCCTGTCTGCATCCGCGTTAAGCATATCGGCCAATGGAATCATGGATAATATAGTTTTCTCATCTTCGCCATCATCGGAAACCAGGTCGTCTCCAGCTTCGCCTCCTTTGCCACCGGAGGTTGGGGCATCGGAAGGATCTGGTATGTCGAATGCGTAGGCCATGATAACAGAAGCTACTTTGTGACACATCTCCGTGCTAGAGTGCTTTAAGCCTTGCGGGGCTATGTAGGATTTGAACATATCTTCCGCATCCTTTTTTCCGATTTTCTTCACCACTGCACTTGCTTGCAGTTCCGCGAGCTCGCTGTCCGACCAAAACACTAAGCTGTCCAGTCGCTCTGGAAGTACCGCAAGGTACGGAGCCCACTTAGAATTTTCCATTTGTGCTTCCGTCATAAGTATCGAAGTAAGCACCTAGAGTCCAGTCAGCCGTGGCCTTCGAACCTCATCGGGAGCACATATAAATACTTACTAGCCAACTCGGCATCTTCTCAAACAATCGCCTCGAGACGGGAAGAGGGGCCACGTTCTGAGCATTCAGAACGGCATTGCGCGGAATGCTGAAAATGATCTCGTCATCATCAATGTCTCCTGTGGCCACTGTACTATCAGTCAGCGAGAAATCCTCTATGGATAGCATTCGAAATAACGACGAGAAGGTAAATGGCAGCCTTTTAGTCAAGCTCGTCCTCCACCGTAGGAGGAGGTAAAGAAAGGAATATCCATACCGACACCTCGCCCTCGTCCTTCTTGACGGAGGTCAACCAATGCCATCTTTGGATTAGTCCGGACACCCATTTCCTTGAGCCATGATGAGAATGTCGCCGTTCTAGCTTCGAAATCGTCAACCTCCATATCTCCGGTACGTTATAATCTGTTGTGAAAGAGATAATGTGCGTCGTTGTGTGTAATGTAGTATCAGGATTGGCACAAGCAATAGTAAGTACAGTAATTTCTAAACTCGTACCAAAGCGACAGTGTCGCTAAAATAAACCGAGCAAATCAAGGGGCCCTAATCCTAATGGGGACATATGTGGGGCATTGCAAGGTCAGCAGGAAAAATTTCGCACTCTTCGTGAGAGAGCAGTGGAATTGAAAAGGGCTTGTATGATAAATTCCATTAATATTATCAAATGTGCATATTTTAGACCATTTTAGATGTTGGTCGCCAATTTAGATGGAATAATAATGAGGTTACATCTCTTGCCCTTGCGGTAATTCTTTTCAGCATAATCCTTATCGATTAGTTGTGACATTCAGCCTTGTCTAATTTTAGCGGCCAAGGGCATTGGTCTCATCCCCATCGTCAAACCCCTCCTTGATCTCTTAGATCTTGTTGCTAAAATATCGAATCTCCCTTGTCAAAATGATTGCTATAGGACTGGAAGGTAGTGCTAACAAATTGGGCGTTGGTGTCATATCACATCCCTCCAAAGGCAAGCCAGCTAAAATTCTTTCCAACATTCGACATACCTTTGTCTCGCCTCCAGGTGAAGGTTTTCTACCGAAAGATACTGCGAAGCATCATCGATCATGGGTTATAAAACTTGTGAAGCAAGCTATGGCACAAGCTGGAGTGAAGGTCTCCGATATCGACTGCATATGTTATACAAAAGGCCCTGGCATGGGTGCACCTCTGCAAAGTGTGGCCATCGCAGCGCGAATGCTTTCGCTGCTGTGGGGTAAAGAGTTGGTAGGGGTAAATCATTGCGTAGGACACATAGAGATGGGTCGAGAGATTACTGGGGCACAGAATCCGGTTGTTCTATACGTCAGTGGAGGAAATACCCAAGTGATTGCATATGCGGAGCAACGATATCGAATTTTCGGTGAAGCGCTAGATATTGCGGTTGGTAACTGTTTGGATCGTTTTGCAAGGACCTTGGAGATCAGCAACGATCCCGCGCCAGGATACAATATTGAGCAGTTAGCAAAGAAGGGAAAAGTGCTATTAGATTTGCCATATGCGGTAAAAGGAATGGACTGCTCATTTTCTGGAATTTTAGCAAGCATTGATATTCTTGCTGCAGAGCTGAAGGAGAATCCAAAGCAAAAAGACCCTATTACGGGAGAAGTTATTACCACAGCAGATTTATGTTTTAGCTTGCAGGAAACTGTCTTCGCGATGCTGGTAGAAATAACAGAACGAGCTATGGCTCATGTAGGAAGCAACCAAGTCCTTATCGTGGGAGGCGTAGGTTGTAATGAGAGACTACAAGAGATGATGGGATTGATGGCAAGGGATAGGGGAGGCAGCGTCTTTGCAACCGATGAACGCTTCTGCATTGATAATGGTATCATGATAGCGCAGGCTGGGCTTCTGGCGTACGAAACCGGTTTCAGGACTCCATTGGAAGAGAGTACATGTACTCAGAGATTCAGAACGGATCAAGTTTTCGTCAAATGGAGAGAATGAACAGTCCATCAAGTCCTCAGATATTGTCACTCAAAGAGATCTTGGCATGGTGTTCAGGCTTACAGAAGCGCCGATCCTACTATCAAAACCCATCGTCGGAGTCATCATCTTCCTCAATTATAGTTTGCGCCAATAACCCATGTTCGTCCTTCTTTCTACCTCCATCCTTTTCCAGCCATTCAGAATATCTCTTTTCTACAGAGGGATCAACCTTCCATTTCAATAAGTCTGGCTTCGTCTTTTGTTTCTTCTGTTCTTTTGTAGCGTGAATTGATACCAAAGGATGACCCGTATCTTCGGGGTTTGATGTCAGTTTGAATAGTGATTCGAGTACGTTGGAGGAGATACGTAAAACGGACCCAGTGATCAGGCCAATGAAGATTGCAGACCCCAGGAATATGATGAGGGCCTGGGGACTATTAGCGGTAGCCCATCAGTTTACTTTTGTGTGACGCTTACCTCGAATTTAGCTAGAACCTTCAAAGGGAGAAGCGTAGCAGAAATCAAAGAGTTGCCAAGATGTAATAGCGGAGCGAGAGCAATCCCGAGAACAGCTAAGAGCCACCTGAAAATAAAAGTGATTGGCAAGGAAATATAATAAAATGTTTTTGCTAAAATTGATAGCCATGTCGTATCAGGAGTTTCCATGATGAATAACAAATAAGCTCTTTGGGGTAATGTCAATAATAGGTGCAAGGCTGACAGAAAAGATCTGTTCTATACCTACATTGACCTATCAAGAGATGATGTGATGTTTGAGTATGGAATACCCTCATAGGATTTCCATAATTGAGAGCTGTCAGGGGATGTTTTTGTCTTGAAATCAATGTTGATGTTGATGTTGATATTATTACCTAGCTAGGTACCTAGGTATGTTTTTGCTCCGGAACGGAACAATCAAGGGCTCTTGCACGGACCAGGTCAGCAAGCAAATCAGACAAGGATTCGGAGCATCGTCGCAATATTGTGGGTTTGGAACTCGTATGGAACTTTAAAGGCTGATTGTGGGGTTGAAGGAACAAACCTTAAGGAACGAAACAACTCCCAGAGTTCAAATCCAGAATCTTTTCACGAAAGAACCACCCGATTTTATTTAGTCTTTCAAACCTCAACTTTGATCATTTCTTAGATACCCCGAATAAGTACATGTCCTCCCAGATTCGTGGAACGGTACATTCATTTTAACTCATGATCAAAAATACTTATTTACTACTCAAGAGATATAAGATAGCTGTGCTCAGCAAATCCCCTCGACCTTTTCCACTTTCTTTCTTTTAAAGGACCTTCCCCCGCCCGGAATGATTTTTTGAATGCATTAGTTCGAATCACACGACCACTTTCATTATGGGGAATACACCTTCTACCCACACGAGGCCAAACGCTTCGACACCTCATTCGCATTCTCCCGCACCTTCAAGCCATAGTAATGACTCATCAAGGACATCATCAACTCGCAGAGATCCCAGGAATTTGATTCATTCGCACAGGACCGCTGCGAGAGCAGAACCTTCTCTCGCACAAGCTCACGGATCGAATGTCACACACCGCCCGCGCAACTCCCAATCACACCCTGCCGCACAATTCAATAGTTCCTTACCGAGTTCGGGGGTCAATACACCATCAGCGCATGAAAAAGAGCCAAAACCGGGCGTGCAATCACATAAAGATGGGCCAGAGACAGATAAGATCGTCGTGAAAGACCAGCCAACCAAGCCAGTCGATGTTCCCATGCCATCCTCAAATTACGACACTACCACGTGTAGATCACACTCGCATTCACACTCCCTATCGAGCACGCAACCTCCATCCATTGACCCCTCCGATCCCCCGATTCAAGATATGTCGTATCATCTTACGCGACCTCCGAGACTCCCACTGCCAATTGAGGAGGAGGTGCATACACCAGGATCACCTTTGATCACGCCAGCTGATATGATTGCCCCAGCGATAGATATAGAGGCTTTGGATAATGAACGGCTTGCGAGACGGAACTCGGCACTTAGCAACACGACTATAGATGAGGAGGATGCCGAGGAGATTCAAATCGACCGGACGAAGGCAACAGTACCAACCCTATTTGAATGGAGAGAAGGCGGAGAGAAAGTTTATGTAACTGGTACCATATTTCAGTGGAATAAGAAGCAGAGATTAAGCGCAGTGTAACCTCCCTTTTTTCATTACAAAATGTTCAGTTCTCAACTTTTGATGGCTTCCACTAATACTTCACAGGGAAGGAGAGCCAGGACTTTTGAGAGCAATTATTCATGTACGACCTGGAACTCACCACGTTCGATTTATTCAAGATGGCATTATGAAATGTTCAGCACTTCTTCCGACAACTGTTGATTTTGGCAACAACTTAGTCAATTATATCGAAGTCAGTGCCGATGACATCCCTAACGATGATGGTTCTGTAAATATACCTAGTGAACCAATTGGAGGTGCAGAAGCCAAGCCCGAGGTCACTCAGCCAGAACCAGTACCTGCAGAAGAGAGGACAAAACCGAAGCCCGTGTCGAAGATGAAGCACGCAATCTCTCATAGCAGATTTACTTCAGAGATTCCACAATACCTTATAGATATGGACAAACCTGAAGATTCTAGGGAATACCGCTACGCAATTGCTGCTATAGACAAACTGCCTCCTCCCCCTAGTTTACCAGGTTTCTTGGGAAAACCCATCTTGAATAGCAATCCACCGATGAAGGATGACAATAGTGTTCTTATTATGCCTAATCACACTGTTCTTAATCATCTAGCTACGAGCAGTATTAAGAACAATGTTCTTGCTGTTTCTGCCACTACAAGGTATAAGCGAAAGGTACGGGCAATTCTTTACCTGTTGAAATTTTGTACTGATCCATAATATAGTATGTCACAACGATCATGTACAAACCTACTTTAGAGGAATAAGAATAAAAAAACAGCAATGCGAGAGGTTACAATCTATGAATAGTGGAGGTGGTGGACCTGGATATCAAAGGAAAATAACACTCCGTACATGCATCGAGTAATAATTTGGCAAATAATAAGCTTGCTTCGCATGATTTCAATGGAAGCCAGATGCAGAATATTCCAATGAAAAGGAAGAACCACTTATTGTGCCCCAATCGTGTATCTCAGTTCAGTACAAATTCAAGGCTAGCACACAACCCGCTCACAAGCTTCAGAGCTCGCTCTATGGAAGCTCCCGCATTATCCCTCCCCGCCCGAGCTCACCAACCCCTATCCATTTTTAATTCTCACGTACCAATCAATCATTTGAGTGCCTCTCTCCACCGGCACGTGCCGATAAGCCCCCTCTTTCTGCGATAAGAATTTTTCAAAAGTTGATGCTGCTGGTAAATTATTGTCTGCAGATAAGACAGTAATACAGAATTTTCCACGCGCCAACATATCCGTTCGGATTTTAGATAATTTCAACTCGATATACCAAAAGCCTTCGGATTCCGAATTCGAACCCCAGCTTGCGATAATCTACAACACTCCTTTATTGAATACATACTTGGGAAAATCAAGTAAGCCTTGTTTCGCGAAGCTCTCGACATCCCATCCCAAGTTCGCAAGCTTTCCATTATGCGCACCCAGCCCAATATTATTATAACTGGCACGCCTGGTGTGGGGAAGACTACACATTGCGAACAGTTGGCGGAAGATACGGGGTTGAAGCATTTGAGTGTTAATGATGTGGTTAAAGAGAAGGGGTGTCATGAGGGATGGGATGATGAGTTGAAGTCTTGGATTGTGGATGAGGATAAGGTGAGTTAGGTTTTCTTTTGTGGAGGAGATAAAGGGGGTGTTTTGAAGTGAGCGGGCTATACGGGATGATTTGAGGATTCATTGGGAGAATTTGGATCGGATCATTCGAGTTTTGGCTAATGGATTTGGAATGGATAGTTACTGGATGAAATAGAAGATGAGGTTAAACAAGGTGGATATATTATCGATTGGCACGCTTGCGAATTGTTTCCTAAAAGCTGGATTGATTTGGTGGTTGTGTTGAGGGTGGATTCGACGCTGTTGTATGATAGGTTGAAGACGAGGTATGTTTGTTTCTGAATTGTGCTGGAGGAGTATTTCTAGGCATGCAGCGAGGAATTGAAGAGTGTAAGTAGACAAGCTAACTCTGTTTGAATTATAGGAACTACCCGGAAGCGAAGCTACAAGAGAATTTAGACGCGGAAATTATGGAAGTTCTACTCGAGGAAGCGAGAGAGAGCTATGATGAGGAAATTGTGGTCGAGCTGCGGAGTGACACAAGTGATGAGGTAGAGAGTAATGTGGAGAGGATTGAGGCGTGGATAAAGCAATGGAAGAAGGATCACGCTGATGACGATGAGGATGAGGAATGATTTGCAGTTTGGAAGAACATTGTGGCTTAGATGTACAACTTGACGAGTACTGTCTGCTCACTCCTTTCTTTGTTCTTGTCCTTTGTTTCTTGGACCCTATGCTTCTTCTCGCAGCCAAATCTTCAACTTCTCGAGTGCTCGGAAACGGTGAGAAATTTTGTTTTTCTCAGCTTTTTCCATTTCGGCGTATCTAAAAGGGGAGGGTTAAAACTTTTGTATATGGTGGAATGGGGCAAAAAATGAGGATTGGCGGAATTCTTACGTTTGGCCTTCATACTCGAATATGGGATCCCAGCCTATACGTCGAGATATCAGTAAAGGAGTCTACTTAGTGCGGTACAGTACAACATACCAAATGCACTTGGACCTCTGGGGGGTACAATCTTGCCCTAAGAAATGTTAGAGCCATCCTTTGGCAAGCAGGAAAACGGGCAAGCACATACATCTGTTCGTCCTTGAAAGATAATAGGTTCGTGACCTGGACCTTCAGAATAGGCAAATGTACAAACTGCCTGCGCAGACTTATCTGAAAAGCCAGCGAGCATATTATTCAGTCCATCGTGACCTGCTGCCTGCATGAACCATTTGCTGCATGACATGAGTGATCTCCACTTCCACTAAAATTGGATGAAACCCTTACATATATGGACCGGGCAGTTCTTTCAACGCATTGAAACATAAACATGTATCCTCAACCAGAACCGGACCCTTGATCTGCGGATGATGTCAGGACAACTTAATACTTGCGATGTATGGGAAGATGAAGAAATACAATTTCAGCCGCTCTTCGACATTTATCGCTGGAGATCTCTTCAATGGTTCCTTGGATCTCAACGAGATCTAGAGATTGACTTTGGAGATCAATCGTATCACCCAAGATGGCTTTCACCTCGATGAGTTTGTTTTTGTTGCCGGTGATGAAATTGAGAGTTTTGGGAGGGGCCATGGTGGAGATGTGAAGATTTTTGTTTTGTTATGTGGAAAGAGGGAAATATTGATGGAGTGGGGATCCAGTAATTAAGAAAGAGGAATTAGAAATAAAATGTCTAGATTCTATAAACTTTTATATCTTCGAAAATGTGTATTTGAATTGTGTTATTGCAATCTTTACGGAACTTCGACTCATCCGGTCAAAAAGCAGCTTCATTCTTTTATTGGCGAGCATGGATCGTGCCACCCCAGCACCACATCAGAATAATTAACCTTAAGTCCAACATAATTAATATAAACTCAATTCTAACAACCACACCCAAAAACCCCCAGGCTAATGATTCTATTAATATCTAAATAGACACTTTCTTCAACATAGTTTATCCTCCATCATGGATGATTTCTATCAACCTCTCATAAATTCTACTGATGGAATCGACACATTGAAATCCGAAACCTGGTTCACAAGTGTCCTCGCCTCTATTCGTGCAGTGCCTTTACCTATCATTCTCAGTATTGCTTTAGCGCCAGTTCTCGTGATCATAGCTACGAGATTATTGAGCGAGAGGCCGTCGGAAAAGGTAGAGGGAAAGGATGGAAAGACAGTTTGGATGCCGGCTTATTGGGTGCCGGGTGTGGGACATGTTCTTGCATTGTATGTTTGTTTCACGTGTGATTTTTGAAAACAATGGAAATTTGGAGCGTGGAAACTGATTAGATGATAGTTTGATGAATGGAGAGAAATTGGCAAGTGATTTAAGGTAGATAAGGTATAGGACGTTGGTTGAATAACATGCTTGCTGACTGGTGTGTAGGGATCAAAGTGCCCATGGTGAGTTCAGCTAGAAATATTGGTTATATCTGAGAGAGTTGAATATTTGTAGCCATTTGGAACTACTGGGATCTAGAAATCAAGGCTCGTGATGTTCCAACACTACTGACGCATTGAGCCAGGTATATTTGCACTTAATCTTGGAGGCTCTACGCATAATATCAGTAAGTTGCTTGCTGTCTCCTGAGTAGCCGTGCAGGAACTAATGAGTACAGTTTCGAATCCAAACCTGGTTAAGGGGTCAGTATTAGCGAGGGAGCTTTCTTGTATCAATGATCACTAATACTGTTTTAGAGTATTGCAGAAAAAAGAATCAGAAGTGACATTCAAACATGTTGCAATGACTCTAGCATCGAAAGTAGGTAATCCAGTGCCCTGAACTAATGCCGTGAGTTGTCATATTTTGCGCTGCTAAGAATTGTTGTAGTTCTTCGGGATACCCAAAAATGCAAAGAAGAAATATTTAGACAACTGGGAAGTAAGAAAGCTCCCTTCCTTCCACTTCACTAAGCTAAATCTTATCTCCAGGAATACACATCTGCTTTCAGTTACCTTATGAAGGAACCATATCTTAGTACCATGCTGAATGGAACTATACGCAATCTTGAAGGACTCATTCCACAGATGGTTTCATTTCTAGATAGCGAAATAGATCAACATCCATGGGAAAAATGGGCTAATGCTGAGTACATCTCTAAGGATGAAATGGAAGTTGATCTCATGGCCCTGGTACGAGATATACTTGGACATGCTTCCGTGTCCAGTATTTTCGGTCGTGCATTTTTAGAGAACAATCCTCATATTCTGCACGATATCTATGAAATGGATCGTGGTATGATGTATTTCATCATAGGGCTTCCATGGTTCACTCCTTGGCCTGCTGTCGCAAGAGCTCATTTTTCTCGTTCCCAAGTTCAAGGAAGTGTGAGAAGATTTCATGAAGCTCTCGATGCTTCAGTCGATGGAAAGCACGTTGACTCTTCTTGGGGTGATTTGGATGATGTCAGCGACTTTATCATGAGGAGACACGAACTGTTCAGAAGTAAGATTGTGAAGAGAAATATCCTTTATATAAGTTAATATTGTGGTAGAACATGGTCTAAAACCAAATGAGCGTGGAGACGTATCCGTAAGTCAACGTCCCTTCCACTTCTAACATCAAACGTCTAATGCCGGTCCCAGATTGTCTGGGCCCTTGTAGTTAACTCTACTCTACTCGTCTACTGGCACCTCCTCTACATTCTCTCCACCCCCAATCTCGCCGACAAGATCCGCGCCGAGATCTCCCCCTACGCAACTGTCGTCCCCGGTGAAAAAATCGGCTCATTCGCAGAAGCACCACGTATCCACCTTTCCCACGAAGACCTTTCCAAGAAATGCCCCCTCTTCAAATCCACCTATCTGGAAGCCTTACGTCTATCTTCCCAACCCGCATCTGTCCGAAAACTCGAAAATGACATCACCCTAACCGATGCTGCATCTAATAAGGACAACGATAAAACCTCCGCAACCACTTACATCCTCCGCAAAAACGAATACGTAACCCTCCCGCATGAGCTCCACATGCGCGACCCCTCCCACTTTACCTCCCCCACCACATTTAACCCCGAACGTTTCCTCAGCACCGACGAAACCGGCCAATCCTCCGTCGACTCGCAAACTATTCGTCCCTATGGTGGCGGATCTAGTATGTGTAAAGGCCGCGTATTCGCCGAGAGAGAATGTCTTGCTTTCGTAGCCGGCATCCTCATGTATTGGGATCTGGAGCCTGTTGTTCAGAAAGGAGAGAAGAAGGGGAAATGGAGGATTCCTGGAATGATAAAAACTAGTGCGGTTTGTTTACCGGATAAGGAAACGAGGGTGAGGATTAAGAGGCGAATTTTATAACGGGATGTTAGAGGGTGGATGCGGGTAGTTATTGCGGTAGTTATCACTAATTAGTTCAACTCCATTGTAGAGTAGACGACTGCATGCGAAGCTTTCAGACTTTGAAACAGATATTTGAATTAGGCGAGCAAACCTTTGAATTCTCCATCCGTGCCTCAGACTAAGTAAGCTTCTTCGCTGAAGCTTCCCTTCTACTCGAGGAAGAGTAACCATCATCAATTATCATTCAAGGCTTTATCAAGCCAACGCCATAATCTTTTATCCGCCACGAAGCCTTGATTAAGTTCGGACACTAGAGTAAGCTTCCTCGCGGTAGCTTCCTTCCCACTCGATTTCATGACGCGAAAATAGTCATTTTCATATTTTGCGAGTTCACCAACCGAACGATCTTCCATCTTAAGTTCTGCAGCCAAATCTCGAAACTTATCTTCATCTCGTGCGCTTCTAAATAGTCTGGGTATATCGATAATGTCTTTTGATTTGTAGATAAATGCGTACAGTTCTAGTTCTGTGAAGTAATTGTAGTCTCAAAGACCATGTAGGGACACCAGGCGCAAAAACCACCAGGATCGCTGAGCAGAGATCCAAATTTGTTCGTCGAAGGTGTTGTGTTTGAAGCCACTTCGAAAACAAGGGGTTAATGAGCTATCGATATCATGTCTCGGCCCGGACAGACTTGGGGTTGTTAATAGTATGGGCATTGGAACAGTAGAGCAAAATGCCCCATCTATGATGCAGCTGATATTGAAACCTTCATCGACGAAAATATTGCCTGAACTAAGATCGGGGTGGTGAAGAGGATATTCATTTACAAACTCGCTCGGGATCGTCGATGCAGGGACATCGATTGAAGGTAGCATATCCCGTAGGTAATGCTCCGCAATACAATAATCCAATCTATTAGAACTGTGATCAATTTTCCCACCCACCATAACATAATCGCTCTAGCGAGACACTGCCGATGCATATCGTGAAGGTGTTTCGAATTCGCTTGCTTCCGGGATAGGTGCAAAAAACACATGTGGCTCTAGTGATAGCTCCTTCACATGAAGAAGGAAGGCTACAAGCATAGACTCATAAAACTCCCTTGTGGATAGAAAAGGGCCCCGTGAAACCTCATCCAAGCGATCGCGTATGTACCATATCAAAGCTGGCAAAAGGCATTTCTTGATGTGATGGCCATCGCCTTAAATGTATAATGATCCTATCTTGTCAAATCTCAGTTTTGATAATTGAGCGCGCAACAGCCCTAGCTGCTTCATAATTTTCTCTTTGTGCGTTCTCCGTAGAGAGGGGAGCAGTTTGCGACGCGAGATTTTTACTGGTTCGGCATCCCATGCAAATTTACTCAGTGCAATACCAGGGGCCTTGCTCATAAGAATAAATGGGATGCCGATTGGGTTCGAGGATGTGGAGCTTTGATTGATCGGCGTGGAAATATATAGTAATGCTGCACGGGATAAATACCCGTGATCGAATATTTCTGGGACGGGAATTGAACTGGTCACTTGATGTACTTCATGGTCGCAACCTCACTCTCGAGCAATTCCAACGCGGTGTGAATAGATATACCGTTATTCATCTGAGGGCAGCGAAAGATCCACTCTACACTATCCACGAATGTCAGAACGATTGCCCAGTTCAAAGAGCCACACAATGGCTGCTGGGACATATCGCAGGAACACAAGACATTCCCAATTTGCTTAGCAAGATGAAATAACGTGGGTAGATTGAGTTTCGCGTAGAAGAATGGACTCATCGTATTGACTGTATTGTTGTGATGTGTAGGTGCGATGAAATGCGTCGAGCTTATTATGGGCAATGCACACTGAGTAATAATGATGCTGATGAGAGGATCATTATATATCTTCAGAATTATAAATTGGAAAATCTTTCACATTCAGAAAAGTCTCCTATCAAAAATTTGCCCCAAAACACCACATGAACATAACATAACATAACATTCCACCCATTCTTGTTTGCGAAGAGCTTGATCTACTAATCTTCATCTTATCTTTTCATATCTCATCTAATATCGATCATTTCAGTTGCCTGGTCTTATGCCCATATCATATCCCTAAAAGACGAAGAAAAAGAATTGAAGAAAATTTCCGAAGAAAGGCAAAAAAAAGAAAAAAAGAAAAAGAAGAACAAGAGTATTAAAGTAACTTCAAACGCCTAACAGGAAGATTGTACACGGTTGCACTAAAAAAGGTCTCGTGCTATCAAATCTACAAAAGAGGGAAAGTCTTCTTTTGCTCCCCCTTCTCGCCTCCAAAGATACGAAAATATACGCTAACAATCAAGATATCATGCTACCCCAAAGGTTGTGCAAATCTGGAAGAATCCCAAATGCCATATACAAAAGGCTCTCCAAGCCATGGCAGAAAAGATCTTAAGTGGTGGATGTGAAAATGGTACAGAAGAAGGTAAGAGGTTTTGCATTAGATAAAAGGACCGCAGGTGTTCCCGCAATCAAGCACCATTCATCTCGTTGTCTGATTGCTCGGCGATATCATCCTGAGCGTATTCCATTTTTTCCTGCTGCTGCATGGCTTGCTGGGAAACGATCTCTGCTAGACGTTTTAGTCTTGGTGTTTGGAGCCCTAGATTTGTGTTAGCTATGATTTGTTACAAATGATGAGAGATAATTACATGAAGGTGTATAAGTCTCCAATGCTGTGATGACACGAGGTTCCGCAATTTCATATGGTCCACTGTCATCCATATCAACTGCAGCCAAAAGCAAGACATCACTCTTTTCTGTTACGCGAGAAGCGACAGCTTTCATGATCTCTCCGTTAATGGGCTGTTCATAATCGGCGACAAGATACTGATTAAGCAGCTTTTGGATCTGATTTGGTGAAAGCATCCAGCAAATATCCTGAATAATTTCGATGTCGTTAAGAGTGGCCTTCTTCAATTGGAGGAGTTTCGTTGCTTGCTGTAATCATATTAGCATCTGGTCTTACTGAAATACAAATACACAATGCTTCTTACCATCAAGTGCTCTAGCTGAAGAGTTCCCTCTGGCATGTCATGACTCTTACACCATTCCTCTATCCTTGTAATGTTGTAATTGATTTGCAGTCCTCGCTTCCACGACAAGAAATTCCTTCTCATCAGAAGATCATTGAATGCGGTGACACCGACCAATCTGAGTAATTCCGTGACGGTCTGTGTAATGATTGAATCTTCTAAGTAGTAGGCTTTCATGGCTTTGAAAACGTTGTTGAGCAAGCTAAGCAAATTGTCCATGCTAAAGGCGGGAGCTGAATTAGTCTGGAGCAATTTGCCCAAAAATCTGTTGCTTTCATTGGTGACGAAGCCAGGCAGTGACTGGGATTCGATGATAGCTGGGATAATCATCTTCTGCAATTTCTTCTTCAAAACCTTCATCCAAGTATGATAGATATTGAATTCTAAGCTCTCTAGATCATGCTTGACGATGTCAAGGAGACGATCATACTCGAAATTATCCGACTTCTGGGCTTCATACCAATCTTCGGCCAAGAAGACGAAAGAAAGCATCTCATGAACATTAGACAACCAAAAGGCACCTGGGTTGACAGCCTCATCACCGTCATGTTGCATCACCTCATGCTGAATAGATTGCATGACGTTTGCAAGGAATCTTTCTGATTCCTTGACGAATCCATTGTTCCACATCTCTGATGTGACAAGATTGATCAAGTAAGATGGGAAAAGGACTTCCTTGTCTGTTGGTGGTGGAGTGGACGTAGCGGCTGGAATCTTAAGGTTCTTGATCAGACCAATTGTGACTTCTTCGTTCAAGCCCTCCTCATCAGCCAAAAGATTCTCGAGCTCGAACTCGATGGTGTCAACACTGGGTTGGAATGTGGAGCCGGAAAGTGTTTGCTGATGGAGGTTGTGGCTTGTTACAGCCATGGATACTGGCCTTGGGTTGTAAGCTGCACTGAAGCGATCTAACTCACGCGGCTCAGCTCCTGCGCTTCTGCGTTTCGGTTTCTTCGAAGCAACCAAATTAATAAGTCCGTTTTGTTGCGCTGCGACAGCACCATTCATAATCTCTCCATTGGGCGGCAGGATGGGACCTGCACGCTTCGCCAGGTCAAGTTGATCTTGCAAGTCAACAAGCTGTTGTCTAAGAGTGATTTTTTCCGATTCGTGCAGAGTGCCCTCCTCCTTCGCCTTCTCGAGCTCTAGGTTTGATACTCTAAGAGACTCTCTCAGCTCTTTCTCTTCTTCTTGCAGACGCTTGATATTGACAGCTGACTCGTCAAAATTCGTCTGAAGTTTCGTCATTTCTTCCTCCATGACAGCGAGACGTGCGGCAGTGATTCCAGCTTGGTTAGCCTCAGTTTGCAATTCCTTTACCCGAGCTTCCAAAGCATTGTGTCTGTTCTTCCACGACTTGATCTGGTTTTCGTAGTTCTCCACTTGGGTCAATAAAGTCTTGTTCTCCCTCTTCATCGTACCAACTGATTGAGTAAGTTCGACGACCTTGTTTTCCAGTTTGTAAGAAATTTGTTTGAGATCTCTTGCCTCCTCACGAATCTTCTTGTACCCACGACGTGCTGTTTTACCCCTCCACAGACTCTGGACAATAACAATCTTTCTCCTGTAATCTCTCCATTTCTTAAGCGACTGCCTTGATCGCCATGACCTTTGAATGATCATGGCAGCATTGCCAACCCTAGTCTCCATAATTTCTTTTCTGCGCAAGAATCCCTTGATGGCAGCTTGAGCGAGTATAACATTGTTGCGAATGGCCAAGAACTTCCTGCGCTCTTTCTGACCACGCCAGACTCTTTGAATGGTTGTGGCAGCCTTGACCTTACGATTCTCTTGAGCATACCGACGAGCAAGATGGCCTCGAACCGCCGATTGGAACGTAAGAATCGCACTTCTGGCGTCAAGATACTTGCGTCGATAGTACTGAGCTTTGAGATTCTTCTGAATCATAATTGCACAATCGTTGAGTCGGTTTGTTCGCAAGTTCTCCAAAAATGCCAACATGCCTGCACGGAAGAAAATCTTCGTCAAACCAAGCTGATACTTGTCCAACCCACCTCCACTGCTGGCACCAAGTGCTTTCGTGAGAATTATATTAGCCATCTCACGGATTTCCGATGTCCACGCTGATGAGGGCGTTAACATATAGTACCGTAAAGCAAACTCTTCATATGTCCAACGTGTGGGGTATCCGGCAGTACTGATGCGGACCGTCTCAAGCACACCACAAGCTCGTAATTGACTCAGAACCATAGGGCCCTCAAAGACCCACGACTCCTTAGCCTCGTTGGGCTTAATACAACGAATGTAGTGAACATCAGTGCCGTTAATAGTGCTCATGAGCTCGATCAAAGACGACTTGAAGATACCACCCAAAGTAGGCTTGCGGTTGACAGCAACACCGATCCTTCTACCAGGCGTGGGTTTTGTTGCAGCTGAGGTTGTTGCCGAGGCCGTATCCTTCTCCCGCACAGCGGATGCAGCATCCAGAACTATGCCCAAGAATTTGTTCGAGGAGGCTCTCAAAACTGCCATATGTTCATCGGGAACAGTGTCACGATTCTTGTCAATAAAGCCATCTGACTCGTAAGTCACATCAATAGCATAATGACAAACAGTGAATGACGATTTTCCAAAACGAGGCTTCTTGTAGAATTTGTTCTTGTCAGCCGCAAAATTGTGATGCAGCTTCGTCACAAACTGCTCGTCTGAGCCCATTGGGAGTCTAGATTCTTCGTCAAGAAGTGACAACACACCAAGCTTTCCCTCAATCAAGTCAATACAAGGTTGATTGTCAGAAAAGTCGATAAAGGTCCAGTCGATCTCCTCCCTAAGATACTCCTCTTGTTCGAGCTTGAACACGTGAGCGTTAAACTCTTGTTGAAGTTTTTCATTCGCGTAGTTGATGCAGAACTGTTCGAAAGAATTCTTTGCAAAATGCTCGAACCCATAAATATCCAACACGCCAATGAATGTTTTCACACGAGCCAACACCTCATCGGTGGCAAGAGCATGGTTAATACTATCCACAAGCCAATCGAACATACTTGAGTAGATGAATTTCGCAACCGAATCTCGCACAACGATTGCTTGTTGTTGAGTTAAGTTTGATGTGATCTTTTCACCTCTCGTGATCAACTGCTTCTTCACAGTCCATTTTGCAAACTCTACAGGATCCACACCAAGCAAAGCTGTTGCCTTCAATAATGCCGGCTCATTAGGAGCCAAGACAGAATCCGTTCTCGAGGCCGTGATCTTTACGTCACCCAGGTGAAGCAAAGCCGCAAGCAGTTTAAAGATGTCCGCTTGTTGACTGGCATCGACTCCTATTGTAGCCAAAGATCCCTTCAGTGCCTCGAATTCTGCTTTATCATCAACGCCATCGATAGTTGGCGAGCTTCCCTGGTTGAGATAATCAAATTGTTCGACAGGCTTCAAATCGAGTTCCTTTGTCTCGCTTTCCGTTGCTCCTGCTACTAGTTGGTAGAAAACATGGTAATTTCGCTCCTTAAGGGGTTGAAACACTAATCTCGAACGCTCCAACAGATAGGTTCGAATTTTTGCTCCAATGATATTTGTCTTATCATCAAACATAATCTCGATATATTTCCCGAACCGGGAAGAATTGTCATTACGTGTGGTCTTGGCGTTGCCAAAAGCTTCCATGATCGGGTTCGTAGCCAAAATTCGTTCTTCTGTTTCACTCATTTGTTCTGTACCCCGCTTCGTCCTTGTTCCTGGCTGATCCGGTGATTCTCTGGTAGCAAAATATCGCATAATATATTTGGCACTAACAGTCTTTCCAGCTCCAGATTCTCCTGATACCACTATTGTCTGATTCTTTTGACTCCTCAACATATCCCTATTAACAGTTAGCAAGTCACAAGGGCTTTAGCAGTAGCTACTTACGCAAAAGCTTCCTCTGCAATTGCAAATAAATGAGGGGCCTGCGTAGCTCTTTGCCTTCCTGCATATACCTGTACCATGCCAGGAACATATAAAGAATCAACTCGCGCAAAAGGGTTCGTTGCTATCAGCACAATACCACTGTATGTGTATATCTCTTTCTGCAGGTATCGTAATCGGATAGCCTGTAAGACTGTTCCGCAAGGTCAATTTTGAGCTTGAAAAAATATTGTAATCGGCGACCTACCAGCAGGCTCGTTGAGATGGGAAAGATTCGTTAAATCATCACTCGCTTCGAGCATCGTTGGATTCATCAAAGGGGGTAAGGAGGCATTATTTGCTTCTGTCAACGCTTCTTCTGTGGTTTCTATCGATTTGGTCTGCAGTTGAAAACAAGGTCAGCATCATTCACAAGAAGGAGGAGAACATGAATTCCCTCCCAAAGTACAAGACAACAAACCTCTCCATTTTCGAGTTGAAAGACCAGTGTATACTTGTCTCCATTCAATGTTTTCGAGATCAATTCCGAAGCAACCCATCCTTCAGTAGCATCTGGCTGCCATGCCTTCGTACCGATATCATAGTTGTGCGCCATGATGGCGACGTTGATTGCTGAGAACCTGCCTGCTCTCGAACTGCTTCAACTGTTATAATAATGGGGAGACGGTTGTTCCAGGATCCGTCTGCATGAAATGAAGCAGCCTAATTTAATGGTGCTGTTCAAATAAACGACAGGAAGCGTGTTGAAGATACGCCGCCACAGATGACCTGTCTTATTTTCCTTTGTAAAATACTAAATAAGCACAAGATGCATTTGAAAGATTGTAAGGAGGTTTGAGAGCCACGGTATTTGGGATTTAGAATGCTTGTCGCGAGCTCAGTCGTCAACAGGGATATGTCTTGGCGACGCTAAAATATTTTAGTAACAAAATAACTAAATTCCCGGTGACCCCTATTTTGGTGAATGTGGGACAGACAAAAGGGATTTTGGGCTTCAACCGAAAAATGTAAAGTTTTAGGAATGAATGTGTGCGTGTTGAAAGAGTTGTTGACAACAACAACAGATGTTATATCTATTCCAAAGTGAAAAACAAATAACAAATCTGTTACTGTTTCATGCAACTCGGAGAACCAACAACAAAATTTCTACTTGACACATCATACAATGCAAAATTACCTACATCTTTCTCCTCAACCTATGACTATCTCACCGCTTCGATTCACAATTCGCTATATGGAAAATGGTAACGTGTAAATCCATTCCACCGTGAGCATTGAAGCCAGATCCAGAAAGAGAAATCTTCTGCAGGTCGCAATTGTCCAGGTATAAATATGCGCAGAGGATTGGTGTTCTTTAATTTATCTTTATTTTTTCTTTTTGTCTAGATTTGGTTCCTCTTATCGAATTAACTTTTGGCTCCAAGTTGGGGCACGGTAGTTGAAGTTCGAAAAAGGTCTAGCTTCTTAAGGGGAATTCAGTTGATTACCTACCTGGTGTTTCTTTATGAACTCATTGACATATGATGAGACCAAGTGATAATACTATATTACCTACTAGGTACCTAGGTGATTTATTAGAATGTTCCATCTTCAGGAAAGGAAGATCTTACAACATACAATTTATTCCGCGTGGAAAAAGTGTAGGGCTTAGTCTACCGATACACTTCTTTACTCAGAAGGCTTGAAATTTGGAAAATAACCCTGCCAAATCTCCATTCCTCGCCAAAAAGCATTTGCTGTGTTTTCGTTTAAATTCATGTTCAAATCATATAACGAGATTTTAATATACGAGATATTAATGAGTATTAATGTGAATAGCTTTAATAATAACTAAGCCAAGATTGTAATTCTTTGATATGTTTTTCGATTTCGGAAATTCGAATCTGCCTCTCTCCCCTCCTTCCCGTAGGGTTTGTTTCGCATGCACTACGATTTTCCTTCAACACAGATATAATGTGTTGATGAGACGGACAACGAACTACCCTTTAATATATACAACCCCAGGGAGTTTTCCATACGAGTCTACGAGGCAGTAAGCAATCCCTTCTTAACTAGCTGAAGAGCTATCGCTGGATGTTCACGAATGATTCGAATGAGGGGGGTTATATCGTCAGTTGATTGTGCCACGACGAGTGATGCTTTTTCATCCTCAGGAGTGCAAATGGAGAAATTATTCAAAGCCTAGACGTTGAGATCTGTAGAGTTTGCATATTAGATAGCGCCATCCTATATACTGCAAAATTCAAAGACTCGTGTTTGGAACTGGCTTACAATGCTAAAATTGACAAAGCAGCCTTTGAGAGCTACAAAAAGCTCCCGATTATCATCCTTGTTTGGCTGGACGATGTCACTCGATGTCAGTTGGATACTACTAATTACCCAACTTAACGGCGATGATGAATTGTTCATTATTGGTTGCTTGCCCAATTCCCCGGGGATGTTCTGGTTACTCAAAGCTCTTAAAAGCCCCGGCTCTGCAACAAGTAAGGAATTTTGCAGCGTCCGTGAACGAAGTTTTGTCAGCATCTTTTTTCCAGCTCAAAGATGGTCAAGAAGTAGCAGAAATCATCAAGTACGCGCGGCTAATCTCGCTCTCACAGAAAACTCACACCAGGTTTGCTACACGTGGTGGCGCGAACATCAACAGAAGCGCACCATTGAATCCTCGAATTTAGTTGAGAACATAGTCGTTACAGACAAACAGACCAACGTCGCCACCGTAGGATGCAGGTTGCGATGAGGTGATGTGGATCGAGTTTCAGTGGCACAAGGACTAATGGTAGTGGAAGATTGCGGTTGTAAAGCTGGTCTTGGTGGATTAGTACTTGGTAGTAAGTCGATTCGGCCGCAAAACAAACGTTGCCGTACTACAGACAGACAGGAAGGGGTAACATAGACACTTGATGATAACAGCAGTAGGGAAAAGTGAAGTTACAAATATGCTTTAAGAATAGTCAGCGATCTGGCTATCAACACTGCGAGGTGTTTGAGCCAACCTGTTGTACCGGTTTTAAAGACGAAATAACTACCAACCATCGCATAAGTGTCCCAACGTGGCCGTAAATAAGCACTAGGCAAATACAGTAGCAACATTACATCAATATCCTCAGAAAACAGATGAGCTGATACAGTTAGCAGCATCCAATTTAAAGGTTTAGGAGAGATGCATACTTGAAGGGAGTTTAGTTTCTGACTACTTTAATGTAATCCATTTACAGACATACTAAAACTCAGAAAAAAAAACATAAATAATAGTTACAAATTAAGGATAGTAAGGTATGAAACAAAAAGTCCTGAAGTACCTATATATACATACCTATATTAGGTACCTAGATAAGAAGGCCTTAATAAACCTCATTCTTGAATATAGGTAATCCCAAGCATCGAATCTGAATCGGACATAAAGATCATTCATTAAGACTTCAAAACAATTGCAACACTCTTCACATTGAAAATTTCCCCAACGACGTCTCTAAAACTTTCTTGATTTCCAGGTTGAGTCTCGCATCCCAAGAATCGTCTGCTCGTCAAATCCGAATTAAACCATTATTGAAGAGTGCTGTAAAGCCTAGCTAGGGGAGGTATCTACTAGGAAGTATATTGGATTTTGGTATGCCATCTCGTGGGTGCGTGAGCCACCGATAAAATTTCTAAATTCAAAGGGCTTAAGATTGGAGTCAAGGGGGAACAAAGAACCTAGCAAAATTTTTCATTTTCCGAGTGTTTTGTTGACGCGGGGCAAAATTATTTGATGGGAATTCACATGTTCAAAAGATTCCAAGAGGTGATGTGATGCGTGGTGGAGAACATTGCCTTACCAGCCTCTTTCTGTTTATTCTGTTCTCACATACAAAAATGGATATGCAATTGAATGGAATCATAATCGTCATTTGACTTTTCTCGGGAAGAAATCTACATACTCCATTGTGCTAACAGAAAATAGAGATCGAGAGTATGGAAGGGGTGTAAGCTTCTTAAGCAATTAGGCTATTCTAATAGAAGCGAGTAAAATACCGGTAACAAAATGCAGTTGGGAAAAACACCTATGCAATTGCGGACTGTTCTTCCAGAACGACTTTGTGTGCCAAGGGCACTTCGGAGGTACTTATAGGCCAAGAACGTCCTTCAAAGGTAGTCAAGGGAGTGAAGATATCGATAAACACCAAAATTCCATCTAACTTTGCTTACATTCAGCGGCCTCCTGCTTGGGTTTTGCGGCATCATCCTAATTTATGTTAGTTCCTGTAGATAAAATAGTCATCAACAACTTACATCGTCGTCTGACTCATCATCATCATCATCACGGTCTTCACTCATATCTTCTTCATCGTCTTCATCCTCGAAATCACCCTCCTCCATATCATCATCCAATTCCTCGAATTGAAGAGCCTCTCCAGTGAACCAGTCGATTGCACGTGGAATAAGCTTCTCCTTAATGTCCTCGCCCAACTGATAGTCGAGCTCGAGGCGCTCCTCAATATCCGAGGCTGTGTCATCATCGTCATCTTCTGTAGGTGCCTTGGGTGGGGAGAAGAAGTTAAAGAAGGACTCTGTTGGGACAGTCTTCTTGACAACACGGGTCTGCTTTGTGTCTAGAGTAATGATTAGCAAACTCCAAACATCGTAAAGCCAATAGCAAACTTACTCTTGTTGCGTTGCTTTTTGCTCTCAACACGAACAGTCAAGTCCTTGCCATCCTTCCAATTAATTTTGTCACCTTCAGCATGGTCATAGATGAAGTCTCCACCATAACCGCTCTCGTTTTGGTAGAAGTAAGTCTTGGTGATTGTCTTGTTGGTGAAGAACTCGTTGTCGGCGAATTGGAAAATTAAGCGGAAACCGGGCTTGTCGAGGTATTCCATTTGTATATCGGTCAAGTCCTTGAGTGCGGCCTCATCTCTGTCTGTGATCATTTCGGCAAGCGAAACTTGGTTCTTCATTGCGGACAACCAGAATTCTGGAATACCAGCAATCTTCTCGGCGGATTCATCGACCTTCTCGGCTTGTTCTGCATCGTGCTCTTCATCCTCTTCCTCACCAGATTTAATCTCCTCCTCAGTGGGCTCGACCTCGCCGTTAACGATCTTGGCTCGCTTCTGGTACAGAGGGGTGAACTTGGCGAAGTACTTCTTCTCAAGCTCCAAGACCTCTTCCTGGAACTCGGCTTCTAACTTCGAATGTTCTTTTTGAACGCCCTTAAGACCGGCAACGCGACGACGAACGGGTGTAGGGAGGGACTCGATGTAACCAGATGAACGGCCAACAAGACTGCCAAGCTTTCCATGGATCATCTGGACAAGTTTTGGGTTTTGTGCGAAGAGAGAGGCTGCTGCAGCGCGTTCAAACTCCTCTGCGAGATAAATGTCAGTCATTGGCTTAGAAAACTCGGTGTAGGACGGAGTAACAACATACCTTCCTTAATCGTGCCAACACCAGGTTGCTGAGCATGCGATGAAATAGGAGCGTTATTCATTGGGGTGTTTTGAGGAGTACTGGAAAATAAATTGTCAACATTGTAAATGGAATTTTTTGTTGCCTTCGGAATGTCTGTGTTGAAACTTACGGGGCCGTTTGAGGATTATTTTTCTTTGGAATGTCCGACATCTTGTCGTATGATTTCAAGTTGCTTTGAGGAACTCAATAAAAGAATGAAGATATCTCTTGGATTGTAAGAGATTTTGTTCTCGTGGCGATGTTCTTTTGGGAAAAAGTTCTTGAGGTGGAGGTTAAGAAGTTGTTGGACCTTAGCGTCTAAGATTTGTTCAGATTGTGATTGCGGGCTACGACTTACCAAAATAACCGATAAGGCGGGGCGAAAACTTGTAAACCTGAGGTTAAGCTTATTTATTAATCATCGGCCGGGCAAAGCTACGATACGAGCTACCCTTACCGATACTTGTACTGCCCGGTGAACTCGCGCCGCGCTACGAAAGTTGTAATTTTCCACAAGTTGGTTGCCAACATTTTGGCTTCACCTGTAATGTATATTTCACTTTCATAATTATTTGGTGATACGTTCGAGGTGTATTTCTTTTACTATCAATTTAGAATGGCAGAGTCCAATGGTTCTGCCGCTGCAGGCTACCGGCCGCGGCGAAGCAGCTCCATCGCAAACCACAGTCAAAGAGGAGGAACAAATTATCATACACTTTACAGAAGAGATTCCAATGTGTCGACGGCCAGCTTCATGGATGATGTCGAGATGGCACATGATGAAATGTTTTCGGGTGCCATTTCTGAATCAGTTCCTTCTAGTATTGCATCCTTCGCGCATCGGCGGTCGCGAGCAGATTCTTCAGCAAGTTTCACATACTATCAACCAAACGACGATGACGAGGAGCTTTCACGAAGTGCCGAGGACGAAGATGACAGTGCGATAATAGACGAGGAAGACGATGTCCAATACCAAGAGGAAGATTCGGATTTGGAAGCTGCTGAATTGGCTTTGAGAAGGATATCAACTGTGGAATCCAGAAGTTCCGTGCATGATCGATTATTGCGCAGCGATAGTGCAAGAACGGATGGAAGTAACCTTGGGCAAGGTCATCGAACAAACCAAAAAATATACATCATTACAGAGGACCTTACTATAGTAGTGGCAGGTTTTCGAACTAGTACATCTGGGTTTGCGTTATACTTAGCCATTTGTATCCTTTCCTTTGGTCTTGGTTATCTTTTGTTACGATGGTTACCGCGCTGGCAAGTCCGTATCATTGGTATGCCATCACCATTGAGAGAATGTGCTTGGGTAGTCATTGAAGTCAGTAACAATCGTACATTCAAATTCCAATATTCTTTCCAAACTACTCATGTGCCCCCTTAGACTATAGCCACAGTCGTGCTGACTTCGTTTGTGTGTGTAGAACCAATGGGGAGAATTTGTTGTACAGGATGTCGAGTCAAAAGAATACGGACGGTCTCTGTCTACAGTCTTTGGCCTTTCCCAAAAAAAGTATTCCATGTCTTACGATTATGACGACGACCCCATTTTGGACAATCTACGTATTCTTGACTACCGCTATATGCGGTTCTCATTCAATCCTTTGAAAGATAGGTTCGTCCTATGTAATAGTGAGTATTATTTTCATTTCTTTCCCCCGAGTTTCAATAATCAGGGTGAAGGACCAAACTTGGAGTTTTGAACGATTGGGAAGCTGGGAATCGTTTGGAACATAGTTTGGCATTCTAAATGAACCTTCAAACCGGTTCAACGACCCGTCGTTGTATTGCAGCCCGGACTATTGAAAACCATAGGCTACTTCGTGTGGAGCGTATTCTCACACGATCATAGCTGAATCATACTAACCGGAACTTTACAGGCTGGAAGGACCCGGCATGGACAGATGTGAAGTCCATTCGTTCTGGAATTAGTGGAGAGGAGAAGGAGAACAGAGAGCTAGTCTTTGGGAATAACATGATTGACATCAGGCAGAAGACCGTTCCTCAACTTCTTGTAGATGAGGTATTTTACATTCTCTTATGTGAAGAGAAAACTTACTAAATGTTTTAGGCTTTCCATCCATTTTATGTCTTTCAAGTGGCCAGTCTTATTTTATGGTCAATGGATCAGTACTATTACTATGCTGCGTGTATATTCGTCATATCCGCGGTGAGTATCACTACTACACTTCTTGAGACCAGATCAGTGAGTACGCCCGACAGACCATTATTGTATTTTGTATGCTAATGATTTTTACCAAAGACAATGAAACGATTGAGAGAAATATCACGATTCGAATGTGACGTTCGTGTCTTACGTAATTCATTCTGTGGGTTATGTAGTTTTTCTCCCCTACAAACATCAATTAACTTTTTCAGGGCGCTATGTTCCATCGAGCGAACTTGTTCCAGGAGACATCTACGAGGTTACGGATCCGGCCTTAGGACAGTTTCCCTGTGATAGTCTACTGCTCGCTGGTGATTGCATTGTCAATGAAAGCATGCTCACTGGTAAGTTTTACAAAGCTCGGAGTAACACATTTCTGACTTCTTTAGGCGAATCCGTCCCTGTGTCCAAAGTTCCAGCTACCGATGAATCTTTGCGGCTCCTTAACCTTTCTGCTTCATCTGTGGCCCCTGAGCTCGCGAAACACTTCTTGTTTTGTGGGACTAAAATTATCAGGGCACGTCGTCCTCATGATGATAATGATGGCGAGGCAGTTGGGCTCGCCATGGCTGTCAGGACCGGCTTCAATACCACGAAAGGTGCATTGGTTAGATCCATGCTCTTCCCAAAGCCTTCAGGATTCAAGTTTTACAGAGATTCGTTCCGGTACATATCCGTCATGGGCGGCATTGCAATGCTAGGATTTGTTGCATCATTCATCAACTTTGTTCATCTGAACTTGGCATGGCACTTAATTGTTGTCAGAGCCCTGGATCTGATAACAATTGTCGTTCCGCCAGCTCTGCCCGCCACACTTACAATTGGAACCAATTTCGCCCTGGGACGCCTTAGGAAGAAGCAGATATTTTGTATCAGTCCTCAAAGAGTAAATGTGGGTGGAAAGCTCGACATTGTATGTTTCGACAAGACTGGAACGTTAACCGAGGATGGTCTGGATGTTCTTGGTATTAGAGCTGTACACCAGCCGGCAAATAGATTCAGTGATATTCTCACCGATGCGCCATCACTGTTGCCCGGCGCGGCTTATGAACGCGATCCTACAGTCGACTACAACATCCATAAAGCCATTCTTTACACGATGGCGACATGCCATTCCCTTCGAGTTGTTGATGATGAACTGATGGGTGATCCATTGGATCTAAAAATGTTTGACTTTACTGGTTGGTCTTTTGAGGAAGGGCAGCACAACTCTGGCGACACCGATGATGAGGAGTCTGGAGGATTGTCACCTTCAATCGCCCGACCTCCGGCGGGCATGGAATACGATTTGGATGATCAAGATAACGCCAATAAATCTCCTATCGAACTTGGTGTTCTCAAATCTTTCGAGTTTGTCTCCCAGCTTCGCCGAGCCAGTGTGATCGCTCGGAAGTTTGGGTCTCAAGGGTGTGATGTTTATGTAAAGGGTGCCCCTGAATGCATGAAAGACATTTGCAAAGCGGAAAGCTTCCCTAGTGACTACGAAGATCTTCTCGCTTATTATACCCATAGAGGCTTTCGCGTCATTGCCTGTGCTACGAAACACATCAAGAAGATTAACTGGGTGAAGATGCAGAAAATGAGCCGTGAAGACACTGAATCGGAGTTGAACTTTATTGGGTTCATTATCTTTGAGAACAAGCTTAAGCCAAGCACAGCCGGTGTATTGGATGAGTTGACTGAAGCTGGTATTAGAAAAGTCATGTGTACAGGCGACAATATCTTGACGGCCATTAGCGTCGCCAGGGAATGCAATCTCATCGACAAGACCGCTCACTGTTTCGTGCCTCACTTTATAGAAGGGAACTCGCTAGACCCAAAAGCTCGATTATCATGGGAGAGTATTGACAATAGCATATATAGACTCGACGACCAAACTCTAACGCCACTTCCTCCGCCGGTGGAAGGCGACGCCTCGTTACCTTATGATATATCTAATCTGAGGAATTACTCTTTAGCTGTGAGCGGAGATGTCTTCCGCTGGATTGTGGATTTTGCGCCCACAAGCGTTCTTCAAAGAATGTTAGTCTGTGGTCAAGTATTTGCGCGGATGTCGCCTGACGAGAAGCATGAGCTAGTGGAGAAACTCCAGAGTATCGACTACTGTTGCGGATTTTGTGGTGACGGTGCGAACGACTGTGGTGCTTTAAAAGCCGCAGATGTTGGCATATCATTATCTGAAGCAGAAGCTTCAGTCGCTGCGCCATTCACTAGCAGGGTGTTCGACATTACCTGCGTTCCTGAAGTTATACGTGAGGGTAGAGCAGCTTTGGTGACCAGTTTCAGCTGTTTCAAGTACATGAGTCTCTACTCGGCCATCCAATTCACGTCCGTGAGCTTTCTATATGCATCTGCATCAAATCTTGGGGACTTTCAATTTCTCTTCATCGATTTAATACTCATTCTGCCTATCGCTATTTTCATGGGATGGACTGGACCTTTTCCTATCCTATGCCAGAAACGCCCCACAGCCAACCTCGTGTCAAGAAAGGTGTTAACACCACTCTTGGGTCAAATAGCCATTTGCATCCTTATTCAAGCCGTTGCATTTCAAGCAGTGAGACGACAGCCTTGGTTCATTCCCCCTCATCTTGATAAGGACAAATCCAACATTGAAAATTCGGAAAACACTACACTATTTTTGGTATCTTGCTTTGAATACATTCTTTCCGGAATCGTCCTAAGTGTGGGGAAGCCATTCCGTCAATCCATGGCACATAACCGTAAGTATTTACAGATCTTCCTCTACTGTTCTCAATAACTAACACTGACCCAGTACCATTTGTCGTCACAATTGTCGTGGCATTGCTGTTCTCGTTATATATGCTCTTTGATCCGTCTCAATGGTTGGCGAATTTTATGCAGTTGACTGAAATGAGTTGGGACTTTGAGGTATTTATCCTGGTCCTAGCAGTTGGATATATTTTCCTGGCATGGTCCTCTGAAAACTATTTGCTACCAAAGCTTGGAAAGTATTTGGGGATTTTAAAGACGTCAATCACCCGGAAGCCTAAGCAGAGAAAGACCTACAAATTGGTGTTGGAGGAGATGCGCTTAAGTTCACTGCAGTAATGATTGCGGTGTGTGTACAAATAAGAAACAGTGTAACAATATGTATATATAGACAAGCTAGGTAATAGATGGTTCGCAAACTAGCAGTGCGGTCTGACGACAATGGCAGAAATGCTGTATCTTGTCGAATCTCATTGAAATATTGAATCTACTTGGAACATTAGTTTCATCGAGTAAATTATATTTTAGCAGTCTTGAAATTCACAACTTATTCGATTCTTGGAGACGTGCTACGTGCTACTTATAAATTAGAAAGGTTAGTCTGCTAGGCAGGTGCAAGCGCAGGTACGGGTCCTAGTTTGGAAGCTAACAGAGGAGCTACGGGCACCGGAGTATCTTTCGAATGATGATTAAATGATGATATTGCGCACCCACCCCCGCGCTTTGATGAGCTCTTCTAAACTCTATATGTAGCATTCCTCAACCTCTAAAGAAGTTTACCTTTTAGTTTCTTTAGTTTCTTAAGATAATTTACTGTATAGAAATTACCTGTTAATTCTCCAAATTTTCAATCCTTTTTTGAGCTACCAATTATGAATTACGGTAAATCTAATCTACGTCCTTTCAAGACCTTGCATCACAGTGGCAACTGACATTCTCCCAGACTGGATCCTCGACGGAGGATATCTCCCAAATGCTGTAATCCGCCTTGGTATCCGTCGCCAATTGCGTGAGCGTATTGACCTTATAAAGAGTACCTCATTAGAAGAAGCGTATGAGCGTAAAATGAGCTACGTAGAGCTTCTGCGTAGTCGTCCGATTGCCATTGAGACGGCTGCTGCCAATGAACAGCATTATGAAGTCGGAACTGGTGTTCTTGCTGCGTGTCTAGGGCCAAGAATGAAGTATAGTTGTTGTTTGTATCCTAAGGGGAGTGAAACTTTGGGTCAGGCGGAAGTGGAAATGTTGGAGACTTATGTGAAAAAGGCTGGGTTGGAGGATGGAATGAGTATCCTGGATCTTGGGTGAGTCGCTTCTGAGTTCTAGAAACAAGAATCATGGAAAGGGGATGGGGAAGGCTAATATATTTTAGATGTGGTTGGGGTTCAGGAGCATTGTATTTTGCGGAAGTTTTCCCAAATTCGAAGATCACGGCGTTCTCGAACTCGAGAACCCAGAAGCTCTACATTGATGGGAAAGCCAAGGAGAAGGGTTTCCAAAATCTGACAGTGATCACCGGGAACGTGGTGGATTACGAATTCGAGAAAGATAGTTTTGACCGAGTTGTATCCATCGAGGTAAGTCACATGTAAAGAATTCATTTAAGTCAGTGGCTAACAAGGGGAAGCTTTTTGAGCATATGAAGAACTATGAGCTACTGATGGCAAAAATTGGAAGAGCCTTGAAGCCAGGGGGGAAACTGTTTGTCCATATCTTTGCTCACAAGACTACACCTTACGACTTTGAGGAGGGATGGATGAGCACACATTTTTTCGTAAGTATAATACATTCTCCACATGACAATCCTTCGATTCAAAGTGCATTTTGGTGTTACATCTAATGTATCCTTTTTCCTGTCTTCGGCGTTTTTTCTTGATCGTGCCCTAGAGCAAAACCCTCCCACTTTAGCAGCAATCACTGACTCGTTGATTTTGTAGTCTGGAGGTACCATGCCATCTGCGGATCTGTTGTTATTCTTTCAGAAAGATCTCAAACTTGAGAGGCAATGGTGGGTGAATGGCCAACATTACGCAAAGACTTGCGAGGTATGTACATTGGTTAGTTTAGACTTGTCTGTTCCTCGCTAATAAATCATGTAGGATTGGCTGTCAAAGATGGTAGCTAGCAAGCAAGAGATTTGGCCCCACCTAACAGAAACATATGGCGAGAAAGATACCGCAATGTGGTATTACCGCTGGCAAATTTTCTACCTGGCAGTAAGTTGCTTCCCCCATCTCTTCGTAGTTTTTATACTAATTTAATAACAGTGCGCCGAGTTGTTCGCGTATGAAGGTGGAGACACCTGGGGTGTATCCCACTACTTATTTGAGAAGCCCATCTCTGCGTAATAACATAGACACTGTAGAACCCATAGACTGCGTATAATTGATTCAATTTCAACTCCAATGCCCAATGATATTTCCTTCCGTATGTACAGGTCTTGGCCCACTATCGGTATTGTGATTCCAAACTGCCTTGGGTGGTATCTTCTGAATGTCAAGTCCTCGCAGTAGATTGATGGATCCCAATTACCGCCATATCCCCTCCTCATTTAGTCGTTCAGTGATCCCAAGGGTGCTTCCAGCCCAACAAGGCAGGACCTAAGTTGTGTCAGTATGCGTACTGTCCGTCTAAACTCAAAGGGCAGCAATACCATCTTTCTTCGCACGATACATCAGCTGTATATAAGTTAGCATGCAGTAGTGGTATCAGGATTTAGGAGTACATACGAAAAACCACATGCTTGCTCCCAATGCTGTACCAGCAAATCGATATAGAGGTGGAGCTCTGTAGAGTCCTCCGGGTCCTGGAGGTGGTTGTGCCATTGTGCTAATGAAATGGTTAGTACGGCTACGTATATACCAAGAACAGATTTGCTACTACTTGAAATAGAGTATTGGAGACTAACGGTGATCGATGGCTTGTGTTGTTCAGAAGTGAGTGTTTAATGTGCCGTATGGGTTCCAAAGTCGCCCATTCGCAACTTTTGGGGTCCGGCCCGAGAACCAAGTAGTAAGCTGTGGCCTGTAATATAAGGACACCATACAGAAAGCTGCTCGCCCCATAACCTTGAACCTTTGTACTTAATTAATTCACTTTCTGTATTATGTACTTTATAGATTCGACGACCCTATTCTCTCCCCAACCAATTTCTTGTTTCTTATTGTCTTAAGGAAGGGTTACAATGCTGTTAAGACCTAGTTTAACCTCGCACCACGAGCCCTGAAATAAAAGCTTAGTTTCCAAATATTTACATTTCTATCGAAGGCTCTCTCTGAGACAAACGTCATTTTTTTACACGGCGGAAAGTCTCGAAATTTACAGCTGCACGCACGATCGCATACTCGATAACCTACGCGCACGAAACAAGAATCTCTCCTTGCATATACGCATTCTGTCAGAATGGCGACCCCATCACGACCAGTGCCGGCAGCTACCAATGGCATTCATAGCCCAGAATATGCACGGCAACATACTCGGCCACAGAACACGTTCCGCGGCTGCTCAAGAATCACAGATTATGAGGTTATGGGGAAAATTGGAGAGGGTACATTTGGGGAAGTACACAAAGCCAAGTCTAGAAAGACAGGTATGGTTGTTGCTCTAAAAAAGATCCTGATGATCAACGAGAAGGATGGGTTTCCAATTACAGCCCTTCGCGAGATCAAGACTCTCAAAGCTCTTTTGCACCCAAATGTCTTGAATTTGGAGGAGATGGCCGTCGAGCACCCGCAAAAAAATACCGATAAGAAGAAGAAAGCTATTATGTACATGGTCACTCCATATTTCGACCATGACTTATCAGGTCTTCTGAAGAACCCGAACATCCACTTTACGGAACCGCAAATTAAGTGTTATATGCTGCAATTGCTTGAGGGTATGCGGTACATTCACGATCACAACATCCTTCACCGGGACATCAAAGCCGCAAACATTTTGATCAACAACAAAGGCATACTTCAAATTGCAGATTTTGGCCTGGCGCGACACTATAACGAGCCTGTACCAGTTGCAGGGAAGGGTAATGGAGAAGCAAAGGCGCATTATACTGTTGTAGTTGTTACAAGATGGTACCGTCCTCCAGAGCTGTTTTTAGAACTGCAAAACTACACTCCAGCGATCGATATTTGGGGAGTCGGGTACGTTTTAACTTCCTTATATTTGAATGGCTGACTAAATATTCGCAGTTGTGTTTTTGGCGAGATGTTCCTCGGAAAGCCAATCCTTCAAGGCGAGAGCGAGGAGCAGCAGCTTAAGCTTATTTTCGATTTGTGTGGCACTCCCAATGAGGAAAACATGCCAGGGTGGAGGTCACTCCCCAAAGCTCAAGGTCTGAATTTTAGCCCACCGCGCCCTTCGACACTAGCTCAGAGATTCAGAGAACAAGGCTCTGGTGCTATCTCTTTATTGCAGGAACTGCTGAAACTCGATTGGAGGAAGCGTACCAACGCAATCGATGCGTTAAAGCATCCATACTTCCGAAACACGCCTTTACCTATGAAACCACACGAGATCCCAATTCTGGAATCATCACATGAGTTTGATTCAAAGCAGCACCGGGGACAAAAACAGGCCCCACCACCTCCCAAAGGAGGCGATGTGGGCATGGGGCCAGACCAATGGGAGCGGAACGGGAGTGGACCAGGATATGATAATTACGTCAGTCATCGGGGTCACCAAAACGGTCGCTACCCTCCCCCTCCTCCTCACGGTGGCTACAGAAACAGTGGTCCACCACCTCCACAATACGATGACCGCAAACCAGCGTGGAGACGAGATGATCGAGGTTTACCACCGCGACCACCACCTACAGATTTCGCTTATGATGGTGGAAGATCAGACCAACATGGTCACCGATCCAGATCCCAAGATTTAGATGGTCGCGGCCATCGCGATCGTGATCACGCGCCCCTTCCTCGGAGTAGAGCAGGAGGTGGTGGGAATATCGACACATACATTCCAAGTTATAACATGAACCGGCGACCAAGAGACGACCGCCCACCAGGGGCCGACCGTTTACCACGAGATGACCGCCGAGACGACCGACCAAGACACAGTAATGGAGCCAGGCACGAATACGACAGTCGAGGTTCCCGTGATAGCCGAAGTCGTACCCGCAGCCCCATTAATGATCGTGGGAGGGATCGATATAGAGAACGCGAACCTATAGGAGATCCTTATTCCCATCGTCGTTGATGACACCTTTCTAGGTGCGTTGTTACATTATTATCTTTACATTTAGCGTGCTTTGGGGTTCGTGACGGCGGGGATATTTATCTTCAGATATTCGGTTGCTCATTCATAAGGAGTGGAGTCAAAGGGATTGGCGTGGGTAGCTTTTGGCTTTGGCTGTACCAAATTGGCGTTTGTCGTTTCAATGAATTTTTACAGCATTTGGGAAAGGAGGAGGGATCTTCAAAATATCATCGAAAAGAAGGAGGGTTGGCCGCTGGTTGTTTAGCAATTTATTCAACAGCCAAGCCTATAAATTTTCTCAATACCTACATTTCTCGGATGGGAAACATGACTTTGTAATCAATATAGGAGGATGGGTCAATGGAAAGGGGTTTCTTCCATCCAGGAAGACTCAATGAAAAAGGAGAAGAACCCGTGATTTGGACCAGAAGAAGCTGAACTTTTTTAATGGAAAGGCATGATGGTTGCGTTGCGCATGCTTTACTATGGATACCTACTTCGCTTTTTTGTATTATTGTACACACACACACATCTATCATAGCATATTAAATAAACTTGGAAGTTCAAAGATTCATGATGAAAATTGGTCTTTGTTCTTTTAATTTTTAAATTCTTTTAAAAAAAATAAAAATAAAAATTTATTGGAGAAAGAAATATGAAACTCACTCCCCTAGTAGCAAATTATCACCTGTTTTGTTAGAGGTAAGATTATTTGAAAGGAAGATCTTAATCTTACCTATCTTAGATATGTATGTATATCCAGTAGACTCGATCTTTTGTACTTCAACCCCGCCTTACTTTCACTTTCACTCCAATCTCCTTTATATCTCCGTCTTTATCTATCGGAAGCGCTCCTAGAAATGTAGCGAGTGAGGTAAGGCAGGCAGGTAGGAAGGTAGGAAGGTAAGTATATCTTTGTTTGTATTACGTTGAACGAAAGAACTTCTTGTGTGAGGGACACTTGTATTGAGGTTAAAAAAAGGAAGAGCTACCACATACAATGTAAGGAAACCCTTGTGGTTGATAGTAACGCTATTTTAATTTTACAAAGTGTGCCGGTTCCCTTGTCAAATTGTGCGCCGTGATGCCATGCCTACGAATTATCATGCCCTTTCTAATACATCCAAACTCCATACCATATTCACCAGCCAGTGAAAATTAAAAATTAACATATCTGGCTCCATAAAACTACCCAGCATCAATTCGGTTTTCTATGCGATTGTGGAATTAACCTACGATGCGTTAGTTCCCCGTTCACCTACATAGGGTTTGAAAAGGGGTAACATACTTTAGAAGTTCAAATTCATTGTACCTCTTCAAGTATCTGTTACCACGCCTGTATGCTTTTAATAGATCACCAGGATGTTTATGGTGAACTGTTCCGCCCACAAATTTGACGACTTTTGACGCATCATGAAACATAGGATCGAAAACGAGAAGATTTTTGGTGCCATCAGTTTGTTTTTCGAATCCAATAATCGTCATCGAGTGGCCTGGCATGTAGCAATTAGATAGGCACCCACAAGAGAGAGGTTGAGGATCTACCTGGATGTTGAAAGTATATTGGAGGGAGAGAGGTCTCTCGGACTTTAGATTCGAAATCAACACAATTGTCGAGAAAGTATTCCTCCACTTTTTGATACAAGAGATTAGCCGCTGGACCTTCCCCTTTATCTTTTCTGGTTTTCAAGGCCGCAGTATCACATCTGAGAATGTAGTTAGTACAAGGTGAAAGTGAAGGGTCATAAAAAGCATACGGGATTCCTAGGGAGCAAAACATCGCTTGAGCCTATTTATTCATGTTAATTAACTGACATGATATCCAAGTATAAAAAAGCGGGAGTTAGGGGGTATTCTCACATCAGGAGTTCCGATGTACTTCCTCGTTCCACGAATTCCACCAGTTTCTATTCGACCTTGAGAATTAATTCCTTGATCCCAAGCGTTCTCAATATAGTCTTGAATATCAAATATTGTTGGAACACAATCATTGAAGACGTTGTGACCAGGAAACTGAGATCTAATAATGTATGAAGACATCATTTGAATGTTTCTGTAGCCACAGAAACCCCCTAAACATCTGGTTAACAGGAGAAATCCGTCAAGGAGGGAGGGAGGTCATACCCTCTCTCAGAAGTTTTGAAACATGGAGAACAGCCGGGTCACACAGGTAAGCATAACTTACTGAACGATCCTGATCGAGGAGCTGAGCGAGTACGGGGATGATACCCTCTGCCTGATTTGGGCAATATTTGACCCTCCGCAATTGTCCATCTGCATTAATTCTATTGATCGTCTTATACTGGCCATCTGATTGCAGTAATTTTACAAGCCATTGTGGCATTTGCTTCTCATGAGCATGAGGACCAAGCTCTGCTTTCTGTTTATAATTGAGATCAATATCATGTGACATGGAAACATTGAGAAAGTAAGAACCTACCCCTAATTGTCTTGGGCCCTTGACAGGAGTTTTGGGTTGGGACTTCAGAGAAATATCAGGCATTTTCAAGATATCCTTCCACGCCCTTTGCGAGACTTGTGCTGGCGGTGGTTCTCGTATTTCGTAATCATGCCCATCGTCAATATTTCGAAGTGCATGTGAGAGTTTCGTACCAAAACTAGCATCTTTACTAACACCTTTCTTGGTCCCATTCCTAGAAGATTCTGATGCGGGAGTATCTGATTCCATATTACCATCCTCTTCTCCATGCATCTCGACATGACTTTCAAGCTCATCAAACAACACCATTTCACCACAGCCATCAACCGGACAATCAGCGTAGTTAACATCTTCTTGATCAACCATTGCGATAACACTTGCACTATCTTTGGCTACAAATGGTGATTCTCCCTCAGCATGCAAAGTTTCCATGTGTAACTTTGATCTCATCAGTAAACCGTATTTCTATTTCAATGAAATGCAGTATTCGGGAAGATTAACAAACCATTATTTGATATTCGCTTTCTGTTTGGTAGCCACAAAAGGGACAAGGACAAAGGGTTTCTTGTACCTCTGGCATTTTTGGCTTGCGCTCATCGATTTGTTTTACTAACAGAGAAAGAAAGGGTTACAAAGAGGAGGATTGTCGTTGTGGCTGAGAACGTCGAAGAAGTATATGGACAAGGGTCGGTCGTACGCAATATTAATGAAGGAGTGGAATAGTAATTAGATAAACTTTATGTACAGTAACTTTTGATTAATCACGGGAAATATGAAACTGGAAGAATATGAAATGATTGTGAGTAAGTGAATGAGGGAAAAGGAAAGGGAAGGAAAGGAAGGATCGAATGGATGAATGAATCGTCGTTTTGCTGACTGTGACTATGATCACAACGAGGCTGCGAATACGAGTGTACGATGCGGCGGTGGAGGAGGTTGACAAGAAAAGTCCAGGCTGGGTTGGCATAACATCATTTATTATTCATTATATGGCAGGTGCGAAATGTGACGGTTCCCTCGGTTGAAATTAATCGGGGTCTTCGTTACTCCGTGTGCAAATCTCGGATCTGGGTTATTATAATTCTGGCAAAGCTTTTGATGGACAAGAAAAGGAAAGGAAGCATTTATTTATACTTATTCGGAGTGAAGAAAAGGTTTCTGCAACATTACACTAAAGAGGGACATTATCGACATTATCAGGTGAGAAATGCGGCCAACAACGCCTTACAAACAAGTACCTACTAGATAGCAGCTACCTTTTTCTGGGTACCAAGTTGAATCAATGTTCCAGATTTAAATCTCATGATCTCTCTTTTTACCAGAAGCTTCGAGACGACAACATTCGAATTTGTGATCACATTTCAGAGATCAAACGAAATGAACGTAGAAGACGGAACGACACTTCAGTACAATGTTCAATTCGAAATTAAAAACTACACTACACAATGCAAACCAAAGCACCGGGACATCATCGGTCACCACCGGGTAACTTATCGGACATGAGATAATGCAAGGCTGACCAATTGAATAAATTCATTCCTCACGGAATCAAAATATTTTTCTGTTATCTCTGATATCGCAGCCTTTACTCGATTTTCTCACTTCACCTCACATATTGCTATTTCTTCTTCTTTTTCTTTTCTACAAGTTCAATATGCCTTCTCGATTGTTATCACCTACCATCCTCCGCGCATGTCGGAGGAACTACTCTACATCTAGCACCGTCCCTCTAGCGTTTGATTTGCACGAACCAGCCAATCCCTCTTCCAATGCTCCGCGAGCCATCATCTTCATGCATGGTTTATTCGGATCCAAGAAGAATAACAGGAGCATTAGTAAGTGAGCTTTCCTTGAGCATTCATTTTATCGTCCTTTCGGTTCACTAATTGTCAATTTCAGGGCTCTCGCAAGAGATCTAGGAAGACCTGTCTATGCTGTTGTGAGTCACATCCCTCGAGGAGCTTTGAAGAGTATATATTGAGGATAGATAGGATCTGCGAAATCATGGCGACTCACCGCATCATCCCAAACACGATTATACCGCCATGGCAGCCGACGTAGCTGAATTTATAAACGAGCATAAGCTCACTGGGCCTACACTGATAGGCCACTCAATGGGCGCAAAAACTGCAATGGCCCTGGCACTTAAGTCTCCAGAAGTGGTCGAGGATATAGTATCCGTAGATAATGCGCCCATTGATGCAGCACTCCTCAGTAACTTTGGAAAATACATCCAAGGAATGAAGAGAATCGAAGCGGCAGGAGTGTCCAAACAAACTGAAGCGGATAACATCTTAAAGGACTATGAAGAAGAGCTTCCTATCCGCCAATTCCTTCTCGGAAACCTCGTGCGCACGGAAGACAAGACGCAGAAGTTTAAGGTTCCTCTTAAAATCCTCGGGGCCGCATTGGACAACCTTGGTGATTTCCCATTCAAGGATCCAGATTCGATTCGCTTCAACAAACCTACGTTATTTGTTCGGGGAACGCAAAGCCACTATGTGCCAGACGAAGCACTTCCTATAATAGGGAAATTCTTCCCTCGGTTTGAACTTGCCGATATAGATGCTGGGCATTGGGTAATTTCTGAGAAACCGGAAGAATTTAGACAAGGTTTGTCTTTTCATTCTTGGGCACCACTGTGAGGACTTTCGCTGACTGACGTGAAAATAGCCGTTGTGGAATTCTTGAAACCAAAAGAATAGAAGGATAGAAATGTACAGTCTATTGTGTATATGTAAAAGGGTATCTGTTATAATCCCATGCCATCCAAAAGAATAATACCCACGTAACGCCTCCGTATACATATGCTTCGTATCCACGTATCAACGTAACCAATATCGCATAGTGTGTGCCAGTACCCCTCACTTCCACTTACTGTAAGACTTGAAGTCTAGCAAGCACATCCCGATGTATAGCTATCATTAGCTGCTCTGATTGTAACCTATCAAACAACCCGTTAGTATTCATGTCCCTTGATAAGTCACAGAACCCCAAAAAACTCACCCCTCCCGACTTCCTCTGCCCCCCCTTCAACAACTCAGGCCTCTTGACAACCTCCCTTACCACCCCCTCAAAAACCGCCTTCACCCCTTCCCTAGTCTTACTACTACACTCCCCCCACCCACAAATATTAACCCCCCTCTCCCTCCACCCATCCGCCAACGCCTTCCCCTCCTCCACACTAACCATCCTCTTCCCGCCCTTCCCCAAATCACACTTCGTCCCCACAACCCAAAACACACACCCATCCACGGCATTATTCTCCGCCTCCTCCACCCACCTCCCCATACTATTAAAACTTTCGCGATTCGTCACATCGTAGACGAGGAGCACGGCATGCGCACCGCGATAGTAGGAATTCGAGAGTGTGCGGAAGCGTTCTTGGCCTGCTGTGTCGAGGAGATTGAGTCGGTAGGGTTTCCCGTGTATCGAGAGGGTTTTGAGCTGGATGTGGGTTTTTGGTTGTTAGTATATTTCCTACCTTATGTTTTAATCTTACTCTGTCTAGATACTATATCATGCCCTTATCCATGCATTCAATAATGAAAGATAAGGAGGGGGAAAAGCCAAAATAATCCAGGGACAAAACCAACACACCTTAAAATCAACTCCGATAGTAGCAGTACTACTCTCCGAATCAAACTGGTCGTCGCAATATCGTATAAGTACTAAAGACGTGACACCAGCGCCCGTTAGCACAATCTACCTCTGATCTCATCGGCAACACTGAAAATGAACCGCGCGGAATCAGGTCGGTCGTACATGCGGATTTGCCCGCTCCCGAGGGGCCTATCAAAAGTATTTTGAGGGTTGGGATGGAGTCGTCGGATGCCATCGTGAAGGGCTTGAAAAGCGATTAAAGAATGAACAAAACTTCTGTGGGTGGAGTTGAGGTCAAAAGGTCTGGAAGTAGGTCATGAAGTTTGTTCTGGAAGGGAAGGAAGGTTTTTGGCATATTAATCACAACGTCACTCGCTAAAAGCAAGGCTGATGTAAAATCAACAACGCCACTAGGAATTCACGTGGATCATCCTCATAGGCACTGTGTTTTTGCATTTTTTTGACATTTTTGGAATTGAATGATAGCCCTGTGCTATATGTGATGCAAAGTCACGCCTATATTGCCCAAAGCCCAGACTTGACTACATATGATGCACCATCAAACCCAAACCGCATAACATCATCCCTTATTTAAACTTGCTCCAACACCTTCTCCTTGAATTCCCTCTCAACCTTTTGCCCTTGCTCATCTGTGTTTGACTCGCCGTGGAGGTTGAGGAGAGCACCAAGGTCGAACTTAGGTGCCTTCAAAAGCTTGACTTTTCTAATGTGAACCTGATGGAAAATTAGTACATAAATTTCACCTCCAATAAATACTTGAACATACGTTTTGTAATGGGTAGATGCCTTGGGTAGCCTTCTCAATCTCACGACCGATAACCTCTGGGATGAGCTTGGCGGTGAGTTGAGTGAGAGTGCAGGTGCTAGCCTCACGTTGAATGATCTCGGTCATCTTCTTGCGGATCGCCCTGATTTGAGAAGAAGCAGCGTATGTGGTCTTCTTGATCTGGTTAGGTCTGCGCTTGGTGAAAGCGATAGCGAAGAGGCGGAGGAGGTAGTCGTCGGTGGTCTTGACAGTGATGTTTGCCTCGATCAAGGATTGCCACTTTCGGACAAGAGATCTGAGCTTGTCTGATGTGAAGTCGAGACCGTGGAAGTTGGTCAAGCAGTTCTTTCCTTGAACCTCATCGACACGGAGCTTAACCTTGCGGAAAGCGTGGTCCTCATCCTTTTGCAAATCGGCCAAAGAAACCTCGATAATTCTTCCTTTCAACGAGTCGTTGGCGTTCTTGAGACCGGTGGTTCTGTTGACGAGGGTCTTTCCGACACTGTATAAATTATTAGATGCAGTTCGCAAAATAGGTAATAGGATTTGTCGTACTCTCTGATTTGGAATGAAGATGGTGCCTATAAAAAATATTGTCAGATTCTGCGAATAAATCTTAGTCGAAGAATTTCACAAACCTTGATCTGGTACCAATCTTTACGGGTGAAGGGATCCAAGGTCTTCTTCTTCAAACCCTTCTTGCCCTTAGAGAGACGCTTATTCCTGTCGTGCTGTCAGATCCATATTCTCGATAGCTTTGCCCCTCTCGTCCTCGTCCTGGCCCAATTGTCGCGAATCCACGCTATTGTGATTTATCGATTCCAATATTACAAGATCGAGAGAAAAGGATATAATGGCGAGGAGTTTACTCACTTTCCGACAGCCATGATTGCGATAAGTTACCTATTCGCCGACTGAGATTGAATTGATGATGGGCGTTGGTGGTCTGGTGTGAAATCAAGAAGAGGTCAATCAAACTTTTGATTTCTGTGCGTAAATGAAAATTAAGCGAGTTATTTTTGATAATCGCAGGTGCAGAGGGTCCAAGCGCCAAGAAAAGTGACTTTGTGAAAATAATGAAATGAAAATGAAAATGTGAAAATTCACAAACCAAACCCTGTGAGGTTACCGGATACCTAGCACTGGTAGTTTTTTTCTTCATTGTTACGGAGCCTTGCCGAGCCTTGCCCGATGACGCGATAATTCTTCCACACAGCAATAGTTTGCGAGTTTGCTTGTAAGGTATTTTCCCATGTCCATGCCCATGCCCATGCACCACCCTACGCCCCTCAATATTTGTATTCTCAAATTGACTTCTTAGTTATTGACTCATCCATACAGAAACATAAATTGTTTGATTGTCCCCTTCAGAAGTAGAAATATACTTCGTTTTTACTTCCATATTCATATTGGTATTCATATTCATCTCTTTCAATCAATTATAACAAAATGGCATCACCACAAGATATCGCTGGAGCCAGTGGCCTTTCAAGAATGGTCTCCAATAGCCTGAGCCTTTCTCCTACAGCAACCTTTCATTCTCCCCCATCAAGCTTCGGGCCCGGCTCGATTTCGAGAGCGGCCGCAAGAACCAATGCAAAGCAATTGAAGCCATTCGATACTCAAGATATCAAGATTTTACTCTTGGAAAATGTCAATCAAAGTGGAAAAGATATCCTTTCTGAACAAGGATACCAAGTTGAATCCCTGAAGACTTCTTTACCAGAGGCTGAATTGATTGAAAAGATTCGGTAAGATAAAAGATAAAAGACGAAAGTATACTTTGCTAATGACTACTATGCAGAGATGTCCATGTCATTGGAATTAGATCAAAAACTAAGCTCAGCGAGAAAGTCCTTCGTGAAGCCAAGAACTTGATCGTGGTGGGATGTTTCTGTATTGGCACAAATCAAGTCGACCTTGAATATGCTGCCGCACATGGTATTGCAGTATTCAACTCCCCTTTTGCCAACTCCCGAAGTGTAGCAGAATTGGTCATTGCAGAGATCATAGTTCTTGCCCGTCAACTCGGTGACAGATCGAATGAATTACACAATGGAACCTGGAATAAAGTTAGCAACAAATGCTGGGAAATTCGTGGAAAAACTCTCGGTTTGTGACCTTACACATTATATTTCTTTCACTTGACCTAATTCTCAAACTTTTAGGTATAATTGGTTACGGTCACATTGGTTCACAATTGTCTGTTCTTGCCGAAGCCATGGGCATGTCGGTAATCTACTACGATGTCGTCAATCTCATGGCATTGGGTACTGCTAAACAGGTTCCTACCTTGAACGAATTACTCAATACCGCGGACTTTATTACATGCCATGTTCCAGAACTTCCAGAAACTAAGAATCTTATTGGCAGAGCACAATTCGATCAAATGAAGGATGGCAGCTATCTTATCAACGCATCCCGCGGTAGCGTGATTGATATTCCAGCTCTTATTGAAGCCTCAAGAAGTGGAAAGATCGCCGGTGCAGCTTTGGATGTATATCCAAGTGAACCAGGCGGAAATGGTCCTTACTTTACAAATAGCTTAAATCCTTGGGCAGAGGATCTTCGTAGTCTCAGCAACATCATTCTCAGCCCCCATATTGGTGGTAGTACCGAGGAAGCTCAGCGTGCTATTGGTGTTGAAGGTATGTGCTTCCTCAGTAAGCGAATCGCCCTTGACTAACATGATTTCTCAGTTGGCGAGGCCCTTGTCAGATATGTGAACTCTGGTGTCACTCTTGGAGCTGTGAACTTACCAGAGGTCAATCTTCGTTCTCTTACATTGGACGAGTCCAACCATGCAAGAGTGAGTTCATTGTCTATAGTTCTACGATAAACTTACTGATTTTTTAGGTCATCTACATCCATCACAACATTCCTGGTGTATTGAGAAAGGTTAACGAAATTCTCGGCGATCACAATGTAGACAAACAAATCACTGATAACAAAGGCGATGTATGAAAATTGTGTATTCCTACTGTTCTCGACAATTTACTAATTTTATTTAGGTCGCATATCTCATGGCTGATATTAGCAATGTACAAACTAGCGATCTGAAGGAGATTGCTGATAGCTTAGAAGCTTTGAGCTGTAAGTCCTCTTGTACACTTGAATTAATCATACAATACTAACATATATAGCACGTATTCTCACCCGTGTACTTTATTAAATAATGAAAAAATAGATATGGATGTAAAATTTTTGCATAGGGAGTTTCGAATTAAAAGGGCATTCAACAGGAGTGGTGGCGCTTGGCTTGGGGTTGCATCTAGGCAATCCCTTCAACAAAGGCAGGGCAGGAGTTGACAAATGGATGTGTACCTTAAAAATTGGAAAAGTAGAATAGGAAGGCTTTGCATTTTAGGGATAGGATACAATCCAATACATGTGTCATTTGGAAAAGAAAGATTTACTGGTGTTCCAGAGGTTGAGGCATGAACCCAAACCCAACTAAAAGACAGACCACCTCATTCAATGTGTCGAGGACAATTAGATCAACTGTGAAAATTTAAGAAAAGGGGAAAAGAAGAAAAAAACAGTATATCTTGCAGCATGAATACTTTCAAATTGATGAAATTCTACTCATTCGTTCACTCAATGAATATGAATAGTCAATCATTTCCAAATGGCACTTATCCAAAACGCCATCAAGATCTCATCCGCAGCCAACTGTCCAGAGAACATACCTAATCACAGAAGTAAATTCAATGAAGGTGGACACTACCCTCTTCCTAAGATTACCTAGGTAAGTAGGTTCTAATTTAAAATTTAAGATCTTCAGTGAAATTATATTTACGTATGTATGTATATTTTTGATTCATTTATTAGAGAGAATATTTCCTTAGGCTTGGTGTTTTGTGTATACTGGTGATGGTTGTTATTTGTTACTTGTTAGGATAGATGGATAGATAGATAGATAGATAGATGTTTTCTTGATTTAGCATCGGGTACTAGATACTAGATACTAGATACTATATACTAGATACTGGGCAGGATATCCGTAGCTGGGGTTTTTGATTTTAGTTTTGATTTGATTTTAGGTTTTGGTTTTAGTTATTGAGGAATTGAATTGGAGTGTGAATGCGGAATGAGAATGGGAAATACGGAGTATAAGATCTTATTTATGTGAAGATATAAACGCATAGTATAAGTAAAACTAAAACTATATTAGGAAAGCAAAAAAAAGAAAATAAATAGTATAAACTGAGTTTTCTTTTTCTTTCTGAGTATAATTATATCGGTTTTAGTAATCTAATAGTTAATTTTGTGTATTAAATATTCTTGTGAGGTGGGTTGGTGGGTGTTGTGAGGTAGGTGTGTGAGGTGTGTGGGATATGGAGTAGGTATGTAGGTGTGAGGAGGGAGGTATTTGATTGAGTTTGCTGTGTGCTTTATTAGGATATCTATTGAGTATTGGTAGGTAAGTAAGTATTGTGATAGTTTTGATAGTTAAAGAGATATATAGATGTAAGTTTCTTCTACCTAGTGTTGGGTTAGATTTGACCATCCTGCTTCGAATTTGAGTCTTTGATATCATTTTGTGAGGATAGTGTTGTGTATACATAAGTATACTAATTGAATATAAGTACTTGGTAATTTGAATAACTTCTATTTGTACAGAGTACATGAATCCTCACTTTTAGGTAAGTATTGCCAGATGGGATTTATTCAAACCATCTATCGTGCCAGTTAATCATCAGCTCAGCTCAACTCAATTCAACTACTAGGTATATGTAATACTTTGTAATACCTCACGAAGAACGAACAAAACACACACAGTCACAATCATGAAAATATCTAAAATCCCTAAAATCTGAAATGCCTTTTTTAATTAATTACCTAAAAACTATGTAGAAGGGGGTATAATAAGGAAGGAAAGCCATAAATACAGCCAACCAAGTACACCAGACATGAAAACCCATATATACTATATACACCCGCGCGATAAATAACCATCAATGCCCCAGTTCCACAATTCTAAATTCCAAATTTCATGCCATTCCATCAGTCAATAAGTTAGTTATCCAGCAAGCAGGCACATAGGCAAGCAAGCCGACCAACGCGACAAAAAGTCCAGAAAAAAATAAAATAAAGGCCAGTCCGAGATCCATTGGGAAAGATCATCGATCGGTCCTCCGAATCCTCCATTATCCTCTAGAATTACCGCCAGTGCCGGTACCAGTGCCAGGTAGTGCCAGTGCTCCGGACCCTGGAACACTTATCCGTCCGTCCGTCCCGTTCCGTCGTTATGTAAGGTATCAATCATGAAAAATCCCAAATGGTGAAATCCCTGTCCCAAGAACCAGCCCAGAACCCAATTACTTATGATGATGAACGATGATGTGACATCTCGTCCTTTTATATACTCTATTTTCATCTCTCGTCCGTTCACTTCCATCTCTTCACTCACGAAACGCTCTTTCGTTCCATCCTCTCAGTCGGCTCTTGGTATCCTTGAAAATCTTCAAAGCTGGGAAAACTAAAGTACCCCGCTGCTATCAACGTAATCAGCCTCTGCCTCTCATCACGTCTTCAGACAACACCAAAGGGGTATGGAAATGGAACACTGGGGGTACTAACACTGATACTGCTGCATATTTTTCAACTCATCCTTACAGCTTCTCGCCAATCCACTCTCCGGACTCCTCGGACTTCGGTTTCCGGGGGTCGAGTACGCACTACTGGTACTTCTCGGACTTCCATGATCCTGCTGGGCCGAGTAGCTAGCCACGCGGGTGAGAATCGAAGCTGCTTTCGACGAGGATTGAAGATTGGCAAGATCTTTGCGAGATGCGTTGCCCGTGACTAATGAAGGTGCGGTGGCATGTGCTCTCATAAGTTTGGGTCGAGCAGACACTTTGGGTGATGATCCTCGTGATTGAGTTTTGGATGACATGGTGAATTCTATGGAATGGAAAAGACAATTGGTTCGTAGCGTATGATATACCGTAGGGCAAATGATCGACCAGTTATATAACTTTTCGTTTCTCCACTTGGGGTCGGGCAGTGATAATCCGGAGTGGGCCGATGAATGAGATTGGTTGAAACTGATGAGCGATGTGAAGCTTTTGATGATATTTATTATTCGGAAAGAATTGATCAAGTGCAGATTATCTGGGGAAAGGAATTCTAGGAAAGAGAAAGAGGAGTAAAGAAAGTTTGGAGATACACTTGTCTATATTAAATAACACGCAGAAAAGCATGGCAGGCCTGTTAAGCAAGTAGGTACGTACTAGATAGGAAAACAAGTCAAGCCGGTTTAAGACATCCTTACCAGAAAGCCGATAAATAAGAAAAAGGTCGTTCTAGCCACATGCTAGACTGTGAGAGAATTACCACATTTATTTTGTCCACGCCAACATTAATGATGTGGTGGGTTGTTAATGGTTATGGTGTTGTACACATGCATCAAACGTGCATGGGAAAAGGTGGGCAAGCTTACCATCAGAAAGACACTATCAATGTCGACCCCTCACTCGGGCCCGCCTTTAACTAGCTGACCCCCAATGAATGTCTGGCTACGATTGATTGAAACTTTACGATAATATGGCGCCTTTCCATCCAAATCCCAAAAATCTTGGAAGTTGGGAATTTTGTTATGTTGGGTGTGTTTGACTGCATACAATACTTGTGAAGCCACGACTGTACCTAGTTTTCCGTACTTGGGATACGGCAATGTCATATGTCGTATGTTCTGTCAAACAAGTCACCATGCTCAACCGAGATCTGACAAAACATAACACCGGTAAGAAAAAATCGTGTTCTATATGCTAGACTACGTTTGGTATGTTAGGCACTCATGCTGCATGCAGGTACATTGTGCGGCCCGAGTCATGAAATCTTTCTCTCCGCGCGTGATCAATGATCAATACTGCGATTTGGGTCAGTTTCATAAAGTTTCACTACTGCAAACTTTCATAAAGGGGTACTTACTCATCCCAACTACGTCCCTTGACGGCAGCGAGCTCCTCCTCAGTCATTCTGTGACCAGTAGTGAAGTATCCTAGTTGCAATTTATTCAGCCCTATTACAAGGTATTGGGATTATGAATGGTGCGTGGCAAAACTGACCTGCTGTAATCTTGGCATCAATCTCGACCCTCGAATCTGCTGGGATCCAAGATTCGGGTAGTTCAACTCGTTCATGTATGGGAATTCTAGACGGTTATTTAGCAATGTGAACCAATGTTCCGTGCGCGTTCCTTACCCTTGACCGACTATGGCATCATGTTTCATGCTGTAAATATGGTTACTCCTGCATCTGATATGTTGCGGGTTTGAGTAACCTACTTGCTCATACTTAGCATTCTGTCAATTTTCTTTATTCCCAACCAATGAAGAATGTCGGGCATCAACGCCTGGAAGCGCATATCTTTTACACCGGCGATATTTTCCGTGCGTTTAAAATATTCCGAAGCTCGATCAAGTCCGCGCTTTCTGGCGTTGTAAACGAGGTACTACATGACCGAGTTAGAGATTGTCTCAGAGAGATCCAGAGAAGTGATTAATCATAAAGATCTGAGAGGATAAATGCGGATGTCATGGAAAAAATGATTGGAAGTGGGGGAAATGGTGTGGGTGTTGTGTAAGTTGATAAGCCTCGGTGTGCCCCACAACAGAAGGATAAATGCAGTGCAGACGACCCATGAGCCGCGGAAATTTCAATTACCTTTGTGACCTCTCCAAGAGCTCTACCCTCTTTTCTGAAGTAAATTACTTGGGAAATAATTAGTTATGATATTGAAAGACCGATGGAAACTGTACTCACCGACTAGAAAAACCACAGTCAGTAATTGCCTACGAGAATTGCATAGATAGTGAACGCATTCGGGAACTGCTGTTTATGTCCCAATGGGTATAAAACGAAATATCCGAAAATAGCTGGAGGTAGGAGGTGTGAAAATGAAATCATTTGTACTCACCTCCGCTTCCGCCCTTTTGCGCCTCTTTGACAGCCTCCTCAATACCATAGATCAGGTAAGGACGGCATGTACAGATATCAGATCCGAACACGTCACTGCCGTTACACTGTTAAAGAATATCAGCATGAAAGATCTCCTAATCGTGGTACCTCAAACTGCGGCATTTTATTTTTACCTCGTCATGTATTCGTAAAGCTAGGCGAACATTCTCATCTGACATCTTCGCGGGGTCTCCAAAGCAGTAGACGGTCAATCCACCTATAAATAGTTAGAGATCTCTATGCTGGATCGAGATTACTGTCTCATACCAATTGGTGGCATGAAGAGCTTAATATCGCCCCTGGTAATCAATTCGGGGTATGATCCACCAGTGTGCTCAAACAATGCTCTCCTGAGAACCCCCTCGGCTAGAATATAGGTAAGCAAGATGACTTCCGAAGCTACGATGGGAATACGAACAAATGCCGAATCGCTCAGCGACTCCGGGCAAGTACCAGACCTGTGATATCATTAGACGTATACTTTGACAGTGGAAAAATCAACATACCGGTTCAACGGCAAATTTCGTTACTGCAAGCTCTCCCGCCTCATTCAGGCAAATTTTGCCATCCGGTACGAGCCGACCTTCACGAACACTAGTTTCCAGTTCTGGTAGCTATCAGAGCCGTTAGTATTACTACCTTGCCATCCAACGTTACAAATTACCTTCATATGAGCTCGGGTGATTGCTATCAATATAATTAGTACTATTGCCTAATACGATCTCGATTATCCAAAGGTTGTCATAGTACATACCAATAGTAGGTCTAATATCAACTGCGTTTGGTCAGCCCAAAGCTACATTATAGCCTTACGTGGGGGTTACTCACCATTTTCCTTCTCAATTGTATCCTTAAAAAGCCATGGAGCAAGATGGCCCAAGGGATCCATCGATACTATCTTCTTCTTGTCAGCCCATTGAGGAAACGGTCCAATATTTGCAGCAGGCTCTGTGTTTGTGAAATCCGGCCTGCAATATGTTAATTTATTTGCCATGTTAAATTGAGCTGTTTCCAAGCCTACTTGTGATCTGCCTTGATCTCCTTGCTGGCAACAGCCAAAGCATAATATATCGAATAAGATCCACCGTGGGCTACCAATGTCGGAATCAGATCAGATCACGATTTATCAGCAGACAAGCAAAACATACCTCCAATTGCTAAAACAAACAATTAGTATACCAAAAATCTGTGAAATGGTGAACAAACTTACCGTTACGTCTTCTGGCAGTTTCCGTAGCTCTGGACACAACTACCGGGCCTCTAATTTGCGGATCGCTATGGCCCCATTCCATAGGAAGGGGATTGATACCGGATTGTCCGGGGTATGTACTTATATCATAATTCAATTAAATGTCTCTATTCCCTACATGCATTGAAAAGAACTCACGTGAGAATGATTCGAGAAGTACCAGTGCTTGCTTTTTGAGGATAAGAAGGAATGGGTGTCTCCTCGGGCTTTGCCGCCGAGATAGTTGGAGATTTGGGCACATCGGCATCTTTGAAAGCATCATCTTTGGATGTACTTTCATCGCTGCTTGCAAGAGGTTCGGAAGGGTTGGAAATAGTTGCTGAATCAGTAGAAGCAACATCACGTACTTCCTTCATACCAGCTAAGACATTGACACGGCCAGTAATGGCATCGACATTAGATGCAAGTTGGGACTGGTTGAGTTGGAGACTCTTGATGGAATTGAGGATCTCCTGCATTAAAGCAGTCTGGTCAGGAGGCGAAGAAGACATCTTGGAAGGTGGTTTGGAATATGGCAGGTTTCCAAAAAGAAGTGTTCGAGAGAGTAAGTAAGTGGCTTCAGTTTATTTTGGGAAGGAAATGGGCAGGTTTATATTCTGGGAGGTGAGGGGTAAAGGGACTCGGCGCGTTGGTATCGTTTGCCTGTCCGATACCTAGGTAGGTAGGTAAAGTATTCAAAAGGCACAAGAACACGTATTACGAAATTGGAAAGTGGCTTTCCTCTTTCTTGATGAATGATACGAGGAATGGAATAGATTGACGGATTGGAGGAAAGTGGAAATGATGAATAAAGTGGTGTATGCTAGTTGGTCATCTCTTGCATTTCTTGTATCTATGGCAATTGTTTCCGTTTCCTATCATTCACTCTCCAAGCTATGGTCGAAATGTCAGATGGGCAGCTTCTGGGGTGGTTTATCAGCCCCACTACAGAGTATAATAAAGAAGGGATTTGCACACTATGAATAAGCTACAAAGCAGTCACGGCGTATACAGTAGGGATTCATTGACTTCTGTTGTTCAGGTACAATCATAGAGGACATCTCCTTGTTTCCTTGTCTCCTTTCAATATATATTTATACTATGTACACTCCCTATATACTTTGGACTATATATCTATAATTCTTAGATGCAACACCTTTTCAACACGAGATCAATCCATTTGTGAATATAAGCAACTTATTAATACAAATTAAATCGTATCACGTCGAACAATCAGCGGCTCCATAAATGTCCTTCGTGGCAGTGATATCACTCACTACTCATTATCGATAAGGTATCAATTTTCAGGAACCCGCCGCCTGAACCTAGGATCCCAGCCTTTCGTGACACTTACACTCATTGATAAAAAAGCTATCAGTGTGCAGGCTAGCGGTCGCGCTTCTACATCTTCCGAACCGCGCCAGTCCCACAGCATTTTCTTTAACATACTTATCATTATCCCCAGCCAACTTTAAAGAACTTTAAATAGCATCATGGTATGTGGAGTTATTATTGTCCCATCTTCTTGCTCTTTGCTAATATATGAATTTAGGGTAAACGCAAGGCAGCAAAGAAGCCTCAGGGCCCAAAAAAGGTACATCATTTTTAGCTACTTTCCGCATTATCTTGGACATGCGACATAACCTGACAATTTTGCGTAGAAAGAAGTTTTAAGCACCACCTTTCCCTGCTTATTCTGCAATCACGAAAACTCGGTTATTGTCAAAATTGACAAGAAAGCCGGTGTCGGTCAACTTTCCTGCAAAGTATGCGACCAAAAGTTTCAATGCGCCATCAACTGTGAGTTTCCTGCAACAAAGAAACTTGGGCGGAGGACAATTTTTAGCTAATGGCCGCCTGCATATAGATCTGTCTGCTTCCGTGGATGTTTATGCCGATTGGGTTGATGCTTGCGATGCAGTTGCGAAGGAAGGAGATGACGGGGGAGATTTTGCCCCCGAACGCGCACCTGCTCGACGTCAATCTGGTGCTGCCGCGAAAGGCGACGAGGACGACGACGACAACGATGACGACATAATGGGAGACGAGGATGGGATGGGTGGTTATGGCGGCGATGGAATTGTTGCGGACGACGAATACTAAGCTTGAGGTTCTCAGCTTGGGTTGTGATAATTTTTATTGTTTGGAGTTTTGGGGCCTCACGGTTGGCGAATGTTTCACATGGTCTTGGGCTGTGAGTGTCAAATGGATCAAATCATCCTACCTATCCTTGGCTACGAATAATATTGGTTCAAGTGGCAGAGATCAATGGAACACCGGCATAAATTGTTGTTTTGGTAGATTTTTAAAATATTAAGAGGATATTGAAAATTGGCTTTTCTACATGGTATAGAATCTATCACCAAAATCTCCAAGACCAGGGACAATGTAACTAGACGAACATTAGCAAAATTTAATGTTATTCGGTGAGAATCATACTTCTTTTCATCAAGACCCTATCCTCATGTCAGCTGAGATGTGCATTTGGGTTACGCGGAAGGAAGCACTGACCTGGTCAATAAATGCGGTTACCACTCTGACTTTCTGATATTTCTTTGCAAATGACTCGATGCCTTCTGGACTGGCGATGAGGTTCAAGAAAAGGATTCGTTCTGCGGGAACTCCTCGAGAAATTAAAACGTCTACCGCCATTGATGCAGATCCTCCTAAGTCAAAGATCAGAACAGGATCATTTTAAGTCGTTTGGGAGTAATTACCTGTTGCGAACATGGGATCGAGAAGTAATACCCAACGTTGCGCAATATCTTCTGGAAGTTTATCATAGAAGAGCTTAGGCAAAGAAGTTTCCTCATCTCTCTGTATCAATATTTTACCAATCCTCACTGAACGACAGCAATCTCGTAGTCCTTGTTCCATAGCTTCACCAGCTCTCATAATGGAAACACCACATATTTTGCCCTGAAACTGGACTCCTGCATATGTTCGCCCAACTGGGGTAGTAATTGTGTGCTCTACCACAGGTAAATGATTTAAACCCTCTTCGACCAGTAAACGAATGATTCGGTTCGAGTAAAATATGAAATCGGCACGCTGCGTGTTCTTGTCCCGGATCATGCTATTTCACGCAGGTGTAAGTAAGTTTGTATAGACAGGTGCAGGATTTCTATGACGTACGTAAGAAGAGCAATAAGCTGCGGGGTTTGAGGTAACGTATGCACATTTGGGAAGGAAACTGGAGTTGAAACGGTTGCAATAGGTTTCTCAGGGCGATAGTCAGGGCCGACACATTGTGCGGGCGATTTAACACCTTCTGAAGATTCAGAAAACATTTTGCTGTCAAATTTCCTACTGAGTCGAGTCTCAAGGACACAATCAGGGCTTGACAATGAGAATCTTTTCGCGCTATGTTGGTTAGTGGTAATTTCGCAGAGCTAGCTCAACAAGTTCATTCACTTGCCTCAGATAAGTCCTACAGGTTACTGCTCAAAACCGCACACGCGACAAAGCTGCAGGAATTGTAATTGAACAGCTCTGCGGAGGGCTCCGTATGAATTCTCGTGGGGTGCCGGTGTAAAGCGAGTACCTAGATAGATTGATAACCGATAAGCATAAAAGCTATCTTGGCAGGCTGTGAAGAGTAGGTGATCTTTCAATTCTATGACAAACTGTATCTAGAAGAGATAGAAGTGGTTCTGGACTCACGCACGATTGAAATATCATTAGACTTTTCAAGGGGAACCTTTGGTTGTTTCGGAAACAGAGACCAGTAGTAGATATTCTCAAGTAGAAGTACAATGTAGGTAGTGATGGCAACGCTACCTGGTATATATCAATCTCTCAGTGGAGAACTTTGACCACATAAGGTTCTCCATTAGTGGCTGTCTGAAATCACATACCTCGGGGCATTTGTGAGCCTTTTTCTTTAATGAGATGCCAATGGATCTTATATATCATGCCTACCTACAGACCTAGTAGTAATATCTTCTGATTCAGTCTGTCTATTCATAATAAAAAGTTGATTAGCATTTTTCTTCTTTTACAATGGAAGAATTATATATTCACTTTGGTGAGCCCATGGTGGTGTACGGCTTATGCGCTCGGAATAATGTTTGTCCATACAATACCTAATCAATGCCTTCAATCATTCCTACAGTTTATCAATTCAAATTCAGAAAGTATCTACCGAATAGTTATCACAGCAATCACTTCTCTTCCAAGGTATTTTCTGCTTCTGAAGACCTTTGTGATCATACCATTTCAGGCCTCCCAGGAGCTATATCCCATTATTTAAGTGATTTGCGACAGCAGCCTTTCCAACGTTCGATGTGCAGCTTCAACTTTGCACTTTCCGAGTCACCCATACCTACCGCACATCATGGCGGCTTATGAAAACACGATGAGGCCTCGGAAAACAATAACTACATATGGAAAACCGTCACGAAAACACCTTGCAGGGCACAGCTACGCAAAACTTGTTCATCGTGGAATCCCTCCGGATTGACAAAGACAGACATTATGACAAGCAATGAGCCCACCCCCTCAAATCATGAAAGGGCTCCCAATGCCTACAACGCTTCACCTAGCACAACTCCTGCCCCAAGAACAAAATCTGCGGTCGATTTGTACGATGTTCCACTCAGCGATGATGAAGACCCACCTCTAATGCGGAAGAATGTTACAAAGTCTGCGCAGAGAGTCAAGATAAAGTCTGCCATGTTCGATGCACTGCCGAGCGATGAAGAGGGGCAATCTACAATGCGGAGGAAGTTTCCCAAGTTGAAACAGAAAGCTCTCCAAAAGTCCTCCGTATACGATATGTCACTCAGCGAGGATGAGATGCCTCCTTCGGCAAGGAAGAATCCCTCCAAGTTGTTACCAAAAGCCAATGAAAACCCGACCACCACTCCAAGGGCGAAACATTCGAATATTACAGCGTCCACGAATAACGATTCAGACGGAATGCCCGAGCGTAAGAAGAGGAAGCTTTCGCCCGTCGAACAACCGCGACGGGTGCCTGCCAAACTCCCAGTAGTGCCTCCCAAAGTACCACCAAATTCGCAAAACAAGAAGGCACAGTCGATTTCTAATGCTTTACCAAAACGACTTGCCGTTCATGCAAAACCTATTTCGCACTCCGACCTAAAACAATCAACGGTACTTCGAGGTTCACCTAGGCAGAGAAATATAGCACCCCAGCCACAAGTCTTCAAGTCACCGGCGTCCACTGACAGTGAAATAAGCTTACAGTTAGCCGCACGCCCCTAAGCGCCATATGCCGCCAAAGGCTGCGGAGCTACGGGATGCCCTCCTTGACAAAGATCATGGAACTGAAGGAACTGCAAGTACTAGTGGGGACGAGCTCTCTCTTGTCATAACTAAGCCGAAGAAACCATATCCAATGGCCAGGAAGTTGCCAAAATCAACGGCAGTTGCAAAACCAACGAGCATAATTCCTCGCAAACGATTGATTGATTCACTAGTGAAGCAGGCTCCGCACCAAGATTCAGACGAAGAAGATGATGATGACGATGATGACAATGATGACGACGATGAATCTGGGAATGAGCATGATAATTCCCAGCTTGAGAATCATTTTCAACATTTGCACAACTCGAGAGCTCAAAGTCTTACTCCAGACCTCCCCACTTTTACCACATCTGCACAAGCTAGCCAAGGCTCCCAAATCACAGGGCCGAAATTCACGTATAGTCGGCAGCGTTCTATGCTTGTTGAAGAGGACGTGATGGAGCAGTTAGCGTTCGACATGCCCTTGGAGACCCCGCAGGGCTCACAGCGTCGCCGTGGCTCCATACCTAGCCTAAAGCCTTTATTAAGCTTTCGCGAAGATGAAGAAGGCGAAGATGAAGCTGCGAACACTACTATTCGCTCAATCCACGAACTGAGACAAGCAGGGGCAAACAGCCGTTTTGCGGATGAAGTGGAAGATTTACTCGATCGCATTGGCGCACCCACCGCAAAGACGTCCTCTATGCGACGTTCTGGCCTTTTAGATCTAGGCATCAAAATGAAGGACAAGACTTTTGTTCGGCAATTTCGTGCCCATGGTGCTGAACAACGACTGTTTGTTGGCATAGGCGAAGAAATTGATGTCGTATCGGGATTCTTGATGATTTCACTCGTCACGCCTATTTTGGCAGAGGGAAGCGTACCTCTCGTGGTATCGCAACTTCAAGAACAGGGTATTTCAAAGCTACTAAATCGTCTCATTTCCGTTGAAAAAAGCATTATTTCTGTGACGAAAGAACGCAAGACGAACATGTCAAAAATGGCTCAGAACTCCATATCGGCATATCATGATTTTCTGCTAGCAATTTCAGCATGGAAGGATCTCAGCCCAGTTGAGCTTTCACCTCGAACCTTGGCCCTGAAATGCCTCGAGCTTATGGTTCGACAAAGTAGGGAGGCTGGAGATGCCAGCGACATAATTTCTGAAGAGTTGAATACCAGTTTGTTCGAGATATTGACATCATCGGATGGCGATGCTTCATGGGATCTTCCTAGCGGAAAGGAAGCGATTGACTTCTATTTGACGTTATCCACTCTAGAATCCCACTCTCTTGTGGCAAGAACCGCTCAAGATGAAACAATTTGGCTTCGTCAATTGTTGCCCATCATAGGCAATACCCTCAATACCGCTTTGAATCGGCCACTTGATAGCTTTGGCGAGCAACAGATCTTGGCATTGAAATTGACATTGAATGTTACCAATCACAATCCGAAAGCTTGTGATGCAATTGCGAACTCGGATCTCATGTACACGATTCTTCGCGTCGTTGTTGCTAAGTTCAAAAGACTGTCAAATTTGTGGGCGGAGGAGGAAATTATTGTGGCAGTGGACAATTTGATCCTGCTCATCGGAGCGATGATCAACTTCGCGTTGTGGAGTACGAAAGCACTCAATACATCGACAAATTTGCGGCAACGGGCCAAGACCCTTTGGATGAACTGATTCGTCTATTTGTC